AATACCTTGGCGGCACGACGATCACTCATCTTGACTTCCACAAACAAACCAAAGGTTCACTTGATATGAGAGCACATCTCTGATATTTTTTCCGCTGCGTTTGCAGAAACTCTTATCCTTCCCTGCCTACCTTGCACCGCCTATCACAAAGGGACCCGCTGTCTGACCTACTAGTCGGGACCGACCCAACACTGTCAGGAGACTTTTGACACAAGACACCTCCGCAGGTCATAAGGGATTCCCACAGTCACAATCAATATCCGATGCCTCCCAGTCCACCTTACCAACGAACCAGGCTCTGATACCACTTGTTATGGAAATTCCAAGAAATCAAGACAAGACAACAAAGATAAAAGAATACAAGAATTTGTTAACCCAGTTTGATCACAATGATCTACATCTGAGGGCGCTGCCAAGTCAGAAAGTACGCAGACACATGTGAAAGTGAGAATACATAGATATTTATAGCCTAAGTCTATGCCAATAATATTCAAATCCTATCTCTAAAAAATTAAGAATATAATATCTAAATTATATCCCTAAATTTTAAAATATATTCAGGCTTCATATCTCAATAACGATAAGTAAATCATTTCCAAAATATAGATATGCAAATTCATATCATACCTGTTAACTCGTTGTCTTGAAGATTCAACCATAGAAGCATTTTTAAACTTCCAATTTCTTCGGGTATTGTACCTTGAAGAGAAACAAACCATAGTTTTAGTTATATATTTTTTTTCTATGGTATTAGTTATGAGATTAAAAAAATAAAAAATACATATGACAAAATTGATAGCATATAAATATTCTTTTGTATAAAAAAAATGAAAAAAATAAATCATAAAAAAAAAAAAATGTACCTTGCTTATGATTTCACCCACTTTTTTAATATACATTATAACAAAATAAATCAATCAATCAATAAAAATAAAAACGGTAACAATAAAATGGAAATCTAGTTAAGTACCACTCCTGTTCTATACAATATATTTTTACTTTTATATTGATCTGACCTCTGCACCTACATATAAATAAATAATCACCTTTCAAAAGGATCGGAAAAGAAAAAAAAAAAAAAAAAAAAAAGGTATAAAATATAAGATTGCTCGAATAGATATAATTTCATACCTGTCAACTTATTGTTATAAAGATACAACTCTCGAAGTATTTGCAAACTTCCAATATCTTGTGGTATGGTTCCAGTAATATTGTTGTTATGCAATGACAATACCTCAAGTTGTTGGCACGAAGAATAATTTGATGGAAGTCGTCCATAAATTTGATTGTTTCCCAAATATATCTTATTGAGAACTTCATTTCCAGTGCACATGTCGTCAGGGAGAGTACCAGATAATAAATTATTATACAAATTTACTACTTCTAATGTTGAGATGTTGAAAATACTTGGAGGAATAGGACCTACAAATATATATAGAAGCAAAAGAATAAGTCAAGAGCGAGAGTTATAATAATATAAAAAATAATATTTTACGTTGAATGTTGACTTATATGAGAGTATAAAATATATATATTAAGAATCGAAAAAATATTATGACGCAAACAAATTTTTTCCATAAAAAAAAATAAAAAAATTTGCCTATTAAGTACAAATGACAAGAATAATTATAGTAATATCTGGACCATAAAAATGTAAATTGTAATGTTGATTTATTTGGAAAACACATATTTGATATTTATAGTACAATTCAGAATTAATTAATTAGGCTATGTTCTCTTCTAGTCCAATTTCAGTCGTTTCTCTTCTAGTCCAATTTCAGTCTTTTTTTACTCTATCCGTCTCAAACAAGGTGCAATATTTGTTTTGGACACGGGTTTGTAGGTGGGTAGTACTACATAAGATAATTTAGAAATTAGGTGATGTGATAAAGACAGAAATGTATATTTTATTTTTTTTTATTAGAGTGATGTGATGAGATAAAATGTAGGATAGAGATTAAGTATAATTAATTATTTTCTATTTTTTTTTTATTTTAGAAATATTGCAGGATGTTTGGGACATACCAAAAAGAAAATGTTGCAGGATGTTTGGGACGGAGGGAGTAATATGCAACCATCGTAAAAATAAATATTCTTCCAAAATATTATTCAAATAAAAAGGCGAAACAAAACTCCAAAAGAACACACTAATAAATTGTTTCCTAACAATGTTCAAGGCTTCAAGCTAGGTTGCCAAATTCAATATAACTTTTTATGATGATAAGAAAATGTATAACTAAAGCTCTACAAAGGCAGCTTCATAAATAATTTGTTAATCACAAATACAAGAATGTATACCCGTTAAATCATTGGAGTGAAGATATATCTCTCGGAGCATCTTAAAATTCCCAACTTGTCGTGGAATGAATCCAGTGAACTTATTACGAGGCAATGATAGGACCCGGAGTCGATAACATGAAGTGAGATTTGATGGAATTCGTCCATACACCGCATTGTTGTATAAATAAAGCTCACTAAGAGCGGAATATTGATGACACATATCGTCAGGGAGAGTGCCCGACAAATTATTATTGCTTAAGTCTATATGTTGTAAGGTTGAGATGTTGAAAATACTCGACGGTATAGAGCCTATAAGTAATCAGATGGTTAAATAAACAAATAATTGTAAAATAAATGGAGAAAATCCTCAAGAGATCATAATAAGATGAATCTGCTTGCTCATAAAATATTGAAAATGTTTCAGAATATAAACCTGAAAGCTTGTTGCCGAACAAATATAAGCGATTCAAATTGCAAAGATTCCCAAGAGCTTCCGGTATCATCTCTTGAAGAGAATTGTTTCCGAACCTGAGAGTCTGCAAACTCGATATATTCATAATTGAAGGAGGGATGCGCCCCGAAAACCTATTGTCATCCATCATAAGTACTTTCAAATTACGAAGATTGCTTGTAAACTTTGGGATTTCACCGTGAAGACGATTGGAAGACACACTCAAGGTTTCGAGCTTTGATTCATTTGAAAATGACTCGATAAACGAGTTCATGCTAGTGAAACTATTCAATGCAAGAGATAGGAACTCAAGTCGAGGAATTGAAGAAAACCAATGTGGAATCTCCCCGGCAAAGTTATTGTCACTGAGTCTCATGTATGTCAATCTTCGCAAACGAGTCAGATCTTCTGGTAGAGTCCCGCTGACGTTGTTGCCCTTGATATCCATGGAAGCTAGGAATGACAAGTTTCCAAACTCCGGGGGAATGCTTCCGACAAGGCCCATGAAGGAAATATTCAATCCGATTACCCTTTGGCGACGCATGCCACATGTGACACCAATCCAATTGCAAGCTGGAGAAGAAGTTGTCCAATTTTTCAAGACATTGTTAGGATCTAAAATGATGTGAGCTTTCAAGGCTAATAGAGAAGACTGATCAGAAGTCAAATCGAGCTTAGAACAGACAGAGGTAACCATTACACAAAGCAATGTAACAGATCCAATGAGGTAATAATTCCCCATTTTGGCACTTGACATTTGTAGAGATGTGATGTTTTATGTTTGCACTTGAAAAGTTGTTAGCATATTTATAGGTGCATGATAAAAGTGACTGTTTTTATAATTTTGCAATCAATTTAAGGTTTGTTTAATCATAAAAATTTAGTGAAAAAAAATTCTCAAAGTAAACAAAACTTTAATATGATTTTAAAGATATATTATTACTAATAACTAGACTACAAATGTAAAATTATTAATTTAAGAATTCAGTGTGATTTTATAATATTAAAAATGTCTTTGTGTATTAACTAAAAGTACTTTACACAATGTGATGGCTATGTGGGATGCCGTTGAAAGTGCTGATCTGAATAAGATCTCACCAAATACAATGAAGAAAGAAAGCAAAAGTTAAAGCCAAAGGATTTAAACAATATTCTAAATCTCTATAATCTTTTGACACTCAGAAATATCATTGTATTGTAATAACTAGAATCAATTAATTAATGAATTTTCGATTAATTTAAAAGGTCTTGTATTTGATTAGAAAACGTCAAAAGAAGAGATATTTATATATATAATAGTCTATCTTTAATTAAAGAAGGTTGATTAATCTTCTTTTCCAAAAGTTTTTTAATCATAGAGTATATAATATCATATAATAATCGATTCTATATGTGTTTCTTCTCTTACTATATCTTGATTATATTATATGAGATAAACTGTTTTTTTAGTCCAGTAACTGGACACCTTTGTCATTTTAGTCCCGTAACTAGAGCCCGTCGCAAACGAGTCCCATAAGTGAAAAATTTTCGCTGTTTTAATCGTCCGGCGCCGGAGACGCTCGCGTGGCTCGCCGGAGGTGACGTGATTTATTTTTTTTTCATTTTTTAATTTTTTATTAAATTGGACCAAATAAAAAAAATTAAAAAAAATACAAATAAAATTAAAAATAAATTTTTTAAAAAAATTAGAAAAATGAAAAAATAAAAATAAAAATAAAAAAAACCACGTGTCCGCCAGGTGTCGCTGACCTGGCGGACACATCACCTCCGGCGAGCCACGCGGGCGTCTCCGGCGCCGGAGGACTAAAGCAGCGAAAATTCTTCACTTATAGGACTAGTTTGCGACAGGCTCCACTTATGGGACTGAGACTAAAATGACGAGGGAGTCGGTTACAGGACTTAAAAAAACAGTTTAGCCTATTATACCACCCAAATATATTATTTAGTACATATTGTTGGAAAACCCTCCACGATATGGGTTTCTTCAAGTCTTTTGCAATTGAAAATTATAAAACCAAAATAGGTAAGCATAACTTTTAACAAGTAGTTGTTTTGTAATTAAAGTTCAGTATGTCAAAAAAACATAGGTAAAAAAATAAGTGCAAACAAAAGATACGACACAAAATGTTTGTTTAATCCAATTCGATATCAAACCTACATTTAGAAGTAATGTTTACTATAACATTATCACCTCCTACAACTTTCTTTAAAATACATTTAAGAAGAAACTAACTATAATTATACTGCAACAATAACACCACCAAAGTACCTGTCTATCAATAAGTTAGTCCTTGCAATCAACTTCCATGTCCGTGTTCTTCTCGTCAACGAAGTCCTCGTGTAAATCTGAGATTTTTTTCTGCATGACTGTAAAAAATTGGCGTAACTTTATGGCAACCCAATGGACAATCCCATCTTTGTTCTTCTTCGAACAAGTACGCAACCAACTAAATTTACAACATGTCTGATTTGTTGTCATCGTTGTTGTTACATGTTAAATATACGAGCAATTAAGACTATGATGTCGGAAGCCATACCCCATGAGAACACCTTGCCATGTCATCCCATCGAATATCCCCTCATTCTCACTTTTGCATTTCTTTGTCAATGGATGTCCACATAGCTCAGTGTTCCCAATAAATGGACTATTTTCAAATGTCCCAAATTGACCTCCAGATCGAGGTATCGCTCCAGAAATATTGTTGTGTGAGACATTGAACTTTGATAGAAATGACAGATTTGTCGACGATTTGAATAGATCTGCGAATAGAAGACACTGGTGTACATTCAAGTACAACATAGATAAGTAGCCGGTGAACTCATTGTTGGAGATATCAAGTATTCTCAACTTTGGAAACAAAATCTCCTTCTTTGAATCAGAATGGAGTCATGAAATCTATTAGAAGACAAACTTAGAACCTCAAGTTTGGGAAGAGTTTCCATCCAAATGGAAAGAAGTCATGAAGTTGGTCCAACTCTGTGCAACTATATATATAAATAGCAAGTATTGATAAAATAAAATTCAAACATTTTCTTATTAAAACTGTATATTTGAATAATCATGTATTACTCACCCAATATTCACTCATATTTGTTATTGATCAAATATTTAGCTAGTATTTAATCAACCAGGTCATCCCTTACTGATATCGATCAAATTATGTTTGTTTTTCAAAATAATAACTAACAAACAATGAAACATTAAGATCGTATCCAGGCTAACGAAGAAGCAATTACTTCCTTTCATGGCACTCGATTTCAAAATTCCAAAATTTAGAGTGTCATGAATGTTGTGTGTGTGATTCAATGATGTATTAATATACAAAAACCTTCCGTTGCATGGCAATGTGATTTAAAAGCCAATACACAAGTGCAACTTTTAAATGATGATATATAGTGGATAAAAAAATAATAATAATTGAGAAATGAATAACAAAACCAATTGCAAGAAAACTGTTTGCTCAATGGAATTTCCACTAGAAAAAAAAAATGAAAATAAAAAGGACAAGACAACTCTAAGTAAAAGCAAAAATGTGCCTAGAGGTTTTGTTGGGGACTCCGTTTGCTATTAATAGTTGTATTTCCTAATAATTCAAGCTTTAAGGTGAGATGATCATTCTGCATCGGACATGATATTCCATCTTAGGTTAAGTCTCGAGTTCGAGTTCCACCGTTTCCATTTGCATGCGCATCCCAATCGAACCGATTCAAAATCTGAATTAAAAATAAAAAGGAGGGAAGAGACATTTGGAATCAAGAAATGGTGATATTTAACTCGTAGCTACGTAAATATAATCAATCAAAATCCAATTGCATCAAGAACTAGAGAACAAAGTTAGTTAAGATTTATTAGATGTGAATTAATTTGGGTTTTAGTACAGCGAAATTTTCAGTGCCAAGATTAAACATTAATTTAGTCAAGCACGTGTTTTTAAGTCATTATAAGACTTGACTTATAGTCCACCCACTAGGAAGCTTCTTCACTCAATGGATTTCCAATACAGAAGTGCAACTTTAAAATTTTAATAGTGGATAAAATATAAATAAACAAAAAATGAAACCAACTGCAAGAAAGCTAGAACAATAAGAAAAAGAAAAGGCAAGAGACAGCACACACTAGTAAAAGCAAAAATGTGATTTACGTTTGTCATTGCATAATCTGTAAAATAATAATACATGCATCCAGGGGGTTTCAATTCATGTTTTTGGGTCATGTTTGTGTCGAGTTGAGCCATGAGGATAACAAAACAATCCGAACCTGATCCGAACCCGAAATCTGACCTGAAATCCTAGACCCGAACACGACATGAATTCTTTCAGTTCGGGTTCAGGTTGACCTGAATTAGTTTCAAGTCACCCGAAACCCGAACAAACACGATACGAACCCGACGCGAAACAGACCCGAAAATTTTTAAAAAAATTAAATTGACCTAAAAATAATCATTTTAATTTTAATTTTTATATTATTTTATATTTAAAATAATATAAATATTATAAATTTAAATAATAATAATAAAAATTTAAGGTCAACCCGAAACACGAAACCCGAAACCTAACCTGATTTTGATACTTCAGGTTATCAGGTCAACCCGAAACACGATACGAATTTTTTTCGTTTCAGGTTCGGATCGACCCGATTTTTTTTAAACCCGAAATACCTAAACCCGAACCTAAAAAATTTCAGGTCGAACGGGTTCGGTTTTCGGATCGGGTTTACTTTTGACACCCCCACGTGCATCCATTAAGGAATATATAGTATCATGACATAATCCTAGTCCTAAATGAAAGCAGCGACCAGTTTAGTGAAGTCAATTCAGAAGCAAGAAACACGAATTAATACAGTCAAGGAGATGGTGAACATAAAATCATTCCAAACCATATAATAATATAATACTACTATACATTGTTAAATGAGTGGGAAAGTTCTGCTTGGATTGTGTCGAAATATTCCACAGAAATTTCTTCCAATATTTATAGTGGGTGGAGGGTACATTACGTATTTTACATCCACAGTTAGTCGTTTTATAATTATTTAAAAAATGTTTTAACTATAAATTAAGAAATAACTACTCGGACATTTCTAACATGATTTACATAGTCAAACCAAGTGGTTTCATAGACCTAATTTATAGGTCCTAGCTAGTGTGAACAGATAAATCAATATTCCATATCGTCATATTAAACTGCTGCAATTTGTCATACACCAATTGTGGCCACTGCTTTGCAATCTCTTCAATTGCAAACACACAAACATATAATATAGTATAAATGGTCATCATTTTTTTAAAATCTAAACAGTCAAATCTGATAAGCATTTCACAAATCTCCTCTAAACAATTTTGCTGGAGACAAAGCTCCAAGTCAACGACTCAAAATAGAGACAAATGCATAGTCCTTTTTCAAGTTCTAATTTTTTAACTCATACTAACAAAATAAAGACACTGCTTACGTCATTGGTGGTGCATTCTTTATTATATGAATAGCGACATCTCTGATTAAATACAATTATTCAGACCCCATTAATTTGTTCAAACTTCAAACCATATAAAAAAAAAAGTCTACTTGTTTGAAATTAATAATGTCAACTAAGAACTTAATGTTATCCTGTACCCACCAAAAGATTATTTATATAAAGCCATTATAAGAAGCCAGTGTAAATACCTCGAGCAAATTAAGCAATCATGTCACCTTCCCAAAGATCTTTCCTTTTCTTTCTCCACATTCATCTCTTCACCTTGTTCCCCTCCAAAGCATCTTCCTCTCCTGCAACAGAAGCAGAGGCATTAATCAGCTGGAAGAACACCTTACCAAACTCCTCTTCCATCAATTCATGGCCGCCAAACAACCCCACAAGCTTGTGCACGTGGGAAGGGATCCTTTGCAACGACGGCGGCTCGGTTTCACAAATCGATTTGTCTGAATCAGAAATCACGGGGACAATCAATCAGTTCAATTTCACAGCATTTCCAAATCTCACAAGCTTCAACATCAGTTGGAACAATGTCAGTGGATGGATACCAGAGAGTATCGGCAATGCGTCGAAGCTTGTAGTCTTGGATCTAAGCAACAATGTTTTGGACGGTGTCATCCCTCCAGAGATTGGCAATTTGAGAGAGATCCAGTACATTAGCTTCTACAACAACAACCTCAAAGGAACAATCCCATATCAAATTGGCAATTTTCAAAAGGTAATTTACATGGATTTTGGTTCTAATTACCTGGAGAGTCCTGATTGGTCCAAAATCCCAAGTTTCCCTTTTCTGACTCACCTCAGCTTCTTTTACAATGAGCTCCACCTCGGATTCCCAGAATTCATACCCACCTGTCGGAACCTAACCTACCTGGATCTGTCACTTAACAAGCTGACAGGCCAGATTCCTGAATCCATTTTCAGCAATCTGGTGAAGCTTGAATATCTCAACCTCAGTACCAATTCATTCCAGGGGATCATGTCACCTAATCTCACCAAACTATCCAAACTAAAAAATCTTGGCTTAGCAAGCAACAACTTGGCTGGAAACATAATTGATTCCATCAACCTGATACCTGATCTACGAGCTCTTGATTTATTCAACAATTCGTTAGACGGACAGATTCCAGGTACTTTAGGCCAACTCAGAAGTCTTGAGAAACTTGATCTCCACAAAAATCAGTTCAATGGCTCAATCCCCTTCGAGCTCGGCCTTTGCACAAACCTAACCTTCTTAGCATTAGCTGAGAATTCACTCACTGGGAATTTGCCTTTGTCATTGTCAAATTTGATCAACCTGTCCGACTTGGGGCTTTCTGGAAACAATCTTACTGGTGAGATCTTGCCACAGTTTCTCACCAACTGGACCAGATTAATATCCTTGCAGCTTCAGAATAATTCTTTCACTGGAGAACTCCATTCTGAAATCGGCCTCCTCACAAATCTTGTTTACCTATATCTGTACAAGAATTCATTTTCTGGCTCCATCCCTCCACAGATAGGAAAGCTGAAATCTTTGATGCAGCTAGACCTTTCAGAGAATCACTTCTCTGGTGAAATACCAAAGGCGATTGGGAACTTGTCGAATCTTGCTAACCTGAATTTGTTTGAAAACAATCTTACTGGAATCATTCCAGAAGATATTGGGGATTTGAATTCGCTGGAGACACTCGATCTCAATACCAACCAATTGATTGGACAGTTGCCAGATTCAATATCTGATCTCCCAAACCTGAAATATCTGTCTGTGTTCACCAATAAGCTTACAGGCATCATCCCCCGGGAGCTCGGAAAAAATAGTCCCCTGAGGAGTGTTAGCTTTGCCAATAACAGCTTTTCTGGGGAATTGCCGCCTGGATTATGCACTGGCTTCACTTTGGAACAGTTTACAGTGAACAACAACAAATTTTCAGGGCAATTGCCAGCCTGCTTGAGGAACTGCTCAAATTTACAGAGAGTGCGGCTCGAAGGGAACAATTTTACAGGAAATATTTCAGCAGCATTTGGAATTCATCCAGAGCTCATCTTCCTCTCTGTCAGCAGAAATCAATTTGCTGGCCAAATTGAACCAAAGTGGGGACAGTTCACTAACCTCACAAATATGGAGATGGATCACAACAGAATTTCTGGAGTGATCCCAGCGGAGTTAAGGAATCTGAGGCAGTTGCAGCTTCTCCACTTGGATTCAAATGAATTGACAGGTGAAGTTCCTAGGGAACTCGGAAAACTAGAAAAACTCTACCGGCTGGATCTGAGCAACAATCAGTTGAATGGAGGAATCCCTCAAAGTATTGGCCAGCTGATGAGGCTCCAGTACCTTGATTTGTCAGGGAATCGATTCACAGGGAATGTTCCAGAAGTTCTTGGAAAATGTCAGCAATTACTCAGATTGAGCTTGAGCAACAACCTTTTATCAGGCAACATTCCATCAGAAATTGGGAGCTTGAATAGGTTGCAGATCTTGCTGGATCTCAGTAACAATTCACTGTCAGGGGAAATTCCATCGTCGTTGGGAAGTCTCAAATCTCTCATATCTCTCAACCTATCTCATAACAATCTTTCAGGGAGAATTCCTTCATCGTTATCCGAGATGCTTAGCCTCACTGATTTTGATTTTTCCTACAACAATTTATCCGGTCAGATCCCCACTGCAAATATATTTAGCAGAGCACCAGCAAAAGCCTTCACTGGAAACCCTAATTTGTGCGGAAACGCAACAGGATTGCAAGCATGTCCAGTTAGCCCTTCACCTCGAAAACCTAACAATGGAGCAGTAAAGATTCTCACTGCTGTCATCATTCCAGTTGTTGGCCTCATGATTTTGGCTATCATTATTGCTGGATGTCTTGTCTGTAGGAGGAAATCTCAGCCAGGCGATGAAGAAACCAAAAGTCTGGCCAATTTTGAGCAATCTCAAACACTCATTTGGGAAAGAGAAGGGAAGCTTACATTTGGCGATATTGTTCGAGCGACGGAACAATTCAGCGAGAGATACTGCATCGGAAGAGGAGGATTCGGAAGTGTTTATAAAGCTGATTTAGCGACAGGGCAAACTGTGGCAGTAAAAAGGCTCAACATGTCCGACACCAGCGACATCCCTCTAACAAATCGCCGTAGCTTTGAGAATGAGATCAGAACACTGACAGAAGTGAGGCACAGGAATATAGTTAAGCTTCATGGATACTGCTCTGTGAAAGGATCTATGTACCTGGTTTATGAGTATGTCGAGCGAGGTAGCTTGGGGAAAGTTCTGCACGACGAAACAGAGGCCATGGAGCTAAACTGGAATACAAGGGTGAAAATTGTCCAAGGAATCGCCCACGCACTTGCGTACCTTCACCATGACTGCTCCCCGCCGATTGTCCACCGTGACGTATCAATAAACAATATTTTACTGGAATCAGAGTTCGAGCCACGCCTCTCAGACTTCGGCACGGCTAAATTACTGACCTCTGATTCGTCGACATGGTCGACAGTTGCAGGTTCTTATGGCTATATGGCGCCAGGTAATGAGTTCAGTTGTCAGCATTCCCTGCAAATATCATCTTCACTTACCTGATTCATCTTCTCTACTTATGAAATTACAGAACTAACACTTACAACAAAGGTGACGGAGAAATCGGATGTATACAGCTTTGGAGTGGTGGCCATGGAAGTTATGATGGGAAGGCATCCAGGAGAGCTGATATCTTCACTGTTCGCAAAGGAAGCATTGCAGAATGATCCAGATGTGTTTTTGAAGGATCTGCTTGATCAGCGGCTGTCACCCCCTGCAGGGCACACAGTAGAGGAAGTTGTATTTGTAGTGGTTGTTGCATTATCGTGCATAAGAGCAAACCCTGAGTCACGGCCAACCATGAGAGCAGTTGCGCAGGAACTTTCTGCTCATACTCAGCCTTACCTGCCAGAGCCACTGGGAGCAATAAGAGTTAATAAACTATCTTACTTTTCAAAATAACTGCCAGAGCCACTGGGAGCAATAAGAGTTAATAAACTATCTTACTTTTCAAAATAAGCAATTACAGAGAAGGATTAACAGATGAAAGAAAATTTCAGCAATTTTCAAGCAATTTCCTGTACTGTTAGTTTATACAGAACCAGAATCCCTTCATTATAATTTATGGCTATTGAAACTTCATAGTATAAAGAAGCTTCAGAAAATGATACATAATAATCAATCCCATACAACAGGAGCTTTCATCTAACTATAAGCTTGTTGTCTACCGCGCTCGCTACCTTTCTAAATTTAATTTACCGATACAGTTTTTCTGCTGCTGGTGAACAGTGTGCCTATTAGTTCACTTTCGTCTGCTTTGACGACGATGATGATGGAGACTCTGCTATAGACGTTTCGCAAACTTTGGATTCGTGCTTCTTGGTGGGTGTTTCTGTTGCTGGATTGTCTATGGCTGATGAATTTGGCACTGAGTTCTCCTTCAGAATGTCTTTGCCTGACTTGCATTGCTGCTCGAACATCATCTGGAGGTGTCGACCTTGTTCTTCTATCCGAAGCTGTAGGTTTCTTTGGATCTGCAGAAATGGAACCGCAAAGAACATTCACTAATATGTCAAATATGTTTTGTGGTAAGGAGATATATTAGTGAAAATTAAAAGATTTGAGGCTAACACTTAATGGCTTCCCAGAGTATTGCTTTTTATCATGAAAAGCAATCTGAGTTGCTAAAAAATCAACAAGGAATGTTCAAAGCTTTCAAGTAAAGTTTTAGAAGGCATGAAGGCATACTTCAAGTTGTTCATGGAGCTTCTTTTGGACTTCCATTTGCATCCGTAGAGCTTCAGTGATCTCAATGCTCCTGTTAAGAAATCAGAGGTGCAATAAATCAGCCAGATACAGAGCAGCTTAAATTTCATGCAACATTCATGATTTATGTTAATACTATGTGAAACATTTTTTTGTATCTATTTCACTCAACACCTGACTCCAAAATTAGGGCGACTAAAACTTCAGAACATGCATAACAAAAAAGAAACGATGTTCCAGTAACGGGGATCCTGCAAAGAGAGTAAACTTACGTCTTCAAATCCAGGGATGGAAGTTCTTCAATGGAGGCAGCTTTTCTTTCTGAAGCTTCTGCATCAAAATGATGGGTCACTTTTGGGTTACTGACAATATTTAAGCAATATCAATATAATGATTAGAGTAAATTCAACACACAATTTCAACCGCCTTCAGGTTTTGAAATAGAGCCCAGAAAAATTCCCAAAATTGGGGAATGGGTAATACTAAAATTCTTCTTGAAACCGACAAGCGTAAATAATCTATAGTAAAATGACAGAAACAACACTGTTCTTGCAACTAGCCATGCTCACAAAAGAAACAAGATTAGAATACCTGAGCCTTTCTATACCTATAATTTCATAATTAGAAATGGCACCATAATGAAGAAAGATAATTTGTTGATTTACGAACAGCATAAACATAAAGTTTTGAAGAAATTGTCACCCACCTTCTGGGCTCTCGGGTTTAAATCTAGCAGTCCGATATTTCTGTGATTCAGAAAATGATCCATAATTAATATAAACTAATCAATTCTGGACATGTAAGGCACATATAATAAATACCTGTAGGTGGCTCTTCACGTGATATATTGTCAAGCTATCAACTTTCATTAGCTTCAGGACACCTTTGGGAGTAGCTCCTGTGATAAAATAGTTTAGCACTCACAAGCTAGCCACGCTCATGAATTTTTAGTGGAAACTTTTCAAAGGAACCTACTTTCACTTCCACCAAGTTTGTTGACTGCATCCACAAAGGCCTCGTGCAGTTCGGGAGTCCAACGCATCCGCTGCTTTGCTGGAGCAGAATTTGAAGAGGATGATTGAATAGCAACATTGCAAGTTTCTTCAGGAGTAGCTGGTGGTTGTTGGAATAGATGAGGCTGCGTTGCGACACTATTCGTCTGTTGCAAATGGGATAACATTAGTAGCAAAAACAAATAGCAATGAATCACATTAATGAGTCCACAAATGAATGTCACAAAGGTAAAACATGGCAAAGAGACTCAACCTTGAGCTCTGGATCAGCAGCATTTGCATTGGCAAGAATTTCATGCCAACCAGAAGTTAAACCATTGTTGTCATTAATAAGCTGATCAGCCCAGTCGTGCCAGTCATTAGGTTTATTGAGATCTTCAGAAGGGCCAACTACACCAGAACAGCTATTGCCACGAAGCTGACTATTATGAATCGAATTAGTTGCTGGGAAATCAAGAAAATCAGACAAAACATCTGTGCACCATGAGTCATTATCATCAATGTTATAGTGACTCGATACAGTCGGCTGGAGAACTCTGGAGTCAACAGAATGAGGTACTAAAAGAGAAGATGCATTCAGTGGTGATTGAGAAGGTAAAGGGGCTTGTTGAGGAGGCCTTCCATGTTGCAAGACAGAAGGGAAATGGCCATCAGAAAATCCTGTAGATGAAGAATATACATCTGCGACAACTCCATTGTTGGATGACAATGATGGAGCAACAGCTGGAGAATGTTGTGAGAAGCCACCCTCAACTAAAACATGCTGGGAATCTGAAACTCTGAGGCGTTTTCCTTCTCGAGGGTTGGGGAGAACTGGTAAGGAACAAGATGGAGGTCCAGATGTGCCACAGCTATTCAACTGTCTGCCACTTGATGTTTGTATAGACGAAGCTGGCTTCGTTTCCATGTCTGAGGCTGCTTTGTAAGTGCAAAAGTAACCTAAATATCAGTTATCAAGAACCACCTCAGCTTCTCCTATCAGCGTTAACAACCTAGAGAAAAAAATAACCATCAATTTCATGTCCTAAGGGAATTCACAGCAAACTGAAGCTCTAATAAATTACATACGCAATAGAAGTCACAAATAAAGAGAGCTCATTCTTAAAATTCCAAATTAAGACGGTTTCTCAGTATATACCAACCGAGATAATATAGTGCTTTTTCCTAGTTGGTGTTATATGACCCAAAACTCGAATAAGAACAATGTCCGTACACTTTTGCTGCAGGTTATCTATTAAAATATATATATATATAAACTGTAGATGACACCTTGAGTATAGATGTTCTTGTACTTGTACCAATTGAATTCTTCAATTGGCAATCCCCACCTTCTAAATTATTTTATTTAAACTTAATTGACAATCTTGCACGGCTTGATAATTTCATCAACACGGAGAACTAGACTAACGATGGAATCATGGAAAACATTTTATGTTCCCTCGTAGAACCCTACCATCAGGTCGTGTCGCTTCCAAACACCTCAAAAAATTAGTAGCGTGATTATCCAAATAATCATTACCCGAAAGAGTCAAGCAAAGCCTAAATTCACATCATACGGAAAGTAATAGAAAAAATCAACTGTTCTATCCGGTCAACAAGAGCTATAAATACTCAGATTCAAATTTGAGAAAATCTCAGCGGCGTGCGTAGATTAGTACGAAAACCTAAAAACCAAATTAGGTTTTGTCAATCGAAAATCATAATAAACTTTCAGACCAGGAATTCTCCCAAAACATGCAATTAGACCGTATACGGAATAATTCAAAAACAAATAACAACCGAGCTCGGTAAAAAACCTCACCGAACATCACAAACGAACAATAACTTGAAAATGGAGCAGCTCCATCCCCAACTATCCAGCAACCAGAAATCTACCCCAGAGCTCAACAACAACCGAGTTTGACAACAAGTATTCGCGCACGTACAGTCCTGGATTAACGTTTCGATATCGGAGCTTCAAATTAAGGAGTCAGAGGATAATACCGTCGCCGGTGAGGAGCCAGAAGAATGGAACGGTGAGGACTGAGGAGTGCGCGTCCGCTTTTAGAGGTCGAGCTAGAGCTCTCGTGTCGTCCTTCGCCACTATATTTGCGTTTATGGCGTCTATGGAATGGAGATTTATTTTAATTATACCGCGGCTCGGCTCGGCTCGGCTATAGGATGCGCGTGTGATCACGGATTCTGACTGTGATAGCAAATCCAATACTTTATGCCAAAATGCCATATAAAGGTCCAAAAATAGAAAACAAAACAATAAATAAATAAATAATTATAATCATTTTTATTTTTATTTTTGACAAAAATGAAAATAAAAATAAAAATGAATATAGAATGGTAATATGATGAGGGCTGCATTTGGAAGGGTAAGTTAGTGGGTCCCATAAGAACGCGACCTGTGATTGGTCAGTTTAGAATGCGGCTTCCAAGGGGAGATGTATTTTGAATTTTTGTTTTGCACACATGTCACAATAAATTTTAAAAAATAAATAGTAGTATTATCTTACTGCAAATGGTTTGGAGTTCATGAGATTAAAGGTTGTCATGCAAATATTTGCCTTATTTAAAGAGAAGTGATTAGTAACAATTAATATAGAAGTAGTCTATGCTATTATTTAAATATGGATGGATTATCCAAAAATAGTAGAGAGAAGAATGGAGGGAGTGGGGAGGCAAATGGAAGTGGGAAATGAAGGGAAGCTTCTTGAGATACATGAAGTAATAAGTGGTCATGTCCTGTCCTATCCTCTCCTGTCGTTGTTGGAATGAAGGATGTGTCGACTATGGACTGGATGGATATGTTATGTATATGGATGTGTCCAAGTATTATTACTTGCTATCTTATTATATTTAATTTTAAAGTACTCCTTAAATTTAAATCAGACATAGTCAATGTGTGGAGTATCTGTTTACAGAGTTGATAGTTCGTAGCATTGGCACTGAATCAAGAATCGAATTCAAGATTTTGTTCTTAATCTCCGAATCAATTGAATAAAACCAGCCATGGCATCAGAATATTTTATTGGCTTTTTCAATACTAATATTCCACCAAAATATCATCCATATAGATGAGATTATCTACATTTAAAAAAAAAAAAAGGTGGTAGGGTAGAAGTAGAACTACAAGGGGGGCCAAGAAACAAAAATGAATAATTGTAATATTCCACAGTACAATCATTTTTACACATTATTTAATTAGTGTTACAATACTATAGATTCAATAATTAAATATTTGGTAATAATTTCAAACTTAAATCACCATTATTTTTTTACTAGCAGCAACCACAATAAATCCAACACCAATATATATATAAGGAAACACTTTCTAAACATATATAAACACACTCAACACAACCCAAGACCTGCAAGCAAACAAACACTATAGCATCTAAACAAATATATAAAATCATCAAAGCAAATATATGCTGCAGTATAAATTAAAATCAAATCTTGAAAACCCATTACATAATATAATCCCTCGAACCGGTCCGTCGATGCAAAAAAATCCAAATCAAAATTGCCATCTCAATAACACAGAATTGTTTAATAGAAAAGCAAAGGCAAATGTCAAAACATATGACGGATTCTAAACAATGGCATTGGCAGCACTCGCAATCCTTGGCCAAAGATCAGCACATTCCTTTCCAATAGGACCTGTTATTGCAGAACCTAAAGAATACAGCCATAAAAGAAAAATCAAATATAGCAATAAAAATCTGGCTTCAAAATAATAATAAAATAAATAAGGGATATCAAAGTCAAGTGAAATTAAATAAAATCATTTTACCTTTCATTTCGCCTTTCGGGTTTACAATGACCCCAGCATTATCTATAAATGCAAAAGACATGAATTAGCAAAACAAGTTGTCACATTTAAAGTGAAAGGTGTGATTGTTTTAAAACTCCAACACACAATATGAAAATATGTGATTGTTTACTTTGAGCGAATAATAACATTATCACGTTAGGGATGGTAGAGATTGAACAATCCAACATATCCGCCATGGTAAACATGGCATTAAAGAATAAGAGATCATGATTAAACATAGAAACCAGCAAGTAGAAGTATATTATAATCTAACCTAACAAGTCAAGAGACCATTAAACTTTCAGTAAAACCAAGAATGGCTGACAACTTATTTCAATGCTAAGTTGATTATTACAAAATTTATGTTCTCAGACTGTGCCTCATACACATATCAAGCTGGTTAAATGAACTTGTTCATGGAGCTTTCTAAGAAAAAACGCATGGAAGACATAATAAGAGCAGTAGAGACAACAGAATTAAAAGGCATGAGGAATGCGCTCAATGATTTCATTTTATAGGTAGCTTCACTTGCTGTTCAACAAGTAATGATCCAACAGCAAACTAAAGACATACATACTGTAGGATGAAGATTTAATCATAGGTCTCATTTATTTATACAATTACAACACCGTAAATTATCAATTAACACCAAGTCACCAACTAGCTGATGTTAAATTATATCCACTTAGAATGCATGAAAGACACAGATATTAATGATACGGACACATAAAAATAAGTACTAAGTTTTATAATTAAAAGCTACTAATACATATCACCGCTAAAATAGACAGTCAATTGCAGTTCTTTCGAATAAAAAACCTAAAATAAGCACAAATTGGAAGTAACGTAAATCCAATATATCAACAGCACACCATGCTCACAAGTACCTTCGAAGTACATGAAGACGCCATCCTTTCTGCGCCATGGCTTGCGTTGTCGGACGATGACAGCTGGCAACACCTTCTTACGAAGATCGGGTTTCCCTTTCTTCACAGTAGCCATAACCATATCCCCGACACACGCGGAAGGCAGCCTGTTCAGCCGTCCCTTGATCCCCTTCACCGAAATAATGTAGAGATTCTTTGCCCCGGTGTTGTCCGCGCAGTTCACCGTCGCCGCCACTGGCAGACCCAGCGACATCCTGAACTTGTTACCCGCCGATCCTCCGCGCCCTGTAGAACACAACAATTCAACAAAAAATCAATAAACCCATGATTAGAATTATACTCACAAAACAATAGCAATCGAAAAAGAAATAGGGTTTAGCAGATCCCAGCCGCACCTCGCTTCGACATTGTCGCCTTCGGCTGAAACAGAGAGAACAATCTGAAATCGTTCTGCCTTTTATATCCAAGCCGGCCTAGGGTTTTGTTGACAATTTTACTATTGATCTGGGCTTTTCATAATGGGCCTAATTTATTTCGGCCCAATTAATTTATAAATCCCCTTTTAATTTTTTAATTATTTTTAATTTTTAAAATTAAACTGAACGGAGATAATTACAGAGGGAATGCCGGGCACTTCCTTCCTCGGCAGTCCGCTGCTTCCGCTGCCGCCGGCCGCGGCAACGACCCACCGCCGGCACCAATCCAAAATCAGAATGTCAGACAACCAAAGCCCCATCATCGCCGTCACAAAGCTCCTCTGGGGCAACTCCCTCCCGCCGAACCTCCTCATCTCCACCGCCCGCACCGCCTGGTCCGCCGCCTGGCACCTCATGATGTCGCAGCTCGCCCCGTCGGACTCCACCGGCCGCTACACGCGCCCAAGCTCCCAATTCCGCCTCACCACCGCCGCGGCGAGCGCCTCCGTCTCCCGCCGGAACCTCCACCTCTACGTCGGCCTTCCCTGCCCTTGGGCTCACCGAACTCTGATTGTCCGCGCCCTCAAAGGCCTCGAAGATTCCGTCCCCGTCTCCGTCGCCGCCCCCGGCGCCGACGGCGCCTGGGAATTCACAGGTAGCTCTACCACCGCTCCTGACGCCGACGTTATCGTTCCCAGTGTGGACAACGCCAATCGGCGCAAAACCCTAAAGGAAGTCTACAAATTGCGCCGGGGAGGGTACGGCGGCAGGACCACGGTCCCGATGCTGTGGGACGCTGACAGAAACGACGTCGTTTGCAACGAGAGCTACGACATTATCGAGTTCTTCAACTCAGGATTGAACGAGAGATCCAAAAATCCAGAGTTAGACCTTTCTCCATCTGAATTGAAGAAACAGATCGATGAATGGAATCAAATCATTTATCCAAGCATCAACAACGGCGTCTACAGGTCCAATTTTTTTCTTATTCTTTGCCATTTAATGCTTGAATGATGATCATCGCCATATCTAAATGCTTCCCAACTTTCCTACCATGAATTTAGTGTTGTCAATCGAACGCTCGATCTACTTGTTTAATACACAACTAGTTGAATCCAAGCTTCGATGAGCATATTGAGCAAAGAGAATAGCTCATATTGTTGTGATCAACCATTGTTCGCGGGAATAATGATAATTCTAATCAACTCGATAGGTATGCTTGTAGTAATTAGCTCTGATGGTATGTGATGTAAATTTCATCCATAGGTGTGGATTTGCGCAAAGTCAAGAAGCATACGACAGCGCCGTAGACGGATTGTTTAGTGCATTAGACAATGTAGAAGAGCATTTAGGGCAGAATAGATATCTATGTGGCGACACATTAACTCTCGCAGACATTTGCTTATTCACAACTTTGATAAGGTTCGATCTTGTCTACAACGTGCTGTTCAAGTGCACGAAGAAGAAGCTAGTCGAATACCCAAATCTCCATGGATACACTCGCGATATCTACCAGGTAAACAAAGGAATTAAAGATTATATCTTTCTGTTCGTCGCAGCATTCATGTTTCTTTTTTTATTTTGGCTTTCTTGACTTTGCTTGTTGGATCGAACCAATGCCATTTTGTTTAACTGAATTACGCGTGCTTGCTTGGTTGCTTTCGGGCTTGAACAGATCCCAAAAGTTGCAGCAACTTGCAATTTACGGGCAATTACAGACGGGTACTACAAGACCTTGTTTCCGCTGAATCCCAGCTGCATCCGGCCGGCAGTGCCGGCGGGATGCGAGCATGAAATGCTGTGTAAGCCTCACAGGAGGGAGGTGTTGTCAATGGCGCGAGGTAATGTTAATGCATTGATTTCCTAGATGTACAAATTTTGGTGTTTGTGAATATTGTTACTTGGTGTGCGTTGTATTGTATATAGATAATGTAAAAGAAGCCATACTTTTGGTTTAGTGAAGTTTCTTTTTTTTTCTTTTTTTTTTTAAATAAATATTTTTAGAAGTTTTGGATTCCTCATTAATATTCAATTTTTTAAAAAATACTTCCTTCGTCCACTTACAAAGTTTACATTTACTTTTGGCGCGGTGTTATAGAGTATTACAAAGTTTACATTTACTTTTGACGCGGTGTTATAGAGTAGTTAAAAGTAGTATAATGACATTTTTGCTCTTACTTTTTTTTTTTTTTTTTTTTTTTTGTAAAAGCAATTATGCGATATAAAGTAAGGGTATTTGTTGAAAAAAATGGTATTTAATGAAATGTTAACTTTGTAATTGAACGTCCCAAAATAGAAATATGTAAACATCGTAAGTGGACGGAGGGAATATTATATATGAAATAACGAATTGTTGATCGCTCTTGGAGGTTGGAAGAAGCGCGTGATACCCATATCATGGTCCGTACCGCGTTGGCCAAACAGTCAGCCACCCAATTCGCTTCATGAAAAATTCTACTCCCTCCGTCCCATAACAAAATATCTATTTTTTCATTTTAGTTCGTCCTATAACAAAATATTCATTTTTTTTATAGTAACTTATTATCTACCTAACATTACAAATACCCTTACAATTTACAATATATTACACAAATATCATTACCTTTGTATCACACATACTAATAAGGTTATTTTAGTTATTTCTATTTTATTCATACTATATTTTAATATAATACTAATATTTCTAAAATTACGTGCAAAAAACAAATAGATATTTAATTTCGGGACAGAGGGAATATAAATTTTAGAGATGGTGCCATGTAATGAATTCAAACTTCAATGCCTCTAGATTATCTATCACACATGGTTCGTCTGTGATTTGTCTTTGTCGGCCATCATTTACAGGATATTAGCTTCCGCCGGGGCTAACGAGTCTGCCGGGGTTTAGTCCATGCCCATTTTAGATAGTGGTGGCGGTTTCTAAGTTATAAATTCAAAGCACAATGAATATATGATAATTCTCTCCCTCTATACGTAGTATTATATCCTACTCTAAAAATATTTGTTGATTTGAGTCTCCTTTATAAATAAATTATGAGTATTTTAATAGTTTAATCAAAATTTATATCCATTTGATGGTACATACTTTAGGAAAAGTGGTTTATTTTAAGTAAAAAATATAAAAGATATAGTTATTTTTTAGTAAAAATAAAATGGAAATATAAATTTGAATGACAAATGAATTAAAATTTATGAGAATTGGGGGTTTGATTTTTATTTTTTTTTGTTGATATTAGAATAGTATATATTTTTAATTTGTGATATAAATAGATGATGTGTGATGGTTTTAATATAAAATTAATTTTAGTACAATATTTAAAAAGTAATTAATTTGATATCTTTAAAAGAAAAAAATTCAGGGAACAATAGGAATAATGAAAAATTAGCCAAACAAACACAACCTAAATAAACAAATTCAATCATATACATACATATGGAGGTTGAAGGATGTAATGTTTTATTAGGATCTAATGTTTTATTCTGTTCAAGCTGAAAGTATTTTTTTTACCATTTATGTTCATCTTGTTTAAAATATTTATTGTAAAAATAATTAAATATTAATATTGAAATATCTTCTAATTTCAAAATAAATTATAAATATACTATTACATGTAAAAATTAATATATACATAAATTATAGGCTAAATTGCACAAAAAAATTTCATGAAATTGCGCCAAATTCTCCGTACTTCTAAAACTGCGTCAAACTTTCTCGTGGTTTTATGAACTTTGTGTCTAACCCCTCGACTGTCTTTATTTAACAGAATTTGACTTAAATAATAAATTTTAAAATCTCAATTTATAAACCTTTAAAATTATAAAGGCCCACGGGTTGTGAACTTCTTTTCCAGGAGAAGAAGCAATGACGGTATATATTTATTTTTCTTGTATTTAGTCTAAGAAAAAGTAAAAAATAAACTATTAAAATCTGATAAAAATAATTATTTTTAGTATATTTACTATTTTTTAGGCCAAATATATATATAAAAGGAATATATCTGTAATTTTAACGGTTTAGAGCATTTATGTCAAATAAGGGTTAAACGAAGAGTTTATGAAACTACGAAAAAATTTGACGCAGTTTTAAAAGTAAAAGAAATTTAGCGCAATTTCATGAAATCATAAGCATATTTTGTGCAATTTAACCTAAATTATAAGAGCAAAAATATAAAATTAATTAGTAACAAAATATTATTATCTTTGAATATATTAAAAAAAAAAAAAAACCAAAATAAGCTTTTGAATTACGATTGACGAGTACATTATACAATAGTTGAACGTATGCATGGATAAATAATATTCTTATTTTAAATAGTTATTGTTACAATAAACTTATTCCACCTAGCATTAAGTTCAATAGTACAATATAACAAACTAATAAATATTCAATCCGTGCATGGACTATTATACTAAAAAGAACTCCATGCACCGATGGCGTGGGGATATCGACGGCGACTCCAACTCCAATGATTATACAGAAAAGCTCACCGCCGGCGCCCTCCACCGGCGGCGGCGGCCGCCACAGTTCGTGTTATTATTATTATTATATTGTTGGCAGCAGGTGTAGTCAATATTTATTTACTTAACGCGGAAGTTCTCCGGTCAAACTTCTCCATTATAATCAAATTAATGCTCCTCCTTTTTGCAGATCCCGGGGACATTATCTGCCCCACCGCGCACTTCCTCGTCTTTTTCTGAGCAATCACCTGATCAATTCGGTGATTCATTGAAGATTTCGACTAAATCTGGTTTGTTCGCCATTGTTAAGCATTAAACCCTAATTTGTATGGCTGTTACTGTATATCCCGTAACTTTTCTGATGTTTTATGTGTGTTTGTCAGAGGGAAGATACTTCACGCAGAAGGTGCCAAAGGAACTCTCTGTTCATCCCCAAATTTGAAAATCCCTAAATATTTCTAGAATCTCCCACCGTAAGCTAAATTGGAAGCCTCGGACTCCTTTTTCCAATCGTCATTATAAACAATCTCCACATTTGATACGTGGATTTCGATGATTTTTTAAGGTAGAAATTTGGAAAAACAAAATTGTTGATGAAAATGGCGCCATCGAAATCCCTAATTTATTACCTGTTCATTCTGGTAATTGTTTTTCCGGCGCTCATTTCCGCCTCAGATTACACAAATCTGGTTTTCAAAGGCTGCGCGGATAGGAACTTCCCCGATTCCAATGGCGGCTACCAGGAAACACTCAAAACACTCCTCAACACCCTCACCTCACAATCCTCCGCCGCGAAGTTCTCCAAAACAACCTCCGGCGACGGCGCATCCGCCATAAACGGACTCTTCCAATGCCGCGGCGATCTCTCGGGAGACGACTGCAACAAGTGCGTGAAACGCGCGGCATTCATGGCGCACCTCCTCTGCCGGCAAGCCATGGCGGTGCGAGTCCACCTCACCGGCTGTTATCTCAGGTACGAAATCGCCGGATTCCGGCAGACGAGTGGGAGCGAGTTTCTGTACAAGGTGTGCGGCTCGACCCGGGCGAGTGGGTCCGGGTTTGGGGACAGGCTGTCGACAGCTTTGGGGGAGGTAGTTAAGGGCGTGGGGAGTGGTGGGAACGGTGGATTCTACGCCGGTGGTTATCAGTCGGTGTATGTGTTGGGTCAGTGCGAAGGGGATTTGGGGAATGGTGACTGCGTGGACTGTGTGAAAACCGCCGTTGATAGAGCTCAGTCTGACTGTGCGAGCTCCATTTCCGCTCAGATTTATCTTCAGCAATGCTACATCAGCTACACGTACTACCCCAATGGAGTTCCCAGGAACCAGAAAACAGTTTCATCATCAGGTAATTGAGTGATTATACAGATAATTCATCAATTCTTAGAAATTAATCATCAATTTCTCCATTAATTTTTGTTCTTATTTATTTAGTCTCAAGAGATATGAAACTTTCCTGGATCTTCCAAGAATCCATTTATGTGTATGTGAGGGCATTCATTTTCTTGGCACCTGTAATTTTCATGTGCATATAGTTGTAGAAGAAGAAAATGGATGTATACATATATGTATGTTTATGTGTGTATATATGTGCCATTTAGTATATGGGTTGATTGATTGATTATTTGTTGGTTGAAGGGGATGGGAAGGGCACACAGAAGACAGTGGCTATAGTGCTGGGAGGGGTGGTAGGGGTAGGGCTATTAATGGCATGTTTGCTTTTTACAAAATCAGTTTTCAAGAAAAAGACACAACATACATTCAAGTATGGTGGATAGAGGAGATGTCAGGTCAGATCAGGTCAGGTTAGTCCCATTTTCACCAACAATACAATAATAATTATAATATTCTTTCTACTTTCTTTGGACTACTTCAAAGCTCAATCTTTATTTAAATAATGTTGAATTTTCTGAATATGATTTTTCCCAGGAAGCTCTTGATCTTGGCAGGGAAACTCTCCAGGTAAATTCATCTATGTAGAAATCTAGCTTTGGTTCAATTGTTACATTATATATATACACATGTATATATTATTGGAAGCTGTAAAGAGGGTAGGAATTTCATTTGCTTTTTACACTTTGTTTATTATTAGTCACTTTATATATATATATATATATATTTTTTTTTTTTTTCTGTTTCCTTCATCTGCAAGTTTTGGGTTTTTATATATTAGAAAATGTGGGTAAATTGCACATTTTAAATTTATGTATGTTGGTGATTATACGAATGTGTATCCATTAATAAATCATTAATCATTCATTGTGCATTTGCTTTGCTTTATATCAAAGTAGCACACTTCACTTTGCACACAATATTTGAAAAAAGCCAAATTCTTTGTATGTTGTCTCTTTATGTTGGAAAAAAATATAATAAAAAAGAGTTCAAAAAGATTGCCAATTGTGTGATTTTGTGTCATTTTCTCTTGGTCCATTACAATTTCTTTATCACTCATTATTGAAATGGCGGACACTACCTTTGTTTTTAGACGGTATTTTTTTTTTTTGTACGTTTATAATTATATCATATTATATATATATATAAATTACTGCTATTTAAATTTCATCGAACTAAACTATTTTGTTGAGTGTCACATGTAAGGCACAATTCATAACAATCCCTTCCACTTCTACTTCCACGTCATTTTTTTTGTCACATTAAAAAAGAAATACATATATATATTATTTATATCAAAATTACTTTTAGCAAAAAAAGAGAATTATTATTATTAGTATTATTTAATGTTTACTTGAGAAACCCCAATGCAAATTATTTTGAGTTTCGATTTTTTATCTCCGACTCCCTCTATTAGTTATACTTCTATCTTAAAAATTAAAAGTTGCGAGTCCAGAGGATGGGCAGGTTGAGTTGGGCCTAATTAAATGGGCCAAATTCATGGGCCTAATAACTTGACTTCACAATAGGGTCTTGTGGGTTTGGGTCCTCAAAGTATGGGTTCAGTTATTTTGGGCTAATACTATTTGGAGGTACCTCAACACGTGGGTCTTGTAAGTTTGCACCTTATAAGTAAACAAAAGTAAAAAAATTAGTAGTCTGTAAGGATGACCGGTGAGGCTGGTTGGATCTGTGACCGGGTACGGGTTTAGCCAGTGCGCAGTGTCTGTTAGCAAAAATAAAATGTAATTTGCTGTATCATATACAAAATTATAAGTTTGTTTGTTTATTTCAAATTAATTTCAATATATATTTATTTATTTCGTACTTACAATATATAATATTAAAATATTATTTTAATAAAAATTCAAATCAAATTTATAATTTCAAATTAAAACTAAAAACACATATACAAAAATTACAATAGTAAATATACCATTTATAGAATCACACAATTTTTTTTTTTTCTCAATTTCAATTAAAACTTAAAACACATATTTTTTACAAAAATTACAATAGTAAATATACAATTTATAGAATCATACAATTTTTTCTTTCTCAATTTCAATATATATAATATTTATAATTTATTTTTTATATAACATTAACAATTAAATACAAAACATTATTTAATATTTTTGACAGAACACTATTTACTATAAAAAATTCAGATTAAAACATTAAATAAAGATACCCAAATATTATATTCAACTAATAACTATTTTTATTTTAAAAATATCATAATAAAAATACAAAAAACCCCTTTTTAATTAATTGAATTTTTCTAAAAAAAAAAACAAAAACACTAGCAATAGCATTACACTCCAACCTAAAGTATAAAATTACCGTAATTGGTAAGTATCCATTGCCCCAAACTTTGCCCTAAATCCGTGTCAGAAAATTAGTGCAAGATCTACCCCTCCGACAGGACGCATCGCAGCCGTTGAATCCAATATCTTCAAGATCCTGTCTGCCATCTGAGCCGCCGCTCTTTCGCTCAACGGCAGCCAGCGCCGAAATCATACTTAAGCAGATACGAGGCGTCACAACACAGCACACACACTTCCGACTCTCCACTTCCCCAATCAACTCCAGACGCTTCTCTCTGGCTTCCGTTGCTGTCATCTCGGGCTTGATTTATTTGGGGGAAAACTGATTTGGGCCTACTTTAAGTGTTCGGCGGATTTGTGTTTTGTGTTCTCGGGAAGCGTGGGGGCGAAAATTCTCGATCTAGGGTTTTGATTTCGCGATCGCTTTCGGCCGAGGGCTTTGGGAGAATGGCGAGTCAGTTCGCGGCGAAGGTCACTGCACAACAGGTGATCTGGCGTTCGCTTCTGTGATCTTTCTCTATTTCTCCTTTCTTCTTTCCTCGATAGGTTTCTGTGAAATAATTTTGTGGGTTTTTTTTTTTAAAAACTTTTTTTTGTTTGTAGGTTGGCTCCTATTTCGTTCAGCAGTATTATCAGGTGTTTCAACAGCAGCGGGATTATGTACACCAATTTTATAACGAGTCGAGCTCTCTGATGAGAGTTGATGGAGAAATCACCCATTCCGCATCCGATATGATGGTAATGGCATTTTTTTCCCGGTCGGTTATTTGGGAAGTGAAGGCAAAATCTGTTGTTTAGGGTTTTGCTTGGGTTACATAGGTAATGAGCTGATGCTCTGATGAGTTTGTGAAAGTTCGCGTCTTTCAAATCGAAGACAATAATCTTTTTATTTAATTATTTAATGATGGTATTGTTTGTTCAAGGATAAGACCGATTGCTGTGCGAGTCTATTTTGTTGGAATGTCTTTCTTTATTTCCCAATCAAACTTACTAGTACTAGAAATTTGAAGAGCCCAGATGGGGGTAGTCAGGAAGTATGAATTCTGTTGCTTAAGTTACCTGAAGGGTTTTAGGCATTTATTTTTGTATAGATAGGTGACTGAACTTCAATGGTTTTAAAAATTATCTGCATTAGAGAGATGAAATGAGTGGAAGGAAGATGTCTCACTACTAAAGCTGCTACTCATTATTGAATTAAGCCAAACTATTTGTCCTCTCTTTTAGAGATGTTACGGCCCCACATGGTGATGAGTGAAAATTGCTAAACAGGCAACATATTTTCATCATCTGGACGATGCGAATGTATCTTTGAAAGTTTCTGTTGTACTCTTGTCTCATGCTCAGATACTATCTATATTTCATGTGTCTTTGTAGTGAATATGTTTTATTTCTGCATTTTGTGGGTGGTAATTTTAGAAACGAGCTGATTGAATAGTTCTCAGTTGCTTATCTTCTTCTTATTGTAGAAAATACATGAACTACTCATGTCACAAAATTTCACTGGGATTGAGATCAAGACAATTAATTCCCTGGAGTCATGGAGCGGTGGTGTTCTTGTTGCTGTGTCTGGCTCTGTAAAGTCAAGAGATTTCAATGGCTGGAGGAAGTTTTTTCAGACCTTTTTCCTTGCTCCGCAAGATAAAGGCTATTATGTTATGAACGATGTGTTTCACTATGGCGATGAAGAGGTAGTGCAGCAAACTTCAGCTCCAATAGCAACAATGGAACAAAACATTGACTATCAGCCTGCTATTCCTGGTCACCACACCAACCCACCAGGTATGGGTGATTTTCTCATGAATCAATATATTCTTATGCATTTAAGAAATGTCATTAGAGGTCAGTGGAATGTTGAGGAAAGGGGAATAGGATTATGCAAGAGAATTTTCCTTTGAATCGTGGTGCTTTCTTTTTTTCTTTTTTTTTTTTCAAACTGTTAATGTCGTGAAAATTTTGAAATCTCCTTGTTATATTTGGCTATATATATTTATTTATTGGTTTATCATGTAGTTCCCTACCTTTTTTAATATAAGATTGCATTGTCTTCATTGATATTAAGTTGCTGCAAATTATTAACAGGAATTGTTTGGCTTTGAATCAACTCTTTTGCTAAAGTAGTTCCCCCCCCCCCCCCCCCTTTTCAATTGTCATACATTAATATATATTTGCACTACATATCAATTTAATTTCCGGAGAGATGGCAAAGGAGTACCCGACTAATTGACACTTAGTTCTGTTAAATTATTTTCTTTGTTGTTTGCCATGTCAAAACACTAATTATATATATATATATATGTATATATAAATTTTTCTAGGTTCTATAGTGAAATCTTTGGTTTTATGACTTTAGGTTTTTATACAGATACTTTCTACATGTCATGACCGAGAAGGGTTATACACCTGTGATGAACTTTGTATTGCCGTCATTGTCTCTGTGTTTTGGGGAATAATTTATTAGACCTCAGACATTTATTCTGTTCACGGTACTGTAATAAATTCAGAGGTATTAAAAGTATAGCTATTTCCTTCAATTTTTTGAATGTTTGACTAAGACAGTTTGTTCTGCAGCAGTATCTGACTATCCTTTGGAGGAGGCAGCAGGGGACTATATAAGCTCTCTTCATATTGAAGGAGATGGACCTGTTCAAGAGTATGGTTATCCAGAGCATCATCAACAAGATTCTGAACCTGAGTCAGAACCAGAGCTGGAGCCGGAGCCTGCATTTGAGCCAGAACCTGAACCAGAACCTGAGATTGACCAACTAGAACAAGAACCTACATTTGAAGAATCAAGGGCCTTGCTTCAAAGCACAGTATCCAATGTGCAAGATCCACCACTTCCCTTGGAGGAACCTGTCGGAGAACCTAAGAAGTTGACCTATGCATCAATAGTAAGCATCATCCTATTTAATATTCTGCAACATATGAAATAATTTATAAGTTGCGGGATGTTTCTTTTTTATATCTACTCTGACCATCTATTCTGCATGATGATAAAGAATCTACAAAATTGCAGTATGACTTACCTGCTGCAGATGTGTGTTTGATAATTTATTTGTTTTGTGAGAACTAAAATCATCTAAAAGTATCTCTGAGCATATGGATTTTATGGTACCTCCCATTTTTGTGTGAACACATACACATACTGTACATTTTGCATATTTTCAGTGCACCATGTAAATAGGTACAACATGCATTTTCTATGAAGTAATTACCTTTGTAAAGATATACATTTGCTGGGCTGTGTTATATTTGGGTCAGTATCATTCACGTGCCAGCTTCCTTCATCTAACAATGGAGTGTACAATTTGTACTAGAGATGTTACTCTTTCCTGTCCATGTGCCCCATAGAACCTCTCTTAGCTAAGCATCATATCTTTCTAACCAAATTGCATGAATGAATGTTTTGTGTTTGAATGTTCTAATTGGTTATCCCTTCTTGTGGGCCCGGCATGTGGGATTCAATTAAAGTTGCGAGCTAAAGGGAATTCTACTCCCACAATGAGTTCTCAACCAGATATTCCACAGAACCGACCTCCGGTTGCAGATTGGAATCATGTGCCCCAACCTGTGTTGCAGCAGTCGACACCAAATCTGCCTTATTCTAGTGTCGACACTGTGGAAGACCTATCACTACATGAGGGTAAGCAACTTAGCAGCACTCATGTTGTTTAAGTGCTAAGCTTTCTAAATGGAATTGTTTCGTTAAAACTTGAAAGAATGTTTATTTGTTTTTTTGGCTAGTTTTTTTTTTTAAATTATTCTTTCTATTTCCTTGCGTAAATTGTAAATAGCCAGTTACACTTATTATTTAACTTACAAATTATATTTTGTTTTGTTTATGTTTTATGGCTCTGTAAATTTGAATGTATCAACAATCATTTCTGCAGGAGAACCGAAATCTGTCTATGTGAGGAACTTGCCTTCTACTGTCACAACTTATGAAATTCAGGAAGAGTTTAAGAAGTTTGGTAAAATCCAGTATGATGGGGTGTTCTTGCGTAATCGTGCGGTCAGTTTTCTTTCCTAGTTCTTTGACATATTGTTTACTGTATGTGTGGCTTTTAAATCTTTTCTTTCTAATGGTGCACAGGAGACTGGTGTCTGCTACGCCTTTGTTGAGTTTGAAGATCTTCAGAGTGTTTGGAATGCAATCAAGGTTTTAATCTTTACTGTTTTCTAAGCTGTAGCAATATAACTTTTCTTTCTTGAACCCGCTCTTCCTTGTGTAGCCCTGCTTCAAAAGTACAGTCCAGCATGCATTTTCCATTGTTTATAGGATTCTATTTGGTGTCTCCATTATGCACATAGGAAACTATTTGGAAACTTCAATTTATTTTCTTGTATCTTATACTAGCGTTCTCTCCTTGTAAGAAACTATTCTTTTTAACCTGGAATTCAATGTTGCTCTTGGGATTATTTTATTTTTAGAAGTAATTAATTAATCCTAGTTTGTATCAGAAAGGGGTTGTTTCATGTGTCTTTCTGTGTTCTTTTAGTAACCTTACTCTATTATTTATTTCCTTCTTTAGGCTTCTCCAATCCAAATGGCGGGAAGGAATGTTTACATTGAGGAGAGAAGGCCCAATGCTGGTCCATCTCGCGGTGGAAGTATGTCTCATCCATTTTATTATTCTACCTATTCTACAATCATTATTATTGTTTTATGTTGCTCATTTTCTCTCTGGGATTTTCAAATTATTCCACACAGGAAGTGGTGGTCGCGGAAGAGGAGGGCGTGGTGGAAGAGCATCTGGAAGGGGAATCGATCAAAACGGAAGTGATAGCAGAAGAGTTAGAAACAATGGTTTCCGAGGTACTTGATGTATTATAACTGTCATCAAGTATAACTTAAAAAGGAAGTGCTTATCTGATGGGTGCTGTGTAGCTTCAGTTTTTAAAGCGGGAGCGAATGCTTTCTGTTTCTTCCGTGGTGTTTTCCTTATATATGGAGAAATGTTTTATTTACAATGGTACTTGGTTGGCGATTGTCTTGTGGTATGTTAAGGCTCACCTATTTTGTTTTTTCGTCTTTGAATTTGTGGGTAGTGGCATGCTGCTGTTCATACCCATGTTTTGAATATGAAAAATGCCCTTTTGTTCTCTCCGTCTTAAAAACACCATTCAATATTTGCACCAGTAATGCGTTGAAATGTTTCTTGAGACATAGCTGATATATTAACGCCTTGAAGTGATATATGTTGTCTTGGTGTTATGGTGTCTTCTTGTCCTTGGCATCTATTGATTCTTGCAAGCACTATTCTTGTTCAAAACTTATGCTCTATTTTTGAAATTTCATGGGATCCCATGTACACGTATTATGGTTGAGCATATGAGATTTTTGGACTTAACACAAATGGAGGTATAAACCTTCTAAAAAAATGTGTGTATAAATAGGAGCAGATCCGGCTGTAACCATTAAATTCAGTAATTTGTATCCTTTAAGTTAGTATTTTATATATTGATAGTATAAAAATTGTTCTTTATATTTAGATGGAGCTTAATGGATTTATTAGATTATTTATATTACTAATATACATGTTCACTTTTGAGAGCCCTTGATGGACAGTTCATAGTTTATGAGAGCACAGGCAGTGACTCTATTGTCGCTTTATATTTGATTACCAAAAGTTTATGTTGTGCATAAAAAGGCAAGCCAAAGTTTTCTTTTTCTCTTACTCTTCTTCTTTTACATAAATTTGTTAGTCACTCTACATTTTTTTTCGTCCTCCTACCTTTGCCTACTCTTGCCATTGACACGTGAGATTAAAGTGTCAGAAAAGGCTCTTTGCGCTAACAAAACGTCCTTTCAGGAAAAGCTCTCGAAATGCTTGTGTCAATTTAGACAAAAAAAAATTTAATACACAATCACCATCAAATATTTTTATTTGCTCTCATGGCTTGGATGGTGCTTCACTTTTGTTGGAGTTGAAAAGAAAAATCTTCCAATAAAATATATGGGCATCTAAATACATAGTTGCATGCACCACTGTGTATGCTTTAAGGTGTTGTATGAGCTTATTTGTTTATTTGTATTATGTATATATATGTTGTGTGTGTATATATATATATATATATGCAATCGGCAATGACTCCAATAGTTTCGTGGGTTTGGCTTGCTCAACATTGTTTTGTTGGCAAACCAAACACGTTTGCACATAGGCGTTAATGTTGTCCTAGGCCAATAAAAAGATTGTTCGACCAACGCTTTAGTACGATGTATATTTGGGTCTCCCTGTCCACTTAGAATCGTGACACTTATAAGGACATCTTGCCGAAGGTTGTCCCATTGAGGCATATATAATCGGTCGGCCGTGAAGAGTAGACCGTACTCCTCCCAAAACTTGTCATATGGCTAACGCGTCCTTAGCCAATCCCTCTTTGATCCGATAGACAAGGTCTCCTTGCACTTAGATGATTGATACTAAGGAGGCTTACCTTCTAAGTGCATATGCCATAGGTGATCTTCTTTTGATTTTGAAAATAACTTGTCACATTGTCCGTCTTGACCGCCAACATGGGTACCACCCCGTTATTGTCGCATTGTCCGTCTTGATCGCCAACATGGGTACCGCCCCTCCGCAGCTAGATTGAAATATTAAAAATATAATCATGCTCGCCTATTCAATTTGTGAAAGCTTTGATTAGCATTTTTTATATGTTTATATGCTTCTTCGGTTCCAAAAGGATGGATTAGATTTGTATTTATATAATAATAATAATAAATAAAAACAATTTATGGTGATGTGATTATACATAAAAATTATATTACAAATAAATATATATAAACAACAAAAATGTTGTTACATGATTTATAAATATAGGATGACCCTTAACTGCTGCAGCTCGGCTGTAATATCAAGCCCTGTTTTGAAAACGACAAACCGGAGTCCCCTCTGGCCATCAATGTCTCCCTTCCGGTTAAGTCTAATTCATAAATTTGTCTACACGTCAATGATTGTCTGCTCATTGAAGAATAATAATAATAATAATAATTCACTGACTTCCTTGCACACAAATTTCTTTATTTTAGTTGCAACTGCAGAAATCAAATCAAATCAGTATCAGTATCAGTATCAGTATCAGTATCAGTATCAGTATTGAGTATTTAATTTAAAACATCATCCAAAGAAACACTCACCCTTGCACTCAAACGAACTGCCGACGTGGAGTTCGATTCCATTTTTTTACTGATGGGTTTAGGTGAGGTTTCAATGCTATGGGTCCTACTCACTGTCGGCTTGTCTGTTTCCGTACACCCTGTTCTGTCCCCACCTTCACCTTCTCCGCCACCATCGCCCCCTCTGTTTCACTGCAATCTTTGAGCCCTACATTTTCGGAAAATGATTTTCCAGATATTTATTTCAAATAGTCGTCCTTGTCATGATTCGGGTTTTTCAATGATCCCTTCTTCAATCAACTTCTTAAAGGAAGGGTGAAAGAATTTTCAAACGATCGAGGCAGTGTGTTGTAGAAACAGAGTACATTTCCTTGTAGTCGGGGAAATGATAGCAAAGAAGACCCGGCGGTGAATCAGTTGAGAGCAACGATGACGTTGATGTGCACAATGCCGACATACGGCCCCACTTTTTCCCTTCAAGTCTTTAACTGTACGTCCAATGGAAACCCTAATTTACGCCTCGAATTTCTCTAATCTCCCCCCTTTTGCAGTTCCTTTAATTTCTGGCTGAAAAGTGAATTTTTGACGGTTCTTTGGGTGCGATTTGATGTCGACTTTGTCAACTGAGGAGAACAATACGGTCATGTCGGAGGAGGATTCTTGCTCGTACCCGGATGAGTCTGAACTGGAATTGGGGCTTGAATTGAGCCTCGGAGGTGGCGGCGGTGGGAAGGCTTGGGTTAAGCCGCCGGCGGGAGCGGGTTCGAGGGATCGGTATGGGATAATCTTGACGGCTAATGAATCTCCTCCGGTGGTTTCTGCTAAAGCAGCTGCGTCATCATCGTCGTCTTCTTTCTCCCCTGTTGCTAAAGCTAATAACAATGGTGGTGGCACAAAAAGGGCTGCGGAGCCTTCTTCCCCTCCGGGTCGATCTGCAGTGAGGTAATTTTGTTTCTTAATTCGACCTGGTTTTCTTCTTGAATATTTCTGCAATTGATGGAATTTGTATGTAGCTGATCGTTTTTCACTAGTGATTTTCTCTTGTTAGGTTGTTTTAAGTTATTACATGGCGGTTATTGTTGTTTTTTTTTTTTTTTTTTTTTTTTTTTTTTTTTATTTACATGGATCTTCCGAGTCCATTTTTTGATGATAAACACTGTATAGACTTGATGATATTCACTTGATAGTCTCCAAGACTTATCTGCAGAATAATGATATTGAAACACCAATTCATGAAGAAGATAGCTGACTGACAAGAAAAATAATGGTATTGAAACACCAATTCATGAAGAAGATAGCAGACTGACAACTTTCTTGTCGTCATAACTTCTAAACTTGCAAACATCTCATAGACTCATGTGGCCTTTCCTCCACTGTGTCTGAGTAAATCTTAAATTTTCTTTTAAAATTGATCTGTGTTGAACTTATCGTAGTGTATTATAAATAAAGGTCCCTAAACTTTTCCTCATTCCTTGCTTCGTGTCTAACTCTCTTGTGACGAACATATCTTCAAAAATGAACCTTAGATATGGAAAGCTTGCTGGGCTCTAAAATTTTTCACTGCACTTTGATGGTTGGACCATTGTTGTAACAAAACTACTAACTACGGTTCTTGGGGGACTTCTCTTCATGGCTAAGTTAAACTTGGAGCATTACAAATATACTCTGATCCTGATGAAAGATTTAATTTCAACACTGCTCAACGTTCCTTGATGTAAAGAACTATATTCATTGCCAAGTTTCAATATTTAGATCTAAGGGGACTATGAATTTTGTGGGCAGTGTAAGGTGTGTTCATTATTTGGAAGTTTTCTAGATATTCATCTTATGCAATTTTCTACCCCTAGTTTAAGAAACTATATATTCCTGCTTATTTAGGCCACATAGACCTGCATTTAAATAATTATTCTTGTGTTTTTTTGTAGCAGTCGGGTTGTTGGATGGCCTCCTGTCAGTAACCGTCGAATGAATACACTGGGAACCCAATCTAAGTTACTGGCCACTGAGGACAGTGCTTCAACTGAACCCAAATGCAGAGGCACCAGCATCGGGATGGATAAAATAAGTTACAGCAGCAACCAGAATAATAATGTTACAAAGGATAAAAGACTCCCCAAAACATCATTTTTTGTAAAGGTGAACATGGATGGGATCCCGATTGGGAGAAAGGTAGATCTAAATGCTCACAGCTGCTACAAGACCTTAGCCCACATGCTGGATGACATGTTTAAACTTGATGCAGCAGTTGTCACAAGACGTAATTCTCTCTACTGATTTTGTGTTTCCTTGTTTCCCTGTCTGATTATATTATATTTGCTTTCGATGCTTGTCATACCAATAGCTTCTGAAGTCATGTCACGTTTACTACAATATTGATGTTTGCGAAAATTCCCTACTATGAATCCTGACTACCTGAGGGCAGAGTATACTTCTCTGTGTTTTTCTGATGGTGGCTTTTGTTGTTTATCCCATTATTAGGATCAAATTTGGGAGAGCCTTTCATTTTTAATGGCACTGAACAATCTCTGAGATTGTTAGATGGTTCGTCTGACTTTGTTCTCACTTATGAAGACAAAGAAGGAGATTGGATGCTTGTTGGAGACGTCCCATGGGAGTATGACCTTTTCATATGCATCCTCCTTTTTCTTTCTATTTATTATCATTATTGTTATTATTATTATAAACTATGGTCTATTTCGTTGTTAGCAATTAAACGTCTTTACTTGGTTAAAATCAAACATTGAAAAATGAAAATGCATGTTAATCAATATAATCATACTTATCTTCATAGGAAATATCAAATTCACCATCAATCTTGTAACTTGTGATTAATGTAGGATGTTTCTGAGCTCAGTGAGGAGGCTAAGGATTAGGAGATCCACTGAAACTATATGACCCGGTATTTGCACTCATGCTTTCCTGATTTGATCCACATTTCAAAGCCTAGCTATGTTTACTTGCCTTCTTGTTTCTTCCTTCCAGCTGCAGCTACGGTCAAAACCATCAATAAGATAAGTTTGGAAAGAAAACAAGATCCTCAGGAAGCCGTAAATGTGTGAGAAGTAGTGATCCTCTTCTATCATCGAACTTGTTTTTATTTCCAGCCAAATCGTGTCTTGGTACTCTTTTGTATGTTCGAATTACTTGTGTCATACAGGTAACTGTACAACTGAGAGCTGCCTTTCGGTGCATTTTTATTGTAGGAATGTATTCCTGTTGAGTTATAGCTTTGCTATGCTTCAAACTGGTGGCTTTCTGTGTTAAATAAAGTGTTTCCATTTTGTATGTTATTGGTTGATACACCGTTTTGTAATTCTATCAATTTCATAATCGATCTGTTTGTGAATGTTAAAAGAGGAGTATCCATATCATTCTTTAGTAAATATAAGCTTCTAGTTACAAATAGTGAGCCAAAAATACAACTAAATTAATTAGCGCCCGGAAGCAGCATAGAGTTGGGGCGTATTCAAGGAATGTCGTGTACTGGTGAGGTACTAAACACTGGCTTTTCCTTGTAAATATCATTCCTACTGTTATTTGCACTACCTTTTCTCCGAGGCTTGGCTTCTCCGAGCATCGATAACACATCTCTCATTGATGGTCTGTCTTTTGGATTCTTTGCAGTGCAAAGAACAGCAATTCTCAGCACCAAAAGCATCTCTTCTCGAATGTGCGTGCTGCTACCAACGCTCGGGTCTAGAGCTTCTTCCAAAGGTTTGTTTTCTCTCATCTTTCCTCTTATCCACTGTACAATATCTACTGATTCTCCAAATTCAGCTTCTAAGGGCTTCTTCCCTGTTAGGAGTTCCATTAGAACTACTCCGTAGCTGTATATATCACTCTTCTCGTCTACTTTCAATGTGTATCCATACTCTGTCAAGCATTTGCCATAGATATATGTATTTTGTTAGTTATTTGTCTATGCGTACAAAGAAATTAAGAATCATGTAAGGCTAAACTAGAACTCACCAGGGGCGATGTACCCGTAGGATCCTGCAACAACTGATACTGTTTCGTTCTTGTTATGCATCAGCTTAGCTATCCCAAAATCAGCTATTCTTGCCTCTAGATTTTCGTCTAGTAGAATGTTATTTGGCTTCACGTCCCGGTGAATCACGGGCGGGTGACAGTCATGGTGTAGATAAGCCAGGCCCTGTGCAACCCCAAGTGCTATGTTATACCTAGAAACCCAATCCACCAACAACTGGCCTCCCTGTTTGCTGTGTAAAGCCTCCCCAAGGTTGCCATTCTGCATATACTCATAGACTATCATTGCATCAGCGTCGTTGTGAAGAAATCCCACGAGCCGGACGATGTTCCTGTGTCTTAACCTTGCCAAAAGGTTCACCTCTCCCACAAGGTCGTCGCTGCTTCCCATCTCGAGGTCAGTTCTTGATCTCCATAGTTTCTTGACTGCGACAGTCGTGTTTAGTCTTTGTATCTCGGCTTTGTAGACTGTCCCGGTTGCCCCCATCCCGATCACACTAGATTCCTTGATGCAGGATAGGATGTCGGTACTGTTGAAACCCAGCCTCTGGAATGCCATCAGTCTCCATGGCCAGTCACTGCTGCCCATTTCAAATCTCTCCTCGAAGCAGTTCCCGTCCCGCCATTTTTTGTAGAGGGAACGAGCCCCAACCCCGACTAGTACTAAAGTTAGAAGTGTTGATATCCCGATTATCCATCCTCCGATTATGTGTTCTGCTTTCACTCCCTGCTGTTTATTTCTGTATACTGCAGTGTGAGGACAAGGAGGAAGGACACCCCCACAAAGACCTGCATTGCCGATTAGATCATCCGGATTAATGGTTCCAAGCACACCATTTCCCGGGACCAGACCTGCTAGCTTATTGTAAGAAACATTGAGAGTTTCTAAGGCTGGAGAATTCCCAAAAGTTGCTGGAATTTCTCCTGTGAGAAGATTGTTTGACAGATCGAGGACAGCAAGGGCAGGGATCATGGCTAATGATTTCGGGATTGATCCAGATAACTGATTGTTTCTTAGATTTAAATTCACCATTCTTTTGCAGGAGGCAATACTTTCTGGAATGTTTCCAGTGAGCCGATTTCTGGAGAGATCGAGGATTGCCAGTGCAGGACAGTCCTGGAACTGATCAGGGATTTCTCCCATCAAGTTGTTTCCTGAGGCCATGAAGTTTTGGAGGGTTGGAATGGAGAGAATGGAGGGAGGAAGGGGGGATTGGATTTGGTTTCTCGATAAATCAATGAAAGATAGCGAAGTGGAAGCAGACAAGTCACTGGGTAGTTGACCAGCAAGGCTATTGTTAGCCATTTCAAGTCTCTGAAGGTTCCCAAGCTTGCCAAAGCCGACAGGGATTGTGCCTGACAGATGATTATTATGAATCCTGACTCGAACAAGCGACGCACATGTTGATAAACTCCCTGGAATTGGACCGGTGAAATTATTGTTGAAAAGGATGAGCTTTGTAAGGTTTCCTCTGCTGCAAAGAGTTTTAGGGATCAAACCGGACAGGGAATTAGAGGAGGCGTCAAGCCATTGGAGAGGCGAATTCAGGCCAAGATCACCTGGCAAAGGGCCCGACAACATGTTGTCCCAGAGCTCAAGCACCTCAAGACGAGTCAATCCTCCTATGGCAGGAGGAACAGAGCCCGAAAGATTGTTTGACATCAGGTTCAGTAACTGCAGACTTTTAAGTTCAGCTATTTCCCCTGGAATTTCACCCGACAGCATATTATCCGACAGGTCCAGGAACTGCACTGCTGCCATGTTGCCAAGCTCTGGTGGGATCTCTCCCACAAGATTGTTCTGGTACAGGAAGACGGTATTCAGCTGCTTTAACTTCCCCAGTTCAGGTGGAATCGAGCCGCCAAGAGTGCCGACTGCCAGGTCCAAATACTTGAGATTAGTGAGATTACCGAACTCTGCAGGAATCCCTCCTTCAAATGCATTGTATCCGAGAATAATTGTTTCAAGCGACGCCAACTCGCCAAGCTCCACAGGTATCTGCCCTGTCAGGTTGTTCCCCGAGAGTCCAAGAAACTTCAGCCTCGTGAGATTCTTGAAGCCCTTCGGAATTGAGCCTTCAAAGAAGTTCCCCCTCAGATCCAGGCTGTCCAGAAAAGTCGCATTTCCAAGATCCTCTGGGAGAGCACCCGAAAAGTTGTTACCGGATGCATTTACTGTAATTAGTCCAGCTGCCATTCCCAGGCCAACAGGGAATCCACCAGTGAAGAAGTTTTGACTAAGATCGATAATCTTAAGTGCCGTCAGATTGGCCAGAGACTTGGGCAATAAAGAGGTGAACTCATTGCAGCATAATTCCAGGGAACTGAGTCTCAAAAGGCCCTGGATTTCATCCGGCACCCTGCCCGACAGATTCATGTGAGAAAGATGAAGCTTTTCGACAAATCCATCAGTGTTGCACTGCACTCCTGTCCAGCTGCAGTGGACAGAGCCATTCCCCACTATCGAACTCCAGTTTTTGAGATGATCCAACGGGTCAACAAGACTAGCTTTTATTGACAGAAGGATCGATCTCTCATCACTCAACTCAGACCCTCCCACAAATACAAGACAACAGGTAAAGAAGAAAACTAGCAAGAACTTATGATTTTTTAATTCCATTATTTTCCTACTTTTCGACCATAGTTATGATGATGGGACCAGTTGGGGGGGGGGGGGGGGGGCTATTTGAGAGAGCTAAAAAACAGCAACACGAAGAACTGAAAGAGAGGAGAAGAGTGTAATGATGGTCAGGTCATCATTGTATTCATATGTATATAGTAGCATGAAAGATGAGGCCTTTTACGATATTTGTTAAAAATAATGAATGATCAGATAGATAGGCGATGATGCTCGTGGGATCTTGGGTTCTGCAACAGGCTGTTAATACAGGAATTTTTGGCTTTTATGGAATCTAATCCGACATGAAAACATGGACAGAATGTGCTGCTGCTGTTGTTATTGTTTATCTCTTATTTTGTCATATGTGTATTATTTGTGTCTGCAGTCAAAACTTTGAGCATGTTCGATTCAATACACACAACTAAGGTTAGTTGTTGATTTGGAAGAAGAACAAGAATGGCGCCAGCCCTTCTTCATTGCAATACAGATATGGCCAAGAATAATTAAAGGTTAGTGATTTTTGTTTTTCACCTGTGATGTTGGTTTTGTTCCTGTGGTTTAGTTTTATTATTTGGATAGGGAAAGAAGAATTGGGATTGGGGATTTCACATGGAAGCATGTGGGGAGGAGAATACTATACATAATATATATAGTAAGTTATAGAGAGAGAGAAAGAACATGGGCAATAATAGGGAGGGATGAGGATGCAAAAGTGATGGATGCCATGTGAGTGAAGCAGTTGCATACTTGTTCATTTCCCTCCTCCATTATTAGTAGAGAGAGAGAGAGAGAGAGAGAGAGAGAGAGAGAGGTTAATGATTAATTTGTAGATTCTTAATTGTTTTTGTGTTTTGACATTATATGGAGGAAGGTCATGTCACCATACATACATTTGTTGGTCTGTCTGAAATTGAGTTACTGTCAGTGTCATCATGAATTGTTCGTATGTGATTGATGATTCTTTGATTGATTGATTGCTTAGAATAGAAAAGGTATGAATGACATGGCAGACTCTCTCTCTCTCTCTCTCTCTCTCACACACACACACTAATTATTTGAAAAGATGGATTAAGTAATCTGTAATCATTATATTGTTTATAAGATGTTACAGGACAGCCAACAATAGCAGCAAATCAAGACAGGAGAGGAGAATATACAATACACATGTGCAAAGATGAATAACAATAATAGTAAGAGATGAACATGGGATAGGATGGGGCATGTAGAATTTATTCCGGTCGAGTTTGCGCTCTATCAGACCGGACCGGGTCGACATCCATGCTTAAATTAAATGTTAAAAATAAACGTATGTACGGTCTTGCATATATTGGGCTCCCTTTCGGCCCAAATTGTACATTTAAATGATGCCTTTAATTGGGCCTACTGGATAATCTAATTATGGCCTCTATTGGGCTATAACGGCCCAACAAATCACAAATACATACACAGAAACATAAAATTTAAAAACATAAGAAGCAAAAATACATAATTAAAGATGCATATAATATAATCAATCATTTTGGAGCAATGGAATGGTTATGGCCGAGAAGAGTTAAAAGAGTACAGTTCTGCAACATTGCATCTAAATTACCAAAGCCTATATCCTTCATACATTACCCATTCCCCTCCCCTCCACCATTTCCATAACTCTTTATCGGCAAATTGAAGCCGGCCGGAAGCCGCCGCCGTCGTCGTCGGCAGCGTCGATAGGCCTCGCCATTCCATCTTCGATTTCAACTCACTCGTCGTCGGCGGTGGACAGGATTCATTCGTATCACCGGCTCCCTTCACTGCTCTTTTTTATGGTCTCGGAAATGCACCGTTAGTAGCCAGACAACCGCCACTGCAGCAGCTGCCTCCCGGCGAGCTTGTTGATCCCGCCGGGAGTTTCGGCGTGCGTATAACCAAACGGAATGGATCAGAAGTCGGGAATCCCACTTGACCGTGACGAGTATTCCGAGACAAGCTTGAGGAACATGGAGGACTTGTCCTCTAGTAGTCGGGACGGAGTGTCGAACTCGGCAACCCGACCTGCGAAGCATACGGCGTAAATTTTACGTAGTCTTTTCGAATAAAGATTGAAAACGGAGCGGAACGGAACGTACCATCACTGAGGACCAAGACGAGGTCGCTGTCAATAACAGTAGGAATGCGATGAGCGATGGTGCAGACGGTGCAGTTCTTGAACTCAGTTCTTATTATCTTTTGAATGAGGTTGTCTGTCGCCGAGTCGACTGAGGCAGTCGCTTCGTCGAGCACCAAAATCCTCGACTGTTTGAGCAAAGCCCTGCCAAGGGACAATAGCTGCCGCTGGCCAACGCTCCAATTATCGCCGTTCTCTAAAACTGCAAACATCGAATTCGGATCATTAATATCCTTATCAATTAACAACGATTCATTTTTAGTGCAGTGGCGCTCGTACCTGGCGAATCTAGTTTGTGCTCTTTCTGTCGAACTATATCTCCCAGCTGAGATTTCTCGAGAGCCTGTGGGAATTTAAAAAATATAATGCTCGAACATATGTCTATCGTCTAAATAATATCACTAAAACAATTCTTGTTTCGATTCCGGGCTTCTATTTACGATTATACTTTCAACTTCTACTTCAAAGTAAAATGCAGGTGGATAGAAACGACGTGGATTTACCTGCCAAAGTTCGGGATCAGAATGCTCCTCGAGCGGGTCGAGGTTGCCTCTAATGGTTCCTTCAAATAGCGTAGGCTCTTGAGGTATGATGCTAAGCCGGCTGCGGAGGTCATGAAGACCTATTGTCCCTATGTCAATGTCGTCGATAATTATCTTCCCACCTGCCGGTTCAATCAACCGGAATAAAGCTTGGATCAACGTTGATTTGCCGCTTCCGGTGCGACCGACAATTCCAATTTTCTTCCCACCAGGAAAGATGCAGGAGACACCATGGAGAACAACAGGAAGACTCTCCTTATATCGAACCTAGTATAAGTCGATAGCAACAATAAATAATCCTAAGACTGGAAGTTGAAATGGAAATCAAAGATTTCATGATCCAAACCTTTAAATCGATCAGTTCGATTTGGCCATTTTCAGGCCATGTGGATGCGGGGCGTGATTCCTGAATATATGCCGGCGCTTCGCTCGGTATTTGGCAGTACTGATGAATCCGTTCTATGGAAACGACTTTGTTTTCGAGCTTGCAAAAGCTCAGTATCCACCGTGATAAGCGTGCGTTCAAATTAAGGCCGTACGTCACAGCAAGGCCTGCCATACCTGTTCGATGAAAAGCATTATGTACATGTAATACTGATCCCGACTTTGAATGATTCAAGCTTACGTACACAGAAATTTGATGCAAAATAAGGAAAGATGTACTTACTCGGATCTATGGTTCCGTGCGGGAAGCTCACGAGCAAGATCATGCAGAAAGCGAATACAAATGTCGAGAGCAATTCCATGCGTAAACAAAGCCATTCAATAGCTGCAACGCTGCAAAAGAACGGACGAGCGAAGCAATCGAGAAGATAAAGATTTCTTTTCATGAACCGCTTTTCTTGCCCAAAGCCTCGAATCGTAGCAGCTCCAGCAATCGATTCAGCAAACAGATGAATTACCGGAGACTTTTGAATGCTAACGATACGGACAAGTTCTCGGGAGGAAGCCATATAGTACTTCTGCATCATTTCAATCCAAAAAAATTACTTAGTTTCGAATCTAACTTCTTATTCCGATTATAATTAGAAAATCGAAACCACAAGTCTTTGCTTATCATACGACATCTGACCTGCATCCACAAGCACGCAATTGCCATCGGAATTACGAGAAGCAAAATTTGCCAAGTTACTTGCGTCATAACGCCGACAATGCCGAGAAGCTGAATAGTCGTGGAAGCAAACCCCCCGAGTCTAAACGGAATATCAAGATCAACGACACTTTGATCAATCGAAACCTGGAAGATTGGAAGATATCATTAAAGTGCCAAATCAAATAGTAAAGTACGAAGAAGCTGAACCTTAGTTATTCCGGAAAAGTCAAGTAATTACCCGATTTAGTACGCGGCCAGCAGGAGTAGAATCAAAGAAAGACATTGGAGCTCGGAAAACCGTCCTGAGCATTTTCAGAAACAGCTTTTGCGCAGCTGCAAGGCCGAATGTGGCGACAAGAACAGCCCTGACAAATATGAAACAGGCGCTTCCAAAAGCAAGAACCAAATAAACGACAATAAGCACCACATTGGTGGTTTTAGCCTCGTCGCCGGCGGTCTGCGGACTCGCCCACGCCATCCACCAACTGCTGGCGATCTGAAGGATCTGAAAGAGCGTTTGCGCAAGGATGATGCACGGAATCAACAATCCCCTATAAGCGGCCGTCATGTACGACCAGTATACTTTCATGCTAACTCGTCCACGCTCCCGTTCCTCTTCCTGTACGAGCTGCTTTCTCTTGGAACGTTTAGATTTCTTTTTCTCTTTAATTGCTTTCTGGTCCGAAGTCGATGCTTCTTTACGAGACTCATTAGCCATGCTGGTGATGTCGTTAACCGAATCGCACTTATTACTCATACAAATGGAGTCACGAAGAGGATCACTTTTATCCGAGTCTTCCAAGGCTTGGCTGCAAAAATCCATAGATTCGATGGCTTCATTATGTGCAGATACTAATGTGCTGAAATCTGTGCCTGCTTGCAAAAGCTCCTCGTAGATTCCAGCTTGAACGATTCGACCTTCCTTCAGAACCTGCAGCCAAATTAACGAACAGACATGACGGCAGAAAACAATATCCATTCCATCTATAATATCAGGCGAACTCCAACCAGAAAATCCAAAATAAAAGCCGGAAATACGACAAATTCACTTGGGAAAGACTACACAAAATTTTCAACAGACAGATATCCGAACATCGCCAAATAATGAATGATAAATGTGTTGCGCGAGAAATGTTGTCCAGGCATATGATATACAAATCCTTGTATTTACGGGTTTCAGCAGAAAAGGACACTAAGAACCGAGGAGCAATTAATGCATAGAACTTCATTGAATGAGATCCACAACACAAGAAAAACATCAGATACAGCCAATTCCATTTCATTGCAACGAGAAAGACATAAAGAACGTCAGCTAAAAATCTTTTTAAGACGTCATCTGAGACACAACAAATAAAGTAGGAGGGTGCAGAGAAGACAATACCAAGATCAAGTCAGCAGCCGGCAAAAAATCAACTTGATGAGTGACATAGACGACGGTCTTTGTTGCTAGCGCCGTCAGTATGTACTCCTGCATTACACCAAAAACATGAAATAACCGGATTAGATTGGATCCTATCTAATTTTAGAAGTAGGTAAAATCATATAAACCTTAAACAATTCGGAACCGGTGTGTGCATCGACTGCACTAAAAGGATCATCCAGCAGATAAATGTCAGCATCATGATACAATGCCCGAGCAAGCTGCACACGTTGCTTCTGTCCACCACTGAGATTTATGCCTCTATCACCAATAATCGTTTGATCGCCATGCGAGAATAGCAACAAATCTTTTTTCAACGAACATGCATGAATGACACTCTTATATTTGGCCTTATCCATCGGACTTCCAAAGAGGATATTTTCCTCTATATTTCCCGACTGTATCCAAGCAGATTGAGGGACGTACGCTGCCGAACCACATATTCTCACCTAAAAAGTAAACCGAAAGATCAGCAATCTTTAGACAAAAGAATCCATGAAATAAATTAATTAAGATCCGATACAGATACATGAATTAATGAATGAATGCAAATATTCCATAAATCCACACTTACTTCACCATTGCTTTTCGGGATCTCTCCGAGGATGCTAGAAAGGAAACTCGATTTCCCGGAGCCAACGACGCCGCACACAGCTACACGCATTCCCTTCTCGACCCTTAACTGTATGCCCGAGAGCGTCGGGTTCGCCGAAGATGGATCCCAGCAAAATTCTCCATCTTTGATTTCGATGGCCACATTTGAAGAACCCTGCGGTAAGGTGATGGTTGCATCTTCCCGCAGCTCTTCCTCTTGCAAGAATCCCGTGATTCGATCAAGCGAGACTTTAGTCTGAGCCATCATCGAAACCAAGTCGGGGAAATTTCTTAGTGGTTCTTGCAGGATGCGGAAAGTAGCCAAAGCAGAAAGAACACTGCCGGCTGTCAGCTGACCGCCCAACAAAATGCAAGTGCCGAATGTAACAGCCGAAACAAATATAGGAGAGCTCCAGAAAATAAACGTGATGAAAGCCTGCGAATAAAGAGCTTTCTTAAGATACTTGAACTCCACGCCGCGCATCTCTTCGAGCTTCAGTCTGTATCTATCCTCCCACGCTTGCAACTTTAGAATCCTCATATTCCTGAGGCATTCAGACGTCTTCCTCATCCTATCGTCTTTAGCTGCCATTAACTTGTCCTGGTAATCTTCCTGAACTCTCGCCAGTGGAACTGTCGCAACGATCGATATAATGGTGGCGACGAGCGTCGCAACGGATGCAACTCCAACATTCTTGTACAAAATCGCGAGAGCAAGGATAATTTGGAGAGGAAGCATCCATATGTCGTGTAGATACCACGAATAGTCTCCGACTCTCTGTACATCAACCGCCATGTAATTAACAATCTCGCCGCTGGTATGACTCTGTCGAGCGGAGCTCGAAAGTCTTAGCCCCTTACGGTACACCATGGCCGTTAGAGCTGACCTCACATGCATGCCCATAATGTCGACCCCAAGATACCATTGTCGGGTAGTTAAAGTCTCCACCAACTTCGCCGAAAAGAAAATTCCAGCAAGAATGTACCCCTCGTGCGGGAAAGTATTCCTGCCTCCGAGGTAATCGACAAAGTAACTGATCAGGTACGGCCCCACATACGAAACTAACGTACTCACACCGGCGAATATAGCATTGCAGGCAGCCTCTTTCCAGAAAGTCTTGAAGATCGCCCAAGCTAAATACGGCCGGTTCGGAGCACTTGTCCTAGCCTTTAACTTCTCCCAATTCGAGTTCAACGCCTTGTAGTTTGTCTTGGATCGTTCTCTTGGCGCGAGCAATGGGATATCCTTCAATTCAAGTGCTTTCTTCGCCCCGACTGATAGAAGAGGATTCAACCAAGAAAGTGTAACCAAACTGAAGAGCCCGGCTTCACTGTAAGGAGTAACCTTAAGGCACCCGGCTTCTTCTTCCTCAAGCAGCAATGGATCGTGAAGATCCGAATTCCGATCCACTCGAATTCCTGTGGCACCCTTGATAGCAACAATACATAGAAATGCAAGAGCTGGAGCAGCAGCCACATTCGACAAGCAATGAGAATTCATATGGCTCAATCCATGGGCCACGAATTCTCGAACATCCGAATACAGAATCGACAAACAAATGCCGAAAGATGAAATCCACCATATCCTCAACAACAATGGATACTTCTCAGCAACCTTGTATTTACAGTAAAGGGCTGCAAAGCTAAGAACAAACCAAGCTAAACTTTGAGCTACAGGAAACAGTATTATAGTCCAATGTGTCTCGTTATTCTTCGACTTCTTTATCAAATGAACTCCATCGAACACCAACAATGAAACTTGCACTAATAGAAGGTAGAAGCAGCAAATAAGAGAAGCTTTGTAGCCATTACCGATCACAAGGTTCTGGATTCCCTCACCATCGACTACTCTACGCCTCGCGGTGGGAGTATTCCCATTCGAATCCTTCCTAATGCGACCGAAACAAAGAACAACCTGTCTTGCAGATACGATGGATAGGAACACGATAATCAGAGTCAAATTGATGCAGATTGAAGCCAACTCCAGCACAGGAACTCGGTGGAATTTCTTCAGGAGATGATCTGTTTGGGGTTTTGATGATGCAGTTAAGATAAGATTGATATCCATAGCTCACAGATATCAATCTTCACGCCGAGAACGAAGCAGATTCCTATTACAAAAGCTCCAACAAAACCAGCAGCGGCAGCAAGAAGAAGATGAAGAAGAAGAGTATCAGCAGAGCTCAAGTTCAACAACAATAGTAGTGTGATGATGATGATGGCGGACGAAGACAGCACCAAATCGTGTAAGGGGCATTTCACCATCTGGCAACGGAATTTGTCTCCTGTGCCGATACTAATGACAGCTCATAGAGAGAGAAAATTTGAGTGTATGAACAACAAGACTCTGCATATGAAAACAACTTTGCTCTTAGATCATCAACCCCAAAGCAGAATCCACACAATACATAATATATATATATGTATTAACAATCTGTATGTATATGAAGACAGCAGAAGTAGCAGTGGGGAGGAAGAAAATAAAGACACGAAAACCCCCTTCGTCCTCCTCTCTGACTACCCAATGTTTATCCCTAAAATCCCCATTCCATTTTTCGGCAACAATTTTATTCAGAATTTTATTCCTGTTGTGGAAAATACAGAATAGAATTACCTGAGCTTGTCCAAATTCGCTCTGCGAGGCGGTGGCGATTACCGAGGCAAAATATCCTGAAACCTAATTTTGAAAAAAATATATATTCAGATTTCAGAGAGGGAGAAGAAAAATTACAATACGCAGCACAGCACGCAGCTGACGAAGGAATAATTCCACACTAACCCCACAAACCCACAGCTCTTATCGGCGGCAGCAGTCAAATTTTCTGAACAGGAAAACAGATCCAACGCACCGCCATATCTACAGATGCGTAATTTCGAGCTGAATCAAAAAATTGGGGAATGCATTGCGAAACGCATAATATTCCATTCGACGCGAGATTAATGATTAATCCAATTGCATGAGGAGAGAGAGAGAGAGAGAAGGATCAAATGCGATGCTTACAGTGAGAAAACAACAAATCGCTCGTGGAAGAAATTGAAAACGAAATTTGCAATTCCCAGACTGGTTGTGCGGCGATTTACTGCAATCGATTTCAATTAATTCCTTCCTGATCGCCACTGAGAGTAGCGTCGAAACCAATGGAGTGATTTCGAGGACGATAATCCTCGCAATGCTCCCTCTCCCAGTTGCATTAATGCATCAGTGCATGACAGAGTGGGAGATGTTGATGGTGATGATGATCTGATCTCTCTTTCACTCTCTACCACAATTAAAGACTTGATCTTGGATTTGCATTTGCTTTATTTCCATTTAAATATTTTATTTTTTACACTACTCTTGGGAGATTAGGGAGAAACTCGCGAGGTCCAGGACTATGAGGACCAGATTGATTGACGCCGTCCATATCTTTGATGGGTCCCATTGCATTGACGGTGTGGATGCATCCGGCTTTGAGATCCAGTAAGTCTGCTGATGAGTGAGCTGTGGGGAGAGTATATATTTTAAGCAATAAAATAAATAGTGATAAATACTAAAAATAAGCCTTCTGTAAGAAAACACTATATTCTGACAGCATTTAGTGAATTGTTTGTCTGATTACTTTTAATAATAATAATAATAATAACAATGTAAACATTTTAGTATTATGATTTAAATATATTACTTAATTGAGTAATTAAATTAAATTAAATTAATTTAATACTATATGCTTAAGAGTTAGTGCTCTAAAGGAGGCTTCTAAGAAGTATCAGTGTCACAAAGTGGGCAGAAGTCATAAATGTTAAAAATAAAATAAAATAAAAAAGAAATTAAAATAAAGTGGAGAATGACAGAATGATCATTAACCTTTACAGCTTATTTTCCAATAGAATTTAAATTTTTTGTATTTGTCCTTTTGCAAATATGATCTTACACGCACAATCAATTCATTTTGAGTGGAAATAAAAAAAATAAAAATAAAAAATAAAAAATAAAAAATAAAACATTTATAATTTTATATATTTGGAAATATTGAATCCAAGTGCCATTCCCAAAAATAAATTGCATTATACGTGTAAGTAATTTATTTAGAAGGGGGTGACGTATTACTAATATATTATTATATGTTGGGGACAAATTTGAGAAATAATTTAAATAATATTTTATCCAACAGAGATTAGTGGTGGCCTTTTCAATATATTCCATAGATGACTCATGTCTTTTTTTGACTTAAATAAATTAATCTTCTGTTGCATTTAGATACATAACACGCACTTAATTGGAATTTATTTATTTTTATTTTTATGTAAATATATGTCGTGATTAGTAGTACACCTTTATTTTATTCACATTAGTAGTAATTATTGCTTTTGCCATATTTTACTTTATTTTAAATTTTGGTGTGATGTGTCACAAACGTCAGGTCATTTTTAGGTTACTATCTTATTTATTTATTTTGGAAGAATATACAAATAATTTGATCCAACCTAACTAAAGGGCCTACGAATTTATGCAATAATAACCACACATTATTGTATTGATTGAAAATATATACTTCAAAAAAATTTAAGCTATATAAAATTTAATTATTATAAAATCAATTTATTAATAATATAATCCAATAATACATATATATATATATATATGTAATTCCTCCCGCAACAATTGTTTAGAGTGTTTATACTTATAATTTATATCTTAGTTTTGGTTATTCAATATATTAATTAATTGTTTTTTAAGGATGTCAAATCTAATAAAAATATTGTATTTAAAAATAATTTATAAAATTACAAGCAGTGATAAGACCATCAAACTATAGATCGATGGTCAATTGGTCATGCAACATATAAGCTTTAATGAATGTAGATTTGTTTGATCCTGTTCAGACAAAAGTTTTTGGACTAATAGAAAATTCTTAAAATCATAAAAAATTGGAGATTTTTTTATTTTAAATTGAAATTAATATTATTCATTATATATAGTTTTCAATATAATATATATAATATCATATAAAAATATTATTTAAGCAAAAATTTAAATCAATATTTCATTTCAAATAAATTTCAAATCATAATCTTTTTTATTTGATTTGAAAAATTTTGGTTTAAATTTATATTAAAATAATATATGATGTGATATTTTGTGAGAAAAATATTTATATATATATTTATTTAGGGAAATAGAAAATTTAAATAGTAGATATTTTGAATTTAATAACTAAAAACACACACATGTTTCACGTAATATTTTTTAAATTATTATTAATGAATAATATCAAACTTAAATGCATGTGTAAATAATTTTTTTTTTATTATTATTTAATTATTCAAATTTCTTAAAAATATCGTTCTATTTATATATATATGCTTCTTTCGTATTGTGTTAATGTATATAATTACTTTTGGCGTAAAATTTAATAAATAATAATATTTTAATCTTAATGGTATTTAAAAATAATGTAAAGATAATTTTATTCTTATTTTTTAATGTAACATTTATAATATGATGGTAAATATATAATAAAGTAAGAATATTTGTATTAAATAATGGAATTTACAATTACAAAAATATATATATATATACATGTTAAAACAGGATGAACAAAAATGATAAAATATATACATTAATGGAGACGGAAGAAGTATAAAATTTTATATTTAACCGCTAATATATATATACACACATGCAGAAATAAGCAAAATATATGACTACTTTTTCTTTTATTTCAATATGGATTTGTTTGTCTAACTTATTTTTTCGAATGCGATTTTTAATATATATATATATATTATATTTTACAAAAGTTAATAATCAGTATATATGACAAAATTTTTTATACATCTCATAAAAAAAAAATAACTAAAACTAAAACACTAAATAAACATTTATGCAAATTTTTAATTTTTTGTATTTCATTTATATTAATCTTTTAGATTAAAGAATTAATATATTGATGAGTGTCTAAAAATATTTTGATAAAATTTCTCTTTGATTGGATTTATTTGTTTAATATTTTGATTTCAAATATTTTTTTTTATATGTAAGTATAAAGAATTGTATCAGTAATATAAAAAATAATATTTTTATATTAAATTTGTAAATAATAAAATATATTAAATTAAAAATCGCGTCGAATAAAATATTGAGCAAACAAACATAATATTTTACTATAATAAAAATACATTCTCTCTCCAATAATAAATTTTTTATTTGATTTTTACATGCGAATTAATATAAATTAATATTTTCATAGATATATAGCCTAATAAAATTATATAATATTTACTTTTACTTTTGAAAAGTAATTTGAAAAAATAAAAAGTAAAAATATTTTGTATTTAGTTAAAAAAAAAAAAATATAAAATATTTTGATTTGAAAAAATTAAAATGATAAATAAAAAAATATAAAATAAATAGCAAACGGAGAAAATATAAATAAATAAATAATATTTATTTATAATTCTATTGTAGTACTTCCTCCGTCTCAAATATCGTGTCTGCTATATTGTAGACACAGGTATTTTAGGAGAGATGTAATTAGTAGATAATTAAAAATGTATTAGTGAAAATAATTTTTATAATATAAATAATTATAAATTAAAACTAAGATAACTAATTAATTTAATTAAAATTAAAAAAAATAATAATTTAAAATTTAAAATGAGATTAAAGTGCGTAAGCATTTTCCAAAAAAGAAAAATAACATGGTATATGGAACGGAAAGAACGGTAACGTGCCATGGTATTTAGGACGGAGGAAGTAATAATTTTGCGAGCCACTTTGACGAAAGTGTCCTTTTTTTTAGTATATAATAATAATAATAAAAGTGTCCTTTATTGAGTACGGAAAGCAACGTGGGCTACACTGCAGAAGCATGTATGGGCCATAACCTGAATCATATGTCCCATGCCATTAAAGCCCATTTTGTGATTTTTTTATATTTTCTAGTTTTTATTTCATCCTCCTTTGACTTCCCAAGAGGGTAAGAAATCACCCCCAATTTGTATACAAAATTTAATAAATGTACCACAACTACACTTCTACAATTGGAAGCCACACCAAATTTAACTCCGACTGAATCATGCACTTATTAATTTAGCCTATGCTGAATTAATCTCCAATAAAATATTATTATTATTATTATTATTATGCTTCTTAATAATATTTTGACATATAAACACAACAATATTTTAACTTCACCCAATACTATTTTTAAATGGTAATTCTTCAAAAATAATATAATAAACAATATAAAATACTTTTACAAAAGTCAAAAAAATAAAAATTAAATACTTATTACAGAAAATCAAAATGTTAAATATTAACCTTAAAATAATATACACTAAATATTAATCCATCCAAAAATGTCGGGTGAACGGAGTCAATAATTAGAGCAGATATAATGGACAACTTTTCTATGTCTTCTCAATACATTATAAGTTTTATTTATTTATTTAACTAAGTATACAAAATACAACACACAAGGGAACTTGAAATTTGTTTGGTGCAGTACATGTACACTTTATGAAATAATATTGATTTTAATAAAAAATTACTTTCACATGTCACCTTCAACATAAATACTATCTAATATTATTGATTCATTATATAAATAATGGTGACTTTATTTTTAAAGGGCAGCCGACATCTTAGGTGAAATAGTAATTGATGTAATTTTTAAGGCGGTGGTTAGGATCAACACACTAACAATTAATATTTCATTGCCTATAAAAGTATGTGTAATATATTACCTTATGCTTTTATTACATATTGTGCTAACATTTATTATTACTCTATTTTTATAAATATATGTTGATAGAGTAAAATCAATACAGTAATCAAAATAAATTTTTATATATATAATAAGTATATTTTTACAAAATTATACAGTAAAAAAAATTAGAAAAAAAAAAAAAAACTGACAAAGTTTTAAGTACAAATAATCGGAAACCTCCAAGCAACGGTCGAGGAGGTATTGAAGCAGAGCAAAAATATCATTTGTGTTTTTCACTGTGAAGCTGCTATAAAACGGCTACTTTGTGATCTTGATCTCGACCAGCATACTTACATATAAAAAATATTACATTACTGTCAAATCAAAATCGAACCTTTCTTCGAAATTCTCTTTAATTCAGACGGCATTCTTCTAAAACTTTGCTGCTTGTAAGCCTATTCGTTCTCATAGCTCGAAAGACGAGAGTCAGACAAGACAGTGAATAGCTGTGTTTCGACAAACAACTGCCAAAAGACATAGGGTATAGAAAGCCCGGTGAAGATAACTATAAGTCGGATAAAATTGTAGAGCTAATGTAAAAGATTGCGAACGAAGGTGTACCTTAATGAAAGGCTGGTCTCGAGGGGGGAAAGATTCGATAAAACTATCCTTGAGAAGTAAAGCAACCTGAAACGGAGATTAAAAAAAATAAAAATTCAAACCACAGACAATTACAACGAAGATGAAAAATGTATATATCAAGCAGTTGGAAAGATGCAGCTGGGGAAATAAAACCTTATCGTTATTCTGAACACTTGTAATTGTGTGCATCCGCAAATCGGCGCATAGTGATTCCAAGTACCACCTCATTACACACAGAAATTGGGTAGCAGCTTCAGCCTGGAAAAATCGGAGGACAGATAAAGCTCCACATCATGTCTTGAACTCATTCCATCGACTAAATTTGTAACATATATTTCTCAAAAGCTAGTGTTCTACATCTCAAGCTGCTAAGATGACCACATCAGAGAAAATTGTTGCACGAAAACTGACGGTAAAAGGGATTTTTAAAGAGTAGAGATATACAGGGCTGTTTTGAGGTATACATAAATACCTGCACTTCACTGCATTTGTATGCTGGATGTTTTTTAGTAAGAGGATCTTCATACGACAGCTTGGAGTGGATCGGTCGAAGTTGATTAATAAGATCCTTATGTCGAGGAACCTGAGGTAAGTTAAAAGTTTTCACCTACACCAAATATTGTGAAACCCAATATAAAATTAAATCTGCTAGTTCGAGGGACATATTAGCGCGATTGATTTTGTAAAGCATGACGAGTTAACCATCACTTCGGCATATACCTTGTTTTCAAGCACGTCAACATAAACTAGATTTGAAGCTTTCATCTTAAGATCAGCCAGTTTAGATTGTACACCAACCTGCATTGATATTAGACCAAAAGTTAGAAACAAAATTACACATTTTTTGTCAGAAAAAGCAATAAAGAAAACTCCAAGAACACATTCAAATACGCCTTAATCCTTTTCCATTTGAAGAATGTTCCCATCATGTATGAGGTAAAAAAATAAAAAAGCACTGAATAGATGCATAGGAATGAAAAGGATAACATAATATAAAAGTAGCCGGTAATTAGCATGATTTAGAATGTAAATTGCAATATTAGTGTAAGCATATTTCTCTATTCATGCTAGGCGAAGCCATTCTATCCGAATCGGATAAGAACTAATAAAAATAAAACATGATTACAACCGTAAGCATGGAAATAAAACTAAGACTCTCACATTGTTAACCAGGCGCATAATCTACCAATGTAGTAAAAGTCAGCAAGAGGAAAATACAAACTAAACTAGGCAACAATTATAATTTATATGGAAATGAACGACAACTTTTTCTAACAACAAAAGCTTGTTTATGCTTATGCAAAAGATTTGGTGTTATGTTCCAATATGAAGCTCACAAAAGTTCATGTCCTTCACATCCAGTATACTCTTCAACCTATCACTGCTTCCGTACTAATTAGTGTTTTCTGCTAACGAATATGCAACTATCTGATATAAGCAAGGGAAGACATGTTAAATTATGAGTCTTTTGTTTGCCGACAAATTAGAAATGATAGGGGAGGTTTTCTGCAACAAATTCATTTACTATTATGATACAAATTAGAAATGATAGGGAGGTTTATTAATTATTGTCGAGCCACCCTCAGCACTTTAACTATATATTGACTATTCATGGCAGACAACAGCTGATATATATGCACTGCAGATATTCAATGAGGCAGTTCAATGCCAACTCACAATGAAAGGAACTGGGGCATCCAAAAAATCCAGCATTTTCCCTGGCAGAATCTGCAGAAGTAAATAGAGGATTTAAAAATATGGTGGAAATGGATCCAAAACATAGAAACAGAACATATATGGTATCCAAAACATAGAAATAATTCAGTAAGCACATTGGTGAATTGCTCATTTTACAGTTAAAAACGAATCGAATCTGAAACCACAAAAAACAAAGAAAATATCAATGATTTAAAATGGGGAGAATTCGCAAGTTAAAAGATTTCTGAGTTTTGGTGAATAAAAGGAGCAGAGCAGAAACTATGAGAACTCCAACATTTCCCAAACACAGAAATACATTTGGTGGCATAAGCTATTATAACACTCAATAATAATAATAAAAAAATACGGGGTAAAATAACTGCTGTGGAACTTACAGGAAGAAATAGACTCTGCCATTCAAATGGACGAATTATGGGATTAAGAGACAACACCACAGCTGATAGGATACCCTAATCAGAGAAAGGAATTAAGTAATTCATTTAAGAAAGGAAGAAATAGCACATGTCACTATAACGTTTTGATAAAGATACCAGATTTGGGCACTGGACAATCACTTGTTTTTCCAATAATACACCAGTAATCAAAGCCAAAACCTGTTCACAAAGAAACTTGTTAATCGTTATACTCTAGATATCATGCGGACAACACTAGACACTAGAAAATACTTAATTTATGCTCAACCGTTGAGTATAGAAGCATGAAACAAACATGAATAAACAAAAGTATCCTAGACTTAAGAAGTCTGTAGGTTTCAAGCCACACATCACTAACAGCATGGGATTGGAGTTGCCTGCCCCACCAACTGAGGTTCCTGTTCTCTGGATTCGACTGAATATTTGATGGTTACAATTACACAAAATTTGTGGGAAACAGTCAGCAGTGGTACATGGTCTGTTCAAATTTTAGTGTCCAGTGTTGTACACTATGTTTCATTGTTGTGGCCTGAGTATAAATTACACCAATCCCACTTTTTTAGTCAGGGTAAGGCTCACCTATATATTTAAGTAAAAGAGAAAATGGTACCATAAGGGATGAATATGAAGGATATACTAATCTACTGTCCATTATTCACTTCCAGAGTGACCTGACAATTAGTAATAGTTTTGGGTAATATATGAAGACATATGTTGCTCATTCATAGAAAATGGGAAGAAAAGAATTGCCCTACAGAAAATTTAGGCACTAGAAACTACCAATCTGTGTCCTAGTGTCTAAGATTTTTTTAAAAACTTCTGTCCTTCTGAAGATAAATATTCTTTATCCCCAAAATATCAGATGGAATACATTGAACACTAACCAAGAATTTTAACCATCCGGTTTCCTTCAAATCCCACAAGTTCTTGATATATAGTCTTACCTGATTTCTCCTGTTTCAATTCATCCACTGTAGAATAATTATGTTTTAGACATGGAATCTATGGCTTTTGGTAGGAATGTACGGCCACTACCTTTTGGCTATGGATTGGTACAAGTAATATTTTAAAGGGCTGTTAATTCAGACAGAAATGAAATAAATTCTGTTAAAATCAACTTAAAACCATCTGTTAGAGGTTGTAACTTAAATACTACATCTACACTCACAGTCTTAAATAATACACCTACACTCACAGCCTTAAATACTACACTATTCGAAGTCGCTGTAACTTCATTAAATTTTGAACTGTCCATTTAACAAAATAAAGTGATGAAAAACAATGAAACATAGCTTGAGTAGAAACAAATTAAGTTAAAAAAAAAAAATTACACTCTCAAGAGAAAGAACTCTGCACAGTGCAGCCGTTGACCAGAGAGAGAGTGTAACAGCTTCCTCTGCAGCAGCTAATTTTAATTTGACCTTCAAAACCTCATCACGTCAGCAAGATTAAACTTTTGATTAATTGGCATCAAGAGACTAGTAAGTTATATTTGACAAGACTGACCTGAGAAGCTTCCTCAGAATTGTGAAGTTTACAATCAATATACTTCTCATCCTGGCCAAGGGCAGAAATAGAAGGTCGTTGATACTCAATGGACTGCAGATGCTCCAGTGGCTGAAAAATTATTTTACTTCCCCTTTCTGGAAGATGCATAGAATGATATTTACAAATTATCTGTAGCATATCATTTTTATTCTCCTACCATAGAAACAAGATAGATGGTGACAAGGAGCACAAGTTGCTGGATATTGATAATTCCATCATGAAATATAGGTTAAATTTGTGCATACTCTTGCCCGTTCCATGATGATATCATCTCTAAACTCTTCATCATTGTTGTATAAGGGATCATCCTCTCCCTCCGATGACATATTTCCAGCTGGGCTGCCAAAACAATGTAGTTATTTGTAAAAATACATAGGCGTTTGTTAGAAAGCCAAACCAAAGTAACTCCTAAGTAGCCAATAAACATAAAAATCAACTTTGAATAATATTGGCTGCATATCAGGGAAAACACACCCAATTAGAGACAACAAAACATTTTAATGTACCTAAATAATGACTCAAAACTTTGACAGTCTGGTGATTGCTTCCCGGGGCAGATATATGGGCTAGCATCTGGAGTTTGGCCACTGCTGGATTGGCATCCTGATGGCTCAGAGGTTGATTCATCAGAAGCAGGCAAATTCTTGTTATCCTTGTCTAACTCCCTAAGTTGGCAGTGATCTGATGTGTCACTGGCAGCACTCCCTGGAGAATGCAATTCCTGTCCAGAGGATACATCCTCATCTGAAATAATACCCGCTGCTGCTGCAGCAAGAGCTCCTGCACTCTCAAGTGGAATTGCTGAAGCCATCCAGTTGGTGTCACTTTCATTGTCAGGTGGGTCGACATTTGCATTTATATGGTTCTTTGACATAGAGTGTGAAAGTGCGCCATCAACAGCAGCCACTCCAGTGACAAACTTAGTGATCCGATTGAGACGTTCCTGTGCAATGATGCTGTATCCAGGCAAATGGAAAGTGTTGTAAATTGTTTGCTCACATAATGAAAACTTCAATCACATGAACGGAAGAAAAATAAGAGAATGAGACAAGAAGGAAATCAGTACAGACCTATTCAACATTTCATAGTGTAACTGAAAGAAAGGTACTCTGGTTAAGATGCAATAACAGCGTGGCGCAGACATCAAAAACCTACTGCGCCTAGACTTTGTTTGGGAAAGAGGTGCAACGCCATAAACAATAGGCGGTTTCTGTACAACCTCTTGTACATGCAAGCAAACACCATACAGTGTTGCGCTGTCTGCCACCTATTTACAGGCAAGTCGAGAGAAATAAGCAAGGAATGTCAGGAGAGAAAAATGACTTGTCAGGAGGGAAAAATGACTCGAACAAGTACCTTAAGAGAAAATATAAAGGATAGATCATCTCTGTGCATGTGTCCCTGAAGACAAGTTCAAATAAATAAATAAATAATCAGGTGGTGTTGCAGGATAAGGAAATTGACAGAAAATTGTTCCAAATTCCTCTGTAAATGCTGAGCAGTACAAACAGATGCATCTGCATACCTGTCCATAAACAAGCTCATTTAACTCACTCAATGATGGTGTTCTTTCCACAATGTGTGCCTGAGTGGGGAAAAAAGGAAGGTGAGCAATATTTGAAGCATGCATATTTTGCACCCATATTTATAAAAGAAAACGAAAAAGAAAAAGAAAAAAAGAAAAAGAAAAAGGTTGATGCAACAGAATTATACAAAATAGCAGCAGCATACTTAAGAATGCAATTAACTCAAAAAGTTACTCCTGGGAACATATATTAAAAGGAGAGTTGAATTCTAACCTTGATGCCTTCAGGAAAGCAAAATGCAGACAAATCCTTTGTATTCAAAGTCAGCTTCTTTCTGGGAGGATACTGAAATAGAACCTATTGGCGTGGGGATAAAATTTGAACAATTATTATTTCAAAATGGCGTTGTATTAAAGGCCTATTCATAAAATAACAAATCAATTGTGATGACATAAAACTGGAAATAATAAAACACTAATGAAAAGGCTACACATAGAGATGTTAAGGAAAGGTACGCAGTCTGCAAAATTAGATGTTGGTAGATATAAGTGAATGGTTAAGCAACAAAACCTCAGGCTCCAAAGTTGGAAATGTTGGCCGTCGACGCCGTATGTTGTAATCTGACACTTCAGCACTTCGCATTTCATGCTCCCATTTCTTTCTCCTGATGAATGCATCCTCAACAGCCTCAAGCTTGGCATCTGGATGGAGCCCCACAACAACGAAGTGTTCAAAAAGCTTGATTGGCTCTTTATATTTTTCTTGGTCCTACATTCAAACTTATTTGTTTCAAAATATGAGAACTGCAGAAATTCATAAACAGTAGTCACTCAAACACAAGGGAAAATAAAGAATAAACTATAAAAATACCAAATTACCAAGCATATACATATGGTTTTAAAAGATAAAAGTATTAAACATCAGATAAAATTTGGCATCCACTACACTAATATTTACTGGTGTAAGGTTGAGCCTCGAATACCTTATATCACTTAAGCGAAACCACTGAGATTAAGTTTCACACGGGAGGGTCACACTAAAAAGAGTTTACTGAACAGGCTTTTACAATGTCCTACAAGCAAAAGAGTTTACTGAAAAAGAACTTTGCTATGGATTGCCCTAAACCTAACAGAACAAATCATAATTACTAATAAACATCAAGCAAACTAAACCAGAAACACTGGAAAATCATTGGTGGCCATTAATGCAAGTCAACCGATTTATCTAAGTGAAAATTGCAGTTAATTACATAACTACTAGGAACAAAATTATTAGAGAATGGACATGTGTGCTTAATCAGTTAAAAATTTCAAGAAAGAAAGAAAGCACACACAAATACACATCATACCCTTGCTTTTGATTTAAGTTGATACCACTGCCTTTTCTGATATGCCAGAATCTCAGGATCAAAAGAAGAATAACGATTATCTTCACGAAAACTCTGACTGCCCCAGTTCAAAGCCCTTTGCATGTGAGACTTCCATTTTTGGAGATTACTAGAGCTACTGTTGTTCCTATGCAATGAAGGGATTATTTCACTATGAGCTCGCCTATGCCTCGGCGGTCCCTCAGTGATTCGAGCACTGAAATCCGGACTACCAGGAGACACAAGTGGAAATGCATCGGCAGCTATTCTAAGTGCTTCCTGAGACAATTGATTTAACACCTCCATTCGATTTTTTTCGTACAACCAATCCGGATTACTGTCACTATCTTTTTCATCCATTTTCATGGCCTAACCATGACCACTTTAGAAGTAATCTGAAATCTTTGTGTCAAATTCATGATGAACCATACAAATGTGCCGTTGCATCAAGACGACCACATTTCTCCAATCCTTGTTTTATGCAACACAAAAATGTACTCACAGTCCTGTCACAAGAACATCAAGTTACAAAGTGCAAGCTATAGCATTTTCATCAATAAAACTCCAACAGAAGCTCTAGTCAGCAATTCATGTGTGCATTAATTGACTTTAAGTAACTACAGTAAAATTGGCAGAGTTGTGAAACAATGGCCGGGCTTCGGTGTTTATCGATCCAACATATCGATTTTCTCATTAAAGTGACTTTATGAACAGAATCATTAGATGGGGTCCGAAGTAAGTAAACAAATGAAAGACTTCTTCTCTTTTGAATTTTCTATTTTCTTGAAAAGCAGAAAGGGAAATAGAAGCTATAAAACAACAAAGGGAATTGTTAATTTATCGATTAGAACACTCCACAGCGACGAGCACCGACCTGAATACAGGCCATGAATTCACCGGCGAATTGCTATCACTGCACCTTAATGTAATTCGATTCTCCCAAGAAAGAGAAAGAAGAGAGAGAGAGAGGGAGAGAGAGAGAACGAACAGGCACGCACAAGAGGATTGGTTCCAATGCATCAAATGGCGAAACGAAAATTTACAGAATGCCCTGATTTTCAAAGAATCATACAATCGGCGTTCGCAACTTTACACCCTTCCTCCAAAAGGAAAGAAAATGAATGCAATAAGCGCGGCCAGATTGAAGAAGAAATAGAAATACAAACAAAACCCTTGAGAGACTTTCAATGGAGGCAATGGCAATAATTTAAAAATAAAAACAAAAATAAAACCGTTCGTTACACGAACTCAGGAATTGCATCCAATCTTTTTCCAAACTTGTCGTCTTCCTCGACGAGCAAACAAACAACAATAAACCTCCAGTGGCGCGAACAAATTGATTGAATTCAAAACGTTAAAAACTAATTTGGGCGAAGGAAAATTGGAAATGCAGAATGAAAGCGGCAAAAGGTGGAAAAGGAGAACCTTGAATCACGGAGATCCGCACATGGTATGGTGATGTTGTTGTTGTTGAGATATGCAGAATTGATTGATGTTGATCCACACCACATCACATTCCATTCCACGAGGATTTATACCTTCTTTTTACTGAAAGATTCTTCGTTGCAGGCAGCAGGGAATTCTTTAATTAATTAATTGCATGAAACAAAACAAATGCACAGAATTTATTGCACTTGCCCACGTTGACTTCAAATTTAAGGTTAAAAATAAAGGAGACTACACAATACAACGGCACGACTATTTTGGCAAAATTACTCTCGGTTTGAAAAGTTTTTCCTATTTTATTATTATTATTATTTTTCAATTATGGTTTCAAAATTGTATGAAATTATTTTCATAACGTTGTGCATTCTTTTTCTTAGATTTTATACAATATTTCAAAATATGGTAATTTCATAACATTGTACGTTTTTTTCTTTTAGATTATATACAATATTTCCAAATATGATGCCGACTTTCCCTAAATTATAAGTACTTTTGTCAATTACATTAAATTAATAAATAAATCTTATTACATTTCTTCAGTTTGAATTATATGTAAAAAAATAATTTTGTCATGTCAAACTCAAATGTATTTATTTTTTTAGTTAACATACTTTACATTTTATATAATATTAAAAACAATATTATTAAAAAATAAATGGATTTAAAGATAAAATTATCTTGTTACTTTTTATTGTACTATTATTATAACATACTACTATAATTAAATACACGCTCAAATGAATATTTTAATAGGAATGATATTAGTTTTATAATGTGATATAAATAAATATTAAATGTATTTTGAATAAAAAAAATAAAAAATAGAGGTCTAATTTTATGTTTTTAGAAAAAAAAAATTAATGAATTAGCAAGAAAATTTTCATAATGGATGGTTCAAAATCTAATGATGTTACAGCGCCTTCTAACAGTGTAGTATTTAAGACTTTGAGTGTAGTCTGTAGATGTAGTATTTAAGTTACAGCCTCTAACAGATCAATGCAGGTTGGTACGTGGCGTACAATAATCTAAACGGCCTCTCGTCACAATTCGAACGTTCGATTTTGATTTTACTGGAATCTCATTTATTTTTTAAAGTTACTGTACTTTAACATTAAAAATATTTTACATTTGTATATTTTTTTCACAAACATCATTATAATAACACAGCAAGACACTGATAGAAATATTTTGGTCAAATTTTCTTAATTTATATTTACGTTTTCATATAATAATTAATACTCAAAGATAAAAAACTCAACAAATAAACGAAACTCTTCGGACGGAGATAGTATATTTTATATAAAAGTATGCTAGTCGAGATCACGTTACGAAGTAGCCGTGTTAGTAGCAACTTAACAGTGAAAATTACAAATGATATTTTTGCTCAGCTTCGATGCATCGTTCGATTTGGAGGCTTTGGATTATTTGGACTTGGCAATGACTATAGACGGATCGGGTCTCGATTCACTTGGGAGACAAAATAGTTTGAACAAAAGGTGGAAGAAAAGGAAAATAAATAGTTTGATGTCTCAATTCATGATTTCGAAAACCTTTAACCGCCAAATTGAAGCTTCCAACAAAAAAAATAAGCATAAATAGAATTTTAACAACACATTACACTTACCAATCTTCTCAGTTCTGTCTTCCCATCATCTTTCAATTAAACAAGGAAATAAGGTTGGACAACTCTGTTCCTGCGGAATCATATTAAAGCATGAGAAGAAAATGTCCATTGAAATTACAAAACATCTTGCCATGGAGAAATGAATTTGTGTCGAATTTTACAATTTTGGCAAAAATGATGATAATTCCGAGGAGACAGAAATACCTGCTGGGCTCACCACATTAGCAAACATATCAGGGCTACCGATTTCATGAGAGATTAAGATTGTAGCCATTCAGGGATATAATCAGATTTCAGTGAGAATTTTTCTTCAATGGTTCGGAATCCTGATAAACAAATTAAGCATGGTTATGAAAGCCAAACTGATAGGAATATCGGAGACAACTCATCTCCAGAGAATAAACTTGCAGATTTTAATAATGCATCATAAATAAACTGAAAAAGAACATAAAATATCAAGGGCGGCGAGAGAGGGAGAGAGTCAAATGCCTCTTGAAGAAGCTGAGCAGTGGATAATGACTTAAGCTGATTGTTTTGCATATTAGAAAGCAACTGGGCGACAGTGTTCAGATGAGGCACGCTGCAAATTAAAAATGACGGGGAAAATGTCAAATATAATTAGAACATGATCGAACATTTTTTGAACTAGGCCATTCATCAAATTGTCGTTATATTTGGGAAATGTATACATGAACAACACTCGTGAAAGATGAGAAAACCCGCGATAGAAGTAAGTGAAAACATGCTAGACGCTGAAGCATGAGAACCAGAATAAAAGAAATCAGGAGAGTGAATGAATGGTTGAAAGTTTTATGCATAGTGACAAAATATATCTGAAACATAACCAAAGATATTCGAACCAGACAAAGCATTTTCATTCAACAGAAACCTATGCCAGGCAGTAACTTCTATCGTTAAAGATTCTAAATGCATCATCTGATTTTATGCTTGCTGATAACAGTTGGATTATAATTCCCATATACACATCAATACTATATAACAAGAGACGCAAAGCCTGCCTCGCTTCACTCAATAAATCATAATTCATATCACACCATATTTCTCAATCGTAAAATTAAGGTGTGTTTGTTTGAGGGTTTGAATTTTGAGTTAAGATTTGAATAGTAAAAATTTTGAATTTTAATATGTATGATGTGATATAAATGGGTGTTGATGTGATGTTTTGAATGTAAAATTGATTTTTAGTATAATATAAAAAATGAGAAATAAGTCTTTGATTTGATGTTTTTTGGGTGAAAAATTTGGATGAATAGTGTATAGAGGGTAAAATCCCCCAAACAAACACACCGTTGGGTAGAAGAAACCTATTCATGTATGTTAACAACTACAAGTAATATCTATGTGCGAGTTATAACCAAAGATAAGGAAACCCACCCTATCCATCAGGCAACGACATATACAGATTAGATTCTAAACAACTTCACACAACAGTAAGGCTCAAATAGCTCAAAGGCAAGGAGTTACTTTAATAAACAAAGAAAGAAAGTGGATTGACCTTTGTAATCCTCTTTCAACATTTGCATCCAGTGACGAAATTACTTGAGGTAGTTGCTCCAAGATCTGCACCAAACTCCAGACGTTCGAAATCAAGACAATACATCCCTGACGATAAGGAATTCGAATATTATTTAAAATCGCCAAAAACCACACATACGAGCTCTGTATTTTTAATCGTCGAAGTCTTGGCCAAAAGGTTCCTCGGAAGCTTCATTAATTGTGCCTAAAAAAATATGGCATCCAATATTATCCACGCATGTTTTCCCATAAGCAAAGCAAAATTAATAAAACTCATGTAAACGCGACAGTAAGCAACTTCACCCTAACATGGAAATTCGGTTAAATTCTACCCGATCGCCTGAGAACAGCACGAAACAAATTCCCCACACAAAGCACCATATAAACTCATGTAAACGCGCGAATACAGTAGTCAACTTCACCCGAGTTTCCGAACAAACACAAAATTCGCGCTCGCGCGCGAGAGAGAGAAAGGAGAGAAAGTTACATGAGAGGGAGAGGACTGAAGCATGAGGTGGAGGAGATTCGAAGTGGACTGTACGGATTGGGAAATTTGATCCGCGACTATCGATCTCGCCGATCCTTCCCTCCGACCACCGCCGCCGGTCGCTGCCATTGCTTCGCCGTCTCCACTGAATAATCTAACTACAGAAAATCAGTCAAAATTTCATAAATCAATACAATACAATACACATCCGCTCCATTCATTTCTAGTTAACCCACGGGCTTCATCAGATAAAGGCCCATTTAAAACCCACATTGAGCTTTCAATTAATTATCGCATCAAATTACTGGACTAAAATTTAGGCCCACACCTAAATAAAGTCAGGCAAACTATTTCTTGGATATTTATTTGATATCTTAAAAAATGTAAAACTAATTTTTAATTAAATATAAAAATAAAAAATAAATATTTAATTTGTTGTTTGAAATAAAAAATATTGAATTTGTTGTTTGAAATGAAAAAAAATAAAATTGATGAATATTAAAAATTCAATAAAATCCGCACCCTAATTTATATATATATAGAAAATAACACAACAAAAATGTATTCTTCCCATTCCTAAATAATCATTAATTTAGACAAAGCTAAGCAACCAAAACATGATAGAAATCAAAAGTTCCCTGTGATCATATTATGTACATGTCAAAACAGGTAAAGCTGATACGTACATAGTCACCACAAGAGAAGGAAAAATGCAAGGAAAGCTCCACATGAAACTTGCTACCTCAGTTTTTATTTCGCCCGTTTCGGATCGATCGGTGTCCATATGCGTATCGTGTTGTCGTCGCTCGCCGACGCCAGCATCTCGGGCCGTCTTGGGTTCCAGCTCACACAATTTACGGTCATCTTGTGGCCGGAGAGGATCTCGATCGGGTGGGAGCTTCGTCGGTTCCAAATGTACACCTGTTAGGGACATGAATGATAAAAATTGGCTAAGTATATTGCAAAAGACTGGCAATGAATGAGCTCTTAATTTATGCATACCTTGGAATCTTCACTGCCGCTGGCAATAAACATGTTGTTCAACCCACCGAAGCAGGATCGAATGACGTATTTCTGCTGCCTGTGGCCCGTGTACTTCTGGGGTTTCGACCATCTCCCGGCAACGTCCCACATGTGAATCTCTTGGCTGTTGAGATTGACAATTAGAAACTCGCTGTCTTCTGATACCGAGAGAGAGGTTATCGAGTGCTCTTCAGAAACAACGCGTTCTGTGCTGGTGGTCAGGTTCAGTATCCGTATCTCTTTGTCGGAGAAAATGCTGATAAGGTTTTCCCCATCTGGGGTCACGGCGAGATCCAGTACTTTTGGCATACGCATCCCTTTCCATGCCTTGATCTCGTTGCCTTCGCAGTCCCACATGTAAATGCCCTTCTTGGGATCGGAGCTGCCGCAGACAAGGCGCTTGGAGTCAGGAAACCATGCACAGGAACTGACTATGAAGCCCTCGTCGCCAAAAGTGCGCTTGCATGTGCCAGTTTCGACATCCCAGAGTTTGAGGACTTCAATGTTTCCGCAAGTAAGTAGCATAGTGTCATCTGGACTCCATGCCACAAAGGAAACTGGATTTTTGTGGCTGCGTAACATGTGTTCCAGTGTCACTCGGTTATCGTCCTGCACCTGGAGAAGAAGAATACGAGGGCAATTCAAAAAATGAGATTTTTATACAATTGAGGTAAATGAATCGCAAAATGAGTTCAAACATTGAACAATGACCAAAGCATAAGCAAACCAAGGCACAGCGACAGGAAATAAATTCCATGAAGCAAAAAGAAACACAAAACAACTCGAAACATTTACATTGCAGGGACAGATTTCTATGATTATCGGAGATTACAAAATTCCCAAGCGCCATAGAAATTGCAACACTTTGCTGTGGATATCAAACAGTGCTCTTGAGGATGTCATAATAAAGTTACAATAGAGATTAATTAATGCCTCCATACAAGGCTTCTTGAACTATAGAACTTTCGTATGTGCACCTCACCTGATTTGGCAGTTGGAGTCACTCAAGCCACTAAGAGATTAAGTGTCCAACTTCACCAAGACCCATGCTTAACAAGTTAACTTCCTGAACAAGGGAAAAGAAGCCCCACAGATGGAGTAATTGTCAGTAACCTAAACCCTGGGCATGGTGTACATGTAAACAATAAATAAAGAATCTATATTACCACCCAGCCTTCATATTATTTTTAAGCAGCCATTGGGCCCCTCAATAGGAAACAAAAAACAATTCTTTCAAGTTTTTACTTTTTCCCTTGTGTGGATGCATGTGCAATCCATATGCCTACAAGAATGACTTTCTATGAAAATTGACAACATTAAATCCTAGACTCTAGAATAGGCACCAAACTTCACTAGCAAAAAGCAATATTATACAATTCTCTAGTAATTTACACTTTTAAGCTACAAATCAAGAGTTCACAAAGGGGGAGGGATACAATTTAAAAGCCTACTCTGCCCAGGTGCTATAGATGAACAATCATTATAACATATTCCCCCATTTTGTGGTGACAAAGACACCAGGCACGTTGGAGACATCTCTTAAACCACTCCCATTTTCAAATCCCAAGGAACTTGATGTTCAATAGTATGAAAAGCAAAAAAATAGCATATTATTTAGCAATAATGGGAGCATTCTTGGATTACTTAGTCTTTATTATGTATTCAGCTGACAACAAGAGTAATGCCAAACTCCAGGTGATATGGAATTGCCAATCATCTTAAATAATTATTCAGGCAAGAGAATGAAACAAGAAGAACAATAGACACATCTAGAAAAGCATAAAGATGATCAAAGCAAATTCTATAATATGATCAACTGCACGTGTCACAGTAATGCAACCAGAAGTTACAGTCCTCAGTATATATACATGAAAAAGAAAATATTAAAGGTCCAGGATGTTCATCTGATAATTTAGAAGAAAATTATACATGATTGGTTGGCCACAACTTTCAGAGAAAGAGAAAAGATATCAACCATGTTAGTTGAATATTTTACAATTTCTGTGGAAACCATGCCAGGTGACAACAGCAATAGTATGTTTCAAATAAATATCCAGAGAAGGTAGACCAGAGCATGCACCTTCCATATAATGGCCGTGCAATCTCTCGATGCTGATGCCAAATACTTCCCACTGTTGGAAAACTGAACAAACCATACTTCATTTTGATGATCAGTCAATATCTGCATCGAAATACGGCATAGGATTGGCAGATATAATAAATTGTTAGACAGAACATAAGGTAAGTATTGAACAAGAAAAAGGGTAAATGGCAGAAAATTCTTATACCATACTCAATATGGTTTAAGTAGCAATCCATTATTTCATCAATGCTTCCGTCACTGAACATCGCATTGCTAAACAACTAATAAATACAAATTGTGTTTTAGGAGCATTTTTATCCTCAACCTCATATTGAATGTTACAAAATCTAATCAATTGACCAAACAATGCATACAACCATCAAGTCATTATACTTAGTAGCATCGAAGGTTGATGGATGGCATCAATGCACAAAGGCACAAAGAAACCAGGCTTTTAAGAATGACATGGGAACAACATTATAGAAATTATTTATCCAGCACCATATAGTTGTTGCCATATGAACATACTCCCCGAAGAGAAAACAGTGAAGAAAATTTTCTTTATTTATGAAGACAAACTCTACAAATTTCAAGCCATAAGCTAATCTCATGTCTCATTGTTTATCCTACAATGTAACAAAAATTTTACACTCTTAACTTAAACATTTTCCTAATAAGACTCAGAAGAGACTATACATCGCCATTGAAATCTACAGAGCATGAAAGAATTAAAAATACAAAAAATCAGGTTACGACAAAAAATTGTTTTTTAAAAAAAAAAAAGGACAACAAATGATAGATTTAATTTATTTTTTTTAACATAAAAAAAATACTTAAGAAACTGTAACACTTATGTTGGTAAGCAGATTAACAAAGTCCATCTATTGACCTGTGTTGTCTCTGTTGGAAATTGATTTCGACTGCAGCGGTGGTCTGTATACAATGATATTTTTTCAGATGAGCAGTGGTGTATGCAGCCGTCAATCTGTGAGCATACAGCCATTTCAACCAAATGTTCCAGCCTTCTTTCAGGTAAAGTAATCGGCGGCGGTAAGACTTTTTCCAGCTTTGAAACCAATCTTCTTCGCAATTCAGCGATTTCGTCACCACTCATACAGCCCAAACCCCACTCTTGCAACAACAACAACTCATGAGAAAGCTTATGGAGCATTTCTTTTCCAACTTTCAAAGTAGAAAACTTTTTGCGTAGTATGTCCAGTGCCAGGGATATCTCGCCAGAATTCAAGTGCTCCAACAAACACTGCTCAAGAACAAGGAACAACGCTGAAGCTCTGGTCTCGTCTGACAGCCCACTTAACTTATCAAGGTTCTCTATGCAATCATCCCAATTTGCATTCAGTACTTGTCTTTCAAGTGATCCAAACTCTGAGGATTTGCATGTAATGCCAGACTCCGATTCCAAACAAGACACAGATTTAACATATCCCAGTGAATATAAACACTGAATAATAATCCGTACCAACTCATTCTTCTTAATCATGCCCTTTGGGCCGACAGTTATTCCTATGTTCTCCATTGTTTCAAAGAATATGACAATTCCAAAAGCTGTACTGCCTAATACTCTACAAGATTTACATCTTTTCAATCACAGTAATCATTCTCAACCAACCGTAGTCATAAACAGAGAGTGAGAAATTCTGCAGATGCCACTTCAAATGACAGACAACACGTGATCTGAAAAAAACCCATGCACGATAACAGTTCAATCAATACATAGAACACATAAACACGGAATTAAAATAATCAAGATAAACTAAAATATTGTATATACGAAATCAACAAAGATGAGCGGCATAAAGTTTTTCCGGGTAAAACCAGCACAAAACCAAGGGAACAATTAGAAATGAACACGAACTCACTGAATGATGGAACAAAAATACGATAAATTGTCGTCAATACTAACCTTTCATGGTCAATCGAACTGCGTGCTCCAAGCAAGTGAGTGTGAGACGCGAATAAATTGGGTGATTTGGGGATTTAGGGTTCGATCGGAACTCAAGAGCCCATAGAGATTTCGGAAAGGGCGGCCGATGAAAGTGACGTCAACTAGCGTTCGTTCACCACTAAAAAAATTGTTTAATTTTATTTGAGTAAATAATAGCAATAATAAGGATAATCATCTTCGTAAACCATAGAAGTGAAACTCGAGGGGCTAGGTCTTAAGTTATGTTCAGAAGTATTTTAAAAATCGGAAAAGTTTAAAAAAGTACTTCTATAATCTGTTATTTTAAATGGAATATTATTATCCATAACAAATGATATCATGTCTGTCTTATACAAAATGATATCTTTATATCAAATAATATTTTTGTATATTAGGTAAATTTTACTAATTTAATATATTTATATACATATTTTAAAATTTTTACATTTTTTTATATAAATGAATATTTTTATTACATTTAAAATTTTCTTTTTTAATAAGATTAATTATAAATAAATAAATATATTTTTTATTTGTATTATATAATATTAATCTTTATAAAATAATATTCATATTATATATTTTTTTATTAAGATATAATTTTTAAAATATTTATATACATATTTAAAAAAAAAATTAATCATATGTCTTCTTTTATTAAAAAAAAAATTACTAATAATATTTTTTACATAATAAAATAATATCATAATCTACTATTATTAATTAATTAAATAATATCTTATAATATTTATAGAGAACTTTGTCACTGATAAAATATTAAGTGAACAAACTTGTAGTATTTTATAAAAAATATCTTGTAAATTTACATAAAAATATATTATTGTCCACGAGATTTATCTGTTTTTTTTTTTTTACAAACAATATACATTTTTCATTTATATAGAAAATAACTTACTTCTTAATTTGTATTTTTCAATATTTTACTTAAGTTACAAACATTTACACATTCAATTTATTTACAATTTTATTTTACATTATTAACTCACTTTTCAAAAAATTTTACTTTATATTGTAATTAACCAATATAATACCATATTAATTAAAATTCATATTTATTTCATATAAATATATTTGTATAGATAAAAAGGAACAATATATATATATATATATACACAGACGAAGCAAACATGTATAAATTTGTTCTTGTGTAATTGGTCATATATTGTGCTTTAAATAATAATTATATGTTATATGAGTATTACATAAGAAAAATGTATATGAATAGTTGATTAATCTTATGTTGAGGTGATCAGATCAAGTATGATTGTGTTAGATAAAACACTATCGTATTTAACTTTACAACTTTTGACCATCAAACTCGAAACGAACATGGACGTGTTGAAAAAGAATGCGTCATATTGTAAAATGAATAGGAAGCCAAACATTAACTTATTATAAATATTTCAAATATATGTTATATATAATATATTCATGTGTATATACTCATCCTGAAATATTGTTGTTTTTTATGTCTATCCGTCCCAATATGTGATTGTTATTTTTTTTATTGCGATTAAAGACAATATTAATATTTAAAAATTTATTTGTAAAAATAAACAGTAAACTTTCTACAAGATGAAGAAAATATTATATTTTAATCAGTTATAACGTTTATTATTTGATTTTTTTATACAATATATAATTTTAATATAAAAAATAATATTTTATATTAAATAATACAACAATAAAATATATATTAAAAAAAAAGAAAGGAAAAAATCAGAGATCCCGGTGTATTTGTTTGCGGATTAAATTTTCAATCAACTATTCATTTTATTTTTTTCCCTAAAAACATCAAATTAAATACATATTTTTTATTTTTTATATTATACTAAATATTAATTTTACATTCAAAATATCACATTAACAACTATTTATAAAATTTAAAATTTTTACTATTCAAATCCCAACCTAAAATCCAATCCGCCAAACAAACAAACCCTTCAATGTTATTTTCCATTTCCCAATCCACATTGTGCGCTAGGCTGAGCTCATACCATTCATCGTCTTCTATGGAGACAACCATATCGCTCTTACACCATGCTCCAGCCCACGCTCTGCTCAAACCCTCGCGTCTACTCCACTCTACAATTTCTCAGAGGTATTTCTCCCTCTACTCCACTAGTTCGGATTCAAACGCCTGCCCAGGCTGAAGTCAAGCTGGATCTGCTGAACTGAATCTTCACTTTCAGCACGTTTTAGAGTTCTCTGTGTGTGCAGGGTTAGAATGTCCGCCGCAACGCCGCCGCCTCTTCCGGACAATCGCGTTGTTGTAATTACTATGCAGTTATTCTTTCCCCTCCCCCGCCTCAAAGAGAATTGATGTTGGTATTGATTCGCTGTTTGTTGTCGGTACACGATGAGTGGTTTGTGGTTGACTATGCAGTTAGGTTGCGGAGCTGTGTCCGTGGACTTTTTGGCGGCTGTAGCTTCTTATCCGAATCCTGACGATAAAATCAGAAGCACTAGTTCTAAGGTATTAACTACCACTTGAAGAATGTCACTGTGTACATCAACGTTAGTTTAGAATTGGTAATGTTATCAATTATCATAAGTACGCGGGGAATTTGTTTGTTTTGGGAACAGGTACAAGGAGGTGGGAACACAGGGAATGCATTAACCTGTGCTGCTCGATTGAGTCTTAAGCCTAAAATTATATCTAAGGTTCATTGATTTCTTAAGCTGCTCTATTTAAAATCGTGTATTGATGATTATGTCTTAAATGCGGCACTTGTTGTCTAGGTTGCCAACGATCCTCAGGGTAAAGCAATACTGGATGAGCTAGAGGCTGATGGTGTTGATTCATCATTTATTCTGGCAAGATAAATAAATTTGTGTAAATTTCACTTGATAGTGATAAACAATGTTTTTTTAAGCTGTTAAGAGGTTAAGAATTGTACATGGACATATCTCATTATTACAATTCTTAACGGTTTCATTTGATTTTATTTTCAGGTCTCTGAAGGGGGCAACTCACCCTTTACCTATGTCATTGTTGACGAGCAGACGTGAGTGTTTCTGCATCGATCCCCTGTTTCTATATTGTTTTGTTTTCTTAATTTGTGTCTTAATTTACTTTGAGCTTTTCTTCTTCCAGAACAGCATTTATTAATTTTTTTTCCATGTTTAGCTTTTTAGTCATATCAATCATTTTAATGTATATATATCATGTTAATTATGTCCAAAGCCTAAAATGGCATGTACTTTGTGATTGTTGATATTTAATTCTTCACAGTGATGGAGTTACGATTGTTTTGTATTTGCTGTGATATTTTATCTGCGTTCTACTGGTGCATTAATAATCTAAAGTGAGTTTTAACACAATACTGAAACTTGTATAATGTATCCTACAGTTCGCATGCACACATTGAATCCTTAGCTTCTCCGGTATTAGGCTCTGATTGTCAAGATTGCTCTAGCATTCTAAAGGACATAATACTGAATAATCCATATTTTTAATTTCTAAATGTTTAAGCATGAGTTGAAGCAAAATCACATCTATTGCTCTTTGTTATTGAATGTAGATAATTTCACTTCAAATGAAAGAAGAGTTGACGCAAGTGGTCGTTGGAGTCAATCATCCTTGTTACTTTCTTTTCAGGAAAACTAGAACTTGTATTCATACTCCAGGATATCCACCCTTGACACCAGATGAGCTAACAGAACCCAATTTGTTGGCAGCTTTGGATGGAGCATGTCTAGTGTATTTTGATGGGAGACTGCATGAGACTGCTCTAGTTGTAGCTCAGGAGGTGACTGCCACTTGTTCATGTTTTCGTTTTAAATTTGTACTTGTTTCTACTAAGCTTACGTGTTTTAGATCTTGAGTGTATACAACATTTGTCTTATTTTCCAGTGCAGGCATCTCGCAGAGGAATTCCTATTTTGATTGATGCCGAAAGAAAGAGAGAAGGGTTGGATGATCTTTTGAATTTGTCAACCTATGTCGTATGTTCGGCAAAATTTCCACAGGTGTGTCTACATGCACCTATACAGTATTCTCAAAAATTTCCCCTGCTAGGTTGCTCGTTTAATAAAGATCATAGCATGGATTGGCCCTCTATGAATGTACAACTCCAATGGTAAATCAAATAATTCAATTGCTTCAGTATGGGTGTATGTGAACCTTTCTGTGCTAACCTGTCTCTGATTCATTGAAATGGTAAACTGAGGAGCTTTGCACCCCCCAGTAAACCATCGTTATGACAGGTTTAGGTAAACCATTCTAGGATGATAGAATTGAATTAGATGTTACTAAACTATTCTAGGTTTTTCCATCAAAACTACTGGATGGCACACACAACAGCAAAAATTTCAGAAGTAGAATCATTTTCGCTAAAAGATTAGTGAGACCGATCGGTTCTCTACCTCTCAGGCATGGACAGGTGCTCCATCTGTCCCAAGCTCACTCCTTTCCATACTTCTAAAGTTGCCAAATATCAAATTTGTTGTGGTCACATTAGGCGAGGATGGTTGCATGATGATGGAGAGGTCAAGTGGTATGTAACATTGTGCTTTTCCTCACAGTACATATTTGTTTGTTAAAATTCGGATGCATATGAAAAAACGGATATATATATATATATATTTATCTTTTCATGTACATTTCTTATTTACATTTATTCTCTGCAGAAAATACTCTAGCTGAGGAAGTTGATGTGGATGATTTATTCACAAAACTCAAACAAGAGAAGGACAGCGATGCAATCCTGCCTACAGTTGTATCATCGGTAATCAGTAGAAAGCTAACAACTATATAACAAAAGCCTGCTGTTTGGTTAACGGAGTTCCTTGATAGATTTTATATATCAGTGGCCTTAGTCTGTCTTGGGCAAAAACAAATAGTTTTTAAGCTTCGTTGCAAAATGTCATCAAAATTCAAATGGTTGCATTGCACGGGTATCTTATCATTCTAACTTTTTCTTCGAACTTGCATCTGACTACAAAAATCAAAAGAACTTTGCATGTTAAAGAGTAGGAGAATATAAGGGCCAGACCCATTATTGTTAAGTCTCTTAGGCTTTTTAATATTATCAATAATGTTCAAATTCTGATTGGAGTTTTTCATATTTATATGTATCTATTCTGTTTATTTATAAATCGTAGTGTTACGGCACATTTATTTTGATTGATCAAATATACACTGACCTGTGTGATTAATAATCAATCAATGAAATTTATTTGGATTGAGACGTCGAGAATATCCATTTAAAACCAGTAGTATTCTAATATTTGGTTTCTTTAGTCCAGTTTTTTCAGTAACACTGAGTCTTATGATTTATCGGTGACTGAAATGTTAATTAACATGTAATTTCCCAATAACCTCCTCCCACAACTTTTAATTTGTCAGAGTTCCATGAAACTGCATGCAAAGGGCATCGGAACCATTGTTGGGAGGTTACTTTTAGGAACGGCCGAGAAGATTCCACCATCAGAACTCGTCGACACCACCGGCGCTGGCGACGCATTCATTGGAGCTATTCTTTACGGTCAGTGAAACAATAACCATCAAACATTAATTGCCACACAAAGCTAAGTCTGGGTCTCTTTTAATGCCTACATGTAACTTTACTTTGTCGTCAACATTTACAGCACTCTGTGCCAACATGCCTCCCGAAAAAATGCTGCCTTTCGCTGCTCAAGTGGTTAGTTCAACATTTAATGTTTACAATTTGTTACATAAATAATATCGTAGTAGCGCTGTATATGATATTTTTCCATGGCAATCTTATGACATCCTAGTATGGCTCCTCGAATATCAGGCTGCTATTGGCTGCCGAGGTTTAGGTGCCCGAACAGGTCTCCCACGCAGCACAGATCCTCGCCTGGTTTCTTTTTTAAACTAGAAATCCCAAGCGAGGCCGGATATAGTGTATATCCGTTGGCTGGCCTGAAAATGGCTCGCGGTCATGGTCGTCGACTTGGGCTGGTTGTCATGGTGTTTCTTACAGGATTTTTCTGGGCTGATATCTTGCTATACCTCCTGGAACACTTGCCTTGATCTTATTATCATTACTAGTTTTTATCCAAACAAGATTGGTGATTTGAAACTCCTAAAAGATTGTGGTTATTTTTAGTGAGGTATAAATGTTACGTATAATAGTATTTGTAATAAAAACATGAAGTAGATATTTAAATATAAATATTATAATAAAATTAAATATGTAAGCAAGATAGTCAACCAAAAGTGACAGTTACAAGCCCAGTTGGGGGCATTTATAGCATAGTTGGGAACGGTTTGAGCCGACCATTGCGGCGGTGACATTTGCATACATATATATATATATATTAATCACAAATTCAGGGTGTAAGAAACGTATATATGCTTGTGAAGTGTTCGACAAATTAAACAATAATATAAAAATAAAATAAAATAAAATATTTGATTGATAGTATTATTAAAAATGTGTTGTCTTTATAGGTTCGATTTTGAACTGGAAAGGTGTTTGGGAAAATGTCAAAAGTAAGAAAGGGCAAGAGAGCTGTTTAGCTGTAGCACAAGTGGATCAGATATACCACAACCTCCACGGTGCTGTTTTAAATAGTGGTTAGGAGATAGTTGGGTAGTTTTTATTTAGATTTAATTTAAAATTATTGTCTTCAAATATTGTAGAACAAAATGAAAAAGGATAAGTAATATTATGCACTTTCAAATATTTTGTTCATAAATGTTTTTTTTTTAAAAAAAAAAAAATTAGATATGAAAAATTGTATTGATAATATAAAATATTAATATAATTTGTGTTGAATTATTATTTGGTGAACAAATCCTATATATTTATATCTATTTTCTAATAATAAGAATATGGATTGTATAACAAATTTTGCATATAGTTATATGTTTATTTTAAAATATAAATGTTATTTTACTTAATTGTTTTTTATAATCAGTAAATTAAAATCTAGAGCATCCCAAATTATAATAATAAAAACAACAGCAAACACACCGGAAATCTTTTGCTGGAGCAACTAACATATAAATTATAATTAATCCACCAGTACTTGAGCACTGCACAGGAAGGTTTGGATAAAGATTTCTTGATTTTCACGAATGGAATGGAATAAATAATAATGATGCAAGATTGTATTGCACTTGTACCAATATCCCAACCAAACTTACGTATTTACAATTTACGTATATTCCATTTGTATCTATACTCTACTTCTATTTGCTATATAAAATAGAATAGGCATACGATATAATATAAATAAATATTTATATCATATGTTAAATTAAATTTTAATATTCCCTCCGTTATGTATAAATTTACTTTTTGTGCGTAAATTTTAAATATTAGTATTATATTGAGTTGTAGTAAAAAAGATGAAAATATTCTTATTAGTATGATATAATATAAAGATGGTGACATTTGTGTAATATATTTTAAGTTTAAAGAGTATTTATTATATTAGAAGATAATGCAATTATTAGCAAATAATATCTTTGTTTCGCGAGAGACGAAAATGAAAAATGAAACATTTGTTATTGAAAGGCTAGAGTATAATACTTATAAAATAATAAAATAAATATTTTTGTTTTTTTTTTTTAAAATTGTATAAATAATAAAAGTTTTGCAAAATTTTTCAAACACAGATCTTGTTTTTCCCTTCAAAACTGACTCTTTCTGAGAAAAAATTTTAATAAAACATTTCAAAGACAATTTTGACCTCGCTGACTGTTCACACTGGGGGGCCCACTAGAAATCTCTGTCGGCTCCATAGTTGTAATAAAACGTATTCGCAAGGACATTAATGGAACTTGACGCATTTATTTCTAATTTTCAATATTAATTAATTAATTAGTTTTCAAAAAAAAATAATTTGGGTGCTGTTCTGAAAACCGAAGGACCAAATTCCGATTACTGTAGGGGCAGATTGAAGAGCTGAAGACTGCCGTTGGACAAAAAATGAAAAACTTAATAAGAAAACCCCAGAGAAAGAATTGCAAGATAGAATATTCGTTTACTTGGTAGAGCAAGAGGTGGGTTTGGTCAAGTTTTAAAATTTCAATCTTTTTCTTCACACACTATTTCTTCATTTAAAATTTTGTCGCTCCCGTGAATGCCGATTAATTGCCCTTAGTATTCATTCACTTTCCGTTGAAATTTTGGGGGGACGAATATGTGAAGTTCGTATTTCTATTGTTCTTGCGGCAGATCTTGGTTGGTTCCTCGTTTTTTCGGCGCGATTTTTTGGTCTTTAAGTCTGCAGAATCGAAGAGCTTGTCTGTCAGAATAGAGAGGGTTTGTTGGATTGGAGTGATTTGGGGATTAGGTTTTCGATTTTTTTTGGGAGGAGAAGCAGTGTCATATTGATCTGCTTCTTCTCAGCTGCCATTTATGTGTATTTTTTAATTCGAGATTTTATTGTGGTGAGAGCTGTCGTCTTCGCCGAGGAGGAGGAATTGCAGTTCTTGATCTGACTGAAGTTGCTGCAAAATGGTATGGGGTTTTATTCATTGTTCTTGATTTGTTTTTGAATGGCCGTTTTGGATAAATTTGTGTCGTTTTTACTAAGTTATTTTGGTTCTTGATTAATCTGCTTCTTTCTTGTTTTTGGTTGCTGTTCGAAGCCACTGACGCTGTCTTCAATGGTGGGAATGTTTTGTTGTAGGAATATTTTTGGAAATGGGGATTAGTTATGTGGGGAAAATAAGAGTGACATTTTTCTACTTTTTAGATATTATTGAAACAACCGATTTATAAGCTACCATCAAATTTACCTAATTTTGAAAATAATTATTGCGTGACACAAATATGAAATTTGTAACCTTTTAGAGCAATGGGGAGGCTATTAAGAAGAGGTGGAAGATGAGTCGGGTGTTAAGCTATCGAACATTTTGTTTTTGGGCTGATCGAATCTGGAGAAAGTTGTGCAAGATCCTAACACTCAATTCAAATTCTCGGAAGTTTATGTCCTGATCATGTGCCATCCATTTATAGGATGTTTTGCAGAGTGCTTGTGTTTCATTCATTGATTGAATTCTTTGACATTTCCGCTTTTGATAGATCTATACTGATAATACTTCATCATTCAATACTTATAGTATTAAATAATATTGAAGTATTCAATCTAATAAAGCACAATGTCTGCACTTTTTGCAAGATTACGCCAATTAAGGACAATGGCTTTGTGCTCATTATTTAATCGCACCATTTCTGTAACCTTTTGTAGGTTGCTTCAGCCAGTTTAGGAGTTGGTTCTAAAGTTTGGGTGGAGGATCCTGACATAGCTTGGATCGATGGAGAAGTTGTGGCGGCCAGTGGGGATGAAATCAAAGTCCTCTGTACATCTGGGAAGACGGTCAGTTCTTTATAATCACCTGAACATTGCATCGAATCTTTTATCTTTTAAAAGCAATAGATTCAATCAGATTGCTTATCTCTATCACTTCCTGTTACAGTTTCGTTTTTAAAGTTAGTAATAGTTTTAAAAAATTCATTGTCAATTCTCCTATTGTAGAAGTAATGGATCAGGTTCACTGTTTGGTATTTTTCCCTTTAGTGAATGATTTTCGGAAATAATTTCTGATGATACTAATGCCAGCAGGTTGCAGTCAAGTCCTCCAATGTCTACCCCAAAGACGCCGAAGCCCCGCATTGCGGGGTGGATGATATGACGAAATTGGCGTATCTCCATGAGCCGGGAGTTCTGGAGAATTTAAAAACTAGATACGACATCAATGAGATATATGTAAGTAATGTGTTATTTTTTAATCAATGCACGAGAAAGTGAGTTTCTTGTTTGTGAATATGCTTGTCTAACCGATTCTTTGTAATATATATATATATATATAATTTGCAGACGTATACTGGAAATATATTGATTGCTGTGAATCCTTTTCAAAGATTACCTCATCTCTACGATAGTCATATGATGGCCCAATATAAAGGAGCTGCCTTTGGTGAGCTGAGTCCGCACCCATTTGCGGTCGCCGATGCTGCATATAGGCATGGATGGCTTTTGATTTGACGAATGATTTCTGTATATATGTGTATATATAATTCGAATAAGGAGGCTTTATTTGTTTCCACAGGCTTATGATAAATGAAGGAATAAGCCAGTCAATATTGGTTAGTGGCGAAAGTGGTGCAGGTAAAACGGAAAGTACGAAATTACTAATGCGATATCTTGCTTACATGGGCGGCCGATCTGCGGTTGAAGGAAGGACAGTGGAACAGCAGGTTCTTGAGGTAATAATCGCTTCATAAAGTTAGTAGCGTCGATAATGGAGACTTGATTTAAGTAAGATATCTTGTTTCTTCGTATTGCAGTCTAATCCTGTTCTTGAGGCATTTGGTAACGCAAAGACAGTGAGAAATAATAATTCGAGGTACTAAAGACTTGTATGCAGTGTATAACCTCGATCGAATCTACAATTATGGTATGTTGATACAGCTAGTTCTTGCATAATGATAATTGCAGTCGGTTCGGTAAGTTCGTTGAGATTCAGTTTGATCAAAGGGGTAAAATCTCCGGAGCTGCCATCAGAACTTACTTGCTGGAAAGATCTCGTGTTTGTCAATTATCCGATCCTGAGAGAAATTACCATTGTTTCTATATGCTTTGTGCTGCTCCTCAAGAGGTAATTATATTAATTTCGAAACGACAATACTTTGCTTTCTGAATGGCTTTTTTTTTTTTTTTTGCTAAACGTGACGTTTATAATCATGTCATCCAGCTAAATTTATATTATTTCTATCTTAGCTGATTGCTTTTAATCTCAGGAAATTAAAAAATACAAATTGGGGAATCCAAGAACGTTTCATTATTTAAACCAGTCAAATTGTTACGAGCTTGACGGGGTTGATGATGCCAAAGAGTATAAACTGACTAGGCAAGCAATGGATACAGTGGGAATCAGTTCGGAGGAGCAGGTGTTTACTTTACTTTAAATCAAGATATCGTCAACTACATACCCTTGTTTATTCTTTTATTCTTTTTTTTTTTTCACAGGATGCAATATTTAGAGTGATTGCTGCAATCCTCCATCTCGGGAACATTGAATTTGTGAAAGGGAAGGAAGCTGATTCATCTTTGCCGAAAGATGAAAAGTCTTGGTTCCATCTAAGAATGGCGGCCGAACTTTTCATGTAATCGAGTTTAATAAGACTAATATTAACTGATGTAAACTGTTGTAATGTATCCATTGAAAACCTTCAGCATTTTGCAGGTGTGACGCAAAGGCTTTGGAGAATTCCCTCTGCAAACGTGTAATTGTGACCCGTGATGAAACCATCATCAAAGATTTGGATCCAGAGGCTGCTGCTTCTAGTCGAGATGCTTTGGCCAAAGTTGTCTACTCAAGGCTGTTCGACTGGTAAGCATTTGGGTTTTTTAAAGAGATGGTGCATTAACAAGCTTCCTATTCGAATCATAGTTTCTTAGCTGCATTCTGTTAAAATTGTTTCTTATTTGTAGGCTTGTGGAGAAGATCAATAGCTCAATTGGTCAGGATCCTAATTCGAAATGCTTAATTGGGGTTCTCGACATCTATGGATTTGAGAGTTTCAAGACTAACAGGTGCTTTAGCGGTATGCTATGTTTTTGTTGTTGATGTGATCTGTAGTAATAATAGTAGCCGTGTAGCCAAACAACTAAGAGTTTTTCCTTGCCTCTGTCAAATTGTTTCGGTTTATACGTATATACTACATTTAGCTTGCTGTTAACTGTTATGCACCCGATTTTGACGTTTGTGGATTCCCCACTCAGCTGATTCTTGAATCTTTATCTTATTATGGTCAACCTGGAATGTATCTTTTCGTTTTATTTTGTAGCCGATGTTATCTTCTCATTAGTAATAAGTAATCAAGACACATAGAAGTTCGTAGAATGAAGTATGAAAGTAACAACATCAAGAAATTGCTACCTGCCGAGGACTTGGATTTCTTGCTGAATATAAGCAAATTTCTCGATATATACTTTAAATTTTGAGATGCCAAATAACGAGACTAGAAATCTTGGTTTTATGGTTGGCGATTAATTTCATCAGTTTCAGTTTCGAGCAATTATTTGATCTTTGTTGAGATGAAGAGGTGCAAGTTTTTCTCCTGATCATGCTAATTGTAATCGAAATTTTTTTTCCCCAGTTTCGAACAATTTTGCATAAATTTGACCAATGAGAAGCTTCAGCAGCACTTTAATCAGGTATGCTTTTGCATGCTATTTACTGAAACCGTGATTTATTCAGTTTTATGACTCTCAGAATTCCTTGTTTTCCAGCATGTGTTCAAAATGGAGCAAGAGGAGTATACGAAGGAAGAAATCAACTGGAGTTACATTGAGTTCATCGACAATCAAGACGTTTTAGATCTCATCGAAAAGGTGATGCAATACCTGTGGCGAACTTTTTATTATTTCCAATTTTTGATCCTCTCTCCGTTGTAAATATTTTTCTTTTCAAAAACTTGCAGAAGCCCGGAGGTGTTATCGCACTTCTCGACGAAGCTTGGTGAGTAATAACTATTTGTAGGCTTGTAATTATCTCCAAGAACTATAATATTTCCTGAATTTTATGTTTTTATTTCTCCATTTTTTGTTTCTTTCTGTAGCATGTTTCCACGATCGACTCATGAAACATTTGCTCAAAAGCTGTATCAAACATTCAAGAACAATAAACGGTTCAGCAAGCCTAAATTATCACGCACCGACTTCACCATTTGCCATTATGCTGGTGATGTAAGTTCAAATATGATTTCACTTTCTGATCACTTCTTTACGATAAATTTCACTGGGCGGGGCTACCCCGAAATGTTTAATAACAAATAAGGTTGTTCTTGCCAGGTTACATATCAGACCGAGCTTTTTCTCGACAAAAACAAGGATTATGTCATTGCTGAACATCAAGCCCTGTTGAATTCTTCTGAATGTTCCTTTGTCTCGGGCCTATTTCCAATATCTAGTGAAGAGTCTTCCAAGCAATCAAAATTCTCTTCTATCGGATCAAGGTTTAAGGTATGGAATTGCTCCTGTCACACTATTTTATTACTCGTCGAGGTTCGAAGTTCTTACGAGAATGTGCCGTGCAGCTACAATTGCAATCACTGCTCGAGACTTTGAGCTCCACCGAACCTCTTTACATCCGCTGCGTGAAGCCAAATAATCTTCTTAAGCCAGCTATATTCGAGAATCAAAATGTCCTCCAACAACTACGTTGTGGGGTAACATAAAATTTGTTACTGTTACTTTTTTTCCTTTTTTTTTCTTTTTTCCGTATGACATGTTAATGTGTTTGTACGGTACGAACAGGGAGTCATGGAAGCAATTAGGATAAGCTGTGCTGGATATCCTACAAAAAGACCCTTCTTTGAATTCGCTGACCGCTTTGGCATCCTTGCTCCTGAAGTTTTAGATGGAAGGTGTTATAATCAATTCAAAGTTTATATATATATATGTTTTCGTCTGTGATTGGGTGATATTCGTGTATTCACTTCGATTGAATTAATGTTACGATAGTACGGATGAGATCGCTGTTTGCATGAAGCTTCTAGAGAAAGTGGGACTAGAAGGATATCAGGTGAGAAAATTTATGTTTTAGATACAATTTTTTCTGTATATATGAAAAAATCATTTCTTGCAACTCTTCGTCGGAAAGATCATTAATTTTCTATGCAAAAATCGAATTCAATGTCTGCCTTTTTGTGCTCTTTGCAGATTGGCAAAACAAAAGTGTTTCTGAGGGCAGGTCAGATGGCTGAGCTGGACGCTCGGAGGACTGAGGTGTTAGGAAGATCTGCAAGCATTATCCAGAGGAAAGTTCGATCATTTCTGGCACGAAAAAGCTTTACAGTATTGCGCCGATCGTCTATTCTCATTCAATCAGTCTGCAGAGGTAATCATCTCTTCGAATCTCTCTCCATATATAAATGTGGTTTTATTTTTACAATTTGAAATTTCAGGAGAACTTGATCGACGCGTTTATGGAAGTATGCGGAGAGAAGCTGCCTGTCTCCGAATTCAGAGAGATACACGAATGTACCTTGCTCGAAAAGCTTACAAAGAACTTTACACTTCTGCTCTCTCGATTCAGACAGGGATGCGTGGGATGGCTGCTCGTATCGAGCTTCGATTTAGGCAGCGAACAAAAGCAGCTACTTTGATCCAGGTACTGTTGGCTTTCAAAAAGTTAGCAGAATATCATAACTTGTCTTTTTCGATACGACTCAAATGATCAACGACTTATTTGTATGATTGCAGACTCATTGCCGCGGATTCTTGGCTCGTGTAGAATATACAAAGCTGAAGAAGGCTGCTCTCGTCACACAATGTGCGTGGCGATCGAGAGTCGCTCGTAAAGAACTGCGTAAATTGAAGATGGTAATCAATTTAGTCTTGATTTTGATTTATGAGCGAGTAAAACCTCTTGTTTTTTTGAATGTTGTTATCGTCTCAATTCACAGGCTGCGAGAGAAACCGGTGCTTTACAAGCTGCCAAGAATAAGCTAGAGAAGCAAGTTGAAGAATTGACTTGGAGACTACAGCTGGAGAAACGAATGCGGGTAAGATATATATATATATATGTGCATATATTAGAGTCACAATATAATTTAATTATTGATTTCGACTTTTATAGACCGACCTAGAAGAAGCCAAAACACAAGAGAACGCGAAATTACAAAACGATTTACAAAAGCTTCAGCTCAAGTTCGAAGAAACCAAAGACATGTTACTGAAGGAAAAGGAGGCTGCAAAAATAGCAGCCGAGCAAGTCCCTGTTATACACGAGATTCCTGTTGTTGATCATGAGCTGATGGATAAGCTCAGCTCCGAGAATGAAAAACTCAAGGTACAATCTCGACGACTAAATTCGAGCTATTTTAACGTTAAACGTTAGACATTGAATACTCGTTGTTGGCGCATTGTGTTTACGTGTTATTGCAGGCCTTGGTTACGTCTCTGGAGACGAAAATAGTCGAGACGGAGAAGAAATATGAAGAGACGAATAAACTTAGCGAGGAACGGTTGAAGCAAGCCATGGAAGCGGAATCCATGGTTGTGAAATTGAAAACTAATATGCACTGGTTTGTTGCTCGTCGGACCTTCTTATCATTTGGTTGTTATTTTGGAGATTCGTCGATATTGTATGATTATTGTTCTTCCTTGTATGTAGGCTTGAAGAAAAAATTTCGGACATAGAGTCGGAAAACAAAGTGCTTCGACAGCAAACGTTGCTAACAACTTCAGGCATACCAACCAAGGTCGATTCCTTGCGAGAATTACACCTTTTGTTAGATTCTTTCGGAATTTAAGGCTAATTGCTTAAAATGTGTTGCAGGGATTGGAAAATGGGCATGTTATTAAAGAATCAATTCGATCGAATGTACCGTGTTCTTTCTCAGTCTACGTATTCGTTCTCTGTTCTTCACTGTTGAATTTTCCGTTGAATTTTTTGTCGATTTCTGTAGGATGCTATGCAGACTCCGGTAAAAGCTCATGAAATCCTCGATGGAAAACCTAGGAAACCCCCGATCGACCGCCAACATGTAATGAAGAAATTATTGTCTCGTTTCGGTGTTTTATAATTTAATGGCTTTCCGAGGGGACGTAATAGTGTATTTGTAACAGGAGGACGTTGACGCTCTCATGGAATGCGTTAAAAAGGACGTCGGCTTCAGTCAAGGGAAACCCGTCGCAGCTTTCACGATTTACAAATGCCTTCTACACTGGAAATCCTTCGAAGCTGAAAAGACCAGCGTATTCGATCGTCTTGTACAGATGATTGGTACAGCTATTGAGGTAAATATCAAAGAATCGTGAGCTAGTGTTCTAGAACAAAGAGTAATTTGTAGTGCCGACTAATTTCAGGACGGAAACAGCAACAATCACATGGCTTACTGGCTGTCGAATACGTCGACGCTTTTGTTCTTGCTTCAGAAAAGCCTGAAACCCGCCGGGTCAGCTACCGCAACTCCGGCCCGTAAACCGCAAGCGACATCCCTCTTCGGCAGAATGGCAATGGTACTGTCGCATAATCGAATTTCTACCGTGGCGAATGAAAAAATTGGTTCAAGAAATAATCAATATAAATAAATCTGTTTTGTTATGTTTTTCAGGGATTTCGATCGTCGCCGTCTTCCGGGAACCTTGCTGCCGCAGCTGCAGCTGCAGTGGAAGCCGTACCCCAAGTCGAAGCCAAATACCCTGCTCTGCTTTTCAAGCAGCAGCTTGCGGCATATGTCGAGAAAATATACGGAATCATTCGAGACAACTTGAAAAAGGATTTGGGAGCGTTGCTCGCTTTATGTATTCAGGTATGTTTGTACATATATTTGTGTGAAAGTTCTTGCTCGATTAAGTTCTTACATCCAAACGAGAAACTTGTCGTGATTAATTTCAGGCTCCAAGAACCACTAAGGGAAGCGTTCTAAGATCGGGGCGATCGTTCGGCAGAGATGCTCCCACGAATCATTGGCAGGGAATCATCGATTCTCTCAACTCGCTTCTCTGCACCCTCAAAGAAAATTTCGTATGGATCTATCTCCTAATTCATATATATATATATATATATGCATGTATAAAATGTAAAATGCTAACAAATGCGACTCATCAGGTCCCTCCTGTTCTTGTTCAGAAGATTTTCACCCAAACATTTTCATATGTTAATGTGCAGCTCTTCAATAGGTAATTTTAACTTTTCGATACCTCTCTGCGTCAATAATTAATTTTAGGTTATATTAACGTTTGTATATATATATATATGTATTATGTAGTCTTCTGCTTCGTCGGGAGTGCTGTACATTCAGCAACGGGGAGTACGTCAAAGCCGGGCTAGCTGAGCTCGAACTGTGGTGCTGCCAAGCAAAGGAAGAGGTGATTTTGATCGCATTAACTTTTATTTCAATCTTCGGCCATAATTTTCGTTATATGTTTTTCTTACATTCGTGTCATAATATTCTCGGGGATCAGTATGCTGGCTCCGCGTGGGACGAGCTCAAACACATTAGACAAGCAGTCGGATTCATGGTAACTTCATTTCTTTTGAAAAGCTTTAATTTTAATTCGAAACTATCAAAATTTTATTGCTAATCTTTGTAACCTCATCTGTTGTGTTTTTCTTACAGGTTATACATCAAAAGTACCGGATATCATACGATGAGATCACCCACGATTTATGTCCCGTAAGTTCCCTTAAATATAAATCACACTTCGTATGCAAAATATTCAATGTGACGTTATGATAATTTATCACACACAAAGTTCAAAGAATTTTAGTTGTGTTTAGTTGACTTCAAAATCGAAATTATTACGAAGCACGGGACCAAAACTGAAATAATTGTTCCGGCTAGACCAAAATTGAAATAATCCTGTCTTATGGTATAAAATATGTTTATATTTCGCATGTCAAATGAATTCTATTTTTGGGTGTTATTTCCCGAGCTTCCTATTTGTCGTATGTAAAAAATAAACTTACATTTGCGTGTCGCCACAGATTCTGAGTGTCCAGCAGCTGTACAGAATATGCACTCTCTACTGGGACGATAAATACAACACACGAAGCGTATCCCCCGATGTACGTGATTTTTTTTATTCTACACTAAATTCTCATTTTCTTACAAGTGCCGTCTTATGTTTCTACAATGTACGACAACAGGTTATATCGAGTATGAGGGTGCTAATGACAGAGGACTCCAATAATGCCATCAGTAGCTCATTTCTGCTCGACGACAATTCTTGGTACGCTTCTTTTTTTTTTTTTTCCCTACATGTGCCCGTTTGTTAGTTCTATTTTCTTACATAGTTAAGGTTGTCGGAAACAATGTCGTGCAAGCGAGTTTGATCAGCATCTTCGATTTGGTTCTATCCATTCAACTAAAATTACAAAAAACCTTTTCTAGATTGATCTTGTTAGATTTCTTGACTATTTTCGTTCCTGTGGATCCTTTAATGGCTCGATTCGATGTGTTTGCAATGCAGCATTCCATTCTCGATAGATGAACTTGCTGAATCCATCGACAGCAAGGAGTTCTCGGATGTCAAGCCGGCCATGGACCTTCTGGAGAACCCGGCATTCCAGTTTTTACATGGCTGAGCCGTCGGGCCGGGCTGGGCCGGTATACTGTAAATTCATTACACACATATATGGGTATTTTGATTTTTTGTTCATTTGCTGTTCTCTTGATATATATATATATATATATATATAGACATAGATTTTTAGATGCACAGTGATATATACTTAGATACATAAATACATAGACAATTTTTAATTCTTTGTACAATGTAAGTTTGAAGATCTCTCAATATTAGGAGCAGAGAGAAATCAGTCTATGAGTTGGGCATATATATACGTACATATGTATGTATGTATATGCCTTTTGTTTTGTCTTGTATTGTATTGTATTGTTTGTTTTTTGAAGGTGCGGTGCCAAAACGGCTGAGCAATGTACATTTCTACTTGTATTTGTATTTTTTTGGATGTGTTCTTGAATTTGATTTTGTAATTTGTATTTTTGGACGAAATTATATTTTATATAAAATAAAATTGAAAAATATAAATACAGGAGGATTAGTATATATATATATATCCACCTGTTATTGGGCCGGCCCAAATCCATTAACCATGAAAATCAGTATAAGGCGATTATCGCATTTGGCAATTTTTAAATTTACATATAACTGCCTGTTTGGCGCCCAATTTGTTTCCTTCTAGCGTCTGCATGATTCTACATCAGCAATTAGGGTTTCTGAGGATTGATTGACTGACAATGAAGGGAAGGTTGAGATCACGAACTGAACATCCACTCACGCCAAAGCTGGAAAAAGTTCGAAATCATTCCTTCGAGAAGCCCTCAGGTATCCGTGTTCTGATTGATTATGCTCGAGGTGAATTCCTGCCAATTTTTGGTGGTGTTTTGATTGATTATTTTCATTCGGGGTGTTTCTTACGTGCTAGAATTTCTTCGATTTGTTTATATAGTTCGTAAGCAAGTGAATTGATGCGTCAATTGCGTGGTGATTATATATATATATTATATGTATACTTGTATGTATTGGCTTTTTACGTTTCCGGTTGTGGCTTTGTAGGTACTAGGAAAGTAAAGAGAGTGAGATTTGAGAGTCCTGGAAACGATGGCGGTCATGCTCATGTTTCTGCCAGAGGACGTGATGTATCCCAATCTCCGGCATGTTGGTCTTTACTTATCACTAGTGTCCTATTTCGATTGGTACTCTGTGTTGATGATTAGTATTTGTATCATTTTGAGTGGGATTACATTAATTACTTTGTAACATTGTTAGCTTGATTACAACACTGTAGCCGATGCCCCTAAGACTTCAGAATATGCATATTTTAAGAAGGTAAGGAATGGTGCTGGTGCTGTACGTGGTTATTCTCATTCAGCACCTAAAGAGAACAGGCACTGGAGTAGCTCCAAAATTTATGATTCTCTTAGAGGTAAAATATTTTACCACAATCATGGATATTTTTCTCCATTTTTTAAAATATATGGATGTGTAGCTTTCGGCTGAGAAATGGTTTGATGAGTTTTTTCTATGCTTTTGTTTGTTATTTATATATGATAAATAATACCATGAACTTTCCTAAATTGTACAAGATGAAAATGTTAATTGTGTTCAGTTGATTCGCAGAGAACGCTAGATCCTCTGGCGTGGTTAAACCCAGCTTCAAGGAATATAGGTTTTCAGTAGAAAGGGAAGAACCATCTGACCATCAAAATTTCCCCTCACCTTATGCTAGTGAATATGATGAAGGAAATCTGACAAAAATTAAAGGTTCACTGTCTTTGATTCAGTGATTTTTCATTGAATATATCTTTGGTGATCGCCACTCAGTTATGATCTGTTTGATGCAGAGCCTACAGTTGGAACTGGGAAGAATCCAAAGCTGTTTGTTCATGATGTTACACCCATTAGACAATGCCTTTCCTCTTCACCACTCGATGAAGTGCCAAGAGTCTCAGGTTTACTCTTTGATTTAGTCTCTCAAATTTTTAACATATTCTTTGTGCAAAATCCTGGATAAGATGTAAGCTTGCTGAGTTGTAGATTTGTAGTGTCAAATGGTTGCGAGATGCTCTGGGCATTGTGTGACCTATTCTGTTTCAATGCCATAATAACTTTGATCTCTTTATGTGTTCATTTCTCAACTATTTATTTGTATGCTGTGAGTTAATAAAAAATGTTGTGGAAGATTTGCCTAATTCATTTACTTTGAATTGTAAATGAATCCTGTTCTTGCATTGTCCACAAAAAACTTGACATGTTTCTATTATTTTTCTCTGCATGTATGTTGCATGTTTTAACTATTTTGTGTCATCTTCAGTTTTATGTGTGCTACTTTCAATATTTAGATGATAGGTGCATGTTTGTAATGATTTATTGTCCAGAGAAACAATGCCTTGAGAAAGGAATCTTTGCTGGAAAGAGAAAGAAATTACAACAATGGGCTATTCAAACCTTATTTCCAGATGTTGAGAATCCCCATCTTAAAGGGTGAGATGTTATGCCATCTTTTGCTTGCTTGAAAACAATTTTTTCTCTGGACTCATTTGGGTTTTGTTGCAGATCTGAATTGACTTCTTCATTGTTAAGCCGGCTGTTCCCTAAGGGCAATGAGAATGATGTACGGTTATCCAACTTCCTCTTAATTGGTTGATCCGAGTCGTTGTTTGTTTCTTATACACGTCCATATGCAGGATATATTAAATGGACAGATTGATAAAAGTAGATCCCTCATATTACATGAGGCTAAGAATCTGGAGAAGGAAATCCCCTTATCCCATAGAAAGGACTGGAAACAGGATCTCCCAAACTCTGGCAGACCCAGCCAAATTGTATCCTGGGATGGGAATCAGTTTGCTTGGGGATGTCCTTACTCCAGTTATGATATACTAAATGCCCAGAACTATTCAAGGGATGGTGGTTTTCAATTAAACAGAATGCACAGACTTACTCACACACAGCATGATTCATATTTCAGCTTGCCATTATGGGGATATAGATCTCCTGGTCATTTCCATTTTGAAGGGCTAGATGAATTTGATTCTGTAATTGGACATTCAAGAGAAGAACCTTCTAGGCTATTGTTAGAATGGAACTCTCAAAAGGAGAATCACAACCTAGATTCAGCCAAGCTCAATCATGACACTACAAGGACCTTGGCTCCAAGATTGACCACTTCTTGGAATGCTGATCAACAGGAAGCTCTGGATAATGTTATCGGCACTGAGAGAATGGTTTCACCACCCATATTTTCAAACCATTGTTTGCAACTTGATTCAACTGACTTTTTTACACAGAGTTATGGACCAAAATTTGATGATATGAGCCATGCAACGGCTGAATCAGGACAGTTTTCTCTGGCTTTGCCTGGCACTCCTAAATGCTTCACTCTGGCTGAAGATATATTTTCTAACAGCAACTTTATCTTCTCCCATGGAGATCAATATTGGCCTAGGAACGAAGTTTGGAATGGCATCCATCAAGACTATTTTGGATGGGGATGTCTACAATCTAGAGATTCTGATGCAGAAATTTATCCGATTTCCAATTCATGGCAGTTCCCTCAAAGCCAGAACAGATTATACCCTGCTACAGGACTGGAGGAAGCTCTTGGTGAACTTCTTGATCCTTTCTCTAAAGGTAAATATAACAATAGCCTTTTGCTGCCTAATCTTAATTCTTCATTTGATGTGCAATTGCATTGGCCATTGTTAGTCAATCATGTTAGCCTGGATAAATCTGACCAAGAGTTAAGATTTGGCGATGATGATAGGTTGTTGGAATATAGATAAGACACTGTAGATTCTTGCCTGCATGTTACTTTGTTAATATTTTGAAAGCCAACACTAATACTGATGAGACAAACATGCTAGTTCTTCATTGTAGTTTCTTTTCTAGGAAAATGGCCATGAAATCCTTAGATCTTCTTTGTGTAGGGATTTCTTTCAGATGCTTAATGAATTTACGGACGTATCATCTGGCTAAGTGATGCCCATGATATGTTTTAAGTTCCAATTATTTATGGCATGGTTTTACAAGATACATACTCATTGACACCCTTTTTTTCACTTATTCCAAATGAACTCCATTCTTCAATTCTTGGGCTCGTGCAAGAAGATTAGGGCATTATAAGTTGTCTTGCAGTTCTCTGTGATAACTGGTACCAATGCTTGATTACTATACATGTCAGTGTATGACATGTTTCCCGGTTGCATCTTAGCCAAATAAATTACTACTTGATTCCCGGAAGGAAATTGAATGTAGATTAGACCAATTTTTTTAGAAGATAGAGAATAAATACAACCTAATTGTTAGGAAATTAGGTTATAAAATTCGGAAATAAATTCCTAAAGTAGTCCAGGAACTTGCAAAACAAATCAGAGCCCTTTGTCTGCCAGGCTTACCAAAAAAAAAAAAAAGAGAGAGAATAATGAATATTAGCGTTAAAATTCAAGAATGTGGAAAATCACAGAAGCATGATAGGTTTTCACTATGAAGAAGAATGGAGAATAAAGTTATAGGACGAAGCCCACTTCTAATTGCTTGTACATGAGTGTGTACACATGTAAACACTCTATTATAGATACTCAAATTTGAACATAACAAATCATTGCCAGAATAAGTACATAAATGGGTGGTAACTGCAGGCCGCAACTCTGTAGTTTACATCAATTCCATAGAGGCATATGATCTGTTTTGAGCTGAAATAGTGTTCCATTCCATGCGAACAAGGACCCACATGGAAGATACATAGGGTGTCCAACCTAATAAGAAGGTAGATTGAGCTTATCCACCTATTTGAGAAAACCAACCTATTTAGTAGTCTGTTTTTAGGGGCTCATTTTTAATTAGAAGACTGCCTAGTTTGAAGCTGCTCATTTGATGCCTGCCTAGTTTTGGAGATTTGTCCACCTATGTGCTTGCTTATCTTAATGATCTCCCAATTTGATGCATGTCTGTTCTAAGACCACCTACTAGGATATTGTTTATCCAAGGCTTGCCCCATTTCTGGTCATAACAAAATGGCTTAGTACACTTTGAATCCGGGGTGAATCTGGATGTAATAACAATTCTCAAAACCTTCCATGGATTTAAATTTCATATACTGTTTTTTGAATTTTAAATCTAGTATCATTAAAGCCAGATTTTGTTTATTGAGATTGTTCTTGGTTAGCCACAGCCCAAAGTTTCTGAAACTTGGGTGATCTCTAAGGATGACTTCTTCCTTTGGATGGATATCTTTTGTCATTTTGAGAATAACATTTGATTGGTATATGTTTCTTTTAGGCTAGTGGTCATTAGACCAGTTGTTTGGTATGCATTGAATTTTGATGGCTATTTGTTGTCTTATTCATGTTTTTATTTATCATTTATTTATTTGTTTCTTGAACACAAGTTATGTTACATTTTGGTGCGTTTAGTTAGTTGACAATAAAAGGCTTTGCACTAACTTGTGGAAATTGGAGTGGACAGTGATATTGACTTTACATATGTCCCAATCTGCTCACTATATTTTTTTCACCTCATATATTGTGCATATATTTATGATTCACTTTCTAGTATATTGCAGTTTTTGTTTCCATTTTGATAAGCTTTCTTGCAAGTAATATCTTTTCCTCACCCTTACTTTAAGTAGATTTATTTCTTCAAATTTGATACTAAGTCACCCATATTAGTTTTCTACGGAACATATTTTTTATTGCTGTATAATTATCCCCACAATGATTATAAATAATATAAAATTTGTAGCTTGGATGGGTCACTTATAATAGGAATAAAAGTAGGTATCAAAGTTTTTCTGAAGTGAATCATTTAAAGCTATGATATCTCCTTCATAATACTTTGGATTTGGATTTTAATTCTAATTTCCAGTTGAGATTGAGGATATGTTTGATATAAAGTTTAGGTGAAAAGAAATAAATAGAGCTACAATTTTATTTATTTATTTATATTATTATATGTGTTTCTGTAACACTTTTCCTTTCTAAGCCAAGTAATTTGATGGTCCATTAGATAATCAGTCAATTTTGGGTGTGTTTATTATGCTTTGTGTTTGAAAAATGTTTTAGCATGAAGAAGTATGAAATTTGATTTATTTAGAATGATAAGTTTATTTTCTTTTAGATAGCATGATGTAAAAGTGAACTAAAGTAAATACTTTACTACAAGTTACTAAAGCTATTTATTAACACTAGTTATGTAATTGTTATGTGTTTATTTATTTCTGCTAAATAGCTCATTTTTATTTATTTTTCTGTTCAAATAATGGTGCGAATAATCATTTTATTTAATGATAGCAATCATCATATTAGTGGCCATAAAATAATATGTTGACCTGTGCAGGCATGCATGCACAGTGCATGGCCCTGATTAGTTCCATTTTTAGATATTCATTTAGAAAGGGATATTGGCCTTTATTTAAAATTAAAAATAAAAAATCAACAATAATGATGAAATGACATACTAGTCAATCTTTTAGGATAATATGCCAGGCAGGTTGACATGTACAATATTGTCCCCTGACTTAGATGTTTATATACCTATTTGATATATGCATATTATTATTGTGTGAATGCTGAATAGGCCAAATTATTTTAGACTTGGATACATTATTTACTTTCCACGAACATTAAATTATTTAAGTTGGTGAATCAATGTATATATTATAGTATACTGCATAATTTGCCTCTTTCTTTCTTAAAAAAATAATTATAAATTTTAGTCTTATTTTAAATTTTACTAATATTTTTAGTTATAATTAATTAGTTATATTAATTTTAATTTATAATTATTTATATTGTTTAATAATTATTTTTATTAATATATTTTTTAATTATTTACAAATTATAATTTTTTTTCTTTTGATTAAAATAATATTTGAATGTGATATTTTATAAAAATATATATTATTAAAAATCATTTACGTTCAATTTTGAAATTCAAACTAAACACACTCATTGTTAACTTGATATTATTTTTTGATATTTTGTGGGTGTAATCTTGTCTATTATCTATTTTTTGCCTGCAATATTTTTAGATTATTCCAACATTGTCAAAGTTAAATATAAAATGTTTCTCAGTGTTTTCAAAAGGGAATATATGTAAATTCAATCGAATTCTTATTACTAGAATATTGATTTTATTATTATTATTATTATTATTATTATTATTATTATTATTATTATTATTATTATTATTATTAATTGCATTGGCTGGAACTTATTATCATAATTGAATTTGGAATCTTCCTTAATCTTTTGAAGCACCAAAACGTGCAATTTTGTGGAAGTATTATATAATCATGATCATCTGCACAAATAAAGTAAAGAAAAATTAAAGTTTAGCATAATCTTGTTACTGTTGTCGTTTTGTGAAATTTCTTTTATTTTGTTTATTTGTAAAAATCTTGGCATATTAATTAAGCTGCATTACGTGGTGAAGAAAACCCACTGAGATGCATGAGCTATTTGTTTTATACCAATGTTTGTAATTACGTTTTGTTTACTCTAGTAGTATGTTTTGTATTTAAATGATAGTTGGATGTAATATTATGTAACTAAAAAAAATATATTTTTACAAAAATATAATAAATGCATAGTAAAAAAATCAAAATAAACAGACTTACATTCTTGAGAATTTGCACCCTTTTTTAAAATTTAATCTACTTTTAACACTTCACTATTTCATACTTTTTTAAAAAATTATTTTATAATTAATTTGGGTTGAATTATAGTTAGTGATCCCTCGGTTTGAACTTCTAATTTCTATCCCTTGATGTAATGTGAGCTATGTTATTATTTGATGTTATTAACTTGTAAAAATAAATGATAATAAGGGTTTAGGTATAAATAAATTCTTTTATTGTTTGTTAGTCACTGTAAATTAGTATTTCTTTATTATTTAATCTCTTTACTTTGCAATTTAATTCTTTTATTTAATTCTTTTATATTGAGTGTCAGAGTGTGTTTACTTTGCAATTTATTTTTATTTTTTTATTGTTTAATTTTTACTATTTCAATAAAAATATATTATTTATTTTTATATAATATTATCAAATACATTCTTAGTTTGTTTTGTCCCTATGTTAATTTTAGTTCATTATTAATTTGATAAAATTAAATTTTTAATATTTATTTACTATAATTATACTGCTTTTATTATATTATTTTTTTACTATCATTAATTATTAATTAAATTTTCATAAATACCTTAAATTATATTTTTAAAATATTAAGTTTTTTAATTTACGTGTTGAATCCAAATATGTTAATCCAAATATGTTATTTTTACTGAACAGAATGTATATTTAGGGGGTGTTTGGCAAATAGCTTTCTAAAGAGCTTTTAGTTTATTGAACAACTTTAACTATTTGACCAGTCAAAAAGCTAATTTAGGTGTTTGGTAAATTATATTTTTGGAATAGCTTTTTGTACCAAAAAGTTAATTTCTGACAAGCTAACTTACCCAGCGTGAAATAGTTTTTTCTGTAAAAAAATTTTTTTTTCCTTATATGCCCTTAAAAATTTATTATACATTTTACACAAATAAATATATTTTGATTATTTATTAATTATATTAGAATATTTTATTATATTATAATTTTACTTTTATAAATTTAAAATAATTAATTTTTATATAAAAATTATTTTAATTGTAAAATATATAAATTTATTAAAATCAACATAAAATAAAAAATATAAATATTAATAATTTATTTTTTTATTAAAATTACATTATATAAATTTTATACTAAAAATAAATTAAATTTATTGAAAATTATAAATATAATGAACTAATAGATAACTAACATAATAAATATATACACGAAAAGTTTATTAGTTTATATTTTACATCATTTAAAAAAAAATTATTTATATATTTTAATAAAAATATATTATTTTTTAAATCTAACTGTAATAAAAATAAATATTTTTATAACACTTTTACAAGTTTCAATAACTAATAACAAAAAATTTTAAATATTCTAAACTCAAAAGAATATAATTGAATATATTATAAACAAGAATAAAATAGAAATGTCCTCAATTGTCATTTTACGTATAAACAGCTAATATCAAACTGTTGTTTTACCAAACATTTTAATACAAATAGCCAATCGAATCAGCTAGTCAAACCAGCTAATTGAATCAGCTAACAGCTATCAGTTAATTGTCAAACACGGCCTTAAACTACTTTAAACTAAACTGCAGTAATAATCATCACCAATTAAACAATTTAGTTCTCTTCTCTAGTATTTAAAAAAAAATTGAATTTCTTTTCTTAGTTATCGGAATTATAAAAATGTTATTAAAGTATTTTTTGTTTATGAGTAAATTGTACTATTTTCGTCAAGCCATAAATGATTTTTTTTTTAGTTCGTCTCATATAAGATGACTATTTTTTATTTTTGATAAATTTAATAATTTTAAATATATTTAATAAATATAAATTAATTTAATTAATTTCAAAACTCTTACTATAAAATCTATTCAAAACTCTTTTATTTTAGCCTATCTTCTTAATAAATAAATAATTTTATTTATATTTAAAATTATTTTTTTATAAAATTAATTTATATTAATTATAGATAAATGAATATACATATTTTTTATTTGTATTATATAAAATTTTATTCTCTATAAAATGATATTTATAATATATATTTTTTATTGAGATATCTTGTTTAATATATTTAAATATATATATTATATATTAATTTTATTTTATAAATAATAATAACATCATTTATATGAAAATAATTAAGTAATATTATAATTATCATAATTTATATAGTGAATTACACTATCTAAAATATTGTGTTCCTAACTAAAAAAAATCATCTCACATTACATGGCATGAAGGGAGTATATTGTTATTAAAAGTTGTTGCATTGAGAATGGTTTTAAGTGAAAGCAAACACATGATATAAATGGTAATGCTAATGCATGTTTCTTAATGAAATTATATTTTATAACTTTATTAAATAATAATAATAATAATAACAACAACAAACTTATAAAGTTATGCGAGTTTGGAAATAAATATTAAATATATGCATGCAGTTTGTTCGCTTAATGTGTTTAGATAAATTGATTTTTTTTGTATGATAATATACAAAATAATATTTTATGTCAATGATTGATTTTTTATGTGTAAATAATATATATATATATTATATGAATATGTGTATATTTATATATTTTTTATAATATATATAAAAAAATTATTTTATTAAAAAATGTTACGTGAACAGAATTAGGACAATATTGCGTAAGCCAATTTCAATCATAACATGGATTTCCCCTCTTATTTAATGCCCACAATCTTTCTTCTATTAATTCTAACCTAACATTTTCACCTACCCTAACCTAAAAGTTGCATATTTTTGACTTTTTCAGAGCAGTAGGAAAATAATAATGTTAATAACAATAGCTATTTCATCAAATATTTAAAATATATAAATCATTTTCAAAGTTTATATGAATATAATATAAAGTGATTATGGTTATTTCAAAAATATCCAATCAAAGATACCAAATAAAAGCATAAGTGAACGAACACTTGTCTTTTGGTGTTAAAATTGAGTGATTTCAGCTAATAGTCTTGTTGGCGAGACATCTCCGCTTACTTAACTATGAACAAACTCATTTCCAAAGATTATTGCTGTTTTTGCTAGTAGAATGTTCATATCATTTTTAATTTTAATATAAAAAAAATAAATTATTAAATCAAAATCTATTTTTTAATATTATATTTTAAAAAAAAAAATTCAAAATATTAGATCAATATATTTAAAATAATTATTTTGATTTAAATTTTTAATAAATTTAAATTCAAAACTTATTTCTCACTAACAAATAGAGTTTACGCTTCTTTAAAATTTGATTTTAATTTTTTTTCTTATTAGGCAATTGTGATTTTCTATAAACGTAAGTTAATTTTTCTCGTAGTATCCCGCCTTTTATTTGATTACTATGCTGATACGATTTTAACTTAATCATTACATATTTAGAAAATATATATAGTATAAATATGACAACACATCTTAATATAATATATTGCTAGCATATTATATAATTACATATAAAATAATTTATTCTAATTTTAGCTTAATAACCAAATTAAACACTTACAATACAATATATAATTCACACAATAAATATTAATATACTCTCTCCGTCCCACATACCATGTCCACGTTGCCGTTTCTATTCGTCTCACATACCATATCATTTTTTTTTTAAAATGATTAGACACTTTAATCTCATTTTAAACTTTTTAATTTTATTTTTTAAAATTTTAATTAAACTAATTAGTTATTTTAATTTATAATTATTTATATTATAGGATAATTATTTTCACTAATACATTCTTAATTATCTACTAATTACACCGCTCCTAAAATACCGTATCTACAGCGTAGCAGACACAGTATGTGGAAATGAGGGAGTAATATATAACATGATACCTTATATAATTCAATATAAAACAAAATATTGTGATATCATCACAATAAACCGAGTATACATCATAGCACAGTATATAACCATAATACATTATATCTTATATGTCTTATGATGAAATACTAATTATTTTAACTTAGTATGCTATCTTAATCAAATTAGTACAGTGCTGGATCAGCACTCTAACCGCCACCATCTAAATTACTATTAATATATATATATATATATTCATCCGTCTCATCCAAAAATATTATTTTTATCATTTTTGTATACATGATTCATAAGTATTAATTTTCTATTTAAATACAAATATATAATTATTTTACTAATAAATCAAATGAAAAATAGATAAACTTTAAAAAAAAAAAAAAAAAAAAATGATCTAATCTATGACAAGAAGTGTGTGACAATTGGGGGACACGGTGGTTGAACGTAGGGCCTCTGAGCTTGTTCCCCAATTTCTTCGCCATAGGATTCTCTAATGTTGCCGTTGCTCTTCTAAATCCCAAAATTAAAATTCAATGGCTAACCAAACTGTCAAATTTTCATGCTTCAATAAATGCTTACCAAATAAGTACAAGTATAACTAGTTTCTCATTAATTTACATATTAATTATAAATTAATTTTTTTTATTTGACTATAGTCTAAGCAAAGAAAAGAAAACCCAACAAGTGACCCCCAAACACATCCTAAAATTTAAGCCAAATCATGCAATAACCACTTCACTTAAAAATTAATATTCATTTCTTTATTTTGCCTCTAATTATTATGACCGTTGCTTCATTTTTATTTTTGTTAATTCTCTTCTATTAATTAATTAATTAAGCATGGAAAACCCTTTGTACGGCTGTACCTAATCTTTATACAGTATATTTTGAGTATTTTACAGCTGTCGCGTGACAAGTGTTTATATAAGGACAAAGGACTTTATATTTTCATGATTATTTTATTTTATTGAAGGAATTGTTTATTAGTACAGCAATTTTATCTATATACAAGATAAAATTAAAATATCCCTATTTATGAATATATCATTTTTTTGGGTATATTTTTTAAAAAATTATAAATATAATAATACATTTATTATCATTAAATTGTGTATGACTTTTATGGGGCCAAACCGTATTTACCGAAATTGTAAGGACCACCGCCAAAACATCCCGAATTTATTCATTGTGTTTCTCATTAATTACTATAGTGACATAAATTTATTAATTTCCACATACGTAATCGAAATTGATAAATAAATCAGAATTAAAAACCGCGGGTTGAGTCCGACAAAGAGTCGGTGGAGCGGAGAGATGCTGGGGAAGAGAGAACTGCTTGATTTCCGGCGAATCTCCGGCGGCATTGTGACCGGAATTATGTATTTATTGTTGCAGCGAGTTTGATGTATTTTAATTTATTGATGTTGTTGCTGTAACGTTCTGGTGGAGCTCCGCTGCTTGTTGATAAGAAGGCTACTTTTCCGGCGGTGGAAAGCAGAAGAATTAGTTGTCGATTTCGTGTTGGCATTGTTGGATTTTGGCGTTGGAAGTTTTCGTTCTGTAGTTCCCTGGCGATTTCGGAGCTTCTGAGGTGCTTTTTTGTTTCGTTTTCTAGTTTTTGGTCTCTGTCTCGGGTTACTGTCATTCGATCTCAGTTTTCCAGTGTGAAGAAGAACTTCGAATCCGATTCTTCTTATGGCTTGTTTAATTTTTGTCGGCTGAAAGTGCAGCTTTTTTTACCTAATGATTTAGTGATGTTTTGGCCTTTGTTTTTTAACTTTAATATAAAGGTTAAATTCTTTTGATGATTTTGGTCATTACCTTCTGCTGTATATAATTTGAAGTCTAAGCGTCCACTTCGCGTGATTGCTGACATTTTTCTGCCCGTCTATTTTTGCAATTTATAAATTTAGCTTTTTATGTATGATGATTGTTGTGCTGAACTCAGAAAATGATGTATCAGGCCCAAATCTGTCCAGGGAGAGGTTGCTCGGGGAAGAGAAGCAGCTTCAATTCCGACAAATTTTTGTGCGGATGTAAGTTACAAGATTTTTTAATTTTGTAAAATTCTATTGGATTCGGTGTTTATAATGGGATCGGAGAGAGTTAGCTTATCAAAGTGTATCTTCTACTCTTCCCCACTCATCTTTTGCTTCTGATGCTCGAGAGAGTTTGAAAGAATTTTTGGAAATCCTTCCTCTTGTACACTGCTATGTGGTTCTTCTAGTTGACTTCTACTTCCTCCATACATCCAATTTTGTCCACATTTCTTCACTTCCTTCTCTTATATGTTTAGATTCTGGTTATTGTAATGGTTGTATCATGGGTTTAGGCTATGTGGTGATTGAAATTTTCAAAAGTAGCTTACCTTTTTATCTTCAACTTCAAGACTTCTTTTTTCACTTCCAAATACTTTTCTTGCTATCTCAGCTATTATTCTTTTACTTTTTCTTTAGGTTACTTTTCTTTCGTCAAGTTAGTTCTTTCAATAATTTAATGCCGTGAAGTATCCAGTTCCAGGTGGCGAGATGAATGGTACTTCCAAGAATGGAAAGGTTTGCAATTTTGAGAAAACTTATCCAGGGTGCTTGGGAAGAATGGTGAACCTCTTTGAGTTGAACTTAGGGGTGTCTGCAAACCGACTTCTCACTGATAGACCACATCGGGATGGTGAGCTCTCTTTCTAAGTCTCTGTTCTACTACTTTTTTTAGTTTATTAACACAAGTTTGAAGTCTAGTGTTGTCTATGAACTGTGATGCCATTAAATTTAGATAAATAGCTTGCTTTCGAAGTGTATTACCATCAACTGGTACTTTTCTTGTTAACATTGCTCGCTATTTTGAGAACAAAACTAAGCTAAGATGTATGTAAGTTACACGTTTAATGGTTCGAGTTTGTTGCTGACGGCATCAGCTTTTGAAACTGTTTCCAACAGCAGCTTTTCCTTGTCCTATATGTCCCTCTTTTCATCTATGATTATGTAGTTGGATTGCAACTCAAGGCTGTTGACATATTAACTGGATTCATAGGCTCTCCCATTTCAAGGACCAGTTCAGATGTATCAAGGGTGAGTCCATCGGTTGACCAAGCAGAAGAAAATGCGGTAAAATCTCTGTACTAATGATATTACCAAATTTTAAAAGAACTTGCTGAAACATCATCCTGAATGCGGCATTTATTTTGATCTGATGCGAGGCTTACAGGTGGCAGCAGGGTTGAGGAACATCTCTTCAAACAGAACATCAAATGGAACGCCCATGAAGATGCTTATTGCTCAAGAGATGTCCAAAGAGGCGGATTCCAGACGTAATCCACCTAATTTAGTTGCAAAACTAATGGGGCTTGATTCCCTTCCGCCACAGGATGCTGAATCCATGATGCAAAGAAGCCATACCAAAACTCATCCCCGATCTCATTCAGATATACCTATGAGTAACTGGGAGCAACAGAATGGATTTGTTCACTATGTTGATTCAAGTGAATATAAGGATGTCTATGAAGTTTGGGAACAATCGCCGAAATGTGTACATAAGGGGAGACACAATGGAACTGCAGATGAAAAAAGGATGGTGCTAATACGACAGAAGTTTGCTGAAGCAAAGCGCTTGTCTATGGATGAAAAACTTCGCCAATCCAAGCAATTTCAAGATGCATTAGAGGTTTTGAATTCCAACAGAGACTTGCTCCTGGAGTGTATGCAAGAACCAAGTTCTTTGTTGTCTCAGCAACTATACAACCTGCCTTCACTTTCTCATCACTTGGAAGGAAAGTGTATCACTGTCCTTAAACCTTCAAAAGCGGCAGAAGGAAACAACTTGGATGGATCTGGGGATAAAGAAGGTAAGCATAAGAGAATGGGTACCTTTGTTCAGCCAAACAGATTGGAGAAAGGACCCCCGGAGAGCTCCCCTCCTGGAAGTTGGAATAAATATGATAGTCCCACCGAACCAACTCGAATAGTAGTTCTGAAACCTAGCCTCGGCAATATTAACGATAAGGCTTTGGGTTCTCCACGGTCACAATCAGCAAGGATACACAGTGAAGACTTTTTTGGGGATGTAGAGGACAATGTGAATAAGGAATTACAAGAAGTTGCAAAAACAGTCGCTCTACAAGTGCAGGAAAAACATGAAAGGCGCCACAGAGACGAAGTGTTGGTTTCCTCAGTGTTTTCCAACGCCTATGTGGCGGATGAAAGTTCATTTAATAAATCAGAGATTGAGTTTCCGACTGGCATTCTCACTGATTCAGAAGTCATGTCACCTGTATCTAGGCAGTCGTGGGACTATGCCAATAGGCTTGGTAGCCCATACTCAACCTCCTCCTTCAGCAGAGCTTCATATTCTCCAGAGTCATCAGTTTGCCGAGAAGCAAAGAGACGCCTCTCTGAAAGGTGGGCCATGATGGCATCTAATGGAAGCTCTCAAGAGCATAGACCTGTTCGAAAAAGCTCCAGCACGTTGGGTGAAATGCTTGCTCTGTCAGAGGCAAAGAAGAGCACTATGATTGGGAAAGAAGACAGCTCTAATGAAGGGCCCGTAAATTTACATTATCTTTTAGGTGGCAAGCAAGGAACAGATGAAAATATGGATGACTTGTCGAGGAGTCTTACGAGGTCAAAATCTCTTCCAGTGTCTTCCACTTCCAGGATCAGTTCAGATGTTTCAGCTTCTGATAAAGGCAATATCACTCCTAAGGAAGAAATAAAGACGAGAAGGACTAAAGCATCATTCAAAGGGAAAGTTTCTAGTTTGTTTTTCTCTAGGAGCAAAAAAACTAGTAAAGACAAATCTCACAAGTCTGAGTCCAAAGATGATCTCTGCTCCACCAAAAGTGTTATCAACAAAGGGCCCAACCGCTCGTCGTCGGTCTTAATGGAGCAGTCTGGTGAACCATCTTTATCAGATCTAATTTACAAGCAGAGCATGCTACCCTCTCAGGTAATTTAATTGTTTCCCTTGATTTTCATGTCAACTATTTATTCATTTAGTTCCTACTTTGTTTCCCAGAAGAGAAGTTTATGAAATATCTCATTAATACATAGAAGCTGAGCAATAATATATTTATTAATTTCTCTTCTAGCTATACTTAAGTTTTGGCGCAGAAATATGGTGAAAAGCTATTTCTAGTCTTGATTTGGTATATAACCACTTCAATGTTGGCTAATGATTTTTTTTTCATTTTCATATCTTGAATTTGAATCTCAAATTGTTTATATTATACACTTGTACTTTGGCAGATGGAAGTTCCCATGGAAATGCCCATTGCATTAGGGAATCATGGCGAAAATCTGGACCAGCCGAGTCCAATATCTGTGTTAGATCCCCTGTTTGAAGATAATGAGCATGGGGAAAAAGTATCCCCTCTCTACGCAGAACCTGACCCTCATGGTAAACAATTTTCCCTTTAAGTTTGTGCACTCACATGTTTCGAATGTATTCCTTATTTAATTCGCTTGATATTTTTCGCAACCTTGATTTCAGGTTTTGAGTTGCCACTTAATCCTATTACTTCAAATTTGATTGACAAGTCACCGCCGATTGGCTCCATTGCCAGAACCCTCTCTCGTGACGACTCATGTGTTGGCACAGCCTCATCATACCCAAAAAGGGAATCCTTAACAACTCGAGGGATGGAAGGAGAGCAACAAGATTGGATTTCTTTTGTCAAGACACTATTGACCGTAGCCGGTCTCCAAAATGAGGTGCCATCGAATTCATTTCTAGCCAGATTCTACTCACCCGAATGCCCACTGGATCCATCCTTAAGAGACAAGTACATTAATTCAAATGACAAGGAGACATTCCACGAGGCCATACGGAGACAAAAGCGATCGCTGCAGAAGCTCGTGTTCGACTGCGTAAATGCAGCACTCGCGGACATCGCAAGCTCGGGCCAGCAAGCCAGTCCGATTACCGAATCCAACAACTGCACACTGGAAAGTACGTCCTCCACAATGCTGGACCAGGTGTGGGCCAAATTGCACACATGGTTCTCTGGCCAGATGAGATATGTTCCAGAAGACTGTGGGGACGACAACAGCCTGGTCGTGGAGAGGACGGTGCAGAGGGAGGTGGTAGGCAAGGGGTGGGATGATAATTCAAGGCTCGAACTTAATAATCTTGGCGTCGAAATCGAAGGGAAGATGATGGAAGAACTCGTAAATGAGACGGTGGTTGAATTGACAGGTAGACTACAACCTTGATATTAATTATAATCTCATCTCATACTATACCCGTTACACAAGATCGATCGATCATTCGTTCCCGACCCGTCCCCATCCCTACTTGCTTCTCACATATATCATATGGCAGTGGCACCTACATTCATGGCTGCACTTATTTAATGCTCACAGCATCTATTTATGGCATAACTTCTATTTGTTCCATTCAATAAAATGCAAGAATAATGCCATGTCATGGTAAATTCTACACTTTAGGTCATAATACATGTTACAATATTCTAGGTAAATTTTTGTTGTGTATTATTGAGCTAGAGTGGTTAAATTTCTTTGCATTGCAGGTAGGGAATTTGAATTTGTATCCAGGTGAAGGTGAAAGGTGAATGTGAAGGTGAAGCAGAGTTAAAAGGTAAACTTGCTTTTTAACCCTTGTAGCAGCATCTTATTATTTATTACTGTATTATTGAAAAATAATTGCTTTGTTGCTTTGAATAATAAAGGCTAAAAAGAAATGAAAGCAATAAATGTGTTTGCTATGCTGTCTGCCTGACTGTCAGTTCTGTGCATGGGAAACTTCCTAAAAAGTCACAAGTTTCAGACATGAAAATTCATTTCATTATTAATTAACTACTTCAATATATATATTAGTAGAGTTATGGATCCCAAATATCTTTGCCAATTGTCCATATCTTTGAACAGATTTGTAGACAGTGCTATCTTGGTTCAATAAATTGCATATGTTATTTTGCATATATTTAAGTGCTTAGCCTGGTTGAATATAGTTTATTTGTGATCATTTTGATATTACTTTTTACAATTACTGTTAGATTGAATATATTAATTAATTAATTAATTACAATCCTTAATATTCAGCTAGTTTACTTTCATAGATGCATTGGGAGGATTAATCTATTAAATTGGGTGAGTGAGTCTAGTCTATCTGTCAGGTCTCAATTTAATTTTATCCAATTTTAGGCGTTATCAGAATATGTGATTTCCAAATTATAGGCTCTGGTTACATTATTTTTCAAATCAATAACCATGAAGCACAGTATATATCCACGAGGGGTGTATTTGGATGTAGTATTGAATTTGATTAATGTTTTAAATAAATAATTTTTTTTGAATGTATTATAAAAAAAATTGGTATTTGACAGTGATATTTTTTAATAAAAAATAAAAGTCGATGAATAGTGAGTCTCGAGTCAGTTGATGACTTGAAATTAACTACAGGTGAAATTATTATCAATCATATGAAGTGGAATTAGCAGATTTTGTGTATGTATGGTAATGGTAATGGTATGGTGTAGGTATTGTATTGTAATTATATGGAGTAGTATCATGCATTAATTGCGGGTGGGGTCTCTCAAATTGAATAATTTTGTTGATATCATTGACTAGTTGCAGATGCTCAATGATTTCAACCATTTTCTGCCACAAAACCAATGGTGTTTCTATTTTTAATAATAAGGTAGATATAACTACTTTGAACTATAAAATTTATTGATGTCTTCATTTTTGGATCTCTCATCAGATTTTAATTAATTGTTTTATTTTTGTAAAAATATTAAATTAAATAATTGTTTTTTTTTTGTTTTTTTTTCTAAAGTTTTATAAACACAATTCTAAAATGAGAGAGGGTTTAGAATTTAATGAGGGAGTTGTAACAGAGCCCAATTGCAATGGGCTGGGGAATAGGGTAGATTAGAGTAGAGTACAGAATACCCATAAAGAAATACTAAAATGGGGGAATGAATGAATACAAGGATCCAACGTGAGGAGAAAAATTCATTCATTCTCTTTCGTATCGTATGTTATTTCCCTGCACTTAATTTGCTTCCAAGTTGTTATTTATTTTTCTATTTTTTTATTACAATCATACCTCACTTTTTAATAATCCTAACCAACATGTGCTAGATCGAGCCTGGAGTTGTGTTTGTTGAATTTGTGAGCTTTGCAATCTTTTAAATTAATTTGTTTTTCTTTTTTCGAAATTGTCTTATAAAAATCTTATGTATTGAATTGGAAAATTTATTTAATTATATATATTCTATATAATTTTGACTTAGGGTGTGTTTCTCTTAGGAGGAGGTTTTGGGGAAATTTGGGTGTGTTTCTCTTAGGAGGAGGTTTTGGGGAAATTTGGGATTGAATTTAGTTTTTATTTGAGTTTTGAGACGAGCTTGAATTCTGATGTTTCTTTTGGGTTTGGGTTTGGTTGGAGTTTGAGGAGTTTTGATGTGTATTAATTCGATAGTATAAATATAATAATATAAATGTATATTATTGTATATAAGTTAATTATAAATTTATATTATATCTATATATTTTTAAAAAATTTATTTATTTATATTATAAAAATAATTATTCTCTACAAAATTACATATATATTATATATATTTTATTAAATTATAATTATTATAAATCCTGTTTTATATTTATAATTTTAAAAAAAAGGGAGAGAGAGAAAAAATAACCGTATGTATGTGAGTCTGTCCTCCAAACCTCCTCCAGTCCAAAGTTGTGCTGGAGAAACACACCATTGGTTATGCTAAAGGGCTGCAAATTTGGGAATAGGTAGAGCTCGTAAATGGGCCAGGCCCGGATATTCAATCCTAATCCATCTAGTTTTATCATTTTTATAGGCTAGTTCGAGTTGTACTATAATTATAAATTACGTTAGGGTTACTAGTGGGCAGGCGGGCTTGCTCCATTGAATATAATAGCTATATATATATATATATATTAAAAATAAAAACTTTATAACCTCAAGTAAATAAATGAATTGATATTAACATATTTTCAAAAAAGAAAAAATATCTTTTTACTACAAACAGAAAACAACCAAAGTATCAAGGATGACAATATAAGAATTGTCTCAACACCAAGGACAACCAAAAAGAAAAGGGCACGAATTTTTGGATAATTGACCTTCTATTGTTTTTGGAATTGGATACGATATTACTCCCTTCCCTCCGTTCCACGTACCATATTCATATTGCCGTTTTTGTCCGTTCACATATCCTATTATTTTTCTTTTTTGGAAAATGATTACACACTTTAATCTCATTTTAAACTTTTTAATTTTATTTTTTTTAAAATTTTAATTAAATTAATTAGTTATCTTAATCTTAATTTATAATTATTTATATTATCGGATAATTATTTTCGCTAATACATTCTTAATTATCTATTAATTACGCCCATCATAAAATACCGTGTCTACAGTGTAACAGACACTGTACGTGGGTCAGAGGTAGTATTTTGAATTGAAATACATTTAAAATAATATTAATAAAATATAAAATGTAAGTAAAATGAGTCGCATTTTATATAGCGGACAATAAGAAGTAATTTAAAAGGAAATATAAATATTTAGGCGGAACTACGGAAGGGGTATATTGATTATTAGTGTTTTTAAATAATATATCTAATATTTGTTTTATTATTATTATTATTCAAAAAATTATGATTAAATAATTATTTTGTTTTATAAATCATTAAAAATAAAAAGATTGAACAAAGACATATTAATATATATATTTTTTTATAATATAAAAATTTGGAGCAGTTAAATTCAACTCACACATTATCAAACCATTCTTTACAGACGATATTAACATTTATAATATCATCTGGTGATTATGAAGGACTCTTTATATATTTATATAGTATTACTCTTAATTCAAAATATTTAATTTGAAGATTGATGGGAATTGACGAATGGTTATGGTGCATGAAACTATGTCAATGTATTGTATTTTTATATTTGTATGATATTAATAAAATTCAGATATTGTCTTCTATTTCTATGTCACGTATTGTTCTTATATTACATATTGTGGGGATTATATTATGTATTATATTAATATTACGTAATTCATGGGTTAGTTGTGATCCCTACGTCATGTGCTATGTGAGACTATTATATATATATTTTTTGTTATGTCACAAATAGATTTTTTTTTTTATTATTAATTAATTAAATTTTTAACTTTTTGTACATAATATTCACCCAAAATCACTTTATTTATATTTTTTATCAATAAATAAATATTTTTATCTATATTTAAATTTTATTAGTATTTTATAAATTTTGTTTTAAATTAATTATAAAATAAATAAATATTTTTTATTTGTATTATATAAAATAATATGCAATATTGCATATGTTTCATTGAGATATAATTTTAATAATATTTGAAATATTAATAACAATACTCATATAAAAAATACTCCTTCCGTCCCAAAACTATAGTTTCGGTTATATTTGGCACGAGATTTAAAGAATATTGATATTATATTGGTAACAAGTAAAAAGTACCGATAAAAGACTTTTTTGCCTTTATGACTGTATTAGCTTAAAAAGTAACGGCAATTGTATAATAATAATAAAAAAGTAATGATAGTTTTATAGTGATATGATTATTTATGGAAAAGAGACTATTGTTCTGGGACGGACAAAAATGGTAAACAAGACTATTGTATTGAAACTAGAAGTGTCAATTCGTGTTTTTGGGTCGTGTTCGTGTCGGGTTGAGCCATGAGGATAACAAAATAACTGTCAACCCGAACCCGAAATCTAACCTGAAACTCTAGACTCGAACACGACACGCATTCTTTCAGGTCGAGTTCAGGTTGACCTGAATTAGTTTCTGGTCACCCGAAACCCGAACAAACCCGATACGAAACCGACACGAAACAGACCCGAAATTTTTTTAAAAAATTAAATTGACCTAAAAAATATCATTTTTATTTTAATTTTTCTATTATTTTATATTTAAAATAATATAAATATTATAAATTAAAATAATAATAATAAAAATTTCAGGTCAACCCGAAACACGAAACTCAAAATCTAATCTGATTTTGATATTTCAGGTTATCAAGTCAACCCGAAACACGACCCGAATTTTCTTCGTTTCAAGTTCGGGTCAACCTGATTTTTTTCAAACCCGAAATACCCAAACCCGAACCTGAAAAATTTCAGGTCGAACGGGTTCGGTTTTTTGGGTCAGGTTTACTTTTGACACCCCTAATTGGGACGGAGGGAGTAATAAAATAATATCACAACTTATTATTAAAAATTTATTAATCTACACTATTTAAAATATCGTATCTTTAATAAAATGATAATTTGTAATGAGATAGAAAGAGTATATACACATATTGATAATGTGAATGATACAATAGGGTGTGTTGGTTTGGGGTATTGGATTTTAAATACACTATTTATTCCATTTATTTTTCTAAAAAACATCAAATCAAACACTTATTTTTTATTTTTTATATTATACTAAAAATTAATTTTACATTCAAAACATCACATTAACACCTATTTATATCTCATAATACAACTATTCAAATTAAAAAATTTTACTATTCAAATCTCAACTCAAAATCCAAACACCCAAACAAACACACCCTAAATAAATGGTCAAGTAATAATGTTTATTAATAATTTACTAATTTATACTCTCTCCGTCCACTTACAATGTATAAATTTACTTTTAGCGTGGGTAGTTAAAAGTAGTGTAATGACATTTTTGTCCTTATTTTTTGGTGTAAAAGTAATAATATGATGTAAAGTAAAAGTATTTGTGAAAAAAAGTATGATATTTAATAAAATGTTTACTTTGTAATTGAACATCCCAAACTTTATAACTGTACGGCGGGAGTATTTCCTAAAATAAATATACATATATTGGTAATGTGAATGAGTGCAATAAATAAATGGACAGGTGGCAGTGTTTAATTAGTGGAGAAAACGTATAGTAGGTGGGGGTCTAACTACTTTCCCTACACTGCACTAACTCTGTGTCTGTGGGGGACTTCCTACGGTTCGCTGCTCCAGTGACTGACAGAATCACTGTTCATAACATTGCAATATTTAATTATTCATTCAATTATTCACATTCCTATTTACTCAATTAAACTATTTTCTTATTCAGTCGGTGCTATCTATATTGTACTCCCTTCGTCCCAAAGTGTAATATTTATTTTTGGCACAAGTTTTTATGTAGATAGTATTAAGTAAGATAATTTAGAAATTAGATAGTATGATGGAGAGATAAATATATATTTTATTTTTTTATTTTAATATGTGATGGGATAAAGTGTGGGGTGGAAATTAAGTATAATTAATTATTTCCTATTTTGAAAATGTTGCAGGGTGTTTAGGACATACCAAAAAGAAAATATTACAGGGTATTTGGGACGGAGGGAGTACTATACTATGTAACTATAATCTTAATTTGAATTTTGTGTTAGAATTTAAATAGTAAAATTTTGAATTTGAATTATTGTATGATATAATATAAATAGGTATTACTGTGATGTTTTGAATGTCAAATTGATTTTTAGTATAATATAAAAAATAAAAAATAGATGCTTGATTTGATATTTTTTGGGGAAAAAAATGAGATAAATAGTGTAAAAATCCAATCCCCAAACAAACACACCCTTAAACTAAATCACGGCTCTTAAAAGCTACATAATTATTTGACTTATAATTCTTTACTAATTCATGATAACAAGCATACTATATAGATTATAGAATGATATTGGCCCTAGTTCTATTTTATTTTTTAGGGTTTCTGTTTTAGGCTAATCATCACATATAGACATATATATATATATATATTATCACTATACAAATATAATACAACTATCAATTTAGACAAATTTTGTGTTTGTGACAAATTTTGTGTTTGTTTCTTTTTTGTCCAAAAACCCCATGTTTCTACTATTTAAACTTTTCGTGTTCTGAAAAAAAAAATATATTTTTGTATTTTTCATAAAATATTTCATTATATATTATTATTTGCTCCAATTCAAAAGTATATTTTTTTACCATTTTCTTCTGTCTCATACAAAATTATCAATTTTCTATTTTTAATAAAAATAATCATATACTAATACTAAAATATTTTTACCTTTTATTTAAATTGCAAACATATCATCACATATAATTACTTATTACATAAAATCAAAAGAGCAAAAATATCAAAACTTTCAAGTTTTTTCAAAACCCATCAAAAGACGCATTATTCAAAACAATATACACTAAACATACTTTATTTATATTTTTATTTAAAACATAATATTAAATATCTATTAATAACACATAATAATACTTTTACTTTAAAATTTTACTATATCTAAAATGCCAGAACACAAAAGGTGCATCCGGAAAAAAAAAAAAAAATTCTAATAAAAAATATTTCATCCCTAAATAATCATATCACAGTAAAATCATTCATATTTTTCCATTATTACATTCAACCCAGACTATAATTATGGGACCAAGAAATTACCTACCAACATCTGTTTTTTATTTAACATATATTATATTTAAAATTAATTTTCAATTCAAGTTATCATATTAACTTATTAGTCATACATTTTTTATTTAAATTCTTTTTATTTTAAAAATAAGTTTAAACACCAAAAATATCCAAAATACAAAAGAACACATCCAACATGTTTTAACAAAAACAGATCCATGTAACCTATGTCGTACGAACTAACTCATAGATATTACTAATAATTAACATTAACATAAACATGCCCTAAACAGACAGCCGACAGCGCGCGTACACCTACACAATCCATTGTGGATTTTATTATTAAGAGTGTGTATGTTTGGGGTTTAGATTTTGAGTTGGAATTTGGATAGTAAAAATTTTGAATTTGAATAATTGTATGATGTGATATAAATAGGTGTTGATGTGATGTTTTGAATGTAAAATTGATTTTTAGTATAATATAAAAAATGAAAAATAGGTGTTTGATTTGATATTTTTGGGGGGAAAAAATTGAATGAATAATGTAAATCCAATCCCCCAAACAAACACACCCTAATATTCATTCTTTCTCCGTACATCTCATCTTTTTTTTTAAATTGGAAGTATAATTATATACTTTAATGAAATTTTAAAGTTCATAATTTATAATTTTTTTAATTAAATTATTTAGTTATTTTAATTTTTAATCTATAATTATTTTTATTAAATCATAATTATTTTTACTAATATACTTTTTAATTACTGAATAATTACACAATACCTAAAAGTTCGTATATAACCTAAATGAAACAAAATAGCTAAGCCGAAGAAAATACTATTTATAGATATTCTTACTTTTATATTTATTTATAATCGTATCATTATACTATTATCAAATTATAAGTGCAATTTTGTCTTTACATATCTATATATTATGAACTACTATTAAAATATTAATACTTTTTATTTAAATATAAAAAATACATATACACCTTAAAAATAAAACTAAATAGAAAGAGTATTATATATGAAAAATTGGAATCGTATTTATTTGATATTGTTGTAAGTATGAAAAATTATAAAGGTATTATAATAATATATACTGATATATATTTTGTGTATTTTTATTAATTTATATTGTTGTCTGTCTATATTATATATGTCACATATTCTAATTTTTGAAAAAGGATTCTTGAAAATTGAGTAATTGATTAACACTAAATAAAGACACTAGATGTTTGGTGTAATACATTTTGAAAGAGAATTGAGAAATTGAATAGAAAAATAATAATAAAATAAAATAAAATAAGAACTCGAAAAAAACTTTAATAATATGAGAAATAAATGTTCAACCATTGCTTGTTATAATAATAATATATATAGTGCATATTTTGGTGTGTTTGAAGTAATAATAATAATATCAAAATGAATTCGATCTCAGGCATTGATTCTCATGTTAGCACTAAATAATCCAAAAGATATATATATGTATTAAAAAGTATATTACTTTCTATGTCCCACATAATTTATTTTTATTTTTTATATTTCGTTGATCCCATATAATTTATTATTTTATTTTTTTAAAAATATAATTATATACTTTATTCATATTTATTACATAGGACCAAAGGAGCAATAATTTTAATTTGTAATGATCTTTTAATTTTATTAATCACACCCACCCGTAGAATCATAGATATATACATACATATATATATATATATAAGCATGCATATGAATACCATTATCTCCCGGCGCCTGCAGCAGCAGAAGGTCCGTTCTATCCGTGCGTTGTACAGAACAACGGTCTATACACATACATACATACATACATACATACAACATGACAATTAATTTCCGTTGCACATCTTCCACCGCCACTTGGGCTGTTTCCGTCGCCGTCACCGCCGCCATATTGGTGGCGTCACCAGCTGAGTGCGCTCGCGCATTCTTCGTCTTCGGTGATTCTTTAGTCGACAATGGCAACAATAACTATTTGGCTAGCACCGCCAGAGCCGACGCCCCCCCTTACGGCATCGACTACCCCACGCACCGCGCCACCGGCCGGTTTTCCAACGGATTCAACATTCCCGACCTCATAAGTATTTGCATTTTCACTACTAAATTTTTTAATTTCATTTTCTTTACTATACAATATTAAAATTAAAATAATAGTTTAACTTTATATAAAAAAATCTATGTTTGTTTTCTTTATATTTCATAAAGAAATTGAGCACATAATTGGATGAAAAAGGTAGTACTATAATAACTATTTTAACTTATATATATACTCTTTAATTGTAAGGTCAATTTTATTTTTTTTTCAAAAATATCAAATTAGACTAATTCCTTCAATTTTTATTTATTTTATTACACTAAAATTTAATTTTGTATTTAAAATATCGCATTAATATATATTTATATTACATTAAACTAATTATTTCAATTCAAAATTTTGATATCAATGCCAAAACCTTTCAAATAAACACACCCGATCATAATTTTTTTTAGGTCAGACGCTGGGGGCAGAATCGACATTGGCGTATTTAAATCCACAGTTGAATGGGGAAAAGTTGCTGGTCGGAGCTAACTTCGCGTCCGCCGGAATTGGGATTCTCAACGACACCGGCGTTCAATTCGTAAGAACTTTTTGAATTTTTGTAGTTTGATTTGATAGATATATGGTTGCGTTCGTGTGCGAATTCGGAGGAATGTATCGCTAATTAATTGAGTGTTGATAATTTTGTGGCGGCGACAGGCGCAGATAATCAGGATGTATCAGCAATTGGAGTATTTCCGGCAATACCAAGCTAGGGTTACGGCGCTGATCGGACCAGAGCAGACGCAGCTCCTCGTCAACGGCGCGCTCGTCCTCATCACGCTCGGCGGCAACGATTACGTCAACAATTACTTCCTCACTCCGGTCACTTTCCGCAGGCTGCAATTCAATCTCCAGGACTTCTCGAAACTCATCGTCTCCGAGTACAGGAAGATTCTCCTGGTAACTAATCAACCAATCGATTAATTTAACTATCAATGCATCAAATCGATTAATCGGAACTGAAAGAGCGGCGAATTCGCGCAGAGACTGTACGAATTGGGGGCGCGGAGGGTGCTGGTGACGGGGACGGGGCCGCTAGGGTGCATACCGGCGGTCCTGGCGACGAGGAGCCGGAACGGGCAGTGCGCGGAGGAGCCGCAGCAAGCGTCCGCCATTTTCAATGCTCTTCTGATACAGATGGTCGGAGCCATCAATCAAGAGGTAGGATCAGATGCATTTGTAGCCTTCGATGGAATGCGAATGCAGAACGACTTCATCTCCAACCCCCAAGCGTACGGTACGCTCTCACCATCATCATTTTTTTTAATTTTTTTTTTCAAATAATAATTAATTAATCAAAAAAATAAAAATAAAAAACAGGATTTGTGACGTCAAAAATAGCTTGTTGTGGGCAAGGGGCATACAATGGAGTTGGGCTGTGCACTGCACTGTCAAATTTGTGCCCTAACAGAGAAGTGTACGCATTTTGGGATGCATTTCATCCTTCAGAAAAGGCAAACAGAATTGTTGTTAGATCGATACTTACTGGTTCTGAGGAATACATGTTCCCGATGAATCTGAGCACCATCATTGCCCTGGATCTCCAAAAGGAGAAATCCCGAACATGAACATGAACATAAACATGATTGATCGCATTTAACCTGATTGTGATCATATCATATATCAAATGTCTTTGAAATTTTCTTTAATTTACTTTCCACACTCATTGAGCAAATGAATTAATAGTAGTGCTTGTTAGTTAGCTTTGTTCGATCTGAATCATGTAATTGAATAATGATGATTCGTTGTTTCCTTCAATTTCACGAAATTTGTGACAATGGTTGAGCAAATTGGACATAACTGTAGTGTCTCCTGTCAAGGTTATAACTTATATGCATGTATTCGTCCAACAATTTTTATTTTATTTTATCTTTTGACATATATGTTATTTTTTTAAATAAAATATAATATAATAATAGCAATAGTTTATGTACACACTCATGCAATATATCATATATTATACCTGATAAACAAAAGTTTATAATTCAATATAAAATATTATTTAAAAATTATTAAAATATTACTTTCAAGACATATTCTTTATTTATAGTATATCACTGTAAATATAAATATGTACAGATTTTTACTTGAAATAGAGAATTTTAATTTCACATGCTAATAATAAACATAGTGTAATTATTTGTTTAGAATTTTTGTTTGAAGTATTATTTTATGTAAGATACAAAAAAAAATTAATATTTTATATTGAATATTGATTTTTTAATAAAAAATATAATATATTATATATACATTAAAAATTGTGTCGTGTAAAAAAATAATTGGGTAAATAAAAAAAAATGTAGGAATGACCCCTTGAGCATTGGATCCCGTGGATATCGGCATAAAATTATCATCTCCTTCTTACAAATTAACATTAAATTTTTTATCCGCTGGTAGAAGAATATAAATAAATTTATGTTCAATAAAAAATCGTTCCAAATGAAAATTTTATTAGAAAAGGATGGGAAATAAATATATATGTGTGTACTTTGAGGAAATCAATGATGCTAACAACTAAAAGTCTACATCTTTACTTCGTAAGATGCAAAAATTTAATATATGGGCCAATACTTTCGACTTATTTTATTTATTTATTTATTTTCAATATTAATATAATTACATTTATTTTATGGACGTGGACCAATCCGATATTTATAATCCATTTTAAATAAATGGGTAGGCCTTGGATCACAGGTGTATTTATTAGCTTACACAAGAGCCATGCTACATTAGATATTTATGTACAGTGAACTTTAATTGCATATGGAGTATATATTAAATTAACATTTTTGTAAAATAAAAATCATTTGATATTATCACATCTCTCTTTTATTTATTTATTTTTATACAAATCCATTCCAATGGAATCAGATGATAACTTCCAAGCAGACGATATCTCATCATTTGATCTAAAAGAGTTTTAGATCATCACATCTCTTTATTTAAGAAAAATATACTCTTACAAAGTATCAGTTTTTTTATTTTAGTCCGTTCTATAATAAAGTATCAATTTTTTTTTAGTAATTGTACTATCTACCAAACATTACAAATACTCTTACAATATACAATATATTATACAAATATCATTACCTTTATATCACACATACTAATAAGTTATTTTAGTCATTTCTATTTTATTCCTACTACATTCAAATATAATAGTAATATTTCTAAAATTACGTGCATAAAAGAAATGAATATTTAATTATAAAACGGAAGAGTAATATTGACGAGGAAAAAAATGTATTCATTTTTTAAATATCTCCATATATATATCTATATATGATATATTATTGTATTATAAGTGAAATATTGTCATTTTTAATTTTAAAAGGTGTATATATAACTAATTGCGTATATATGCATATGATATACTATTCTCTCAGTCAATTCACTGTACTTTTTTTTTTTTTTATCATCATTTTTGTTAATTCCATTAAAAAAATATTAATTTTCAATGAAATAAAAATATTATATTTAAATACCAAAACATTCTAAACATTTATAAATATATATATATATTTAAGAGCAAAAGTATTAAAATTATTTTACATACTTTCAACTAACTAAATAAATATTACTTCCTTCGTCCCAATATTATACTCTTGTTTATCATTTTTGTCCGCTCAAAAGGACAGTTACATTTTTCATAAATAATCATATCATCGTAAAATTATTCATACTTTTTTATTATTATTACACAATTTCCACCACTTTTTATATTAATATACTCATAATGACAAACAAATTATTTGTCAATATTTTTTTACTGACCACTAATATAATATTAATATTCCTTATATATCGTGTTCAACACAACAAGACTATATTTTTGAACGGATGGAATATTAATTTTCAATTCACTTAAAAAAAACAAAATATACAATTAATTGGAACAGAAAAAGCATTAAATACTTATATTATAGTACGATTTAATGGCATAAATGTATAACTATATATGTTTGTGGTTATTTGTCAATTTATTATTATTAATATTACTATTCTCTTTTTTTGGTTATTCAAATCTATATTATCTTTCTTTTGTGATTGTCATAAAAAATATTCATGTATTACACTTTTGTATAATTTTATTTTTTTTAAAAAATAAAAAATAACTATTTATATGACTTTCTTATATATTGTATTTTTGAATGTACGAATGTTTTTATATAGAGACGATAATTTTGTGAGTAATATAAATAATAATATTTTACGTTAAGATGATTGATTTTTTAATTAATATAATATTTATAGGATGTAAATTTATATATTATAATTGATTTATTTTTTTAATATTCATCAACCTAATAATTATTGGATTATAAAAAGAAAAAATCGATTATTTATTTTAAGAGGATAACATTTTTGTGAAAGGCAATTTTATTTATGGGCCTTAAAACTTTTCTTATATTGGGCTGTGAAACTATGGATTTTACTTGACCCTGAATCTTAAAAGCAAAAGCCCATTTCTAAAGTCTGCCTAATGTAATGTATGGTTCTCAATCACTGCTCGTATCGTTCCCACTCCCTCCGGCCATGGCGCCTATCGAAGGTTTCCTAAAATTAGGTTAGAGAGGGAAACTGTGCTCTCCTCACTCCACAACGACTTCGAGTTGCTGAATTGTGCGTTGCGTCGAGTGGGGTTGCTTTAACTTTTTGCTATTTGTTTGAAGAATGGCTGGAGTTCCAAGATTATTTGATTTATGCATGGCCGCTATAGCTGATGAACTTCTCCGAGGTAACTTACCGCTGGTACTTATTGACAATATCGTTTAGTTTTGTTCATAAGATTAAATTATGAATAATTATTCTCATTTTAATTTGAGACGGTTTATTGCATGATTATTGTAGCTCGGGTTATGTAATGGCTTTTGTCCCTTTTTTTTTGTCGCTTGCAGGGGACGATAGTGATGATATACGTTCGGTAATTTATGAATTTCCATCAGAACTGTTTGATAATTTGTTGTCGCATTTGCCTCCATTGGCAGTGCAGAAGTTGCAGGAGAATCTGTGAGTTCCTAACACTTTCTAACTAATCAATGAGTGTACATAAGAGGTCAAGTAGAACAAAAGAACAAAAAAGGCATGGTGCCATCGTTTACTAATTATCTTTTCTGATCAATGACATGAAAAATCTCATGATTATAGGGCAGAAGCCATATAACCCCGTATATTTGCTGATACAGACCGTTTGACTTCTGGGATAAGTTTGATTGCGCTCAAGCTTATAACGGAGACAGTCGGAAACGCAGAAGGTTGGCAAGAAAGGTGCACTTAATATTGGGGAAAATGCACTATGTATTGGGAGAAGTAACTAACAAACTCTGATGAAGTTGTTGTCTCTATTATCGCAGATCTGGAATTTTAGATACAGCATGGGAACTACTTTATAAGGTTCGTTGGCCTGGTTTTGGTCAGCATAAGCGTAGTGCCTTTTGGTTGCAAGCAAAATATATTGTGATTGATGATTGGCAGCAGCTATATTGGGAGACGCATTTGCAAGAGTACGCACTTTAGCTGAATCATTTGTGAATTTTTTATAGAGTTTTCTAATGTTTTGATTAATAACTTCATTTACTATTGTATGAGCATATTTTTATTGCCAGTTGTGTGGATGCCATAGCAGAGACAGCTTTGCTTCCATCATATGATGGCTCTATTGGAGAAATACAAATTCCAGGTTAAATGTTGTTGCCCTTTTGATTCTCTTCTATTTTTATGCTCCTTGAACTAAGCAGGATACTGAAATAAAATTGAAGATCTTGGTTTATAAGGTCGAGGTTCTGATTAGATTTAATACACAGAACTTGAAGTAGTTGCCCCTGGCATTTCTGAGTTTTAAAATTCTGGGTTCTTCGATAAACCTTGAGCTGACCTTTTGCAGTCTGCCCATCATCTAGTGTTCATTGTGAAGGGATACCATAACACATTTCTTGTATGAAGGTGTTATTCATTCAATTAGTTATTACATGACTAGTACCTTCTCACGATCAAGAGTAGTATGTAACATAGAACTAGCCCTCAGTGCTGATATGTATCTTGGTTAATGCAGATCCAATATTGGGATACATTGGCGGCAAGGGTTACCTGAGTAATCTGACTTGCAACTACATGAAATTTTCATGCCATTGCCAGCAATTTGGACTTTATGCCAGGTAGATAGTTTGAATACTATATTTCCTCTCTGATGTAATGTTGTAGTGCTGGATGTCACTGAAACATTTCTGTTGCAGACAGCTCAGACTTCCAAACGCACTCTGTGTCACAGAAATTTGTGTGAGCTTCATCTTCCCCTTTGAATTTGCTTGAAGTGCATTTGTGTCTGTAATTTGTAATATATAGTTTCTATTAAAGACTCCATTTCATTCAAGATTTGAATATCATTTCCTGTAAAATTGAAGCTGACAAATTTCAGTATCTGAAGTTTGAACTATCTGCTTCTCACTGAAGATTATTTTTATATATGTTCTCTTTTATTTTAAATAATTATCATATCCTAAAGTTTAGTAAAAATGTCACTTCTACTCCAATGCTGATTTATGCGTTTCTTAAGCTTTTTGACAAATTGTGTATTATCTATTTATCTGTATGGATATCTGTACTGGTTGGTGCTTGATCTAGTTTGTGAAGATGAGGCTTACAGTCTGTTGCTGCACTGGAACCTTTCATTTTTATCTTTGGATAGTTTACCCAAAACATATCCTTTTTTTCAAGTTACACACACACACATGTTGCCACAGGATTTTAGGGATTTGTCACTCCCTTTTGTGGTTTCAGGGTGTTGAGTAGCCCTTGTTGAATATAACTCATCATTCAATAGCTTATTAATTGATTATACTGTTCTGCTGTGAAAACATGTTATTATAAATTATATATCTCATCAGTGAAATATAATTTATATCACCCAGTTTTTCATTAAGTCAAAACATACATAGAAAGTACCAATCAAAATCTCTAGAATTTGCATATCTGATTTCTTTATCCTTGGCTTGTTACTTTGATGTAGGATTTGTTACAAAGCAGTAAGTTGCATACTCTGGAACTTCAGTGGATAAAATCCAGTGCTCATGTATGCTATCTCTCTCTCTCTCTCTCTCTCTCTCACACACACACACACATACAGTTCAAATGCACCTATATCACTTGATAAACTAGTAAACCGAGAAATGTGGAAATTCTTTGTCAGAATTAACATAAACCCTACCAAACATCACACTGAGGCACTTAACCTTAGCCTATCAAAGGAATTATTCTAGAAAGGGTATGCCATGTTTAGTCTTGTTATTTATTTTCTCCCATTATGTATTGTTTTTAAATATCATTAGAATCCAGGACTCGGTCCAGTTTAGTAGTGATTTTTTATTTTTATTTTTTTTCTATTTCTAAGTCATATGCAAGCTATAAATATTCACAACATACGGTAGCCTAGAAAGCACATGGAGAATCACGCACTTGAGGAATACCAAATTTAACATGGAAGAACTCTAAATACTTGCTTATCTTCTATGTTCTGGTCTACTGATAATATTTGATGCAAAATTAGGCTATAGAATGTGCCAGTAATGCTTTGATTCATACTTTTGGCTGTTGTGCATAATTCCACAGGTTGAGGGATTATGCAAACTTCTGAATCAGAATTGCAAAACTTTGAAATCCATTGAATTTATTCATTGCAAGCTTTCCCCATCTTTCATAAATGCAATTTGCGATTCACTATGCGCGAAAGGCCTTCAAGTACATGGAGTCAAGCATTTCTCAGTCAAGAGATCAAGTTTCCAGCGAACTGACTCATCTCCCATACCAATTGGAATGATATCATTTTTAACTTCTGGGAGGTGTGCATATGTAATGAATGGTTAAATTTCAAGGCACTTATAATCTTAGTATACAGCTTCATTTTATCCATGTTTCTCTTGTCCTGTCACAATTTTAGTATTTATTTATTTTTAATCTCTAGGCTGATAATAAGACAGTCATGGCTCTGATGATACATAGACCTGGGGCTGCTTTGGTTGTGTTTTCCTAACTCAACCCCTCCCCCCCCCCTCTCTTCGAAATTCTCTATTATAATGTGGATAATTCTCAATGGATTTATTGTTTCATTTGCATAATTGTATTCATTAGAAATTAATTAACTTATAACATTTTTGACATGTCTTAGAGGTCGCTTTTTGAGCTTACTGACACGTTTATGGCATTTAAGCCTAGGTGTGTTGATTGCTATCTAGATTCTCTATAATGCTTGAGAAATCATGCATCCATGTTTGCAACAAGGATCTATGTTTACTTTTCTTATTTTTACTTGCATCTCAATATTCATCTTTACATGATGTGCGATGCTTGCTCAGACCGAAAATTCTTTATAATGACAGTTCTTTGGAGTCTGTGATCTTTTGTGATGACCAACTGGGGCGAAACTTTGCAAGGGTCATTTTCAATACACTCCTTGATGCTTCGGCTACTATATCCGTGCTGGATCTTTCAGAAAATGATGTCAGTGGAATTTTCATCTTATATATAATTCTCTTTTTCAATTCGGTGCTATTTTAAATCTTTATTTTTGATGTTGCAGATTTCAGGTTTCCTTTCTCAGTTTCGGTGGAGATCATCAAGCTCCTCAGGTGAAACAGGAAACTCATTTCAATCATTACGAGCGCTCAACTTGAGGTAATTAAAATTTGTACAAACATTATGAGTGCTCAGGCTTCCTTGTAGCTAATTTTTTGTTCATCGCTTGCAATTTCCTCATCTGAATGTTACTAACAACTTCCAATAGAAGTGTTGACTTTATTCTGTGCATTTCTGGTTTATACATTTAAATTCGCTCTTAAATTTTTTTTGTTTGAATTTTAGGAGCTGTGAATTGTTAAGTGAAGATGCAGAGTGTCTCAAGCAGGCTCTGGTTTGCATGCCTAATTTGGAGAGTCTTGATTTAAGTGAAAATTCGATTGAGAATGGAATAAGGTTGATTTCCCTCTCACTGCAACCCCTGATCTACAAGATGTGATCTGATTGCGTTGTTTGACATATCTTCCAAATTTTATTATTATGGTTTATTGTACTTTATCCTTTTAAATAACTGCATTCTGCCAATGACGTTCTGGGTTGACTTGTACACGCTTTACTGATATATAAATGACTTTTCAGGAGTCTGATCACTTATTTTAGTGACATATCCAGCAGAGAATTTCCATTTAACAATCTGAAGCTCGGGAATTGTGACCTTACTTGCAATCAAGTGGTCGAACTTTTAGGAGTTCTTACAACCATGAACAATCCACTGAATTTTCTTTCACTCAAAGGCAATAGGCTTGGGAGGTATATTTACATAAGAAATGCTACCAAAGGCTTCAATGTATAGAGTTAATTTTATGCAAGTTTTTTATTCTCTTCAGCAAATTTGGTGCACCGATGGGAAAATTTTTGTGCACCGGTATTCGTGCTCTTGATGTTGAAGACATTGGACTTGGTTCGTTTGGTTTTGGTCAAGCACTTGAGGAAATCACGAATGACCTGAAAATCACTTACATAAATATAAGGTTAACCTAGACCTGCGTCCCCGTCCCTGTCCTCTCCTGTTCTTGGTTTTTCATCTGCTAATACATGATACTATTTGTCTAAATTGTTACAGCAATAACCAAGGTGGAACTGAAGCTGCAAGCTTCATGTCAAGGCTCGTTTCACATGCCGACAATGTTGTTGCAATCGATGCAAGATATAACTTAATGCCTTTGGAATCTTTGACAGTAATATTATCTGGCTTGAAAGCTTCAAAAGGTGTCAAATTTACTTACTTCTGACTGATATGTTTTCCATGAATTAGTAGACCCCAGAAACACATTTTTCTCATGAGAAGCTCTTTTACCTTATTTGTAATTCCAATTGGTTTTTTTTTTTTCATACAGTAAAGCTGGAGCGTCTGGACTTAACTGGAAATAGTTTCTGTGATAAACTTGCTGCTGATGGAGCATCAGTTTTGGATGAATTTCGTACCATTGGTGAGTTTGATCTTTTATTATCGACTGCACCAAATGAACCGTATGATGATGAACCTTAGCTCCACATTTCTCAACTAACTCAAGATTCAAAGCCTACTTAAGCTTGCTTCATGGCTGAAGCATACTGATGCTGGGCTTGATATTTTAATACAACTTATTGAAACTTGAATTGTGTCTCGGTGCATTCTGTGCTTATTGATACATGTATTTACTACTAAGTTAACTTATTGCAGAACTGCACATGCTGTATTATTCTTTACCACACGAATGATGGGTAAATCCTGCAGTTGAAAGCATCGAAAATATTACAAGACTGAAACCAAAATAATAAGGCAAAATCATGAGTAGACAACTTTGATGCTTTTTGTGTCCAATAGAAGTTTGGTGGGCTGGCCTTTTCATTTGGCATTCCTATTTGGCCATTTTATCTTTAGTTTCAATCACATTTTTATACTCATAATTGAAGCTTATCCTTATTTCCTCTTACTTAACAAACATGATATGATGCATTGAATGACGGTGTTAGTATATAACAGCATTGCTTTATGTTTCTTGGTGAAACTGATACATCCATGCTGTGGTTGGATTGGTCTTATCATCTTTGTTGCCCGAAATTTTGGGCACACATTTCTTGTTATATATAGACATGGAACCGACATGCCCTACTTGCATTTAAAGTTCCATTCTGTATGTATATTGCTACTTTGTGTTGCTTATTTTAAACTACTCTTGCTGTGTGTATATGTATACTGTGTGTAAAAGAAGTCTTTTTTTTTGGTGGATGCCATTGATTGTTTTATGCATTATCTTAATAATTAGTTATTGACTATTTTAGTCCCTTGATTTGGTCACTTTTGTCATTTTGCCCCCTTGATCAATATAAGAAGTTCTATACAGTTTTTGGGTGACTTCATCACATTTGTATCTATAATATCTTAATAGTAACATTTACATATTTTTATATTTGTTTTTAGTTAGCATTTTAGTTGGAAAAGTGTATATTTTAGTTAAAAAAATAAGCAGTGTATGTTATGCTTTATCTATATATATATATATGCTTTAAACATTGTGTTATTTCACTTAAAATAAGAATTGGATATAATATTTTAATTGAAAGTATGTATGTTCTATATGCTGTTTTTTAAAGATAGAGTTTATTTTAAATCCGAAAACACAAAAAAATAGAGACATGTAGTTTATAAAGCTATTCATGATTGTAGTAATTTTACTTGAGAGGTACTCTTGGCTTTAATGATGTTTGATTAGGATTTTAAGCTTTTCAATCATTATGTTGCTTTTCTTAAGTTAAATCTTCAATCATTATATATTATTTTGTTTTTCTTTGGAATGTGTAATTTTATTATTGTGTTATATATGTACATACATGTATATGTGTATTAATTGGCAGTTATTGTTAATGCATTTGTAGGTGACTCTGCATAGTTCCTTAAGATCTTTTTGTATCCATTAAAATGGTTCACTACCATAAAATAATACAAATATATTATAACTAGCTATTAACAAATTCAATTGAACTACTTGTGAAGTTCAGCTCTATTCATTTACAAAGAATGAGTTCGAGCTACGCTAGTTATCTTCATAAATATGATACACAACTATAATAATTTAAATTTATAATATTTTTTAATTTTTAATTATATAAATTAATTATTTATATCAACAAGTATTTTATAATTATTTTTATGTATAATATTTTAATTATTTATTAATTATATCATTCTTAAATTTAGGCTGGATTGAGGGAGTATTAAAAAAATATAAAATACTACAAAACAACCATGTGTGGATATATATATTTATTTTAATTTTGTATATTTAATCTAAAGTATTATTTTTTATATTATCGATATATATTTTTTTATTTTACATAAAAAAAAATACAAATTAAAATATTAAATAAATAAATATAATATTTTATATTAAATGTTAATTTTTATTACAAAATAATATATATTGAAAATTGTATTAGAAAAAAAAATATTTGTGGACAAACAAAACTCTAGAACTATAAAAAGTAAAGGTGCATTTTGTTTGAAGGATGCAAGGAATTTGTATTATTTATACAAATTTTTTTTCAAAAATATCAAATCAAATTTTTATTTTTTATTTTTTATATTATACTAAAATTTAATTTTATATTCAAAATATTAAGTTATAAAATAGCTCATCCTACCACTATTTTAATTTAATATTTTTATTATTCAAATTTCAATCCAAATTCCCAACTAAACACGTGGTTAGAAAAATTTGAATTTTTTATTATTAAACAAACTCATTATTAAACAAATTCCCAATAAATATAGTCTAAAGCACTGTATAAAAGTAAATGTTTAGAAAATTTTGATTTTTTTAAATTATTAAACAAACTCATTATTTAAATTGTCTAAGGGTAATTATATGGCAAATTAACGGCGGTAAGATTATCTTTTCAACCGCCGAAAATTCACACTCAAATTGCTCTGTCTTCTCCGTCAAACCTCCAAACCCTTTTCCTCTTTTCATTCTTTTTTATTTTTTTCTCCCTACTCACCGCAGATCCGATCGTCGGTCCGCCGGATTAGAATCTCATCGCCACCTTCATGGAGGAGGCACTGGAATTGTCGCGTGCCAAGGACACCAAGGAGCGGATGGCCGGGGTCGAGCGACTGTACCAACACCTCGAGGCTTCGAGCAAAGTTCTGTCCTCGGCGGAAGTGACCTCGCTCGTCGATGTTTGCATAGATCTCTTGAAGGATAACAACTTCCGAGTGTCTCAGGGCGCGTTGCAGGCACTCGCCTCCGCCGCAGTGCTCTCCGGCGAGCATTTTAAATTGCACTTCAATGCGCTGGTGCCAGCGGTGGTGGAGAGGCTGGGTGATGCTAAACAGCCGGTAAGAGATGCTGCGAAAAGGCTTCTGTTGACGCTCATGGAGGTATGGCGTATTATTGTTGGTACACCTTGTTTACTGTAATTAAACGCTATTTCATTTTGTGAATGGGGGCATTTTTTATTGAACCTTTTGTTGCTACTGTATGCTGTGATTAAACGGTGTTTTTGTCTTCAGAAGCATTATCAATTTGGTTTGGAAATGATAATACTTAACGATTGCTTTGCTATTTGTTTTTGAACTTTCAGGGAAAGCCAATTTTATACGTTCTCATTTGGTCTTTTTATGCCTAATTTTTTTGAACAGATGATTCTAAACTACAGAGTTTATGTAACTAATGGGCTTCTGACAGGTCCCTGGCATTGTGTATTATTTCCCAACTAAACTATAAACGTTTTGAGTGCTTCCCGTTGTTCCCTAATATAATTTAGCAACAATCCCCATCGGGATACTCAGGCCATGTTTGGTCATCTTCTTATTATGTATAATTCCGATTACTTGACATTGAATGTCTTAGTTAAAATCATGGCACCTTTCCAATTGCTCAATTCCTTGGGATCATTCAAATTTAGCATGGATTCCATGGGATTATGTCATTTTATCACATCACTTCCTTCTTGTTTTATTGAAATGATGCATGTGTTAGGTTTTAGGCTCATCATATCATATTAGGTGTTTAACTTGCTACAAATTTCTAATAGTGTAAGGACATCTTAAGAATAGGGTGTTATTAGTTCTTTCAATTCAACATACTACGACTTTGATTCTTAACTGTTAAGTAGTTCCTGTACATTCTAAATTGATGTTTTCATTTCAATTCAAGAACTTGTAAGACTTGAAAAGGTTCTGTTGATAGTGAGTTGGTTACTTTGTGATAGGCTTTTATTTTCTGGTTAAAGGTTTGTTTACTATGCTTATTGCTTGGTATAATCATGAATCATCCATACTACTTACTTGGAAATGTCTTTATGATACATTTTCTAAGATTCATTTTAACTATTTGAATGCTGACATTGTTTTAGGTGTCTTCACCAACTATCATTGTTGAGAGAGCGGGATCTTATGCTTGGACACACAGGAGCTGGAGAGTTCGTGAAGAGTTTGTTCGTACAGTAACATCAGCTATTGGTCTGTTTGCATCCACGGAGCTACCTCTTCAGCGGGCAATTCTTCCATCTGTAGGTTCACTTTGTATGTTTTTGAGCAGTTCTCATTCACACCTTAGGTGATATTTAGGTGGAAACAAGATTTTCTAGGTTTATATTGTTACATAGAAAATCAATGAATGGTTTCTCTTTATGTTGCTTTTGTTACACCAGATCTTGCAGTTGCTGAATGATCCAAATCCTGGAGTGAGAGATGCTTCTATATCTTGTATTGAGGTTAGAAAAATCTACAGAAAACTACGTTCCCCCATCATTCTTATTGTTATGTTTTCTTGTAGTTGGTTAGTCCTAATTCACTGCTGCTAGTAGTTTTTCCAATGGTGCAGTCCATTTGAAGATATCCTATCACATAGTAACCTCTGATGGAACCATTTAGTGGAGAATATGTTTCTACCTTAATAATTTATTCAAATTGCGAATGGCCCAAGTTATGTTTTCATTATGTATGCTGAGAGTATACATTTTAGTGGGATACATGGCATCTCTTCTTTATTCACTTTCTATTTAACACCTTATTTTGAACCCTATTATTTATTGTATATTTTTTGACATATTCCTACATCCATAAGTACCCCAGGTCTACTCATGGCATTTTTGTTATGGTTATGGATGAAGGCTAGCATTATACTCTATGTTGTACTTGTAGGTTGTGGGAATGTTTTTGAGAACTGTCAGCTGTGAATTAGTATAGATGTTTGTTGGGGAGTATAGATTGTTAGTCACATCCGTGAATTTCTTGAAGACACCTCTGGAGTGTACTGAAGTTGAATGTGGTCTCTTATATTGAGTTAGTAGTCTCAATAATAAGTGAATTAGCATACATAGGAGCCTCATCATTTCGTGAACACTTGTGATCAAAACCTGTAAGTAATGCTAGTGTGCACTTGAGTGCTTCTCTTACTTGTCACATCTCTCTAAAATCATGAATAGTTGGAATAAAAACCTTTGAATAATACAAGTGTTTACTCGTAATGGCACTTGACATTGGTGACATGCTGGTTTAGCTAGATAACCATAAGTGTGGTGCAGGGACTAAGTTTACAGATGATTTGTGAGGGAAAAACTCTTAACAGATTAATTCCTTTTTTTTTTTTTTATCAGCATTGACATAGAATTCAGTTGGGAAGATCTTATTACCTTCTAGATTTTGCTTATATTTTGTTTCTGTTGTCTCTTGCCACAGGAAATGTATACTCAGGCTGGGCCACAATTCCTTGAGGAACTGCACCGGCATCATCTTCCTTCATCAATGGTACAACATGAAGCTGTCAACTAAGCGTTATTATTCTATTTGAATACTGATTAAGAAAACTGGCCAGAATGAGTTTGACTTGTAGATCACATTTAACACTTCAAATATATCATTGGGTTTGAGAGGCACTGGATGGTTATCATATTTCTCAAGCATATTTCCTCATTACAATGACTGCAGTTAAAAGATATAAATGCCAGATTAGATAAAGTTGAGCCGAAGGTTAACTCTTCTGATGCTGTTGCCCGCAATTACTCATATAATGAAACCAAAAATGTACTCAGTAATCCAAAGAAAAGCAGCCCCAAGGCTAAAAGTTCGGGGCGTGAGGCGTCTCTGTTTGGAGGTTAGTACACGTTGAATGGTATAGTTGTAGCCTAATATGATTACATGGGCTATGGTAATTCCAAGCTATCTTATTTAAAGAATCTAATATTTTGTGAGCTTCCAGTTTTTGGCATTGTGTACGAATTAAAAGAGCTATGTAATTATTTTGTATGCTATTAGGGTGTGTTTGTTTGGCACATTTTGTAGGATTTCTACTATTTATCAAATTTTTTCCCCCAAAAAATATCAAATCAAATATCTATTTTTCATTTTTTATATTATACTAAAAATCAGTTTTACATTCAAAACATCACATCAACGCCTAGTTATATCACATCAAACAACTATTCCAATTCAAAATTTTTACAATTCAAAATCCAAACCCCCAAGCAAACACACCCTAAGTGGAAATGTATGTGCTTATGACGCTGTCGGAAGAATGAATAATGTAGTGCCCACATTTCTATTATCCGGCTGTACCAGAAGAAGGTGAAACTGTTAGTCATTCCCTTGTACAACTCAAATCATATTGGAGTGATGGTGTTTTCCTGTATCGTGATCACCTTATAATATCTTGTCTGTTGAATTTCAGCAGCAGATGGTGATGTTACAGAAAAACCTGTTGAACCAATTAAAGTATATTCAGAAAAGGAGCTTGGAAGGGAGTTTGAGAAGATTGCTTCCACCCTTGTCCCTGAAAAGGATTGGTCTATTCGTATCGCTGCCATGCAGCGAGTTGAAGGCCTTGTTGTTGGAGGTTTGTTGACCACTTATTGAACAGCTAGTTACCACTTATTTAGGAATATCTTTTTTAGTTCCTGTATCTTTATATAAGTTCTAGTGGGCATCTGTATTATCTCACACAATAAGTGGGAGGGACCTGATAATGCATATTATCAATAATTTCAACTTTCATGTTTATGAATCGAACTGCCTATTCTCACTACAATACATTATGCTATCTGTTTTAGTATATTTGAGTTTTATTCTTTAGAAAACTGAGTTTTTTCTTTGTTTCTGTTTGTTTTTTTGTTGGGGGGTGGGGGTGGCAATATTTTAGGTGCAGCTGATTACCCCAGTTTTCGTGGGCTTCTTAAACAGCTGGTTGGGCCTTTGAGCACACAATTATCTGATCGACGATCTAGCATTGTGAAACAGGTATGGCTGTAAGCTATTCCTTTGCTGTCCCCTCTTCGAGACTAGTTGCATCTATATCCCCGTGAAACGAACATTGAGTTCTTATACTCTGTATCCAGTTTTCCTTATCAGCATTATTTACGAATATTTTATTTCTGATGTAAATGTGTCTGTCTTGGTGAGGTATACTTAGCCTAAAAGAAATGTTTATTCCACTGCTGTATGTGTGTTTTTACTCCATAATGTTGGATGCTTGTTTTATAGATTTCTCCAGTGAACTGCTTTATCAAGTAGTAACAACTCCAGAATTTAATTTGACTGAAATTAGATGTGATTTTCTTTTTTGTAATTTTTTTCACCTTATTTTTCTTCATTACTTTGTTAGGCCTGCCATTTGTTATGCTTCTTATCAAAAGAGCTTTTGGGAGACTTTGAACCATGTGCCGAAATGTTTATTCCGGTGAGGACAGCTCTTGTTTGTATCTATATGCTTGGTTATGGTTTAATTGTTCATGTTGCTTACTTTCTTCTCTATAACCTAGGTCCTTTTCAAGCTTGTTGTGATAACGGTGCTTGTAATTGCAGAATCTGCTGATAATTGCATAAAGACGGTAATGACTTGGTTAGCTTTGCTGTTTTATAAAGCTTTATTTCACTATTGATCTGATTTATTTATTTATTTACCTTTTTATATATATATATATATATATTTTTTTTTTTTCAGATGTTACGCAATTGCAAGGTGTCTCGTTCACTTCCTCGGATTGTCGACTCTGCAAAAAATGACCGTAATGCTGTGCTCCGTGCAAGGTATGGCTCTGGTTTTTCATGTGACACCCTGCTTTTCCTTGTAATTTTTCTTTTGATATTTTCCATTTAACACCTATTTTCAAAATTAGGTGTTGTGAATATGCACTTTTAATCCTCGAGAATTGGGCTGATGCGCCTGAAATACAACGATCTGCTGATCTCTATGAAGACCTTATTAGGTGTTGTGTGGCGGATGCAATGAGTGAAGTATATATTATATGCCCTGACGTTTTTCTTAATATAATGTTGTCAGTTATGACTTAATTGGATCAGTACTTAAGTCTGAACATTTGTTTAATGTTTTCTGCAATTGCATGCTCATGTTTCTGATCCTCTCTGCCCCAAGGCTGTGGGCGTGTTCTCATATTAACACACTCAAATTAACAGGTACGATCAACTGCAAGGAGTTGTTATCGAATGTTTGCAAAGACCTGGCCTGATCGTTCTCGACGGTTGTTTTTGTCGTTTGATCCTGTAGTTCAAAGGGTATGTGCGTCATAAACATTTTTGGTTTTTGAACCTTTATACTATTGCTACAACCTTGCACTGAAAAAGAACCAATAAATTCTAGGTCATAAATGACGAGGATGGAGGAATAAATAGAAGACATGCTTCTCCATCCATTCGTGAAAGAAGTTCATATATGCCAATGACCTCTCAGGCATCTACTCACTCAGATATCCACAGTTATGGAACTTCTGCTATAGTTGCAATGGATAGAACTGCTAGTTTACCTACACGGAGTTCTGTTACGTCTGGACTACTACTCTCACAAGCAAAGTCTGCAGGTAAGGGTACCGACCGTAGTCTGGAAAGTGTGTTACACTCTAGCAAGCAGAAGGTCACTGCTATAGAAAGTATGCTGAGGGGTTTAAATATATCTGAGAAAGGCCGTTCCTCCAGTTTGGATCTAGGTATGTATATGTTTTTTTTTTTTTTTTGTTTTCCAACCAACGTTGAACTATTACTTATACTCTGCTGTTGAGAGCTTCTTCTTTTCTTCTTTTTTTGGTTTCTGAAGTCTGTTGCCTGGCTTGTCATTACAAATATAATATCTTGATTATTATGGAGTGACTAGGTATATGTGTATTGCCCCTAGTGCAGGAGTTGACCCACCATCATCTCGTGATCCACCATTGCCTCTTGCTGTGCCAGCCTCAAATAGTCTCTCCAGTATTTTAGCTGATAAAGCATCTGGTGTGTCTAAACTCCACAATCGGAATGGAGGACTGGCTTTGTCTGATATTATGGCGCAAATACAGGCTTCTAAAGAGTCAAGTACATCATCTAATCATAATACTTTGGGAAGTGAACAGCTGGTAAATCCTATTTCTTCCTCATCCAAGAGAGTTCCTGAAAGGGTACAGGATAAAAGATACATTGAAGAACATGCAGGGTTCAGGGAGTCACGGCGGTATATAAACTCTTATGCTGATAAGCAATATCTGGATACACCATACAGAGATGGAAATTACAAGGATTCTTTGCACTATGTCCCAAATTTTCAGCAACCCCTTGTTAGGAAGAATACAACTGGTCGAGTGTCTGCTGGCCGGAGGAGGAGCTTTGATGATAGTCAACTCTCTTCAGGAGATGCATCAAGTCATGCAAACAGGGTAGCATCTCTTAGTGATGCTCTAAGTGAGGGATTGAGTACTAGTTCAGATTGGAATGCTCGTGTTGGTGCATTCAATTATGTTCACTCTCTGATACAAGATTCAAGAGGTGTTCAAGAAGTTGTGCAGAGCTTTGAGAAGGTCATGAAACTGTTTTTCAGGCATTTGGATGATCCCCACCACAAAGTTGCTCAGGCTTCCCTTTCAACTCTATCGGATCTGATTCCACCTTGCAAAAAGCCATTTGAAAGTTACATGGAGAGAATTCTGCCTCATGTTTTTTCTAGGCTGATAGATCCAAAGGAATCAGTGAGACAAGCTTGCTCGAATACATTAGAAATTGTTGGCAAAACATACAGCACGGATTCTCTTTTACCTGCTTTACTACGATCTCTGGACGAACAGCGTTCACCCAAGGCAAAATTGGCTGTTATTGAATTTGCTATAGGTTCATTCAACAAGCATACACCGAATTCAGAAGGGTGTGCCAACAGTGGCATACTTAAGCTGTGGCTTGCAAAATTGACTCCGCTAGTTCATGATAAAAATACCAAACTGAAAGAGGCAGCTATATCTTGCATAATATCTGTTTATACTCATTTTGATTCTTCTGCGGTGTTGAATTTAATTATCAGTTTATCCATAGAAGAGCAGAACTCCTTAAGACGAGCCCTCAAGCAGTATACTCCCCGCATAGAAGTAGATCTGATGAACTTTTTACAGAGCAAGAAAGACAAACGAGGCAAGTCATCATATGATCCATCTGACATGGTTGGAACATCTTCTGATGATGGTTATGTTGGCGCATCAAAAAAGAGTCATCTGTTTGGAAGGTATTCTTCTGGTTCTGTTGATAGTGATGGCGGGAGGAAGTGGGGCACTTCTCAAGATATGTCTTATGTCACTAGTTCTACCGGAAACATAAACTCTGAAGTAACTCGGGAGAATTTGCATTACCATGGGGTAGAAGCTAATGCAAACCTTAATGCTCCTTCTTCAGATTACAAAAGTTTGATTTATGCGCCCAATACCTTCAGTGAGAATTTTGAGTCTTGGGCAGATAAGGATGCAAATGCAGATTCCCTGCATTTGAATGATGGCCAGATTAATGTATCTGATCATATGCAACACTCTATTGACTTCAGTGTTGATTCTGTGCCATCATCCGAACTACCCCTAAGTCATCCTAAACTTCCTCAATTGAATGGAAATTCTGCGACTGAGACTGGACCAAGCATTCCCCATATTCTTCATTTGGTGCGTTTTCAAATTACTTGCTTGCTTCAAATGCTGCCCATGTTGATACCAGATTGCCTTCACTACATATATGTTCTGCTTTATTTCCACTGTTTCTTATATGCCTTTATTTTATTTTTTTGCCTACTTGTGTAGATTTGTAATGGCAATGATGGAAGTCCTACGGATAAGCATAGTGCACTTCAGCAGTTGGCTGAAATTTCTTTGTCCAATGATCACTCTGTTTGGAGCAAGGTATGAGAAAACATGAATGAAATTTTATTCTTCCCTTTGAGTCCTAAGCTTCTTCACCTTCTGTTCCATATATCATTGGTGTGGTAATGATCTTTAAGTGTTCGTGGCATTGATTTTATGGTGCTGGTTGAAGTTTTTTTTGCCCTTTCTTATGCTCATCTTTGTATCCAATACATTTGATGCAAGGACACCTTAAACTCCTATACTGATAATTGTATAATGCAGTACTTCAACCAAATCTTGACGGCTGTACTTGAAGTTTTAGACGACCCAGATACATCAATACGTGAGCTGGCTCTCACACTAATTATCGAAATGTTAAAGAATCAGGTCTGTTGATGTTATCTCTAACGAAGCATTTTATCTTCCTTCCCTACCAGTTTGTTTCATCTTTTCATTATTCTTATTATTATTTACAGAAGAATTTGATGGAGGATTCCATTGAGATTGTTATTGAAAAGCTACTTTACGTGAGCAAGGACAGTATTCCAAAAGTAAACTGCCTTTCCTGAAGCCATCTCCGTGTTGTTTTTTCTTACTGTTTCTATTTCTTTAAGTTATGCTTTTGAATTCAGGTGTCAAACGAATCAGAGCATTGCTTGACTATAGTATTGGCTCAGTATGATCCTTTTCGATGCCTCAGTGTAAGTACCATAGCAAATTCAATTGCATGTCTAGATACTGATCAAATATTGTCAATGGAGGTTTGCGATATTTTATTTTTATCTCCATTGACACTGAATTCCTCTATTGTGCAGGTAATTGTCCCATTGCTCGTCACTGAAGATGAGAGAACTCTCGTCACATGCATAAACTGTTTGACTAAGGTGAAGTATTTCAGTAATTCATATTCCTTGCAAGATGACAACAATTCTGACTTTCCACGTTATCCAGCTTGTTGTAGACTATTTTTGCAAGCATTAATCGGGTGCTATCTTCTCTCCGTGCAGCTTGTCGGGAGGCTCTCCCAAGAGGAACTTCTGGCTCAACTCCCCTCATTTTTGCCTGCTCTGTTTGATTCATTTGGCAATCAAAGTGCAGATGTCCGCAAAGTAAGATTTTTTGAGCTGTTATGAAACCCCGAATACTTAAAACATTGTTTGCTGAATTTCACCCTTCTCTTTGATGTGATTGCAGACTGTTGTATTCTGTCTGGTCGACATTTACATCGTGCTGGGGAAAGCATTTCTTCCATATCTGGAGGGGCTCAATAGCACCCAGTTAAGACTAGTGACAATTTATGCCAACAGGATTTCGCAGGCCCGGAATGGGGTGCCGATTGATAATTCTACCTCCCAATGATTAGAGCTTTCGGTATGTGTGTATGATCTGTGGTTTTGATGTTCGTTGCTCCTTATTTCTGCGTGTATGTTTGTGTATTTGTGTGTATATTTGTGTGAAATATATTCCCTGGTTGGGTTGTTGATTCTGTAAGTTTTGGTAGCATTTGGAATTTGGTGAATTGAGGATAAACTCATAAAAGAAGGTGCCTTTTAATGAAATCATATGTGAGTGATATGTGTTACTTGAATTGGGCTGGTGTGACAATTATTAGTGTAGGGCCCGACCCGGCCCACTTGGTTGAAATCTTTTGGTTATAATTGAATTTTGTCATGGTGTAATATGTATGTGTACATAATATCGAATAGCGGTCTTGATGAAAGATACTACATGTGGTAAAGTTCAGGGCCATCACCATCCTAATTTATTTATTTATTTATTTTTATTATGGTGTAGAAATTAAATTTAATAGTTTGCAAACCGATCAATTTTGGCCGAATTTGATAGCTTATAAAATAGGATATAAATCACACTAGACGAATCACAGTTTTTGAATCGATGATCTGACTGTTAAGAATTTATCTCTTACATTATTAGGCCACCTTTCATTGGGTATCCTAATGCTTACACTTTGGAAGAAGTGAGGCATGGTATTTAGGTTCCCAGTAACGAGTGTATGATATTATATATACTTGTCCATATAATTTATATTATTATTGATTTTAATATATAAAATATGTTACAAACACATTATATAAGGATTAACTTGCAGTATAATTTAAATTATTATTGACTTTAATATATAAACACCTGTCAATACAATAACCTCTCCTATGTTGTATCATATGCTTTCTTTATTTAATTTTGTTTTATTTTATTTATTTTTACTGTATAGAAATTTTGTGATTTCAAAATTGAATCACCTTGCCATAATGCGTTAGGTCGATGGATTAATGCCAATTATTTGCGAGGTCATTCTGCCACAGCCGTGTTCATAATAGACACAAAAATGTTATGGGTGTGCTTACTTGTGTATTGCCTTTTTTTCTTTTTTTTTTTTTTTTTTTTGCAATTGTACAATGCAAACATTATATAGAAAATTTCCGATAGATACACCCGGTTGCCTATGTACTTCTTTTATTTATTTATTTTATTGAGGTAAAAACTCTCAACCATTATTCTATTTTTGAATAATTTTTTGGTCATATAAGTTAGCAAAGTAAATTATGCTAGGTAAATTATATGTGGGCATAGAAAACGTAAAAGTGTCAGAGGGTTTGAACTGTGGTTAACAGTTTTGTAGATTTGATTAGAAATGTAATGATGCATTTGTGGAAATATTCCTCCTGGAAGAGGATGAGGTACCAATTCGAGATACTTTTCAGTTTTCACTGATATTGAAAATTTCCACATATGAGAAGAAGGCAGGTAAATATATTCAAATAAACACTCCGCATACATACAGATAGATGTGTATATATATAATTTTTTTCCATGGTGAAAGTAAATTGGATGTAGTACAAGCTGCATTATTTAACCAAGCGTACAAACTTTAAAAGAACAAACCCAAAATACTTAAAATAGTAATAGTAATATCAGCACACTAAATAAACAAACAGTACCCATAACTATATATATATATGAGATATAATATAAAATAAAACCTCACCCATTTTCCTTAATTAATTAAACAAACAGTAATGTGCTAAATTAATTAAAATTATACTCGACTGCAGACCAAACCTCGACTTCCATTTATCTTTTTCTTAAATAATTCAAGGGTGTGGCTGATAGTTGAATCCGCCGGTATTCCCGCCGACGGTGACTACGCCGCCGGGGATGGCTCCTCCGACGCCGGTGAAGCCTCCGTTGGGGTTTGTCCCGACAAAGCCTCCGAGGCCGGTGAGCGGCGCTCCACCGACGAGTCCACCATTGCCTATTGCGCCGCCTACGCCGCCGTAGGGAATGCCTGTGGGGCCAACTCCGGCGTAGCTTCCCATGCCGCCGAAGGTGAAGAAGTTCTTTTGGTCTTCTAGGGTTTTGTCCTGCACAGGCGCAGGCCTTGCAGCGTGGGCAGAGTGCAGCAGAATCAGAGCTACTGCAGCTAAGATGAAGAGGCAGTTGGAGGAGGAGGAGGATAATGCTGCCATGGCTAGCTACTGATTGATGGATTGGAAGAATTTAATGTAAAGGGAGGGAGGGAGGGAGGGAGAATGCAATTGGTGGGTGAATTATATGGGTATGTTTTGTGATTATAAAGGGAGAAAATTGAAAAGGGTTTTAAGTGTGGTGGAGGGAGCAGTTGGGAGCATTCAATGCATGAATGAATTTTACACACACATATATATATGTATATCAGTATATGTATGGGATGGGGCCTGCTGCTGCCGGGGGGGTTGTTGAATAAGAATGGTATCCCATGCATACGTGTTCTCTGTTCTTGAAATATGTATGTTTTCATGTATGATTGGTGACACTACTTACTAAATTAATAATTAGCTTGTTTGGAAATTAGGGTTTCAAATTAATTAATATGGAAGATGATCCATCCACGTTCAATTCGCTACCTCAAATGGCCCCTTCCCTCACTACAGATCCAACTTGCAAAATTAATTAATTAAAATGTTACAGTAAATATACAATGTTCTCACTCACTCATATCAAAGTGGATTTCGTGCTGATTATAAATGAACAAGAAATTTACTACTTATAAAAACAGGCAGACATATTAATATAAATTATATGTTGTATGTTGTTATATCATTTATTGATGTATAATGTTGTCAACTGTGCTAAATTGTAACCACCACTATATAAAATATACCAAGAAATAGTATATATCTCAAAATTCAATATGTATTTTTAGGCAGTAAAATACATATTGAATTGAGATATTTATTATGTTGAGTTTAATAACCCCTTAATTTATATTATATTAATATAAATTTTATGTTATTATTTTATGTTTTATGTATCTTTTATTTATATTCAAAATATTGTCAGCACATTATTGAATATCTTTTTTTCAAATACAAAATTAACAAACAGCCGTCGCATACATACGTATAAATACACAATCATATATACATATATGTATATATATATATATATCACGTAAGGGTAGCGAGAGATCTCATGCTATAAGCTATATATGTGGTGGGTGAATCAGGAAACTGTTATCCAATTCTCAACCTCCAAACTAATGGCTACAGATCCCCGATGGTGCTGATTTGATCGGATCAACCTATATTATACGAGTAACAATTATATATTTATACTTAGTATGATATATATATATATATATTGTATTATAGTATAATATATAATATATTATAAATATACTGATATATATTAGTCGCCGAGATACCACATACTGAATAGCAAAGATATTTATAATATAATATTGGTGGAGCTGTCAAATTGTACGAATGGTGGTGAATGTCATATATATATATATATATATAAATACGATGTGGGTGTGTGTATTAAGTGCGTGCACATGAGTTTGCTGCTGATGACCTAACCCGCCATATTTATATCCCTCATGATACATGTATGATATGATCGATCAAACATCATCACTTGCCTTTTCTTAGTTCTTCTTTCTTAATTATTTTATTGAGTTTGGATCCTCATTTGGGCATACATACCAACATATATGTGTTCATAATTAATTAAGATCTAAGACTATCCACAAAACATTGACGTATATAATTAATTAATTAATAATTGTTTGCATAGATATCAATCATATAAGATTATGTGCCTTTTTTCCGTGGAATCACCGCATTTGATTATTTCTTTTATTAATTAATATGGAATTTTATTATTTAATTTTTATATATTTGGTTTAGAACACTACTACTAGCATTATTATGTTTCTTTTCCGTTTTGGTGCATGTGGCACACTTCATATGTCTATGGTCCAAATTTGAACATGAATATATATATATATGAATAGCCAATTTCAGTAATTAGTACTAACAATAGTAATTAGCAACACTCTAATATTAAATACAGCTATCCATCTATATTTTATTTTTATTTTATTCTTTTCATCAGATAATTTTGTTAGAATAATATATTGTTAATTGATTAATTTTATTTGTGTAGAAAGATAATAACACCCACATCTAACCATAGAGTAGGCAAAGGGAAAAAAGAACAAAGAAGATTAATAAGATACTTAATAGCTATGTTTATATATATATATAGAGAGAGAGAGAGAGAGACAAAGCCATAGATTGTGTCCAAAAACATTATAGCTTCATTTAGACACAAATTTTGAAAGTTTTTTGAGTTTTAAAAGAAGTTGATAATAAAATATTGAGTTTTAGATATAATATTCTGTGACTAGAAATATTAGATACGATATTTCAGAAATTCTATATATATATATATATATAAACATAGCTATATATTTTATTAGACAACAAAAGAATAATTCAAAATAATCTATAAAACACTAACAAACAAAAACACTACTAAGGTTTGAGACAATTATTGGCTTTGCTAATCCCGGGAAAATTTTGGAAACTTAAGGAGACAAATTGTGGGACCGTTGGAAGAACCCGGACCCCAGATCCAGATCCGAGGCTTTGTCAGTGAGTTAATAATCCACATCCCAACGGTGGGGAGTAAATCTGGTTCTCTGATCCCTGGGGTCCTCAACAAAGACCCAAGTACAGAGCCACATAAATAATAAAGTGGGACTATCCTTCAGCTACCAACCTAACTTAGTAAATTGCATTTGCAGAGGGAATTAAATATCTATACGTATTTATGTAATACAGACTTACATACGTTGAGAGCATTAACAGCCGTCAGATCACGTGACGTGGACACGATACCACTTTCATCCAATGATTGATATTTCTTCGGCGTACTGCACCCGTACATGAATTTTCCAGGGTCCACTTATTATTTTATTTTATAATTGTTTATATAATTTGTCCCTTATTTTAATTTTAATTTTTATTTGTCCCATTTAATTTTTTATATTTTAAGTAATTTTGTATTTCAACTAAAAGAGACAAATGAGTTGGAAAGAACATAGTACTTCGAGTCTTATAATAATTGATATTTTTTCTATGACTATATTCTTTTAACAAAATTTTTCAACATATTTTTTCTAAAAAAAAAATATTTTATATATTTTTTATTTTTATATTATTTATATAATTTCTTATATTTAACATAAAATATCAAAATACAAAATAAGCACACCCTATTTTTCTCTGTTTTATAGAATTAACACATTTTTATTTAAGATAAATTTTTTAAATCAAAATATACTTAACAAATATAAATTAAAATATAACATTTCAGACCTATTTAAAATTTTTTTATTTTTATCTATCTCCTAAAAAAATTATATTATTTTTAATCTATATTTAAAGTCTCATATATTTTATAAAATTAATTTATATTAATTATAAGTACATAAAAATATTTTTCATTTACTTGCATTATAAAAATATTATTCTCTGTAAAATAATATTAATATTACATATATTTTTTATTGTAATATATTTTTAAAATATTTAAATATATATTCTAATTTTTTAAATTATATATGTTAAATTTATTTTAAAATTATTAATATTATTAATTATACAAAATAAAATAATATTATAATTCACTATTATTAATTAATTAAATATTATTATTATTTTAAATAAATGTATCAATTATTTATTTTGTCTGAAAAATTTAGTCCCACTTTTTTATAAAAAAATACAAAGAATTAAAATTAAATTTTTCGGACGAAAAAAATATTTGATTTTTATTTTTTGATCGGAAGGAGTATTTTGGCAGCGAAGGAAGTATATTGATAAGGAAAGACCAGTACGGTACTCTTGTCTTGTCGGGTGGGAACTAAGTGGGCACGTCAGCCGTCGGATCGGATGCCCTTCAATCGGGGCCGTTGATATTATTCAATCTGGATCATGGGCTTTATTAATGCCCTGTCAGATACAGATACAGATACATAGATGGGCTACAGTCTAGAGTCTATACTATGCATTAGCTGTATGTTTGGTGTGCTCCTTTATTTTAGTTCTCTCTCTACTATTTATTTCTTTAAATAAATCATTTTTACAGCTAACTGCATCACAGACAGACAGACAGACACCAAATTTCAAAGCACAGCTGTTGGTTATTAATGTTAATAATGATAATTTTGTACATTGAATTGCATTGCATCTATGGATGTATATAATAGTAATAAGAATATAATTAAATATAACTGAAAACAGTCACTTCTCTTTGAGCCTAAGAAGCCCAATTAATCAAGGGTTAACGATTATATTTAGTTTTTTTTTTTTTTTTTTAATATATATAATATTATATATACATATAATTTTTACCATTTTAATTCCTTTTTCTTTTTTCAAACGAATCAAAATTCTTGTCAAACAAAGCAATATTTTTAACCTTATGTGGGCCTCCTGCAATTGAATCGTCCTCACAGCGATTGATGAATTTTTTTCTGGAAGTTTAATGTGTGTTTCTTTTGATGATAGTTTTGGAAAATTTTTAAGAAATTTTGACATTTTTGTTCATCAATTTTATGTATAAAATAATTATAAATATAATGGTATATTTTTAATTTAAATAAAAATTTAAAAAATATTTTTATATTAGTATATAATTGTTATTTTTTTTAAATAGAAAAGAAATATTTTTAAGTGAGACAAGTGTGTTTGTTTGGGAGGTTGGATTGGATTTATGCTATTTATTCAATTTTTTCCTCCCAAAAACATCAAATCAAACACTTATTATTTTTTTTTTATATTATACTAAAAATCAATTTTACATTCAAAACATCACGTCAACATTTATTTATATTACATCATACAACTATTCAAATTCAAGATTTTTACTATTCCAATTCCAACTCAAAATCCAAACCCCCAAACAAACACACCCTTAAAATGATAAAAAGAGTATTCAGAGTTTAGAGGGAGAGATTATTTCATATTAAATTTGCGTTACTTAGTGTGTTTTTTTTGTATTTTGATTTGTAGAAAAAAATTTTATGTGAGATACAGAGAAATGCTTAGATAATATAAAAATAACAAGTGTGTATAGTATATTATTTTTTTTAAAAAAAATAGTGTTAGGAAAATTTTTTTAAAATAAACAAACCCTAGAGTTGATTTTGACATATCACCCTTGGGGTGTATTTGTTTGGAGGATTGAATTTTGAGTTGGGATTTGAATAGTAGAAATTTTGAGTTTGAATAATTGTATGATGTGATGTTTTGAATGTAAAATTGATTTTTAGTATAATATAAAAAATAAAAAATAAATATTTAATTTGAATTTCTTTAAAGAAAAAATGAAATAAACAGTAAATTTAAAATTCAATCCCCCCGAACAACACACCCCGAGTAATAGTTCTGTGGGGAAAACCCTTGAACTTGGAAGAATTATGTATCCATAAAGCTCGGCCTAATTAGTTGGTGCCCCGAACTGTTGAAAAATAATTTGAAGTTCTTCCTTTGGGGAAGGCCCCTGCTCAAACTATTAAAATTAAAGTTTCATTTATGCAGCACAACAGTCACTGGATTTTGCAATTGAATGTCATTAATTACACAAATTTGCACAATATCAAAAAAAAAAAAAAAAAAAAAAAAAAAAAATCTATTTGCTGTGAATCTAGAATTATTAGGATTTTAAAAAGAAGTTTAACTAAAGAAAAAAAAAATTGAAATAGACCACTTTTTATTGAAATGTGCTTTAGACATATTAGAATTTAGCTGAGATAAAATTGAAAGAATTTCGAAAGGCACAAAGAGGGATCGGATTTATACTTTACAAGGTGGTAAGAACTATGCCTCGATAAATATATATACTCCCTCCGTCCCATAATTAGGGACCCGTTTGTTTTTTGTACATTGTAGTATGAATAAAATAGAAATGATTAAAATAACCTCATTAGTAGTTTGGTGTGATATAAAAGTAATGATATTTGTGTAATATATTATAAGTTGTAAGGATATTTGTCATATTAAGTAGATAATACAACTACTAAAAAAAATTGATACTTTATTATGAGATTAATTAAAATGGAAAAATAGATACTTTATTATGAGATGGACGAAAATGAAAAAATTGATACTTTGTTATGGAACGAATGGATGGAGTATATTATATTATAATTTAATTTACAATATTTTATTACATAAAAAAGAAAAAAGTAAAACCAAGATTTTTCTTTTTATAATTTTAAATCAAAATCAATACTATTTATTCGACGCAATTTTTAATAAATATACACTAATTTTTCTCATAAAACATTAGTGAAACTATGTGGAATGCCACTTTAAGTTTTTTCTTTCTGTCGCGTTATGATATACCAACTTAAAAATCCAATAGAAATTTATCCAATTTTATACTTATATTGTAGAATTAAATTTGACGTTTTGATTCAAAATTTTCTTTTTCCTACATTGAAAAATTATTATTTCCTTTATTACAAAACCTGTATAATATTTTTTTAATAAAATATATGCATTTAATGATTTATTTATTTTTAATTAATACAATTTATATGTATGTATTTATTTTATTTTTTTTTGTTGATTAAGTCATACGATTAAACTCGAGCTCTCAGCATCCAACAGTAATACTATGTTATATAAAAATTTATATGATATAATTTATATATTGTATTGTACATTTGTACTGATACATACATATATATATATATATATTAACAATTGTGCTAAAAAATAATAGTATAAATTATATATTGTATGTATTGTTATAATATATATATATATATCCAGTCAATATGAAAACCTGAGCTATATCCATATATTGTTGAGTTAACTCGGTCAATATGGAAACCCGAGCATATGTATACATATATTTGTGTGTACGTTGGATAATAATGCACTCCGTGAAAAACACATGTAACCATTGCATATGTATACATATATATACTTTTGTATTGTATTTTGTTGATTTTCTTAAACCGACTCATCATCACCATTTTCTGAAAAATATATCCTAAATATTTTTCTATAAAAATCACAAATATATAGTATTAATGAAAATATCTATACATTTTTAATGAATTATGGATCATAATATTTAAATTTTCCTACATTACATAGAACTTCTACTACATAGTATTCTAGTATACATATATATTCGGGACTCGGGAGGGGTAGGTATGAAATGAAAGTGACATATTCATATACATATACTACACATATATTCATACACATATATCTTCATAAATCTATATCATTATATTTTAAACACTCGAATATTTTAGAAAGAAATTGCAACAAAATAGAAAAAATAAAAACAAAAATTAAAATCAATCCAATTTCTTCCATCTATTAAGGTTAAAGATTCCATAAAGATTCTATCAATAAAAGCACCCAAAACAGAAGCAAAGCTAACTACAAAACAACACAACGAATTAACAGAGCAAACAGATCGAATGAGAGATCGATCAATCGATCGATCGACTCATCCCACAATTTCCAGACTCATTTATTACTATTGAACACAAATTTGTCAACACGAGGAACACAAGCAGAAGTATTCGACGATGAAGACGACGACAAATGCTGCAACAGCAATGAAGACGCAGAAAAGCTCGAATTATTGCTGCTCTGCAAATACAAGCTCCTCTTCATACCTGCCGCCGACGAACTTCCCTTACCGTCTCCATCTCCCTCCTCGTCGTCGTTCGATTTCCCGCCGCACTTCGCACCCGTCTCGTCATCCTTCGAACTCTCCTCCCTCTCGATCCTAATTTCCGTAAGCATCGCAGCCACGTCCTTCATCGAAGGCCTATCGTCCGGCGACGGATGCACGCAAAGCATCGCGACTCCTAACGTCTGCATCATTTCTTCAATCTCCGGCTCAGGACCCGATCGCAAACTCGGGTCCAAAACTTCCGCGCCGCGCTCCTGCTGCCTCACCCAATCTACAATGTGCTGCCCCTCGGGTATCGTCGGGTCGATCGGTTGCTTGCCTGTTAATACCTCGAGCATTACCACGCCGTAGCTGTACACGTCGCTCTTCTCCGTGATATTCATCATGTAGCCATACTCTGTCAAAAACTTTCGATAAATATCGCTGCAAATTACGGAAAGCAATTATTAAAAACGAATGCAGGTTCGTATGAGCTCACCGGGGGCGATGTAGCCGTAGGAGCCAGCGACGGTGTTGGAAGAACGAGCGTAGTTTCCGTCGTCAACGAGCTTTGCAACCCCGAAATCGGCGATGTAAGGTTCGAAATCGGGTCCAATCAAAATGTTGTTGGCCTTGATGTCCCTGTGGATGATCGGCGGAACGCAGTCGTGGTGCAGATACGCCAACCCTTGCGCCGCGCCGAGCATAATCTGGTATCGAACGTCCCATTCCAAGCAGCCACCGCGACGATGCTCGTGGAGCAAACTCCCGAGGCTTCCGTTGGGCATGTAATCGTACATTAGCAATCGCGTGTTTCGATTCCAACAGCAACCCAAGAATTTAACGATGTTCCTATGTCTGATCGACCCGAGCGTCTTAACCTCAGTGGAAAACGAGTCGCGCACTCCGTTTTCGTCGAAACCCGTTTGTACCATCGCCGGCCACAGCTTCTTCACCGCGATGACTTCTCCGTCGTCGAGTTCTGCTCGGTAGACGATTCCCGAGCATCCCTTTCCGATGGCGTTAGCCTCGACGAGACATCGCAGGATCTGCTCGACCGAGAAGCTCAGCTTCTGAAAGGGAGTGAGTTTCCACGACAACGATTCGCAACCGTCTCCCGACTCGGAATCCATTTCGTCCCTTTTCATTCTCCGCACCCTGAGAACGGCTAATATCCCGAGAATTCCGAGGACTATCGCCGCCACAGTCAGCAATGCAATGGCCAATTTCAGTCGCCAGGACCGCCTGCCGCCAGCTGTTCTGGTCGCCGGCGCAGCGCCTAAGAAGCACGAGTCGTGCCCGTGCGAACATAACCCGTTGTTTCCAGAAAGTTCTGATTCGGACAGCTGCCGGAAGAGATTGTTATCCGGAAGATAACCCGTGAAGTTATTGTGCGAAATGTTCAAGGAAACGAGGTTAACGAGCCCCGACAGGGACATCAAACTTCCTCCGAGGTTGTTGTGCGAAAGATCCATTACGGAAAGCTTGTCGAGGTCGACAATCTGCGCCGGGATTTCCCCTGTCAAGGCATTCCAGCTCAGGTTCAACGCGATTTCAAGTGCGTCGATTTTGAAGATCTCGACCGGAATGCTTCCAACGAGCCGATTCTTGCTTAAATCCAGCAGCTGAAGCCGCGAACACCTCCCGAGAGCAGCCGGGATTCTCCCCGAAAAGGCATTGCCGCTAAGCGACAGCCTGTTTAGCGCGAAAAGCTCGCCGAAACTCCCGGGAATCTCTCCGGAAAATCGGTTCATCGAAACATCCAACACCTCTAGTTTCGTAAGAGACGACAACGAACTCGGCAAGTTTCCTCCAAGTGAATTCCCAGCAAAATTCAGCATCTGAAGCATTCCGCAATTGCCGATTTCATCAGGGATCAAACCGCTAATACGATTATTCGATAAATCAAGAAAGCTTAGATTGCTAAGATCACCAATTTCTTTCGGTATTTTTCCGTCGATTTTGTTCCCTACCAATCTGAGCCGAGTAAGCGACTTGCAGTTCCCGATCTCCGGCGGAATAGGACCCGATATATCGTTGTATATCAATAAAAGCTTAGTCAGATTCGTAATTTGAAAAATGCTCGGGGGCAAGGTACCTATCAGCGAATTCCTCGACAAATCCAATGCCTGGAGGCTCCTGCAACCCGACAATGCCGAGGGAATGCTTCCTTCGATCTTGTTATTCCAAGCGAAGAACACCTGAAGCTGATCCAACAATCCAAGCTCCGGTGGAATCGATCCCGAAATCTGATTGCCGTCAATCTGAAACTGTATCAAGCTAGTCGCATTCGAAAGATTCGCAGGAATGAATCCCGAAATGTTGTTGCTGCTGATCATCAACTCCTGGAGGTTCGTCAGGTTCCCGAATGATTCAGGTATGCTTCCCGACAATGAATTCAGGGATACATCAAGAACAACCAAACTTTTGCAGCTCCCAATCTCTCCTGGAATGGCGCCGACAAAGTTGTTCTGCCATAGCAGCAGCTTCTCAAGCTTCTGAAGCTTCCCCAGCTCCGGCGGAATCGAGCCTGAGAGGCTGTTTTGGTACAGGTACACCTCCAGAAGCTCCGAGCAATTCCCGATGTCCGCCGGAATCTCTCCCGACAGCATTGTGGTGTAAATTGACAGCACCTGGAGGTTTTTCAACTGGCCTAATGAAGAAGGAAGTGCGCCGGAGATCTTTGTGTCCGCCATTCCCAAAACCTGCAAATTCAGACAATTCCCAAGCTCAACAGGGATTTCTCCATCGATGTCCTGATTACCTCCTGCTCTGATGATTTCTAAGCTCGAGAGCTTCCCAATCTCTGCAGGGATATTCCCACTCAACCTGTTATCGAAGATCTCCAAGCTTTTCAGGGCCGTGCAGCCGCCAATCTCCCCTGGAATTTTCCCCGTCAGCTGATTCGAACTCAGAGACAACTCCTCGAGGTTCTTAAGCTTCCCGATGCTCCCCGGAATGCTCCCATCGAGACTATTGAAACTAACATCGAGTGTTCTTAACGAAGAGCAGTCGCCGACGTCCATGGGGATGTTTCCCGTCAGATTCGCACCTGAAATTGTAAGTCTCTCGAGGAAGCTAAGCTTGGACAGATTGGGCGGAAATGGAAGCCCCAAATGAACAGACTGAATATCAATTTCTGTGACGAAGCCTTCCGTCGAACACCTTATGTGCGACCATTTACAGGGATTTGAATCCTGTGGATTCCAATCAGACAATGGCGAAGAAGACGACGAAGTATGAAGCCAGGAAATCAACACAGCAACCTCAGAGTTCGAAGCAGCCCTAGCCGAACTATCCGAAACGAATTCGAACAAAAATATGAGGAAATACCAACAGCAACGATGAAATTGGGGGAAATTCGGGGCGGCGTTCAAGAACTGCCTCGGCATCGGCATTTGCACAATTTCTTGGCCTCAAACCCTAGATCAATCGCGCATTGGGTCTCCCTACGCTAATATCTCTTCCTCCGACCTTCAATTTTTTGCAAAATTGAAGTGTTCGAGACTAATAGAGGAAGCACCATCTGACTTTGCAGGCAAGCAAGCAACAAAACTGCAGAAAAATTTTGGAAAACAGAAAACAATGCATTTTTTTTCTTCCTCGAATGAATAAAAGAATTGGAGGCACTCCCCCACCTCCTCCATTCCGCCATTTTTCTTCCTCGGGATTCTGTGTGTTTCCGTGGTTTCTGCAATTGTGTGGATTCCTCTCGCTCGCCATTGATAAAGTTTCGGCCAAACTTCATGTGTGATTGCATTGTTTTCCTCAACCAAACTCAATGCTATTGTTTTGGTAACTGGGCCAACAACTATGGCTTCCATTATTACGGTGAAGACGAAGATTGGGTACTGGATTGTTGAAAGATCCTGGAGTCGAGATCCAGGGAGACTGATATGCTCGATCATGAAATTCAAGGGCTCTGGGTTTTCGGACCCGTGATCCTGGGAGCTTATGTTTTAGATTTTGTGTAGAATATATAGTCTTGTTTGAGAGGTCCTGGTGTTGTGATCCAGATTCGCAGACCATTTCAAAAGCATATGATCCTCAACTGGTCTCCGTGGTCCTGGTGCTTTCAAATATAATATCTTTACTTGTTTAAATTCCACTTCTTGTTAGTCACTGTTACAGTGTTGAAAACCATATTTGGTGATAACATTTTAAATAGAGGTAAAGGAAAAAATAAAAACTGTACTTATATAGTATAATAATGAGCTTAGGGTAATTAATTTATTATTTGTCATATTTTTCAAAAGAAAAAGTTGCTGAGCAATTTCAGATTTTTAGGCTCAGCCACATGACCATACTGCCCTAATAGTTATTTATTTATTTAAAATAATATTTTAAATTGAAAAATTATTAATTATAAATAAATAAACCCTACTCCCAAACCATTCCGCCGTCCCCGTCCCCGTCCCTGACCCCATCCCCATCCCCATCCCCATCCTCATCCCCCACCTTTTTCTCTGGCTTTTCCTTGTTTTCTTTGTTTTTTTCTATTTCTTCTTCTCCTTCCCCTCTTCCTTATCCTTCTTCTTCTTCTTCCAAGTAGTCGTTGTGATATCTTCCCACCTCGAAGCGTAGAAGAAGAAGATAGAGAGTCGATTTGGTGCGGTGAGTTAATGGTTCATCTTCAAATACAGAGCATGCCAGCATCCACGCAAAAGTAAACAACAATAAACAAAATATCTAAACCAACGACAACGACGCAGTTGCTAGAGAATGAAACCCACGACTCCTCCCCCTAATGAATCCCGCGGACAAAGCCAGAGCTATACGCCGGCGGCCCCGCCGTTGTCATCAGCGGCGCGTCTTTGGCGACCTGCTGCTCAAAAGAATCTAAGGAATCAGTGGTCAAAGCTCAATTAAGCGATGGTTTCTGATAAACTGCCCAGGGAATTAAAAATAATCTATTCGAAGATCCATCAAACTCGACCTGAATAATCCTTTTTTCTTTCTGGATTATTGCCAATATAATTGTAAAAAAAGTTAATCTTTTAGAAATTTTCGACTAGGTTTCTGATAAACTGCCCAGGCATAAGGGACATGATTACTTGACTTCATTCTCACATTTCTCCGGCTATTCTATGTGTATCTCAAGTTATTTTTAAGATAACATAGTAATCGTAAAATTTGAGACGACTCAAAAAAACATTTAATCATATAATAATATCACTTAAAAAAAGTTTAAAAAATAAATAAATAAAAAGAAATAGAGATGATACTTCTTCCGTCATGTAAAAGTAAATTCATTTGGTTTAGACACAAATTTTAATATATTGTGTAATTTTTGTCTTTTATATATATAAAAAAATAATTACATGATAAAAGGTGGTATAATTTTCTTGCTAAAAGAGTAAACAAATTTTTGTTTTTAATATAACATACAAATAAGAAAAATGAGCATATTTTTATTTTTTATTTTATAACAAATAGGGTATCATATACTCCATCCATACCAAATCAATTGGGATTTAGTTTTGTGGCACAAAATTTAAAAAATATTGATATATCATAAGTCTTTTTTGTTGTTATTGTGAAAATATATTTTAATTTATGCATGAAAATAGTGATATTTATATACTAATAATCATCATCAAAAGTAAAAAGAGTTTTATGGTAATATAATTTTTATGATAATTAGATAATTAATTTGAGACAGAACTAAAATTAGAAAATAGATATAAGATGGATAATATATTATGCCGGGAGATCATATGCTGATGTATAATTAGGTTCGGCATTTGCTGAATTTAATCTCAGCAGTAAATCCTTTATCAACAATTTTAAAATTAAAAATTTTAATTAAAATTAATGGTTTTGATTGGATTCAGTTGTGCTGAATCTATTGATTCAACATAAAATCTGTATTGATATAGTATTCTCAATCTCCACAAACTAACGTCTAATGTCCAATCATTATTGTTCTATTTCTATTTTTATATATAATATTTACTTTTTTACTCTTACTTTATTTACTATTTTCTTTTCCATACACAAAATAAATGACAAATTTGTCATTTTATAACAATAAAACTAATTGTCTAAAAATACCTGTAAATATGAATTAGAACATTAGAAATGAACGAAAGGAATATATTATGTCAACTTAAATTAAAGACATCTGACATTAGCTACATAAACTTTAATTTCGTTTTTAATGTCTTTACTAACGAGAAAAGTGGATTTATAGACAAAAATTTTGTTAAAAAAAATATTATTTTCTTGTAGTGCCTGTACAACACACATGAAATTATTATGATATTAAATGATATTTTTAGCCACTACCAATTATGTAAAAACTTATTTTTGTATACTACCTTCATCATCAAAAGCTATATTTATTTAATCGAGCACGAGTTTTAAGAAATATTGGTAAAAGTATTTTTTTATAGTAAAAAAAAAATAGTACTCTCTCCGTCCTATAAAAAGAGTAATATTTACCTTTTGCACATTTTTAATACTAGTAGTATATTGGTTTGTAATTAAAAAAAAACAAAAACAAAAATATACTTATTAGTATTGTGTAATATAAAAATAATGATATTTATGTAATAATTTATAAATTGTAAGGATATTTATTATATTAGGTAAGTAGTACACGAGGAAATTGTACTCTTGTTTTGAGATAGACAAAAATGAAAAATAAAACTCTTTTTTATGAGACAAGAAAAATAGTATTTTTTTTTTTTAATAAAAAAAAAACAAGAATATTTTTAAATGAAAAAAAAAACATATATTTGAATGAAAAAAAAAAAAAAAAAACTAAAATTATATTTGTTCCAGTATACTTATAATTATAAAATTCAATCCATAGTGGACTCCTTCCACCAAACATCAATTATTCTTTATTTTTTCAAACTAGTTTCTCCCTGCTTAGTTAATTAATTAATGCGTTTATTTTTGGCATTAATTAATTAGATATCCCAAAAACTTAATTATTATAACCCTACTGGCCAAGATTACGTCAAGATCAATCTCACATGCAAGAGACAACAATTAAATCAAAATATGATAATAATAATAATAATAATAATAATAATAATAATAATAATAATAATTCAATATTGGATGGCCACCACTATAATAAGTAAAAAATAAAAAAAATAAAATAATAATAATAATAATAATAATAATAATAATAATAATAAGGGTAAACTGTTTTTAGTTCCGTAACTAGACCCCGTATCATTTTAGTCCCGTAAGTGGAGCCTGTCGCAAACTAGTCCCATAAGTGAAAATTTTTTCGTTGTTTTAGTCCTCCGACGCCAGAGACGCACGCGTGGCTCGCTGGAGGCTACATGTCCGCCAGGTCAACGACACCTGACGGACACGTGAATTTTATTTTATTTATACTTCGAATTATTAAAATTTATATAAGTTAATATTTAAAAATTAAAATATAATCTTATATAAAAATATTATTAGTCAATACATATACATAAAAATATGTATAATAAATAAATTATAGAAATATATTATTACATAATAAAAATATATAAAAATAAATAAATTATAGTGGGTGCTTAAAGGTAGTGAGTTGAATATAATTTACTATATCAGCTGATAAAATAAAATAATTTAAATATTGACATAAATATAATATAGATGAGATAAATAAAAAAAAATAAATAGCGTTAGTATTTTTATTTTTTATTTTTAACACAATATTGAATTTGAACCAATAGTTGGATTAATATATCATTAATCTAATGAATGATATTAATAACAGTTTAGAAATAAAATTTGTGTTCCCACAACTTTATTTTATATGATTTTCAAATAATATTACTAAAATTTATAATATATATCTCATAAAATAATTTACTCGTATCTTATTTGTATTTAATGTAACATTATTTTTATATTATATTGTGTGCGTCTATATAATATTATATATTTTTATAATATTAATAGAAAGTATGTTAAAAATATTTTGGGATAAAAATATTTTATATTTATTATAATATAATTTATCCGTTTTGTTTTAAAATATTATTTTTATCACTTCGGCTATACCATATTAATACTAAAATATCATTAGTTTTTACATAAATTACAGTAATACTATTATACATAAAATTACTTTACATATAAAGTCAAACGATAAAAATGTCAAAAACTTCTTACACACTTTCATTAATCAATAAAATACTACTTCCTTCATCTCACTTAAATTGTCCACTTCTTACTTATAATGTTTTAATTTTGGGCGTCGTTGAAGTCTTGTTGTAAATCTCTTTAAGGTCAAGTATTAGCGATTTAAGTTCTATATAACTCTGTTTATATAATTACATTCATACCTCCTATCGCTCTCGTAATATATATATATATATTATCCGCTTATGCACCACCACCATTCGCTTATTTCATCCAGGATAATTTAGTCATTAAGGAATACACAGATCAAACACAACACCTCTTGGTCACCCTCTATCGCTCAATATATATATTTCACACTCATCGCCCTCGCTCACCTCCGGCTTACAAACCACTTTCACTATCTTCATCACCCATCAGTTCCGCTTCGCTCACCTCCGCTCACCTTGATCGCTTTCTTTAATTTATGTTCTTATCTAGCTTTATGTTTGTGTAATACCCCGTAAAATAATAGTTGGAAGTTTTCCGGAGTCGGACAAATTTTATTTTGGACCTAATTTATTTTGGATTTTTAATGTAAGAAATTAAACAATTTGGTTTAAATTAGGAATAAAAAAATTGAATTTGGGCCCAAGTAGAGTAAAACAATTAATAAAGACTTAAGTATTTTATGTTTAATAGAAAAAAGGGAAGGAGCAGCCAGCAGACATGCCTACACGCCGCCACCCCTCCCCTGTTCTTCTTGGAGTTCTTCTTCTCCAAAACTTTTCATTTTGGTCTCTTCTCTTGAGGTAAGTGGGATTAATCTTAAATAGATAATATATTCTAATCCTAGACCCCTCCTATTGATATTTTTTTAAAAAATTATTGTCAAATGAGTTTGTCCTAAAAGTGTTAGATTTTGCCAATTTCTTCTAGAAAGTTGATTATAATGCTTATGTGAAAATTATTATTGAATTTTAAATTGAAAATTGTAGAATTTATGGGATGGGTTTGAAACCCTAGTTTTGCCCTAACCTAGTTATGATTTTTGGAAAAAGATTTACGATTATATTTAAATATTACGATTTTTAGAATTAGAACATGCCTATTGTGATTGACATATTTTTCAAAGGTTTATTTGACGAAATAAAGTGAGATTATAACGAACTTGTTGGGTATAATATCCTACTTTTGCATGGTTAAATGTTGACAATTAAAATATTTTGAGTTTAAAACACTCTTTTTGAAAGTTGCCTAAGAGCATGTTGAGTATTTGGTCAAATTGGTAATTGAAACTATCCGTTGAGCCCGATCGTTTCGATGGTAAGGCATAGTCTTCCACCTCTGTGCCTTACAAACACGTGAGGGTATACCAGTATTTTAGAATAACTAGCTAACCTCGAATTGGAACCCGAATGGGCTAGATCGAGGAATCGAGATGGCATGTTCCCTTTTTGGGTGATTCCGAGGTGCCCGAGGTACCCGAATGGCTGTGATCTGTTCTTGATGTTTTCCCACACACTACTTGTACTCAATGGGATGGAACTCAACCCTGTAGAGGACTACTTGAGCTACGATCCCTTTATTTATTATATTTATGCAAAACCTCTCGGATTTGGTAATTAAGGAAACAATGCACTTGTTAGGGCTAGATCTAGAGCCTGGCTCTCAGTAGGAGCAACCATGGCAATTAATTTTTAATTTTAGCTATTATTAGATATATTAAAATTTATTTTAAATTTTATCTCATAATTTTCTCAACAATTACTTAATTTAATTTTAATTCTAAAATTATTTTAATAAGAAAATTTCTATAATCTCATCCTCATTGCTTTTAGAATTTCAGTAAAATATTATAAAGTCTACAATTATTATTAAATATATTAAAATTTAATTTAAAATTTATCTCATATTTTTCATTTACAATTCTAATTCTAATAAACTCTAACAATTTTTTTTCTAATCTTATATACATCGTCTTTAGCATTTGTAATAAATATTATTAAATTATTGGCTTTATAATAGTCAATATTGTAAAATTTTATAATAGTTAAGTATCTACCACAAATTAAGTTCGACAGTCCATTCCTTATTGTTCGTTAATAGTATTTTGAAAAGAAAAAAAAAATTGTTCATAAGGCTTATCGTTTCATTTTGTTAAGAATCCTCAAAATGTCCGAGACGGCTCTGGCTAGATCACCACAGAAAGATCGCTAAGGACTGAATTTTAACATTGCATCGACAAATCTTAGGTACTCCTTCCGTCAGGCAAAAATGGGTTTGTTTGGCAGGGTACAAATACTAACAAAAACAATAAAAAATGTTCTCTTTATTTTCATTCTAAGTATTTTTTTTTACTATTTTTTTTTCTTTTATTCAAAAATATCTATTTTCTATTTTAATAAAAGTAATTATTTATTAATATTAAAATTTAATTTTCATATTAGATATAATTGATTTATACTTAAAGTCAAAAGATAAAAGTCATAAAAATAAAATATCAAAATTTTTTATATGTTTTTATTTATTAATAAAATATTACTCATTCAGTTTATTTAATAAGTTTACAATTATATTTTACGCCATTATATTAATACTAAAAATATACTTATATTTATATAATTTTTTATATATCATTATATTTGTATTACAAAATACTAATAGAAATGTGTCATTTTTTCTTAATTTGTAATACGTTTTGATACGATAATTAATATTTAAATATAAAAAAAATAAATGTAAATTTTTAAAGTGGATAGAAAAAATATTAATTTTTAATCTATTACAAAATTTTAAAATGGTACTTTGTAGTGCACAATATTATTTTAATATTAAAGTTAGAGTTGTGTAGAGATACTTTGGAAATTCAGCAAAGGATGCAGTCAATTGATGGTGCGAAGAATGGTACAAATGATTGCATGAGAATCCTATAAACAAAGAGTCAAAAGACCACAAAGCAAAGCTATGAAAAAGGTTTTGCCCATGATTGCAGGAGGTGATGGCATCTATGGAATCTAGGCACGTGTTGTTTATATATATATATATATAATTTTTTTTTTTTCACCACCTCCACACCAAACAAATCAAATTAAAGTGAAAGTCAAAATAAAGATGAATAAATAAACAAGGATTTTGTTTTGTGGTATTTGGTTATCTTTGAAAGTAATAGAAACGTAAGTCCATATAATATCAAATAAGTATTTGATATAATATTTTAAAAATTAAAAATAAGTTTTAATAAAAAAATTTTTAAATAAAATAATTATTTAATATAATATTATATTATTTTAAAAACATATTAATTTAAATCAATCCAACGTGGGCTGTGTCATTGCAGAGTTAGATTGAAGCCCGGGTTTCGCCTTCTTACTAAAAGTTGACCCAGGAAGCCCAATTTATTGAGCAAGAAATAAATAGATAGCAATAATGAGCCCATGATCTAGGGCCTGTAGTACTTTTTCTTTTATTGTTAAGAAAAAAAAATGTTTGTTAGAGATTTTTGTAGATTTTCTATTATTCTTTAGAAATATCAAGTTACAATATCAATTTTTTTTTTAAAAAAAAACAAATTCATAATATACTAAAAATTAATTTAAAATTTCACATCCACAGACCTCCATCCCAATTCAACTAAGTATTTGTATCATTTTTATATGTCATATTCAATTTTTTCTTTCAATTATAGTAAAAAATAAATATTAAAAATATTGGCAACTTTTACAAAATATTCATTCTTTTTTTTTTTTTTTTTTTAAATATCAAACTTATTTAAATATTTCCACTAGGTAATTTAATGTTGTGACTATTATTTTATTTTATATTATTTGGCATTCACATCTTATGTAAATATATTAGTGCGATTAAAGGAGACACAGAGAGAAAGGAATTGAATTTTGAAGACAGGAATAAAGGGCACAAATTAGTACTACAAAGAACGATGGGCAAGGGCAGAATTGAAAAGGGTACAACTTCTTCTTATGTTCAGTTCAGTTTTGCAGTATGCCACACACCTGCCCTGCCCATACATTGACTGTGTTGAACAATGTATATGTATGCATGAACATCAGCATTAATTACAGGGATGGGATTGGATGAAATGAAATATATATATGTTTAATAACAGTAGCAATTGATGTGGGGATTTGGATTGCAGGTGACGGAAAGAAAAATGTACATTTGTCATATTCATTTGTTTTTTTTTATTTTATGACGTGAATCTAATTACCTACAGGTCTGACACACAAATCGCACTAGGCCAACCATGTGTGGCAGGTGACCTGAGGCGTCAGAGATTTGAATCCGTAACCTCACGGTCACACATCCAATCCCCAAACCACCAGGCCGTCTTTTACGGGACTTGTTATATGCATTTCTTTAGTAGGGTTACATATATATATATATATATAGAGAGAGAGAGAGAGAGAGAGGGGTAATATATATAATTTATTGTTGTAGGAAGTAATAATCCTTTTAAGAAAATGCAAAAATTCGAAGGATGTACGTACGTACCTTAACAATGATATATATCACTTTTACTTGTGTGTATAGTACTTTGATTCATTTAGCACTGGGCACCTCTGCGGCAGCTTAGAGCGCCAGCTTGGGAGGTCAGGATGTCCACAAGGGAAGATGATTTCGCTGCCAGGCTGGAGGCTCTCGCGTAGCTGGCGGCGGCGCCGCGCCCCGATGGGGTGAAGTAGGCTCCATTTAGCATAAGATCGCCGTCGGATCTCCAATTCCAGTGCCTCCATCTTCCATTGCCCGAATTCACTACTCTCTTGGTTACCTGCCATGTCAATTATTATTAACCCAATAATAATAATAATAATAATTATTAATTGATGCAGTTTGGGCAGACCTCTTTGGCGTAGGGGTTTGTCGGGGCTAGGTATCTGTTACCCTGGCTGTTGATGGTGGGATTAGCGCTGCCGCCAATGGCATACATCTCCCAGTGAGTGTAGTCATTGTTCACCACGTGGAAATATCCATGCCTGCATCTGCAATATTTTCACATTTAAGGAATAATACTGATTATTTATATATGTTGCAAATTAGTACTATAATGAATGTATGTATTATATATTACCTTGGCATTCTCTGTATCAGGCCTTCGCCGAAGTGATTGTAGGCAATGGTGACCTGCATGATCCTGTCTCTGGCGTACGTGTCACTGTGCCCCAATAGCATAACCTACAGCAAAATTAAATAAAGAGAGATCAAAAAATGTTGGCAGGGGAATAAAATAGTAATTGCATTGCATTACCTCGTTATGATGAGTGAAGTAATTATTTGAAATGGTGATGGCAGTTGATCCCATGATAGCATCGATGAGGCCATCAGTGCAGCTGGACAGAGAGTTGTGGTCGATCCAGATATGGCTCGAACCGAAGATGGAGATCCCATCGCCGTCGGCGATCGTCCGCCAGCCGTAGTGAGAAGGCGAGCTCCTGACCATGGCGTTCCCGGTGCGCTTGCAGTCGTGGATGTGGAGGCCGTGGATGATTATGTTGGTCACGAACTGGATGGTGATGCAGGCGCCGTTGGCGATGTGGACGTTGGCGCCGCGGCCGTCGATGGTCTTGAAGCTGTTCATGATGAGCTCCTGCTTTAGGATTATGACCATGTCGCGTTTGAAAACGATCCAGAGGGGGCGGTCCTGGATCACGGCGTGCCGGAGAGTGCCCGGGCGGGGGTTCACGGGGTCGTCGTCGCCGGGATCGGTGACCACGTAGTATCGGCCGTCGCGCCCGCCGACGGCGTTGCGGCCGAAGCCGATGGAGCAGTCGGCCAGGCGGCGGCGGTTGCGGATCCAGTTGCGGTCGCATCTCCAGCAGTCGTCGATGGGGTTTCCCACCCCGCATGAAAAGAATCCTAATCTTCGTCTTTCGGTGCTGTTACGGATAATCCTGTAAAATAAATTATCAAACCCATTGTTACAAGTGTCGCATAGTTTAAGGTCGAATAACTTTTTATGTATGATAAGTAATAACCGCTTGATTATTATATTTATATACTAAGTATTAGAGAATGAAGTCGCTGTTATTGTGCTGAGTATACGGTTCGGGTACAATACTTGTCCAAATAACATTGATCAAGATTCAAGAGTAAGCATATCGATCAAGATCAAGTGTCCAAATAAAATAATACATAGAGCACAATCGAGATTCAAAAAAAATAAACAGACAACTAGGACCCTAGATCACATATAATACAAATACAATAATATATAATTTAATTTGAAAGCATATCACACTAGTCAATTATTTACTATTTAGCCCCTTCAACACGGCTTCAAATCTCCTCTATTCCATTATTATTCACTTAGAAACTACAAGAATGCAGATACCAAATAAGTCCAAGCACAAAAATGTAGGCGAAATAAATTATGTGACATATTTCAATTGTCCAAACGAAAGACACACCATATAAAATCATGAGTTTTACAGTAAACTAGGACAAAATTAATCTATTAAATTCAATGTATCTGGTGCAGGGGAGGGCACTAGTTTAGTGTAAAAAAGCCAAGCTGTAAATTTAGGACAGGGGTGAGGAAGATGCATATGACTAGAAAGGACTACGGACAATACGGAAAGTGGGTGATCGCGATGTTGGGTGAATGTGCAGTTGAGGAATAAGTGCAAGTGGTAGGGGGCAATTAATAAAATTCTAACTACAACTACAAGGCGTCGGTGGAGGGAACTCCACACTAGGCAGATGTCAATTAAATTGGGGGATGGTCTCATGGCAGTGTCAGTATGTATAAATATGATATACACGTATAATATATATATATATATATATCATTCATCTTTCAGATCTGCCGGAATGTGGATAGATCTGGCTTCTCTTGAAGGTTGGCATTATTGCCAGCCTGTGTGGAGAGAAGCAATAATACTAATATATATATATTTCTGTGAACTACCCTCCAATCACTTGTCTTTAATGGAGTTCGGCATACACTATCCTTATCTGTTCTTCCCCATCTTCTCAACTATAAATGCTACAACAAGACTTCAGTTACTCCAATTGGATTATCCAAATTAAACAAATAGAAACTCAGCAATTTAGATAAAAAAAGAGTTCATTCTCACCTCCCCATAAAGTTCAATTCTTGAAGTCCTATTGGATAATGTATCCATCTATCTACTCACGACTAGGGGCACAGTAGAGATAAAAAATAAAATAAAAAAAATAACTTTTTCAATTTTGATAAATAGAGGATCTACATAGAGATAAGGAGGGCAACTACCGTTGTGAACAGAGAGAAGTCCAAAATTGAACAAACACAGTATTTGGCAAATAAAGACACACAAGTTATTGACAAGAGAGGGAAAAGAGCAATAAAGTTAATGCGGTATGCACAGATCTCACAACAGAGGCATGTGCTTAATCTGCCAGCGCATAAAATTTTATATAGTCAAGTTCGACAGGGGGTAAATAAGAAGCCCTTATTACTTGGACACTATGATAACAAGAACTCATGTTTTCAGACTGTGCAGACAAAATCAATGATGCATCATCAATGCAAATTCATACTCAGAACAAATGAAAAAAAACGATTAAATGCAGAGGTTACAGTCATACCTTAGAATAACTATAGAAAGGAGTTAATCAAAGGCCGGACGGCACATAGAACATGCGTATTAACCTAATTATTCACTGGGCATATAATTTCATGTTATATATGCAGAAAACAGCTCTTAAACATGAATAGGAAATACGTAGCGGAGAATGGATTTTGAAGAAGCATAATCTGAACACTCCAGGATAACAAAAAGGTGTCTGTGGCGATCACGCAAAGAGAATTTTGCTAATAGATTTGAGTAGGTGGGGAATGCAAAGCATTAATGGAGTTCTGCGAAAGGATGTACGGGTCACGTGAGGCTTCCTTTCAGTTTTGTTTGCTACACCCAATATTATCATTAATTGGAGACACATGATTTCTGGGTGATCATTGTTTTTTTAAATCAAGGAGTTGTAATTTCACCGCGGAATCTTATATCCCAGAGATGAGATGAAAAATGCAGACTTACATATCAACATCGGCAGCTATAACTTCCGGATCGTCCACGGTGTCTCTGTGATTAAATTTTGCTGTTTCACCTCTGCTGTAGATTCAAGAAACCGTGATTTACTATCATAGAAAACATTAATACATGCCAAAAATATATGAGTTTACTTTCAGTTAGAGGTACAATGAAGTGAAATATTTTACTCTTTCTAAATTATAATTTCTCCATAGGTGAGGTGGATTTTCCAAAATTAGTTACCATTTCTGAGAACAGGTCGCAGTATTCACTCTTAACCTTTTAAAACTAAAAATTAATGTTGCAAAATGCAGTTAGAGCCAAAAATCAATTTGTACTGTGTTTAAAAATGTTTATTGAGACGTTTGCAGATGTTAATATGTGAATTTTTATAGAATAAGATTATATTTTTGGGTAGGGGACAATTGAGTCAAAATAATGATGAATGATTGCGTGAATTGAACCTCAGTGATGATCAAAAGATCAAAAAATAAGCAACAGAATTAACTATCATCTTTCAGATCCACTCGAGTAATTTTTGAAATATTTCATAAGCAAGCATGTCGCACGGTGCTGAGTGCTGTGCCTAACGTGTAAGTCAATTTACCGGGAGAAACGAAATACGGATTTGCTAACCTTTCCGCCATGGTTGAGTTCATCAAACTCCGCAACTGCCTGCTCTCTTCGCCGCTGCAAAACACATTAAAATTTAAGATCTTCATTTCGGTGCAGAGTATTACTATTCACACATACATGATCTTACAGCAGTAATTGAAGAAGTTTCTTGCAATGCTGCAGTTAATTCTAAATTATAATCCAAATTCTACCAGATTCTATAGAGCCGTCGAGCACGCTTATGTGCGAACTGAATCGAAATCAAACGAATCTCTTCAACCAAAACCACACACTCCTCCAACGAACTCGTCGCTAGCTCCAAACCGTAACCAAATTAATTTTAATGCAACTAACTTACCTCGCTGTCAGTGCAAATTCATTAACGAACATCAGAACAGCTAGGAATGCAGGTAGGGCAATAATTCTCGGTGAAGCCACCGCCATTGATCGATGACGTCGCCTAACGAACGCTCCTCCAACTCCCCCAAACGCCACTGTATAGCCTCTCCGCGAGTGCAACTTAAATGACTCTGTACGTATGAATTAATGCGGAGAGGAAAATGTAACTAATGTGTTAACCGAACGCCACAGCGCCAGAGCCTTTTATAAGAGACGGGAAGTAGAGAAATAAAAGCGTACGTACGTACACATAACCGGCGCGTCAATCATTAGAGGTCCCTGGCGCCGAGATCCGGATACATCTACACCACTAATGTATGTGGACCCCACAATAAATCAACGGTCCAGATTCCCTACTTGTTACCTTCCTAATTTTCCGTCATACTACACGTAGTAATGCTTTCCTATGTTCTGACACTTCCTGTAAATAATAATAATAATAAAAGTAATGATTCAGTAATTATTCTCTTCTTTCATTAAAAATAAATAAATAAAATGAAAAAGTAAAAAATCACATAAATTTATGGAATTATTTTACTAATCTGCAAGAATGTATTTGTCCACTATTTAGTTAAATTTATATTGTAACCTGTGTAAAAATATAATTTTTTTAAATGTTTTTCACAGCGAACGTATGACCATAAAACTGCATCGGTTCAAGCTGACCGACTGGTGTCGGTGGGTCACGTGCCGGGCCACATCCCACAACATCACTAAAAATAGTTAAAATATGATGTATTTTTGGTTGTGTCACAGTACTCATAACTGTTTCGCTAAAATAAATTATATAATAAAAAATTTATTTTACATTTATAATATTACATTACTATTTTATTACAATAAAATATGTCAATGAATACAATTTGGTTACCGCGTGCGTCGGTCGAAGTCACCGTCTGTTCTAGTAACCATTGGCACTCCAATTTTCTTACAATAGATATATTAAATGAACTATATTTAAAAACCAATAATAATAATAATAATAATAATAATAATAATTGAGAAAAAAAAAAAAAAGGCATGGCAACCAAAAAAGTTGAGATGTATATGTTTTATAAGTTGTATTTATTGTCATGAAATTAGGGCTTATAATTAGGCAAATTTTAAATTCCTATGTTAAAGCATCTAACTTATTAATTAATATTTTCTGAAGAAGAGTAGAACTAAACATAGATTTTTCGTTGTGCAGCAAATGAATTTGCACTGGGGATAAAAACAAATTTGATGCAATTCAATAAAATTATAGTATATATAGATATATATATATATATAAACAATCATTTTCTATTTTTTAGTGATATCAATCAAGTTTGTTCGGATGCTCTTATAAACTCATTAATCTTTTAAAAACAAAAATAAAATAATGTGTTTTTAATATTTGGTTTGGTTTAGTTTGAGTTTAAATTTTTTTTTATTTGAATTTTTTTGTATGAATGATATTTTATAAGAAAAATTAATGTATTTTATTGAAAATTTTACTCTTAATTGGGTTGTGTTAATTTTAGTTTGGAACCAAAGTTTATGTCATATTTCATGGATGAGCATGGAAAATAAAATGTTAAAGAGCATAATGTATAATATACATTATATCAAAATTATTTTTTTCATGTTTATGTAGGTTAGTAATAGAGAGAACATGTGTATATGTATATATATATTTGATGAAGTATTATTTGAGAATTAATGTAAGACGATTTTAAATTTTTAAATAACCCAACCTTTTTATGGAGTTAATATTTCGAACAAATACTAATGATGATCACAAGATTCAGTTACACCTGTTTAAGAACAATTGAACAAAACTTTACTTTACAACAATTTGACTCGATCCCAAATTAATCTACATTCTAAATTTATTAAAGCCTTAAAATTACTTGTATTAATTCTTCTGTTTAGCAAGTATAAATTCATATTTTCTTATATTAATATCGCTACATTGAATTAAAATATAATGACAAAATCATCTTTACATATAAATTTACACCTCTTAGTTATTATTTAAATATAAGATTTATTAAATCTTGCATCAAAAGTAAATTTATATTATTCATATCCATAACATTATACGAAATTAAAATACAATAATAAAATTATCTTAACTACTATTAAAATACAAATATATATTAAAATTTAAGCCAAAATAAATTGTTAATTATGGGTTTAGGCAAACACACAATTATTATACCACGTGTTACTGAATTTAGAGGAAATGGATTTTTTTATATAGTGGAAACCTATTCCTCAGAATTTCAAACACTAAGGATGTGCTGGGATTTTTTTTTTTTTTTTTTTTTTTCTGGTTTAATGGTGGTTGTATTAGTGGAAAAATACAAGTGTTGTTTCAGCACTATTGAGAGACAAGTGGAAGGGTATTAATTAATTTTCCTTAGAAATTTTGACTAATAATCGTCCACCAAACACACTTGTTTACACAAACTCCAAATTACATCAGGATATATTATTATTAAAGTAAAATTGCAACAAAAACTATCTGATCAATAATTTCTGTGTATCGTGTCAAACTCTTGAGGATGTCTTCTTGTGTTGATGCTGAATGAACTAAATTAGCATACTAATGGACGCCATATATTATATAATTTTTAATAATATTTATGAAAAATCGTCACATTTTTTTTTTAAAAAAAAAAAACTATGCGAACAAATCCTTTGCAACTTTTATTTATGGGTGTGTTTGTTTGGGGGTTTGAATTTTGAGTTGGGATTTGAATAGTAAAAATTTTGAATTTGATTAGTTGTATGATGTGATATAAATAGGTGTTGATGTGATGTTTTGAATGTAAAATTGATTTTTAGTATAATATAAAAAATGAAAAATAGGTGTTTGATTTGATGTTTTTGGGGGGAAAAAATTGGATGAATAGTAGAAATCTTATTAAATCCCCCAAACAAACACACCCTTAATAGACTTTTGGCCTCCGCCTATATAAAAATTCATGACAAATGTAAAACCAACAACAATATACCAGTAAGGATGAAATTTGAATATTGTGAATAGTTCTTTAAAAAGAACAACGCTAATAGATTGAAAACGAAAAAATGCATGGCTCGATATTTAAATAAAAAATTACTCTCTCCGTCCATAAATTAATATCCTTCTTTTCTATTTGTGACGTCTAATATTGTTCTATTTTCTTTTTTAAACACAAATTTTATATTTTTGCCTTTCATTCATTTATTACTTTTAATATCTACCGTACAATTAAAGATAAATTTGTCAAATCATAACAAAAAGACATCAAATCATAACAAAAAACAATCACCTAAAAAACCGTACAATATACTTTAAGACAATAGAAATTGAACGAAGAAATATTTAACAAGCTCCATAAATGGCGGCTTGAACACAAAAAAATTAGCAAGATGGAGAGGAATTCTAATCAACAATCCTCCACACTCATATATATATATATATATTTTTATTTTTTTTTTCTATCAGAAAAAATAAAAATAAAAATGGCGGATTGACAAACTTCCACGCAATATTTAAAAAACTTATGTAAACATGGTTGAAGATTTTCACTGTGACATAAACAATTATCAACCCCATAAAGTTCCACTTAAATTTTTATCATTGACAAACTTCCATTTTCATTGTGCTTATTGCCAACACATCCAATTAGCAATAATAATACACCTTACAACATATTCAATTTAAAAAAATATACCCAAACAAAATGATATTTACAAAATTATTTTTTATCAAATTTCAAATCCAAAACTTTCAAAACACACCCTTTTATTTACTTAGAAGCCTAATATAAATTAAAACATATTGACAATAAATTAATTAATACGGGACTATTACTATATTTTCAAATTCATTAGCATTATTCATCAGTCTTTTCTCCTTCTAAAAGAAGCATCACATCCAACACCGATACCAATACTTTTTATTTAGAAAAACTACATAAAAAGACTATCTAATCAAATACACCAAAACACTTCCATAACATATTTAATAAAAAATTAATTAATCCAAATTCGAAAATTATACACAAAATAAAAACACAATGGTAGTCATAATTTTCTAATTGGAGACTAAAGAAATCCCAAAAGCATTCTATAAACAGGACTCAACAAATAGGCCCAAAAACGGGTATCATGAAACACAATATAGCTTATTTGCGTGTGTGATTTCTTTGCACAGTAAGAAAAAATAAGACCTGCAAAAACACTGAAGCTAACATGACCATGAATTCATCACCAAAAAGAATGCATATAATAAATGTATATACATAATGGGAGAGACACGGGAAAGATGGCAGACCTTTAGGAGCAGCCGAAGCATCCCCGAATGGAGAAACGTTTTGATGGAGTAGTTCTCAGGATGGACTCGGGTTTCTTACGTGGAAGATGTTTGAAGAATGCCTTCACAGCACCGGAAACTCCATCTTCATTCTCCATGGCCTTTGCAAGCTCGACTGCACGCTCTTTGACCTGCATAAAGCAAGCCTCGTTATTTTTTTATACATTCTAACCTTTTTGTAGCTGCATTGCATATTTGTACGTTGCAGTGAGATATATACGCACATAAAGTGTTGGGGATGATACTTGAACGAGAGAATCAGATACAAGAATGCAAAATAAACAAACAAAATCAAACACAGAGAAATGTGGTTTGGAGAATCTATAAGTCCATCGGTGAAGCTCTATCAGTTCAGATTAGCCGCAAGAGTACAACTAGTCAATCACTAGAAAATTGCAGCAGCTCTAAAACACGAATAAGGATTGACCGTAGCTAATAAGCGGGATATCCAAATCTAATTCCATAATTAAAATCATGGAAATTAACATAATTGAATCTTAAAGAGTAATTTGGGGACAAATACAACAAACACTATAATTATATTTGTTCTTCTTTTCAAGAGAGAGATGGTAGAAGACATGTATAAAAGTTTATACTTGCAAAGCTAGAAAAGTCCTAATTCACTCTTATTGATTCTGAAAACAGTAAAGTTTCATTAAGATGCAAGGTTCTAGCTACTTCTACATAAAAATTAATAATACAATAATTCCTTTTCCTCAAAAGAAATTTGCAATTAATCCGGCTAAACCCAAGACTTGCACCATTTCCAAGGAGTGCAGGCCCAGAGAATCAGGGTTGGACCAGCTCCATACCCTCCACAAAATATAAATCTAATAAATATATGAAGTACTACTTACTAAATTATAAAAAATAACAAGGTAGAATATAAGAAGTAAATGATCAAATGACATTTATTAGTCAATTAAGTTTTCCAAATGGTGCTTATATGTGCATCATGCATGAAGTTAATAATACCTTGGGATCGAGCATAAATTTTATTGCGGCAACCAATTTTGGAAGTGAGAACTCATCTATTGGAATAGGCGGAGGGCCAACACCCCTTGCATGTACTCTATCCCCCCAAAACGGTTGGTCACCAAAGAACGGAATGATTGTTGTTGGGCACTGTATTGGCAATAGAAATAAAATTGGATACAGTAGTTAGTAAAATCAATGTGAGATAAGCAAAATATGATTTCATTTTCATCATCATTACCGCAGCTTTAAGGCCAGCTGCCGTTGTTCCAGCCCCGCCATGGTGTACCTGAATAGAGATACAAAAGCAGTCGTGTCAAAGCTCAATAATGTTGCAAGTGTTTTAAATCGCTCCCAATTGACCAAACCCATGTACACAGTTTTCCTGTGTTCGTTGAACTTTAATACTATACCATCTAGAAGAACATGAAACAGTTCCAGGACGAAGTATCCAATAGAACCCAGCCTATAAAGTGAAAAAATCAAAGAAACTGTAGGACTCGACACAACTAGAGCACTGATCTCATGAGTCAACAACAAAAAGAAATTTTTTTATTCTGTAAAGAGCCACCAAAAAGTTGGAATAGTATTTGTCTTTGAAAATTTCAAGTTCAGGATCCAGGAAAATACTGAACTTCCAATTTATATTCATACAGTCTAAACATTCAGGAAAGAATAAATATTCCAAGTGAAAAATGGGATAAAATATAAGTTAAAACTGACCACAGCAGAGCACTGCAAGAAAAGCCAATCATGAGGACAGTTATCCAGTAGATATACGAAGTCCTTCTCTTCTGCCACTGGAAAGGTGTATTAGATTTTGACTGAGTCAATATTCAAATTTAAATGTGGCCAAAGAACATTAGCACTTTGTGTAATGATAAAAAAGAAGATAAGGGAATACTCACAGTTGCCCAGGCCACCCCATCCTTTGTTAATGATTCCTCTCTGTTTAGTTATTTCCAATGCTTTGACAATTGTCTGTGTCATTTTCTCAGGCTGTTGAACGGGCTGCAATGACAAAATAAATAAGGAAATGGTTGGTGACGAGTATATTTTGAAGACAAGAACAACAAAAGTATACTATCAGTTCATGAAAATGTACTAACATGTCAAAACATCTAATTTTCTATGAGGATATGGAGATTTTCAATCAACCTATGAGTATAAACTTTGACTGCTACAAATTCTTCTGAGCCATGATAAGCATAATGACCCCCTCTCCCCAAAGTTAATGGGTTTTAATGATAACTAAACTTGAGGAGCTACCACAATCAACTAGATTTCAAACTCCAATGTGACCTAAGTATATGTCAGGTTATGTTTAGTCATTAAGGACAAGATGTTAACATTCTCTATGACAATTCTTCACAGAAATCACTTAAGAAAATATGAGAATCTCTCCCTCAATTCATTTTCTGTAATGAATGGATAGGGTTTACTATGGGGATGCAAGGAGCTCAGGATACTCACAAGACTGCCAAACCCAATATAGATAGGCTTTGGCCCAGCTTTAAGCCAGTTCAAAAGTGATTCAGGCGGCTCATAGTTTGATGCAAGATCAAGGAAGCAAAATCCTACAACGTCCACCTTGCGTCCCCAATCTGAAAGATGAGATAGCTATAAAGCTCAATTAGAAATTATCAACACGAATGTGAAATTATTAGCACTTATTATCAATGATGCAGAACTCAGTAGTTAACAAAAGTTAAATGAAAGCAGTAATATATAACATTGTCTGAATTTTGTGCGTCTCAGATTTACTGGGTGGGGACAGTGCAATAAAAATAATAGATAAGAAACTTCTTTTTCCAGGAAAATGAACACCTTTTGGTTTTGGGACAAGATGCGGACTCCAGATATATCCGTGTGGTATATCTGATTCGGACCCTTGGGAACCACTCAAATAAGTGACTGGTCGTAGCTTCAACTTCTTTTTCCTGACGTCATTTATCATGTCCCTCATTCCTAGCCAAATCATGGAGTCCACGATCTGATAGGATAACTGCAAATTTGTGCCATTAAAAGATATTAGCATAAGCAATGATAAACCACAGGAGATACAGCATGAAAGAATTTTATTTAATCATTAACGTACTCGATACCCAGCTGGTTTGTTTACACGAGACAATGGATGGGGAAATTCTCTAGTTGGCCTGGCATAGATTCAAATGAATTAGTAAGACAAGTATGCAATTAATGAAGAGACTTAAGAGATCAACCAGAGCTTTCTTCTACAGTACCAAAATGACAAGTATTTCTTCAAGTATCAAATAGTCTACATTAGACTTACGTCCATGGCATTGTAAAAAATATATGAATTGGAATTTTCAGTGCCTCTGCAACATGTGTATGTCCTGCAATGATCTCATGGTTAGAAAATGGGACTTCATAGTTCATTAGCTACTGGTTCATCAGTAGGGATTTCATAGTTCATGCTAGGCATTTGGCAACATATTCATATATGAAATACTCTTAGGGTGTGTTTGTTTGGGGGATTGGATTGGATTTACACTATTCATCGAATTTTTTCCCCCAAAAAACATCAAATCAAACGTCTATTTTTTATTTTTTATATTATACTAAAAATCAATTTTACATTCAAAACATCAAATCAACACCTATTTATATCACATCATACAACTATTCAAATTCAAAATTTTTACTATTCAAATCCCAACTCAAAATCCAAACCCCAAACAAACACACCATTATTTGACTTATTAAATCAAGAACTTATTGGTAAATGTTACTCCCTCCGTCCCGGCTATTTATGCCCCCAATGCCCAAGTACGAAGACTAAAAAATAATAATATTATATTGTAAAAGTGGAATAGGTAAAAAAGTAAAGTGGATGTATTATAAAAAATTTATTAAAGAGTTAATAATAAAGTAGTGAGGTAAGTAGAAAAAGTAGTGGAAAATTGTTTATTATTTGTTAAAATAGAGGTAATAAAATTGTAAGTACATAAAATTGTTTACTACAAATGGACTATGTATAAATTTAGCGGACCAAAAAAGAGAATGCGACACAATTATCTCGGACGGAGGGGACGGAGGGAGTATTATTGAAACCATTCTCCAGTATTGAAACTAATAGATGAATCATGGGCATTGATGGACGATTTGCAACGTAGACATCAAATACCAGGATATCTTGTTCATTCATAATGAAACATTTTCTTTGTGCATCAGTAAATTTAAAAATAAAAAAAAAAAATAAGCATGCTTCGGCAGGGAGAGATACTAGTTTACCAAATTGAGTCAATGCACAAATTATAGGAACAAGTTCCATCCCGAGGCATTTCCAAAACATAACAGTGCCAAATTTTGCCCCCCTTCAAAACCCAAACTGCTCATACCCCTACTGAAAAGTAGAAATAGCAACTTCTGAAAATAAAATAACAGCTATAACAAAATAAGAACTCAATAATAAATTATAAGCGACTGGTAAACCATAGTATTCCACACCCTCCTTGTTCTGCTGCATAAACAGAACAGGTGTTATGCAATTGACTCCATGAGACATATTACGATGCCTTAGTTCGAAAGATATGGAATATTGAAGAAATGACATAATTATCAAATGCCACTAGTTAAAGAGGAGCAAAGAACCATTTTCCAGAAACCCATCAGAAAAATATAAGGACCCTAGAATTCGTACAAGAGTAACCAAATCAGAACCATCCAGGATTAACTTACACGAAATCATTGAGTATGCATTAGGAAACAGTACACTTATATACTCTCATTCACCATCTTAATTTCTACAGGTGCAATGGGCAATATCATGCCTTTTTCCAAAAGCCAATTCCCAGAAAAATTATATATCCAAGCATGCAACAACAAGTAGGATATGGTCACATTTAATGAATGAAAGATTCTCGGTTAGTTAATAATCTAACCATATGCAGGAGGATTAGCAATAATAGCATCTGCTTTAAAGGGAATTCCAGTGTCCATGTCAGGTTCTTTGCACGCTGGAAGTAATGAGAATATAATTTCTTTTATCTGATTTCTTTGTGCAGGTATTTCTGAAGGTCCTGAAGGCAAAAATCCTTTGTTCTTTACCATGTCTGCAGAAAAGAGATTGTGATATTATTAGTTTAAGGTGCATCACTTCAAGCGAATAAAACCAAACCTTGAGACTCCAATCGTTGACAAGATAAATTCCAGTAAAATAATGGCCAACAGAAACATACACTCAGCAAGAACTTTTGGATCTCCACCAAGAGGATAAAATTCCAATCCAGCTGTCATGACAAACTCTTTGAAATTGGAATGAGTGGCCAATCTAACACGATGACCGTAATCCTGCACGCAACCATCCTCATTAATAACAGAAGAACCAAAAATGAATTACTACTGTAAGAACATGGAAATTTTCTATATACTAAAAATCTGTAATCTTTACATTTTAATATGCACTGGCAGTGTTGCATCAAATTCAGTATTGCCAAAATACCTGTAATCGCTTTCCAATTGCAACAAATGGTTGGACATCTCCACGAGTTCCAACAATGAGCATTACAATTTGCAACGGAGGAATATCTAGATGGTCTGCTTCATCAAGAGGCTCTTCATCAAATTCCTTATATGAGTCTGCTGAAACAATTCCAGGACTACGAGGTTCCACATCTTCTGCAACTTCAAATTCTACCGTTCCATCTTTAACAGTAGCAACTCTGTTCAACAATGTGAGCTGCAGTGTTTTAAATATTTAACGAAAACCCAGGCATGTATGCTGTTCTTAAAATTAAGCTACAGTAGTAATTGAACAACACCGAACACAGCCATAATTAAAAAGTTTGTGTGATCAAAGAGCCTTCATTTTACATTTACAATAGCAATGTTCAAGATTCAAGATGTCGAATTACAAAGCATATTCACAAACTTTAATACTATAATAAAAGCCACGTACATTCTGACTGTAGCTGAGATATCAAGATAGATACTAAAATAGATGAGAGTTTAGTATGTGGGAATTGAGCGAGGGTAATCACGAACAAGCAGATGATTACTTTGGAGTTGACATAATGAACAAATGTCGGATACCACGTACATACATAAATTATTTATCAAGACAACATGATGAACCTGTTAAACAAAAAAGTGAAGAGTAGAATCTCCACAACACATTACGATGAACATGTATAGTAGTAGTGAATTGGGATTTTGTGCCTTTACTCATTTGGTGATTTCAAATATGTAGCAGTCCTTGTTCTTCAACAAGAGTTCCTAAAAACAGATGAAAGCAATCCGTTCCCAATTTCAATTTTCATGGCACTTTTTAATTTCAACATTCACAAATGGTAACAAGATCAAAGATTTATATGGTAACAGAACTTTTCTAACTAGTATTAAGAATTAATTACTATAATGTAAAAGTGACACCGTGAGACTAGCGAGGATCTATACCTTCTGCTGTATCGAAATGCGATCATCGAAAATCTGCTCAACCTCTGCAGCGTGTATGTTGTTCTGCCTTTCCGTCTTCGACCTTTCCAGCGCCGCAGGCAGCTTTAGCTTTTCGTTCAGTATCTCCGGCGGCGTCGTATTTACTCTAGGAAGAACCGGCTTCCCGCGCCCTACCAACATCAATCACAACCAAACTCCATGTTAGCGGATTCAACCAATCCAACCGCATAACAACACAACCACATCCCGAGGTTACAGACATTCTCAATCGTAGACAATAAAGAAACTTACAACTCAATCCTACTCCAAATTCCGATTCCACAACCCTAAAAGTCATCAATTGCTTAACTCACCAGAGGAGGTATCGCCATCGCCATTGGAAAGCTTCTCCCCGACCTGTAAATCGACGCCGGAGCTACTAACCCGCGCAGTCTCAGCAGCAGCCTCCGGAGCAACTTCCTCAGACTTCAGCATGACTTCGGAGCTCGTCGACGACACCGGTTCATCTTCCTTCGCCATGACTGGCGGCACCACCACCACCACCACCACCACCACTACCGTTGGCCTCCCGTCCGATTCAGATCTACAGATAGCTCCTGAAAGGGAAAATCAAAGCCTTATACAGGCACCAAATGCACCCTATTAGAGTGTATGCGCGAAGTAGAGGTGAGATAGAGCAGAACAGGTAGACCCAGGAAGAGAAGGATAAACGGAGCCACGTTACAGATGTGGGGGTACAGTCAAAATCTCGTCTAGGCAGTAACGCAACGCGCCGATAAGCGCGTGGCGTTGATTGTTGACGATTTCTCACCTTCGTTAATGGACCGTTTTCGTTGATGCATCATTTAACCATTTACCTTTTACCAATTAAAAAAATATTGTCCCTCTCAAATACAAATAAAGTGTAATATTTAATTTTTTACTTTTGCATATTACAAAATGTTTGAAATGAAAAAATTACTTTTATCGTCATTAATTAATTTGATGCTAGTATTTTATGAACCAATAACTTTTTATTTTTATTTTTATACTATTTCCCTTTTGATGATAAAGGGTGTTGACTTGGCGCGTTGATTCGTTTCCAAAGAGGCCAACAGTGTGGTCGGGCTGTCATTACGTAGATTAGCAGCTTTATTCTGTAACATAATTGTAAAGGTTTGATTATGGTTAATACCGTGTTGTCAATTTATTATTTGTATCATTTTAGCATATGCTTTAAAAACATTGGAGAAAATAAATAACAAAAAAGTATAATATCAATTAAACTTCATCTGCAAACAAACATATCCTTAATGATGGGACCAAAAACGCGTCCAGAAGTTGCTATTATTATCACAATATCCAAATACGGAAGGTACAACACAAATACAATATCCATAGAAATGAACCCATGTCAATTCATCGTCTAAATTGCATCCTTGGACAATAAGTTGCTGTTCCGGCGGGCAACACGTGCGTTGCACATGTCGTCCACAGAATCCCCTCTCTCAAGTACAGCAGCAGCACCCATACCCGACCCTGCCATCCAAATATCCAACAACCATACTCATCACATTACATGCGATATTATTTTGCAGTAATAATTTAGAAAATTTTAAAGTTGAAATACTTAATTTTTTTTTCCCAAATTTTTTTTCCCACGTCACCTTAAATATTCACAATTTTAATATTTTTAAAATTTTCAAAACTTTCAAAAATATCAACTGTTTATATAAATATTTTTTTTAAATTGAATACTATTCAATATATTTTTTTCAAAAATAAATATATCAAATGACTATTTTTTTCTTATCTAACATTAAATAATGACTTTGTATTGTTCACAATATTTTTTAAACCCCAAAATTAAAAAATACTCTATGTAAACTAGGATCGTATCTAAAAGGAGCCTATATTTTGTTCACTGAGTTTCCTATACCAAAATAAAATAAAATAAAATAAAATAAATACCTATATATAGATATCTCTAATCACTATATTTAAGATAAAATTTTCATTAAAAAAAAAAAAAGGGTTCAAATATAAAAGCTTTATAAAACATACAAAGAAAAGATGCTTCTACAAAATACCTATGCACATGGAAATGACGCCAAATCTACAGTCCTTCCCGCGACGTTTCATCTCATGTAGCAGCGTCGCAACACAACGAGTCCCTGAAACACCAACAAATTAAACATTAATTGCAAATGAACATTTACTTTAATTAAAAGTAGTTAGTTAGTTTGTCAGAGATTGTTATGAGTTATGATGTGATGTGATCATCCTCCTATATTCATTCGGGTGCACTCTACAAGTGGACTAATTTAAAGTCATTCATTCTACGACCAATAATTTAATTATATTAGGCAGGATAAAAGAATTACAATTATAATTGTTCCAAGATAGTTGCAATTGAATTACCACCTAACCTGTAGCTCCCAATGGATGTCCAAGTGCGATTGCTCCTCCATTGACATTCACTTTTTCGTGATCAAGATTCAGCTTCTTGCAGCAGTACACATACTGGGAAGCAAATGCCTGCCAATTGAATTGTATTGCAGCAGCATTTGGAGTCTCAGCTTCTGCTAGAGTTGGTTCCAATGAACTTAGGTAATTTTCAAACACTGAATGAGTAGTAGTACAATACCTCATTTATCTCAAACAAATCGATGTCGCTAAGTGCAAGACCGGCGGACTTAACTGCCGCCGGGATAGCAACTGCCGGGCCAATTCCCATCACACTAGGATCCACGCCCACAGCACTGAAGCTCCTGCATTAATTCATTAGGAACAAATGCAATGTACATTATTATTCCTAAATGTATGAACAAATACAATTTATATTATTATTCCTAAATGTATGTGCATTTATGGTTTCGTTGGTAACCATTTTGAATGGGAATAAACTATCAAAAAATGTTGAAATGAATGTATAGAGGAAAACCTCACCTGAATATCCCAAGAATTGGAAGCCCTTTTAGTACAGCCGTTTTTCTTTTCATCAGAAGAACAGCTCCAGCACCATCACTCACCTGGCTGGCATTCCCTGGAGAAATCGTATGAATAAATCTAGTTAAAATCAATACGATAAGCATGTCATAAATCGAATATTTACTAACGTATAATATCTACCAGCAGTTGTGGATCCGTTCTTCTTGAATACAGGCTTCAACTTAGCAAGATCCCCCACGTTTGCATTTGCACGAATGCCATCATCAGCAGAGATTATAACAGGCTTTACCTCACCACTTTTGGGTTCTACAATCTTGAAAAACAAAACGATAATCAATGAGCCTGGAAAACATTATGAATTGCTGTTTTAAACAAGAAATTATTCTACACTTGGCTCTACCTTTGTAGAAACTGGAATGGTTTCATCTTTAAACTTTCCTGATGCAGTCGCAGCGGCAGCACGATGATGGGAAAGGACCTATTCATACAATATCACAAGGGCATTAGATTGTTAGCTGAGTTGAGTCGATATATGTCCACACTGCCATGTGACAAATGAAGAGGAATCTCACAGCAGCTTGATCTTGTTCTTCCCTGGTCACCCCATAACGCTCTGCAACGTTTTCAGAAGTAATCCCCATTGGAAGAAGACAGTCGCGTGCTTGCGCAAAACTCTCGACCTGTGAACACCGCAGGCCGACTGAATCAGTAAGCAAATACAACATGTGAGTTTAGTAAAAGAGTAAAAAGGAAGATTCATACTTTTGGGTTAACAGTCCTATCAGCACCCATTCTATCTACTGTCATCGACTCCAACCCGGCGGCTATGCCTGTATTGAAATTATATTAGATAAATCAGAGACAAATATATCTTGAACATAAAGCAAATTGGTTCAAATTTTACCTATCTCATAATACCCAGCTTGTATGAAGGCAGCAACATCAGCAACAGCTTGGAGACCAGATGAACATTGTCTATTGACTGTTCTTAGTGGCACCGTATCTGCCAAGAAAACATTATACAACAGTGAAAATTAAAGGATTCAGAACAGCTGCATTCGCAGTGTGCAAAGAAAGTATGAAAGACGAAACGATACCAGGAAAACCAGCATAAAATGCTGCCATCCTGCACTCAATGGCTCTCAGTGAACCTGGAGCAAGAACTGTTCCCACAACTATGTCTCCCACCTCAGCAGGATTGAGATTTGTTTTCTCAATCAATGCCTGCAATCAGGAGAGGATACTGAACATAGCTAAGTGATGAACTGATGATTACCAAAAATGGACACAAACTCTTTCAAGGGCTCCAATTTTATGCAAAACAAGTAACCAGTGGCAAAACTCACCTTCAGTACAGAGGCAAGCAAGTCGTCTGGAAGTGTATCCTTAAATCCCCCTCGCTTGGATTTGCAAATGGGAGTTCGATAAGCTCTGCAAGACATGTAATGGTTGTCACAGAGACTCAGATGCTTGGAAACCATTAAGTTCTATATGGCAGTATGAACAATATCGGGTATCCAAATCGTTAAGCAACTTACGCCACAATGACAATATCATCATCGAAAGCAGCTTTTCTGGGATAAGCAGAACTATCTGAAGCCGAGCATATTGCAGACTGTCAAACAAAATAATGCATAAGAAAACCGAAGCAAAGCTCTGAAAGCATTTTCAAGGATTTTGAAACGGTTTGATGCTGGAAATCATGGAGTGGTTCTTCGAATAATCACAAGGTTTCTGAATCACTTAATAACGGTTATATGCAAAAAGTTCTTATAGTATGCTCATTTTCACCTCAAAAATCTCCAAAAAAAAAAAAAGGCGCAAAACACAAAAGCAAAACGAAGTACATGTAATTTTCACTATCCATCTGTTTATAGCAAACGATCATATCATATTATAAGATATAAGTATATCATTAGCTTCTTTGATCAAGTTTGCACTATGGTTGATTCAGATACAATACATAAAAATTGGCTCAAATACTTTTCTCACAAAATGGAAAACAAATTCACAATTAAACAAAAATCATAAAGAGAGAACAAAAAAGCAAACTTACTGAGAGATCAGATTGAGGAATGCGCCGAGTAGATGAAGTCGCAGGGTGCAAGTGCTCCAGCAGAATCCTCTGCCGATTAACAGCTTTCTCCATACTTCACCAAAGCCGTTCCTATTAGGCACGCGTATCTCCACTTATCGACCAAAATATCGCTCCGATTCCCAAGCTTCGTTTCTCTACAAAACCACAAACTCAGTCAATATATAGAGTGGAGATATCAATGAAAAAAAAAAAAGCAGGATAGCTGCAATTTTCAGGAAATTGAAAGGAAGAGAGTAGGCAACGTTGACGTTGAGTGGACGGAGAAAGTGCGGTCATCTCACTGCAATGCGAAAAGCATTCCATGGTTTTTCTTCATGTTTTCCACGAGGACGAGGGTGGGTATACATGTGAAAGGATAAGGCGGCTGATTGGCTCTTTATTTGGAGCTACACGATCACACGAACCCTGGCGGGGACACCACAGTAATAGATCAACGGCAGAAATGTGTTAGGGCCCATATATCAACGGTGTGGATCCATCTAGACTATTCTGCTGTACAGGGCTGATATGTTTGTCATTGGATTTTACAGGTATGTATGTTGGTTCGGAGTTTTGGCTCGTTTAGACACCAATTTTGGGTGTTTGGCGTTATTTTATTTTATTTTTAAACATCACGGTTAAATATGCGTTTCATTTATAAAAACATCAAATTAAATATAATTTTTTATATTTTGAATAGTGAATTTTAATAAATATTTAATATGATATAAATAAAAATTTTAAATTAAAATAATTTTTTTTATGAAATATAAATAAAAAATATAAATGATGTAATGTTTTAAATATAAATTAATTTTTAATATTCCCTCCGTCCCAAATACCATGTCCATGTTGTCGTTTCTGTCCGTCCTACATACCTAGTTTTAAATGATTACACACTTTAATCTTATTTTAAATTTTTTAATTTTTTCTAATTTTAATTAATAGGATAATTATTTTTACTAATATATTATTAATTATCTACTAATTACACTCCTCCTAAAATACAGTGCAGCAGACAGGATATTTGGGACGGAGGGAATATAATATAAAAAATAAATATTTAATTTAGTGTTTTAAAGAAATTAAAATAAATCGGAAATGAATCGGATCCAGCCAAACCCAATGCCTGATTAAAATACACATTGTCGGACCGGCTATAGCAAGATCCGATCATACCTAAGGATTGTAATTCTAAGTGATACTGAACCATGTGCATCATCAATAAGAAAGTGCTTTTGAATATAATCCCAGCCATTAATTAATTTATTCAATCCAACAGTAATTGCAGAAAGTAATTTCAAAATGATCATATATAATCTATATTCAACTATTTTAAGCACTTAAATATATGCAAAATAACATGTGCAATTTATTGAACCAAGATAGCATTGTCTACAAATCTGTTCACAAATATGGACAACTGGCAAAGATATTTGGATCCATACCTCTATTAATATATTGAAGTAAAATAATAATGAAATGAATTATGCGGGTTGTGGATTTTAGATAAATAATCTAGATGTAATATGTAAAATTGACTTTTAATAAAATATATAAAATAAGTACTACTTCCATGTGAGTTGTACTGGTACTAATTATAAAATTTGTGCTAATCTCAACCCTCGGGAGCTCCACTCCCGGGTAGAATCTCATGAGCCAGCCAATAGCCATGCAAGTAGGGCCCGGCCCACAACAATATTGGCAGGCGGCTGGCCCAGGAGCAGGACTCCCGGGAGCTGCTACCCTAAGATGCACTAACCGATACACTTCACTTCATAAACAAGAGAAACAAACAGAACATTACAATCTCCCAGTGCTACTAAGCTATAGATACTATACAAGTATACAACATATACAAAAAAAACAAATACTCAATTTAGATTCCAACTTCCAAGTATAAATATAAATATATATATATATATAAAATATATGTGGGAAGGTAGCTAATGGTCACTTGGTCAGTTAGTTGTGTGTACCAACAAATCTGTTTGCCTCTTAGCCTCAAGAGCGGATGACATGGATCTTAATTTCTTCGCAATCTCCGTGAACGAGGGCCGAGCTTCAGGATCGGCCGACCAGCACTGCTCCATGAGCTTTCTCCATTTGGGATCACACCACTCTGGAATGGGAGGGCGTAGCGTGTTCTTCACAATGCCTCCTGCATTTGCAACCAGCATGTAATTCTCTTATGTTTGCTATAAGTGTCTAAATTCTTCTAGCTAATTGAACTAATGTATGTATGATAAATGGAAGAACACAAAATTCCCATAATTTAAAGGTTAATGGCAATCTAATAGACAGGTTTTTGTTTCTTGCCTTCTTTAAGCTACTTGAGAAACTACACAACTTTTGTATACAATAATGTCATTTTGATGATTTTATAATTAAAATGTGTTTTTTAATGTCCTGTGTTTGAGAGATTAACTCACCGATGATCGCGCCACAATGCATATTTGCATAAGGTTCTTGTCCAGTGAGAAGCTCCCATAATACTATTCCAAATGAATAAACATCAACCTGTTTAACACAAGATGAAGAGTTAGTTGCTGTTCCTACTGCTACCTGTCCTAACAAAGGGAGACTAACATGAACAAAGATGTTAACGAAACCCCTGACCTTTTCAGATACCCGGGTGGCACTGCCATTCAACAATTCTGGTGCCATCCATGGTAGAGTCCCACGTACACCACCGGATACCAAAGTGTTGCGTTTAATTTTAGATAGTCCAAAATCCCCAACCTAAACAAAGTTAAGGGTCAAATTTTGTTTTCTCAAGATATTCAACTGATAATATATGATATGTTAATCATTCTTCTAAAAAAATAGAAACTCAATTACTTTCGGCATACTTAGCAGCAGTGAAAGCAATTTATATTACATTTCTGAACTGTGGATAATTTCTTCCCAGAATATGTAATCTTCTGTCAATAAAGAGTTTTGTCCAACTTTCATCAGACAATTAACTTTCTTAAATTGACCAAAAGTACCTTGCATACTGGCCGCTGCGGATCGATCAGATTCACCAATAAATTGTCACATTTCAGATCAAAATGGACAATATTTTTTGAGTGCAAATACTCCATGCCAAATGCTGCATCCATGGCAATTATAAGCTTCTTGCCATAATCAAGTGATCTGCATTTGAGTTCAGAAAATCAAGAACAAACTAGGAATGTCACCATTGAAAAATAAAAGTGTAAAGGAGACTTAGTACTTGTCCTTTCTAATTAGAGCAGTCCTAAGCGACCCATTTGCCATGAACTCTGTTACAGTCGCCAATGTTCCGCCTCCACCATCAGGCACCACCCCATAAAATGCAACAACATTGGGATGGTGAAGATTTGATAGAATGCAAGCTTCTCGCCAGAAGTCCTTCGTCTGCAGAGAAGACATAAAAAAGAAATTTGCAAGCTTATAAGATCAATAGTCAGCCATATCTTTAGACATGCAAGAAAAGAACTATGCAAACTACACACCAGCCGTTCCTGCTCGGATGGTTTCCCAGAAAAACAAGCTTTATTTATTCTCTTGATGGCAACATCTGTTCCCCTCCATTTTCCATAGTATACTGTTCCATATGTGCCAGATCCCAACTCCCGTACTTCTTCAAGATCAGCACTTCTTATTATCTGCATGGTTTGCTGATAAGGAAATACTCGAAAACATAAAAATAAAAAATGGAAAACTTGACTGAATATGTTAATCTATTCTGGATCACTTGAAAATCTGGATGGTTCTGGAGTTATAAATAGAAATGATATAGTAATTTCTGAATTTATAAATCAACATAAGCAAGAATAAGTTTCCATGGATTCAGCATGATGCAAACAAATTAATGTGATCATTGTGTTGGTCAAAATCCACCTTCATATATAAAGTGTAAACTAAATAAAACATATCATTAATAAAATTTATGAGCCAGATAAAACTCTTATGAGAATGAAAATATCACTTGCCTGCAGACCATATAGATCTGCTTCCATTTCAGCTATCAATGCTTCACTGAACAATTTATCTTCGCCATTATTAGTCCTGACATCCTGCATCAGTCGAAGGCAATCAGCTAATGTCACACACAGGTGGAGAGATAAGAGAAAGAATAATAAAAATACAAGTACTACCTCAAAATCCAAATTCTGTAAAACACACTTTGCGTCTGGGGAAGGGGGAGACAAAACTTGTGTTTTGGCAGGATGTGGTGTGTCCGAGACAGCTTCGGATGGAGGCTGGGTAGATGATATATTATGGTTTTTAACCGGCTTCTGTTGGCATTGCAAGGTGAGATCAATCGGTAGATCATCCAACAAATCCGAGTACTTGCTAACACCAAAAGAGTCTGGTTTATCAACGTTACTGGTGCCAGACAACTTATTATTGGGGAGTGAATTTTCTCTCTTGTATGAAACAGAATTACGTGGAGTATTTGTCCTTCTTTCATTAACGACACCTATAGGTTCATCTAGCCTGAGTTCTTCAAAAAAATTATTCGCCACACCCTTAGATGCTTCGTGCAAAAGTTCAGCAACCTCTGCTTGCTCTAGCCCTGAATGATTTAAATGTTTGGCGCTTGCAGAAGATAATTCAGGGTTCAAACCACATGACACTTGAGAGTCTTGTTTTGATGATTTCATGTAAAGAGATGATGGTTCAAAGTTACCATTTTGTAATGCACTTGTGATGCTCTTGGAAACTGCAGGTGACCGATCACAGAAATAAAATTCACCACTGCCGAATGGAGGATTGCTGAAATTCACCTCAGAATTTGAAACACATTCTTTCTCATGAGCTTTCACCTCAAAACTTTGATTTCTCAAATCTTCTTTGCTCAGTTGTTTCTCAACAGCACCATTAACATCCTGGTGGATAACTTCCAGTTTGGTCAAAGCATCAGAGGCTGAAGGGGACTTCTGCAATGTCATTCCAGTAACAGGAATATTTGGTTCTGCATTCAATGCCTCAGTTTGAAGTTGAGTATTGATGAAGCTGACTTTCTCATGCAACTCCACTGGTTTTTTTTCAAAAGCAGCAGCTGGTCCGCAAGAGGATGGTTGAGGTCTTCCCAAATTCAATAATATTGATTGAGGGATGCCTTCTGGAGAAGAGTAAGCTAAAGAATTTCCCTGGTCCTGAATACTTGAATCAGAACACACATGAGGCATCCCATGATTGTAACCAAATGAATCACTGGATACAAACAATGTTCCGCCTAAATTATCAGGCTGAGGAAGAGGATTCTCAATATCTAATGTCCTTTCCATTTTTGCATCCCTTTCCTGAGAGCATAGCTCAAAGATTCCATAGTGCTGCTCCAGTTGATGAGGAGCAACATTTTCTCCTTTCAAGATTGGAATCCTATTATTTGGTAGGATGGCATCATGCTTACCAATTTGATCATGAGAATTTCTTAAATTTACTGCCAACTGAGGAGTAAGATGATGATGAGCAGTGTAGCAGATAGAATCTTCGGGTGGCAGAGATACACGAGGGCTGATACTACCAAGGGAAGAATTGTTTCGGTGCGCTGCCATCTTGGCATTCTTCATATCTTCTCGCCGCATGACTTCAGGAGGCAATGAAGGAGACCTAATCAATTTCTGGGACCCATCAAAAGTTTCAATCAAAACAGGTACACCAGGGGGATCCCGATCCTTCATTTCAACAGGATCCATTGGCAAGGGGACATTGTTAGCATATCTTACATTAGGTTCACCACTTGGCACCAAATGACCCATCTCATTTTCATAAGGTAGCCCACTGTAGAAGTTCAGGGGAGCAGAATCAGAGCTACCAACACCATTTACCAGAGTTCCATCTACACCGCTTGCACCAAAAGCATACTTGCAATCAACATTCTTCTGCAGGAGATAGCTGGCATCATGTGCATACAAGCCTTCACATTCGCTTAGAGGAATCAAAAAAATACGCAGTCGTTGAGAACCATCGAGCTTTTCAGCCGCTGAATACTCGTCAATCATATTTTTCAAATCCTCATCGCAAGAAACAGATATAAGGGCATCAAGATCCTCCCCTGGAAGCTGGTATTTAATTAGGTGAGGCTGATTGCACATTCCAGCTGTTTTCTTCAGTAGTTCCTCCCACGAAATATTCTTGGGGATGGAGATAATGTGTGTCTCACCTCCCATATATTTGAGTTTTCCATCACCCTGACGAGGCAATATTTTCCCTCCAAAACTGCAAAGAAGCTTCACTTTCTCAGATCGACAAGAGTTAGAAACTCCCGGCATTAACGAATTCAAAGATCTAGAGGAATCAGATTCTCTTAACAGTGGAGCATTTGACACTAAACAGGCCTGGTGGCTACATACTTTTGCAGCAGATGTATTGGGTTTATGCCCATTGGCTTCAATATCCTGGTAATTCATGCTTCCCTTACTCATGTAAACCCCATTATCAGCATGTGCACCACTAGATCCTTCACTCAACGCTGATTCTGTGATGTCAATTCTGCATTCAGAATCCATTCTTCTAAAACCAAGAGCTCGAGGAAGTTCTTCATGAACACATTGGCCATCCTGGACATCAGAAACTCCAATGCTATGTTGATAGACTGGAGTAACGCTTACACCATACACTGGAGTAATAACTGCAGGAGGAGTGTATTCCTGAAGAAAGCCCACAGGGAACTCTTCTCCAGTTTGAACATAGATATTATTATCTACATTTTTCCATGTTGCCACACCACCCCTGAATCCAGTGTCAAATGAATCTTGCCTAGCCCACAGACTACAGAGGCTAGGTGGCTCACCAGCCACAGGTTCAGCTGGATACCTGTTTAGCTGCATTTTGTTCTCACCCTCAAACTCGACTTAATGTTTAATTTCCGTAAGTCGATCCAAAAGAATCGGAAATGCCTTTGGTGTTGACCTTGGAATTCTTATAATTGTACGTAAACCCTAACCTGCAAGCGACAAGCTCAAACATTAATAATGGGAAAAATTTCACTCTGTAACAACTAAAGCAGGTAAAAAAATACCTAGAGTGAAGGAGAGAACAAACCAACTTAACCAATCAACGATCCGTCTCTCGTACTCGTCCTTCCTCCCTAAATCATCATTCTATCTTCACTATCACCAGCAACTATCTGAAATTCGAAAAGATAAAATAACAACAATAAAAATAAATCACAAACATGGAAACACTGGTATAAATAATCCATACTAAAGGAAGTGTTGGATTGAGCTAAAATAATCGATTTCTGAAATAATCACGAGATCGGACGAAGAGCGATCCACCAAATTTCAAAATTCATAGCAGTAAACGCGCAACATTTGCGTGAGCTGAGCACTACTCTACCATAGTTTGATCGATTATAATAAGCCAACATAATCATGCTATGAAAAAACTTACAGAATTAAGTGAAAACGATCCACGAGAACAGAAAACGCATAATACATCAACGCAGGTTCGCTTGCTACACTTTCCTCTCCGGATCGCTGATGTCTCCACGGTTAAAACGCCGAGTGAATGAGAATTCAGGAAAGTGATGCGGAGAAAGCGTGGGTGGCAGACGGAGAAGGTCGTTTACGTGTGCTCCCAGTTCGTTGCCAATATATTAAGGCAACCCAGTGCTCTATGGCCACAGAATTAGGCGGCAGAAAGGGACCCGCCACTTCCACAAAATTGGGCGGCAGAATTCGGGGCCCCACCCAATACCTAAACGGGTCAGCCGTTCAAAAAATAATAGTATTACCTCATTCTTTTATTTTTTATTTCCTTTTGTGTGATTTATTTTGTTACTTATTGAAAAAAATTATATATTTTAAATTTAAATTTAATTATTTATTTATTTTTATCTTAATTTATAATTATTTTTGTTATAAAAAATAAAGGAAGCCAGGTTCACTTGTCATACGTTTGTGATTTGTTTGTCACCCTTTAGGGTGTGTTTGTTAAGGATTTTGGTTGATTTTCACTATTCATCCAATTCTTTTCCTTCAAAAATATCAAATCACAACACCTATTTTTCATTTTTTATATTATACTAAAAATCAAGTTTACATTCAAAACATCACATCAAACCCTATTTATATCACATCATACAACTATTCAAATTCAAAATTTTTACTATTCAAATCACAACTTAAAATCCAAACCCCCAAACAAACACGCCCTTAGTTTATATGATCGAGAGTTTTGTGATTTGTTTGTTAGCCTTAGTTTATATGATCGGGAGTTTACTCAGCACTTTCGGGTAGCGATTTCGTTTTATTTTTTTTGTCATTAACATTTATTTTCATCTTTTTAATAAAAAAGCCAATTTTTTTTAATTTTATTTTTATCCAAAAAGATAAAATTTTATATTTTTATCTATTTTTCTTAAAACATATTATTTCTATGGATTTTTCAATTTTTAACATGTAATTGGAATTAACACTAGTAAAATTGGAGTGGATCATACGCCTTGTAAATTAATTAAGGTTCACGACTTAGATAGGGAATTAAGAATGTAAGACTTGGGAATACAAAATTTACTATTCCCTCCGTCCCAATACCATGTCCACGTTACCATTTCTGTGTGTCCCACGTACCATGTGATTTTTTTTTTTAAAATGATTACATACTTTAATCTTATTTTAATTATTTTAATTTTTTTTAATTTTTTTTTATTTTAATTAAACTAATTAGTTATTTTAATTTTAATTTATAATTATTTATATTATAGGATAATTACTAATACATTCTTAATTATTTACTAATTATATTCCTCGTAAAATACCGTATTTACTGTGTAACAGACACGATATTTGGGACGAAAGGAGTATAATTTTTATTTTTTTTTTGCTTTTTCGGTTTCCACATGCCTGCAAATTAGGGCATGTAGCAGGCAAGATTTTGTCGGTTTACTTTATAATTACGAGTTTACATTCGTACCGTTAAATTATCTTTTAGGAAATTCAAGAATACAAATCTTACTTCTTTAAAGTATTGAGTTTGTTGTCGTCGGTTGAGCCTAAATTTAATATTCTTTTTTTTAAAAAAGAAAAAATGCATTAAGTTTGTTATCTCTATCTATTTATTTATTTATTTTAAATACATTGAGTTTGTTATCACATCTAACATCTTAGAATTTGTTTGTTTTTATGTTTGATGCTCCAGTGATCTCAAATGGGGCGGGTTAGCCCCGGAGTTACCCTGGATCCGATTTTAATGGAAAGGGTTCGGATTTAAAAAATTTGGTTCGGGGTGAATTGACGAATTTTGAATTTTAGATCCGGTCGGGTTCGGACGGGTTACGAGTTTTACTATAAACCCACCTCACTCCGAACCTGGACTCGAACCCGAATATTTAATAATGCATTTGTTTCTTCTACAATTGTTTTATAATTGGGACTACTGACGGCCTTACTATGAACTATTGTCAATATTTGATTATTCTTAAATTATTTTTAAAAAAATTTATTTTATTCTTTTCTTAAAAAAAAAAAAAAAAACGGATTTGTCAGGTTGGACCCGAACCCGAAGGGTTCGGGGCTGGGCGGGGCGGGATGGGTCCTGGGGCTTGCAAAATTCATTCCGAACCCGCCCCGACATCTAGATGCTCTCTGTGACATTTACTTAACATTAAAAATATTATTATATTTGTATAATTTTTTGTACAAATATATTTCTATTAGTTTTATAAGATACTAATGAAAATAATTTTACAATTTTTTTCTAATTTGTACTATTATTTTGATATAATAATTAATATTCAAATATCAACACGTAGTATAATATTTTATAAAATAAAAGTATTTTTTGGTATTAATATTATATAATTAATAGTTCAAAATAAAAATAATTTTATTATTTATATAAATTACTATGAGTTGTTTATTTAATCAAAAAAATTTAATACAATTTTCAATATATATAATATTTATATTATATTTTTTAACAAAATAATAATTCAAGGTAAATAAAACAAAAAAAAACCTCAAACTAAAACACTAAACAAACAATTGTTACTTTTTTTTTAATAATAAAAAATACAAAATTGTAATATTTTTTTTATTTAAAAAGGGAACTAAAAATATTTTTTTATGATAATTTTAAAAAATGATTACAAATTTGTATGATGAGAGAGTAACTATTTTAATTATTATTAAAAAAAAATGTGACATAATTATTTAGACGAAAAAAATAATATACTTCATATTAAAATTGTTCGAAAAAATCAGTTAAACTATGTTGATTTTTTAATAAACAAAATATTTAAAATATACATTATGATTATATATCAAAAACAAACTAAATATATATTCGACATATATAATATTCAAAATAAAAAAAAAACTAAATTATTAAGTCTAATATTTTTTCTGTTATAAAAAATATATGCTCATTATAATTTTTTTTTTTTTTAATTATAGATTAAGCTTGTTTTTCTTTAAGCAAAAATTTATACTATTTAAAGAAAAATGACAAAATATAAATACCATATTAAAATTTATGTCAAAAAGTAAACGAGCTCGTGCGAAAGGAGTATTATTAGGATGTGTTTGTTTGGAGTTTGGATTTTGAGTTAGAATTTGAATAGTAAAAATTTTGAATTTGAATAATTGTACGATGCGATATAAACAGACGTTGATGTAATGTTTTGAATGTAAAATTGATTTTTTAGTATAATATAAAAAATAAAAAATAAATATTTAATTTGATATTTTTTACGAAAAAAAATTGTATGAATAGTATAAATCCCAAACAAACACACCGAAAATACAAATGCCAACTACACAACCGAAATAAGCAGGCACCGGCCAGCCCAGTTTACTTCAATACACAATCACGTGATCTTCACGTGCAACAATTAGCGCGTGCGAGAATCAAGATACCAACCATGGCTACGGCCCCAAAAAGAGCCCAATTTAAGAAGGTGACGTGGCAACTCATTCACAGATATTTTCCCCTCAAAAAAACTGCGCTGATACAGAATCTGCACTGCATATATATACAAAACAAAACTCCCTTTCCCTTCAGGTTTGTTTCTCTCTCCAGGGTTTTTAGGGTTTCCAATTTCCGCCAGGAGGAGGCAAAGGCTTAAGCATGGACAGATATCAGAAGGTGGAGAAGCCGAAGCCGAAGCCGGAATCTCCGGTGAACGAGAATGAGATCCGCATTACTTCGCAGGGTTTGGTGCGAAACTATATCACCTATGCCACCACCCTTCTTCAGGTGCCAGGCCAGATCATTTTACTTGCTATGGTTCTCATTATCGCTGTTCGTGACAATGTAACTGTTGTAGTTTGTTTCTCGTGCTTTTTTTGTGGCGGTTTTTTTTTTGTTTTTTTGGGCTTGACTCAGTTGTTTGCCAGTGCGGTTGCTTTTGATTTGTGAACTCTTGGTATTTTTTGGAAGCATTGTGTGGATTTTGTATGTTTTATATTTCTTTCGTAGTCGATTGATTTTATTCGTTTCTAGGCTTTTATTTCTGTTCTGAAACTACGATTTTGTTAGTTCTTGATAGTTTGTTTACAGTATCTTTTAGTAGATTTGTGTGATTTCTACACATTGCCAACTCGTGATCTATGGAAGTAATCTTTATGATATTTCTAGATTTGTATCCTTCAGCGACTATTGATTTGTAATATGTTAGCATATTTTGGAAGGAATTTATGGATTCTGTACCTTCTTTCCCCATAAATCATTTTCACCTTTAGGCCTTTAGATCTGTTTCCAAAGCAATAATTCTGTAAATGATCTGATGCTTCATATCCAGTATCTATCAGTAGATTGTATACATTATGGCACTCTGTTGGTTTCTTGTTTAGGAGAGACGTGTGAGAGAGATTGTCCTGAAAGCAATGGGCCAGGCAATAAACAAGGCAGTGTCTATTGCAGAGATCACAAAGGTTTCTATGTAATCCGTTTCGTAGTATCCTTTAATGTCAGTCTCAGCACCAGGCCCAGGGCTAATTAAGTTTTTATTTCAATAGAGAAGAGTTCCTCGACTACATCAGGACACTGCCATTAATTCTGTGAGCATAACTGATACCTTTGAGCCCATTGAAGAAGGCCTTCAGATGTAAGTTTAGACTGTGCCCTTACGCAAAACATGTACAGTCATGCCCCTCTTCTTTCCTTGTGGAGCAGACAGTCATGTCTTGCTCGATCCTAAGCATGCACAGCCATGCTAAATAGTTGAATGAGCACATTGTGTATAAAGAAAGTTTGTTTTGGTGATGTAAACTTTATTGTGCACTTACTACAGTGTGGAGCAGACTCGCCATGTTTCGATGGTCACAATCACCTTATCTACCAAGGAGCTTAACAAAAATTCTCCAGGGTATGTTAAAGGATTGACATACACTCAGTTTCTACTTTCTACAATCTGTTATTTCACAATGTTGAAATATTTAAGTTATCCACTTCTTTATTTATTGCAGCTTCTCTCATAGGCTACTTTGATAATTGACTCACTCCAGTTTGTTACGGCTATTCATATTCAATGCAGGTATCAAGCTCCATCCAATGTGGATCAAACTAAACAACAACAGTACAACTACCCACCACAACAAAAGTTACCACCAAGACAAGTTGGTCCTCCAGTTCAGAACCCTGGGAGAGGTAAAGTAAAAATGACTAAAATTTGAATTCATTGTTCTGATTTCTATCCACTTGTAAATTTAACTAAGAATTGGGTTGCCTTTAAATGTCATCTTGGTTTTTAGGTTCATATGGTGGAAGGGGAAGAGGCTTTGGAAGAGGGAGGGGACGAGGTTGGAGCAGAGGTGGATATGGAAACTACCAAGGTATTTCATTCCAAATCTAAATATTACATCAAGTGAGAATTGAGTTATACTTTATACATGTCTATTTGCATGTCTTTGTTTTGCTTAAGTCTAAGTGAGCAACTGGCTATACTTATATATATATATCCAAGGCCTCTATTATTGAACAGCCAAAAACATTTCTTTCCACATTATAACAGATTCCATGATTCTTTTTGACAGAAAATGGAGGGTATTCGCGTGGCTATTCTGGTGGCGATTATCCTAATTGGGGCAGGGGCAATGGTCGTGGGGGTTGGGGCTATCGTGGTTAGTATCATCTTTTATCTTGTCATCTCTCAAACAGTACAGTGTCTGATTTAAGTAATTCACTTGTTATGCTGTCCGAGCATGCTTCACTTTATTTAGGATCAGACACATGGTTATTATACTGTATTTTACTCATTGTGCTCATCGCTAAGGGCAGATTTGAATCACGAGGATCTCCCAGCCCTGCATCTTGTATGTTCAAAATTAATGGCCATCTGTTATTGACAGGAGCTGGATATGGACGAGGTAGAGGTGGAGTTGGCAGAGGGTATGGACGTGGGCGTGGAAGGATGATGGGTCCCTGGAGGGGAGGTGGCAACCACATGTAATCAGGAATTGGCTCAAAGGTAGCTCGCTTTACTTGGCTCCCGGGTGTTCGTACTCTGCTCAAGGTTTGTTTACAATTTCTTCATGAAACTGCAGCCTCTTTTTAAAATCAAGGTTTGTTTGTTGGCAGCAGCCAGCTGCTTTGGGTTTTTTTGTTTTTATATGTGGGCAAGCTTTGTTTTCGAACAAATTATTCAATATAGAGCCAAGAACAAGCAAAATCAATTTCTGAACACATGCTATAACACTCTCATCCCTTTAATACCCCTCGTCAATATTTCATTCTATTATAAAAATTTAATTGTTTGATTTTACGTTTTGTGCCAAAAGTCTGTAAACAATCATACATTTTTTAATAGATAAAATTGATGCCACTTAACATGAAGTGCGCTAGAGAATAATAAAAGTAGTGGACTGAGCTACATTCATTTGTTTGCAATTTTTTTAAGCCTCGATTTATCTGATAGATAACATGCATGCATTAGAAAATAAGTCCATGTTATTATCTAATAGGATTGTTCAGGCACGAAATTTGCAACAAAATATGACATGAAAATTTCAAACTTGAGTACCAAGTACATGGCAATATGGCATGACATGACAGACAGACACATTAAAGCAATCCAGAAATACAAACTATACAAATATTATCTCACAGAATACAGATATTCTATAGCAAGTGTCTGACAAAAAAATTCAATGGTAAACAAGGTTCAATGTTGGTCGAAACAGGCAGGTAGGTGTTTCCTAGTGGCATTTGAATCCATGACAGACCGATAAAACTATGATAAGGATCAAGGCCACAATGATGGCAAGTACTATCAGCTTTATCTTCATATTCTGCAGCCACATCTTTCTCCTCATCTGGGTTCCTTGTGTCCGAAAATCTTGCGCCTGTTGTGAAAATATAATTTTCAGAAGCACGACCATATCAACCGGCAAGTTACATAGGTAGAAACAACTTGTTCTTAAAGATGTACAAGTATATGACAACAATTTACAATTAGCAAATGCAGCTGTCAAACACCGAAATCCACAACTACAAGCCAAAGTAGATTTAGCCTTGTGCTTGCTGTTTTAGCACAGCTGTAGTGTGTTTTTACTTGTACAGTGAACACAGCCTGAATATTTTAGAGAAGGATCTTAGGTGATTACAAAGTTGTATGATTCAAATCATGACAAAGACAGATCAATGCAACAACCAAACAAACAATCGATAGTTAAGCCCAAGAGATTCATTCCAGCCTTACATAATCACCGCTAAGTATTCTGCATATAATTATAAAACCAATGACATGCATACCTGAGAACGAAGATTCTCAGTTTTATCAACCAGAAGTTCAATTTTCTCTCCACGATCAAGAACCTGCCATGAAATATATAGGCTTTACATTCAATAATATATGTGTGTGTGTGTATATATATATACACCACTAAACTCAAGATTGCACCTAAGTATATGTTTATGGAGGGCATAAGAGAAGTAACTTTACCTTCTCGATGTTTTCCATCATCACACCTTTAACTTCGGAAACCTGAGCTTTCACCTTTGAGAGCTTGCTGATTTCTTCAGGATGATCAACACAATACTGCATTTGCTCCTTCAATTTGGGCCTTTTTTTTATTGCAATTGTGCCAAACAAAGTTACTCTTGTCTGCCAAGAAACTATGAATTGGGTCCATGTAAATTAAAAATGAAAACTATACAAATAAACTACCCAAATTCTCGATTCAGGCTTTTGGCAACAGCTGTGGCCGCCTTTCCTCCACCATATTTCTTTGTGAATTCATCCTTGATTCGCTCTAGAAATGCCATGGGAAGCTGTCTTCCAACAGATTCAACAGCCACAACACAATATGCTGTCATAGAAAGGCATGATCATTTCTCAAGAAATGCAAATCATAAGGATCTATGGATACTTTAATATTACATTTCCAGAGCATTCATGTCTCAACAAGAGTCATAGGTGTAATAAATATGCCGTTTGGAGCAAAAAAAGGAAAACCACCTGGGGGGTTTTGGGGGGGGGTGTGTGTGTAATTTGTTTGAGCCCACACCATACAAAATTATATATAAAACTACTAGGGAAACACAACGAATCCTTGAGTTCTGCCGTTCGAGAAAATTACTAAAGCACTACATGATTTCATAACAATATCAATTTGGAAACCCAAAATCAGGAACAGGTTCCAGACTTGATAGAAGCTACACCGGATAACCAATTAGTGACAAACCTATAGCAATCAATCATGAAATTACCTTGTTAAACTCCAAAAATGTAACTCAGAATGCATAAATTGCATATGCTGCAACAAAAGAATTTAACAAATGCCAGACACCGACCACATGAAAATTGAAATCAACAGGAATAATCTGTCAACGCACTCTGGGTACCAAATGCTTGGAGATGTAAAAATTCAAAAACATAAATATCTAGTAGGTGAATCCGTTTTGCTTTCTAAGATTTAGCTCGTATTATTAAAATTTAATTAACCGTTCAATTATATAGCACGAAATTAATCTCAGGACCCCAAATCCGATCCACGACCAATTAATTCAAAATCTAGTGAGCAAAATAAATCGACAGTCAATCAAGATCTAAACACGTAGAACAACCCAAACCACAGATCACATAGAAAAACAGAAAGTTCCTCAACCCAACAGCACAAGATCACCGAGAAAGAGGCGCAGAAATCAGGAGAATCTAACAGAACACAAATCACGCAAAAATAAAAATAGAAATGAAGCAGATCAGAAACATCAGCGCTTACTGAATCCATCCTCGACGAGATAATTGAAGGTGTGGCCATCGCAGTTGTAGGTGAACTTGTTGTTGGTGGCCGGGAGTTTCTGGAGGCACTGCGCCGCGATTCCAGTAAAGTTCCCGGTGAATTCGGTGTAATCCGCGAGGATCACAGTTCCCCGCGCCACGAAACTGTAGATCAACGATTGCTGGCCCATCTTCTGCTCCTCTTTCACCCTCCTCCGATAAACCCTAGGCCAATCCTCTTCGCGCAGATATATACTTCTATATATCTACTGTACGCATAAATTGTATTTCTCTCTCTACTTTTTTGTTCGTAAAACCGTAAATCGTAGAGAGAGAAAGAGAGCAGAACCGAATGGCTTAGAAAATTGGCGAGCATAGGCATTATTTATTGGTTTGTACAGTGCTTTGTTCGCCGGAGCCATTTCTAAATCGAGATTCCCAAAAATAATAAAAAATAATGTAAAATACTTTTTATAGATTTTGAAAAAAATAAAAATAAAAAATCAAATATTTGTAAAAAAAATTAAATATTCAACTTAATATAATATATTTTATATTCATGCATATTAAAAATCAATTTATTTAAAAATTAGGTGAACGAAACCTTTTTATTGATAATAGTTATTTTAAGAATTTTTACCTCAATAATTTTTTTATGATATAATTTTTTTTATAAATATCACAAATATATAAATATATATAGATACATAAATTTCAAAATATCGATTGATGTATTTACTTGTGAGATTTTAAAATAAGTTCCACTATTTAAAAAAATAATCAAAAAAATATCAAATTAAATATTAGTATTTTTTTATCTATTATATTATATTAAAATTTAATTTTATAGTCAAAGGATTAAATTAATGCATATTTTTATCAAATCAAATAACTATTTCAATTCAAAATTTTATTATATAAAACCAAAATCTCACAATATATATATTTTTATATTTTTATCTTTTAAAATTCAATTATATCTAAATAATTGAATATGCTACAAATTTCCAAGGAAAAAAAATAGCAATTGAATATTAAGTAAAGTTTCTTTTAATGAGTACGAGAAAAAATTGATTTGGATTTAATTTTAAAATAATGTACAATAAGATATTTTACAAAAGAAAAAAATATTTAAAAAAAAAAAAGAAATTCCAAATAGTAAAAATATGTTTAGAATCAAAATAAACAAACCCTAAAACTCAAAATCAAAATGTAAAAATAAACAACATTGAATCATATATTAGATGATATTTATTTTTTAGTCCCTCTATCTCTGATATTATGTCCGTATTATTATAAATACGAGAATTTAGATAAATATGATTAATAAATAATTAATATTATATTATTAAAATTAATTATAATACAATAAAAATAGTTATAAGTTAAAATTATGATAACTAATTAGTTTAATACAACTTTAAAAATTATAAAATTTAAAATATAATAATAATAATTATTATTATTTTTTTGAGGAAAAAAAAATTCCATAAGATGTGAGATTGATAAAAATAAAAAATATGACATTATATATGGAACGAACATGAATAAAAAATGTAATATTATATACGAGACGGAGAGAATATATTTTTAGTGACGTCGGAATTTATAAATATTATTTTTTGAATATGCATTTTGTTCTAGTATAATAATATGTAAATTATGTAAATAAAAAAGAAAATCATAACTTATCTTTTATATTCTATTTCTCTTGTTACATAATATAATAATCACATATTTAAAATCATATATTTCAATGGCAAGATCCTAAATTTATTATTTTTATATTTTTATTTAATCATCATCAAAGTGCACTATGAAGTAATGCTACATAATATAATTATCACATATTTAAAATTATATATTTCAGTGGCAAGATCCTAAATTTATTATTGTTATATTTTTATTTAATCATCATCAAAGTGCATTATGAAGTAATTATGACACTTTTGTATTAGCACAAATCATACTGTTGGTTTGTTTGGTTGAAATTTGAAATAATGTCTTAATTTTTATTTTTACTTAAATAAGATTTTATAAGATTACGATGTACTCAGTTTGCACAAAATATATATTAAAAAATATATATATATATAAAATGACCATCGAAATAGCTGAAACATAAGATAAAAATAAAATGTAAATGGAGGCAAAATTTATAAAAAAAAATCAAATGAAAATGTGTCCAACTCAATATTTGATCCTAATGTCATCCATTTGACACTAATAATGTCATTTAAATCATTTTGACGAGAATACTAATGAGATTTTTTTTTTTTTTTTTTTAATAACATAAGAATCCGAATCTTTATTTTTGTTGGTATTTAGTCCTGATAGTGGCACAATCTATGCTTCCCTTCATTTTTTGTAAGCATAAACCTTCGAAGGTCGGCTTAGTTAATGACCTAAAATTCCTGTGTTGATGTATTTTTTCAACAATAAAAAGTAAAATTCGAAAATAGGAAATTATCTTCGAATTTGATATAATTAGTATTTGAGATTAAGAATTTCTAAACACGGTAGGATACATAAATAAAATAGGAAAAATAAAATTAAAGACTGGAAAGTAAAGTGATGATTCCAAAAGCAATTCTCTTAAATTTTATTGAAGATGTCTTTTTTTCGAACAGCACTGGATCCTTAAATAACCCCTTAAAAGAAGCGGTTTGAACCACCATTTGGTCTGTTATAGCAACTGCTGTCAACCGTCCACCAAGTTCTCCTCTGTTGACACGTGTTGCAACTTCCTTCAACCGCCCCAGAATTGTCTCTCACGACTTGAACTGTCCCAAAAATGCCTTCCGACCTGCATATCCATTGCCATGTCCCTTCTTGTCCGATTTCGTTTTGCCCGACCTATGTGCCACCCGACCAATTCAGGGACTAACTGGTCACTAGACCAAACGAATGCCATGTCCCTTCTTGTCCGATTTCGTTTCGCCCGACCTATGTGCCACCCGACCAATTCAGGGACTAACTGGTCACTAGATCAAACGATTCCTTGGCCGCCCATCAGGCGACCACCATCTGGTCTCTTGTCCGACCACGTATCGTCCGTCTCATTCTTCTTCGTCCGACCTCACTTGGTCCGAACTCCGCATCAACCGACCTCCATATCAGCCGACCTCCGTGTCGTCCGACTCAACCGACTGCGGACCGCCCGACCTGCTCAACCGACTTTAGACCATCCGACCTATTTAACCAACTGAGAACCAACCGACCGACCGCGGATCAGCCGACTGAGAACCAACCAACCGTGGATCAACCGACGGCGAAACAGCGTCCTCTGGTCACCTTATCTCCTTAGATGGATGGCTTGTCCAACCGACTTCCTTTTGATTCTACTACCATACCGTCTTACCTTGGCCCGTCCGTGGACCATCTGATCTTCTTCTTCGCCGACTTTCTCTTTCAACCGATCTCTGGGCAGTTTGATTTATATTCAGATCCATCCAGAATCCTATTGTCATTATTAATTTGATCTTCTTCTTCGCCCGACTTTCTCTTTCAACCGACCTCTGGGCAGTTTGATTTATATTCAGATCCATCCAGAATCCTATTGTCATTATTAATTTTTATTATTATTTTTTTGTGCTCAACACCTGCAAACCAGGTTCAATGGGAAAAATACGCTAGGCGAACCATGTGTGACAGGTGACTTGAAGGGTCGGGGGTTTGAACTCATGAACTCACGGTCACAAGTCCAATCTCTACACCACAAGACCATTCCTTACGCGACCCTAAAAATCTATTTTTGTTGTCGGTAAGCATGGCGCATGCAACAAAGTAGAAATTAATACATGGAAAAGATATTTTAAGTTATTACAACTCACAATGTTCTGTGTGGATGCAACAAGGATAGTGAGGTAGAGGGTTTAGGTAAAAAGTTAGTGAGGGTGAAGAAGATAGATTGGGTTGGAGAATATTCAAGAAATTAGGTGTTAAGTTTTTGAGTTAGAATAGTTCAAATTGTATCTATGTATGTATTTTCATACTTGGACATTTTTTATAGTGAATTTAGCTTGAGTTGAAATACAAATATAGGTTGGTGTAACGGAACGAAATTAACAATTATTTTGTATTATTTTCTGTTCTCAGTCACCATAGTATATTTGCATATTTGTAGCCTGGGTTTGTTTGAAAGTTTGGATTTTGAGTTAAAATTTGAATAGTAAAAATTTTGAATTTGAATAGTTATAGGATGAAATGAGTATTGATGTGACGTTTTGAATGTAAAATTAATTTTTATTATAATATAAAAAATAAATATTTGATTTGATATTTTTAAAGAAAAAAATTTAGATGAATAATATATAAAAGAAAATCCCGAAACAAAAACACCCAATGGGAGAGTTAATGGAATTTGGAGCCAGCATGTCTCAAATCAATTCCAAAAAATAACCAAACAAACTCGGTCACTTAAATAGGAATTTTTAAAGATTTTTGAAATTTTGAAATTTTGAAAAAAATAAAAATTTAATACTTTGATTTGACGTTTGGTTAAAAAAAAATTACTTTATTTGTTTAAAAAAAAATGTCTTATTGGGAGTGGACACTGTGTAAAATAGAAGGTAAAAGACTAAAATATTTTTGCTAAAGTAGATTAGAGTAATAATTAGGAATAGTTTAGAAAAGTAAGAATAATTTGTTATAAAGGTGAGGACACAATCACTAAATAAGAAAACAAAATAATTGTTTTAAAACCGCACGAAAATAGAAAAACTAGACAACTCTATTGATTAGTAAGAAGTATATTTTTTATATGATAATTTTTAAAAATTAAATAGTAAAAAATGAATATAAAAATTTGGTAAGTAAACAAAATTTCGATATTTGAAACAACTCTGCATCCAAACACGGCTTAAAGGCAGCTGTACTGCCGTGAAAAAAAAGAGCAGCAATATTAAATTGCAGCTGATTGAGACCCATACCCCAGTGGCCACTGAGTCGGTTTTCTCGTCCGTATCTCAAACCTCTGCGATAACGGAGGAGTTCTGAGGAAGCAGCGCACCGGAGGTGAGAGGAGCAAACGAACGGCGAAAATGAGCAGGGAATTGATGGCGGCGCCACAATTGTACTCGGTGCGCTTAGTTCCTCGTTTAATCTGCCATCGTCGTTGCTCTGTTACCGCAGCTTCCTCGCGTGAGAATTCCGCCATTTTCCCCTCAAATCTTAAGCCTATTTCGTCTGAATTGCAGAAACTTCCAGGAGTCGGTTGGAGGTGCAACTGTTCTAGCAATTCCGGTACGACAACAACTCTTCTATGTTCAATTCCTATTGATGTATAAGCTCTCATGTGCCTGCTTTTGCTGCAGCAGTTGTTGACTTAAATTTTATTCATTTATTTTTCTTGTGCGGATGCCAAATCGAGATTTGTAGAACCTATCATTGAGTACTGAAACTCTTTTAGTGCCTTGTTTTCTTCCATAATTAAGATCATAGTTTTGCAGGCGAGAATGAGTACAGAACTGCTCTGGATGCATTTTTCTTGGGAAAGGCTCTGGGAGAAGCAATTACCGAACGCATAGAGTCCAGTGTAGGCGAGTTTATGAGCGTAATCGGTAGACTTCAAGCCTTGCAGCAGAAGGAAATTTCAAAATTCCAGGTATGTATGCATTATACATTTTCTGTAGATGTACATAAATTTTACGAATGAAGCCATTTACCTCAATCTACTTTATCGCAAATTGTCCGAAGAAAGCCTATTCAAAGCCTAATAAAAATGCTTATATTTAGAAGCTACATCAGTTCATTGGAATTTGATTTGAGTGTACGCCAGGCATAGACATTGATAGCTTTGAAAATTACATGTATACAATAATACCTCAACGAAGCGCACTGAACTTGAGCTTCACTGAAAACATATATAGAATCTGAGCTCGATAGCTCAAGTTATTTACACAGTGAAATTCAAGATTTAACTATCAAAATCACTGCCCAGTTTAGTTTCTCTTGGTCTCCAATGAAATTAAAGAAACCTAGCAGCAAGATAATCATTGAAATCCTCCTTATATCTACTTGTTCCCTGGTTCCAATATCCAACAAGAAAAGCTCTGAGTTCAGGATTAGTAGTCGAAATGCACATTGATGTGCTGTCCGTGTGTTGCTCATCGATCCACAACATCCTTCCATTACAAATCCCATTAGAACAGTGTGCAACAAATTATAGCTCGTTGCAGCCACGCTTTACATCTTTTACATAAAATTGTTGGTTGCATTGGCAGGATGAGATTCTGGAAAAGGCTAGACGCGCCAAAGAACAAGCGTCGAGGGAAGCTATGGAAGCCCGAGGATTGGTATCCAGGTCGACTTCATTCAGTGCATCTGCAGCTGAGGGTGTTGCAGAAACGACATTCTCAGTTGCCGATTCTGCTGTCTCCAGGGTCGAGAATGCTGCAGCTGCAGCAGCAGCAGCATCCACAGTTACTAATTCAGTGATCTCCTCTGTCCTGCCGAAGCACAAGTCCACCGCCGACGCCGACGCCGACAACTCGTTTTTCGGGTTCTTTGACAAGGATTGATTGATGAAGGTAATGTATGTGCTTTGTGCTAATGCCGTCTCTGTTCTTCTCCTACAACTTATACATTTAAGTGTTCATTGGCCTACTCTTGAAAATCATATTTGGTTAATAATGTACCTCCTGCATCTTAACACAGTCACAGAAAGCTCTAATGCAACAAAAATCTACTCAATTCCAGTTCAATATCTCAAAAGGGGGATTAGGAGGCTAGGATTTAAATATTGATATACAATGAATGAAATTGAAATTTATTGAATATATTTTTATTACGAATACACTATACGTCGTCGTTTTAGATTTCTGAAAAAGTAATATGGGGTGAGAGAGGCTCGAACTCTCGACCTCAGGATCACTCAGAAGCTATGAGACCTACGCGCTAGCCAACTGCGCCACCACCCCGATGTTCGTGGCTACGATCAAGAGCCTGCAGTAACTGATTCACTATACGTTGTCGTTTTAGAATTCTGAAAAAGTTAAAATATATCTGGGGTGAGAGAGGCTCGAACTCTCGACCTCAGGATCACTCAGTAGCTATGAGACCTACGCGCTAGCCAACTGCGCCACCACCCCGTTGTTGTGCAAATTCTAAAACAATTTAAAATTATTAATAAAATTAATTATTCAGGCCCATTTGAGAGAATAGGGCCCAATATGGTGCCCGTCCATTTCAACTACGGATAGAGTGCCTGCCCTCTTACTGGAGTTTATTCCTGCGATGCGAGGGGAGAAAACCATGTGAGAAACGAGGTTCTCACATATCCAATCCTGTTCCCTCAATCTCCTCCACTTCTCCACTTTTGAGCTCGGCTCTTTTGATTGATGTAATCTTTGGCGCTGCTGCAGGTTTCAACTTTGACTCGGTAAGCAAGCTCTGGTTGGCTTATGATTTACATTTAAACTTTTTTGGTTTGTTTTTGGAGTCTGTATCGGTACATTTGGCAAATCGAGATTTGTTGAACTTTTGCTTCCTTGTGTTTTCTCCGGATTACTATCACCTGTGCAGTTTCGTGTTATCGGAGCTACGTTGGTAATGTTGAGCGTTGAACTGAGTTGCTGCTGTTGTGTGATTTTTGTGTTCTGCGTCGAGCATAAATGAGAAGTTGGTGTGAGGTTTTATTGCGTTAGTTGTATTATGGTGGGGAGTTTGTTTTCTTAGGATTTCAGTTTCGGAGTGTGTCAGGTAATTTAGGCTATAAATGGAACTGGGAAAGTGGAATATGCTGGACGAATTGAATGAATATGATTTGCTTATGCCTATAGGAGTTCAGTTCATTTATCTCTAGATTGATATTAAGTACTGATTTGTACTGTGTGAATTTTGTTTGCCAAATATTGTGTACTTGACCTTTTATCTCAAGTTTTGACTTACTTTGGGGAAGTAATGCTAACGTACATGAGAGTTATTTTCCCTATTTATGTGTTCATAACCATGCAGGGAAGTGAGAATGTCTTGTTCTCAGGTCATCATGCAGCGTTTTTGTTGTGTATAGAGTATAAAAATTTGGCTGAACAAAAATTTGTAAGATTTATGCAGTGTTTTTAATTGGTGGTTTTGCAGGTTCTAATCTGAAGTCTGAAAATAGCAAGTTGCCCCAACGAATGTAAACGTTATAATGAGCTGATCAGTAGTGAGAGACCTTTCCAATGGCAGAAAATGTTGCCATTCCATACAATGTGAAGCTTCGAGTTCATGGATATGCCTCTGCAGATCAATCCTTTTTGGTCAAAACTTCAAAACTCCCATGCAGAAGGTTTTGCTCAATCTTCAACTTACATTTGAAATGCTGATCATTGTTGTTCCCAAGTAATGGAATATCTTTATTCTATTGCTTTACATTGCTAGCATGTCTTTCATTCTCAAATGTTCACTCTTTCTTTTGGCTGTTGTGCCATTATAATATGTTATGCATTGAGTCACACCTACACATATGAGATACTTAAACTGTAAATTTTGGTGTTCTACTACGTGCCTAAGTTTCCTAAGCGTAGATGTCAGTTGGCCTTTTACTAACACTATGTATTTTTTCTTAGGGGCTTTAATAGTGGAAGTTGTCAAGTTGACAGGTTTTTGCAATGGAAATCCTGCAAGTTCATTAATCCTCACTTATGCATTATAAATTCAACTCCCAAACAGGGCACTCCTGTCAGATGCTGTTCCTTGAATGCACTCGCTAGTGTTAATGGTGCAGTTGCTTCTGATTGGATTCCTTTTGTGGATCAAGTCCTTCTTCTAGCAAGCATAACACTCACGTATATGGCTGGAGTAATTCAATGGGACAAGTCCCAATTTAACACTCCCACAAGCTTGCCGGTTGATGTAATGCCTGAAGACTCATCCTCGGGTAGGTAAGGAAGGTTAGTGGGTGAAATCTCTTTATTATTTAGCAAATATTTATGTTTATCTGAGATAGAACCTACTCTATGCATGGAGTTGAACATGGCATTGCAATCTTTGATATGTTGCTTTACTTAATTACAGTGTAACGACAGATGATGATGTTAATCTCAACTTTACATGGGATGTTGTGAAAAGAAAACTTATGGATTCCTTATTAGCAATTAAAGAAGGGGTAAGTTTAAGTGAAAATTTTGCCCAATCTGAACAAAGCTTTGCAAAACTACCTTCAAGTTTGTTTGCTGTTGCTGAGGGTCCCAGAATGAGATTGCTGTGGGCATCATTTCAGTGGCTAAATAAAGCGGTAGGTTGTTTCTACTTTATTTATTTATTTATTTTATATAGAAAAAACACCAACTAAATTGCTTCTTTCTGAATGTTAGTAGATAGAGCTTAAGCTTTTGTTTAGAATTCAGGGTAGAGGGAACAAAGATGTTAAGTTAGTGATCACCTGGATGGTTGAAGTTGTTACCAAATATTTGATTATGTCTGCAAGCATTTTTCCCGTTGAAAATAATGTGTTCGTGGGAATAATGTTCTATCAAGAACATTGATTTGGAGTTTAGTCATGTTTTGTACAGAGAATATCAAAGGATGAACTATATGCTTTATATACATATATATTCTCTGTTTCACATATTATGCCTCTATCGCAAATATACTAATTAATCAATTTGCTTCTGGACATGTTAGAGATTCACAATTCTCCCCTTACAGGTGGCAAATATATCCACAAATTCTTCTGCGAAATCAGTCAATGACTTCCGTGGCGTTTTTGATGAAATTATTCGAAAATCTTGCCGATCTCTTTGCATGGATTGGCTGGAGGAGGAACTTTGCCTCATCTCCAGAAAACCTGACAAGGCACTTGCCTACTTCAACTATGTTACACATTACTGCTACAAGTTATATCAGCGTGCTTGAAATAACTACAAACCATCATCTTGGTTTTATTTTTTACCTTTCAGGAGCTTTTTCGTATGGTAGAAAGTAGGCTAATTGGATATGACAGCATACTCGAAAATATCAGAAAGTCTTGCAAGGAAAATCTCTATGCAGAGTTTGTATATGCCCTTAAGTTTGGTTCTTCCAGGTAAAGTACACATTGAATTTTCTTACTCCCTGTTTGTTGGTCTGTGTCAACTGGTTTTCTAAATTGCAAATCTATTTGAACCTTTATCCATGCATCTCTTTTAGGCTTCGATTCAGAACAGAAAAGTGGATGAGTCCTAAGTATGTTCTTGAAATTTGACCACATTAGAGAGCAATATTTCTGTGGGCATTTACTGTTACTCTAGTATTTTTCTGGATCTTTGTTAATATATGAGAAAAATAAGTGGGTCTGTAAGAGTTTTGGAATCTAACAGCGTTGTTTCATCAAACTTTTATGGTGTCTTTTGTATATGTCACTGAGATAATGGTTTGTAATGTCTTTATTTCCCTGCTTTGTTTTACATCTTTTTGCTGAATATATATTCTTATGTCCATTTTCAGTCATTGCCATACCGTAAGATCATTCAATATGCTTTGATCTTTAAAATGCATATCGTCACACCCCCGTCATTAGGGTGTGACAGGCAGCACTTTCAGTCAAAATTGCCTGAGCCTCATTACAGAGCAACTTTACTTGTGCGAATTTAAGAGTTTCGTCTACCCTTTCAATTCTAGCTTTGAGCACATTTACTAAACTATATGAGTGAAAATGGCTTAGTAGGTGCTAGGTAGCCCAAAATTTTATAGCATAAATAAAAAAAAAAAAAAATTTAAGCCTTGCTGGTATGTGAGAGGGAAAGAGAAATAGAACAAATGGGTTTGGATAAGGTTTAAGATATTGGAAATACTGGTGAGGCCATGATGGGGTTTTATTATTCTTTTTATGCAAATGGGTTCATATTTGCTGGGAATCACCGAAAGCAATCATTGCTGACCCACTTCATTTGCAAGATCATTTCGAAGATGATCTTCTAAACATTTCATTCTTAAGGCACCATTTGCATTTGCACTGGACCATGTTCTGACTTGATTGCTATGCGTGTATTCGACAGGAAAGGTGGCTATTACAGCAATAGTTTGTACCTTCAGCATGGTGTAGTGATATTAGAAGATTTGCTGATTACATTAGCAGATGGCATTGCAAGCATGTATTTGGAGCTTATATCCGTGGATAGTAGCTTGTCTAATGAAATCAACAACCTCGGTTTGAGCTTGTGCACGCTGTCCACCAGAGCACTTCAGCGATTGCGCAATGAGGTTTGCCTTCTTCACGTTTCAGATAGTACTTCTATGTTTTTTTTCCTTCCTGACATGACAGAGAATGTCCTGAGAATTGCAATTAGTTTCCATTAAGGTTTGAATTTTGCGTTCGTGCTACATTATATGCTTTTATGGATGTAATTTCTTTGTAGCCTACCTTCCTGCTTTATGCCGGAGGATCGGAATAGCACTATACTTGATATTGTAATACTTAAAACTGAATCCAGAAAAATAAGATCTCATAATTAGTATGTAGTTCACAATGCAGCATGATCTATATATCAGTGCTAGTTGTTGAGGTTACTTAAATTTCACTTTTTTAGCATGTTATTTATAGGCAGTGCTGCACCAATGGTTGCATCAAAACATGGCTGCCGTGATATCCATGTACGAAGATCACTTTGTTCTTTGCATGCTTCAAAGGCAAGTTGTCGAGGAGTTGAATTCAGGCGGGGGCAATAATTTTGTGTGGTGGAAGAGGCTTATTGGGAAGAGATCAGCATCATCCCAGTCGGCATCATATTCATTGCATGCTATCAAAATCAACCACATCTCTGTACCAGTTAAAAGGACAAAAGAATTAAGGGCCTTGACTGGGTGGTAAATTCGTTCTACTCCGTTTCTTTGTGTTCACTTCTTCTATTAGTATGTTATGTTTGTTCTTATTTAATTTAAAAGTTTCATTCATATGTAACTAACTTGTTGCTCGTTCTTAAAACCTTGTGCATGGAACATCTTTCTCTTTGTGGACCCTATTTAAAGATCAACACCTTGTTCTCAAATGCAGGAGGTATTACTTCAGTCTCTTCCTCGAATTGGCCGATATTGCCATGCCAGTTGTGAGGACAGTGGTTGGTAAAGTTAGCGATGCCATCTCATTCTTCCTGGTCAGCTTGATCGGCCGGTCCTTGGGCCTAATCTACTCGGGAATCAGGAGCGCCTTGCGCCTTAAGTAAGGTTTTAATTGAGCCAAGCCATTCGGTCCCCTGAATTACTATTACATCTTTTTTGTCGCTCATTATTTCAGAATATGGCAGCATGAAATTCTTGTTGAGAAATATTGGCAATCATCCATAAAATGAATTGCAGAGTTTTTTTTTTTTTTTTTTTTTTTCAGTTTGTGATGATCGACTAACATTCTCTGTGGCTGTAGCTAGTAACTGTAAGTCTATACCCACACAATTGGATCTTTGGTAGCTACATCATTTTAGGGCATCTCATTATATTTTATATTTTTGTGAGGCTTCAAATATTAATTTCCCATAATTTTATGTGGTTTGGGTTGCAATGCATACGTTGGTAATATTATTAGAGTCTTCCGGGCTGTTGTGTTTTAGATGAAGTTTTGAAAATTTATAATATTTTAGAAATAGTAAAAATTTAAGTACTTGATTTGTCAGAAATTTATATATATAGAGAGAGAGATTTTACAAATTTGACTTAGAGCAGACCCAAAAATAGTATTCCCTCCATTTTACAAGTTCCATACAATGTATTCATTTTATCATTTGTTACATATTAATACTTATTTTGTAAATTTACAGTATTCACATTAATGGTAAAATAGTTTTTCATCTAATATCATAGACTATAGATAGGGTACATAGTTACAAAATGGAGGAAATAGATGGTCGGGTGGTACGGAGAGTGAACCTATAATCGTCACAATTTCAAATTTCGACGCTATCAGGTTCATGGCAACAAATTTGTTGCCGAAATAAACATTTTATTTCCCTTCAAAATACGAAATATATTTCATTAAAAAAATTCAAATCCTAATATAATACAAAGAAGAGTGAATATCAAGAGGAATCCATCAATAAATATATATACACACACATACATACATATTAACCCCAACCCCAATTTAGTAATGATGAGATAACAAGGGCTGAGAGAGACACGTGTCAGAATGGAGAGGGTTAATCCGTCCATCCCACGACACACCCATTTCACTTTTTCCTTACAAATCTCCTCTTAATTTTCATGAGAGTGGTAGTGGTCGTTGTTAACAGACAATCATACTAACAGATTTGACATTTTCTTCTTCTTTTTTTCTTTATTCCAATACCAATACCAATACCAAGATCAACATCATCATCATCATCATCATCATCATCATGGTTGAGATGAGATCGATCACCTTTCCATGAAATACCATTACCAATAACAATATAAATTTCCCTGTAAAAAAAAGAATTGTTCATTTCCCTGCATCCCATCCCATCCCAACATTGACTCTTTGTTTCCTCATTAAAAAAAACACCATATATATTTCTTCAACAATCTTGATCACAAAAACACATCAGGCCTTACAAACCTTTATGTTTTGCATTTGAAACGTCCTCACGTAGACATAAAATTCCTTTAATTTGGGATCCATACCCATTTCTCAATAATCTATCTGGATTTCATTGTGCAACAATATTTCTTCCTGTGATCACACAAGGTTGGTGTTGTGTGTCTGGGAATTTTAAATAAAAACAATGAGCTGTTTCTCATGTTTTTCTTCCAAAGCCAAAAAGGCATCAAAGAGATATGGTAATGGAAATAATAATAATGATAGAGACACACTTACAGAAAATTGGGACCCAACCACACAGACACACCCTGGTAAGAATGCCAAATATCTACAATCATCTTTCTTTCAATTCTTGCTCTCTCTCTCTCTCTCTCTCTCTCTCTCTCTCTTCCTCTATGCATTACAACAATCATAAACTTTTTTTATATTCTTTTGTTCATCTCAAAACTATAATATTTCAGAAATGCATGCTTGAATCTGAATTGTAGATTTACTACATTGTGATTAAATACATAGATAATTAAAGGGAGGAAAGTATGTCTACAAAACTCTAGATTTGGATACAAGTATTTGAGATAAGTGAAGGAGATACTTTTTTGACATGGTTTTCTGTTCATGACACCTATGAAGAAGATAGCAAATCTATACTTTTTTGACATGGTTTTCTGTTCATGACACCTATGAAGAAGATAGCAAATACATAGAATGATGTTCGCAACGACTTATTCTTGTTGTCACAAGAGATGTGACAACTTCAAACAGGCAAATACAACTGTAATTTAGGACATATGGTAAATAAACTATTAAGTCACCGGTTCAACTCTCTCACTTATACCTCCATGATAAAAACTGTGTGCTAGATCTTATTTACAACCTAAGTCAAACTCTACAACCACAATCGAAGTCGCGTTCTTACCAGATGGATATATATATATATATGAATGCCCTAAGACAATCTCAAATCATGTGTAGAGAGCACTAGCAGAAGAACAAATGAAGTAACAAGCAACAAGGCATTGTCAGAAGCAAATAGCATCAGAGATGGAGGGAGCAATAATAGTGCTGCAAACAAAGTAAAAGCTGAGACATTCACCTTCCGGGAATTGGCCGCAGCAACAAAGAATTTTAGGAAAGAATCCCTCATTGGTGAGGGGGGATTCGGCCGAGTTTACAAAGGCCATCTCAAAAGAACAGGACAGGTATATTCTTCCAGCCAAACTTACACAGCAAATTGTGTTTGGGATGATTAAAGGAATGCATGTTGTTGGATTCAGATTGTGGCTGTAAAGCAGCTCGACCGGAATGGTTTCCAAGGGAACAGAGAGTTTGTAGTGGAGGTTTTGATGTTGAGCCTTTTGCACCACCCGCGACTCGTGAATTTGATTGGTTATTGCGCGGATGGCGACCAGAGGCTTTTGGTGTATGAGTATATGCCATTGGGATCTCTTGAAAAACATTTGTTAGGTATCTTTTAGTTTGTTACACTTTTTTATCTTTGAATGCTATTACACTAAACCTCAATTATTGTAAGATCACATAACTCTAAAATGTACTTGCAAAACATCCTATTTAAAACTTCTAACCACATTCGAACGTATGTAATTAGTAACTATCCTAATTTACGGGAGAGATATCTGCTATAGATAATGAAGTCCTAGTTCTGCAGATCTTGCACCAGGCAAATCTGCATTGCCTTGGGCTAGAAGGATGAATATAGCATTAGATGCGGCCAAAGGTCTCGAGCATTTGCATGACAAGGCCAAACCTCCGGTCATATTCCGCGACTTGAAACCATCCAACATTTTGTTGGATGATGAATTCAATGCGAAACTTTCCGACTTCGGGCTGGCCAAGCTCGGACCTGTAGGCGACAACTCTCATGTATCGTCAAGGATTATGGGAACTTATGGTTATTGTGCACCCGAATACCAAAGAACTGGGCAACTTACGGTGAAATCAGATGTATACAGCTTTGGGGTGGTCCTATTGGAGTTGATCACGGGTAAAAGAGCTATTGATACCAGGAGAGGTCGAAAAGAAGAAAATTTAGTAGCATGGGTAAGTTTTGCTTTCTCTTCTTTTCCTATTATAGCCTGAGATTAATTAAGGGGTTAGGTATAAATGACTTAAACATCAATTAGAGCCTAACTCTGTTGTTGAAATTATATAATCATTTAAGATATTGAATCTAACCAAGATTGCTGGCTCAACTTGATTCTACGATCAAATAAGCCTAGAATTGGAACACTAGACTCTAAAGTATCATGTAAGTCTAAATGGCATCAAGTCGGGGTCTATTATAGGTCAGAGTCTCTAAATTATCATGGTTAGCAAGTAGGGTTTATTCATAATTTTTCAGATATTATTGTGAAATACTAATCCCAGAGTTAGTAATCCAAACAGACAAATTTATTGTAAATGCTACCTAATGAGTCGTTGCGTACCTTGTTCTTATGATCAGGCTGGGCCAATATTCAAGGAGCCAAAGAGATTCGTAGAACTGGCTGATCCACGGCTTCAAGGAGACTTCCCAAATAAAAGCTTCAATCAGGCAGTTGCTGTTGCAGCCATGTGTCTTACTGAAGATGCAGATGTACGTCCTCTCATGAGAGATGTGGTCATTGCGCTCAGCCCCCTTGGGGGGGAACCTGCTGCAGAATTGGACTTTACCAATCCAACTTCACCTCTGCAACCAATGGGAGAAACAGAGAGTCAATGAAGATGATCTAACGGCAGCCAAATGAGAAAAAAGCATTAGAAGAAGCTGTAGATTGGAGCTTAAAGCTGAGACATGATGCATGATGGATAGACCTGACCATCTTTTCAGTCATCTGGACAAATATTTGAAGTGCCCGTTTAGCGCTAACTGAACTGTATCCAAAAGTGATAACACAATATCTCCATTTACCTGTTGAGGTAGGATCAAAGATTTTACCTATATACTGTGAGAGGGAATTTCCTTACACGTGTGCACGGATTCTTTATATCATAACAAGTTCTGCAAATTTGCAGACAAGGGAAAAATAACTCTGGAATAGATGTAGCTTCGGTGAAAGTATTAGCAGTTCAAATCAATGGTCTGGAAACATACATATTTCCTGGCTCTAGCTTTCGGCTGTTTTGGTACTTCCATATTTTTGCATCACTCTCCTGGTTGCCAGGGCAGCTGCTTCACTGGCATGATAGGTTCCAGAGGCCATGATTGAGGCAAACTCTTTGCCAATCTCTTGTCGAACTCTGCTTTGAAGTTCTCCAAGTGGATCCCTAGCAGTGGTGTCATCAGATGGCTTTTCTACGACCATATTTGAAGGGGAATCTGCTTTGTTTGTGGTTTGCAGGTTTTCTTGTATCATGGACTCAGTTTTTGATTCTTGATCAACATCTTCATCATTTGTCTTTGTGGATTCGGTGCTACCAGCACTGACTGACATGTTTTCACTCTGGAAGGCTGTAGCAGCTGTGGAAGGCTTGAACTGGGGTTCCTGAGGAACCGCACCTACTCTTAAAGACAACTCCAACCGCTGAAGCATAGGCACTGTGCAAGTGAAATGAAAATGTTAGATTGCAGATTTTCTTCCTCCATGTTTTTCTTTTATACAAGTGATTTTGTCCTTTAAGATCTGGTATTCAGATCTTGACAAAGTCCATGAAGTACTTAACCAAGCAAGGGGTTGGAACTTACAAATGAGAGCCCCCATGGGGGTGTTCAGAACATCGGTAGGAAGACTCAAAATATAATCTGGTATTGAAGCACTAGCCAGAAACTGTGCAACTTCACTGCTAAAGTTATTGCAGTTATGCGACAGCAGACTGTAGGTTTCTGTTGTATAGCGCGGGCTAATCTCATTTAAATACATTTCAAATACATCTTTTGGGATATGTGTAACACCAAGATCAATGATCCGGATTGGAGTGCCATAAGGTGTTTTTCCTGCCGGAGCACATTGTATTCCACCTCCGAAAAAGTATTCATTGCCATATACCACTATTCCTGTATGCCTGAAAATTAGAAACAGTAGTGGTTTAATAAGCCTACTGACACATCAATATCCAAAGATAGTCATAAAGATGTTTCAACTTACAGAGGAAATTCATGCAATCAATTTTCTGAAATGAGAAAAAATACATGCAAATCCCTTGTTCAAACAGAAACTGCATGTAAAGTTCTGAAATGCCTTCAAACAGTTACCATAAAGAAATAAAAAACTGACCATATGGCTTCAATAGCCTTCCCCAAAAATGTTGTGGACATCTGCCTAGCCAGACCCTGGCTTAAATCATACACATGTAATAAGACCTTGTAACCTTGCTGCAATGATACAAACAAGGGTGCGTTGATTATATGCCGGGTCATATTCCCATAATTATCTCTCTCGCCACCTCTACCTAATAACAAAGAATTCTTCAAATAGGACAAAAATAATAGTGGGCTTTACCTCAGCCATCCTAAAGACAGTTCAAAATAAGGATCTCCTGAAAATTAAATTAGCCTTTAGTCACAATTCAACAAATTTAGTTAAAAATATACATGCAAGTCAATTGAAAGGTAGCAACTATATAAAAAAAAATAAAAATCTAGCAGACTGGAATTAACTAATTTTTTGTTTTAACAACCCATCGAACCCCTCTTAGCTAGGCAGTTATATCTTCCTTGAGTAACAATTATGCAAATCAAAACCTCCCAGATGAAGGTGAATGCATTTGACTGCTTATTATGATCAGTAAAAATCTACAACTTATGTCTTTTGTATGCAATCCAGCACAGTACTAATAAACAAAATGAAAAGGCATTAATCATCAGCTAACAGGCAAGTAAAAGGAATACCAACCAATTCACAGTACATGAGTGACTGCTTTGATCCAAACCTAAGCAATATAAGTTGATTTACCATCTTACCTGAAAGTTTCAACTCAAGGATAATAATGATTTTCCTGTTACTTGATACTTACATTTAATGAATATTTGATATGGCTTCATATATTTGGCCATGAAATTATAAAGCACGTTGGCACAACCACTGATTTGTATCAGAGATTCTGAAACCAAAACTACTGCCTCGGATACTCAGATTAAACTCAATACTTTCTAACAAACACCCTCAACCTACACAATGAATTAATTTCTACAAACCTTCCAAGCAACCAATTCCCAAAATTCTTAAATACTTCTCACCAATCCATAATTCCCAACGAATCTCCACACGTGTAGGATGTTCAAAAGGATAGCGGGAAAAAAAAAAAAGGAAAAAACTAAGTTTCATCTGTAAATTAAACAACAAATCATAAAATCGAAAGTAGTAAATTACCAGATCGCCTCATCCACGAAACACACAAACACATACATACATACGTATGTTCCAAGTGTCGCCTACTGATCAAACCACACATCTGCTAAAATTTCATTGTCGCCGAAAATAAGAGTACCAAAAAAACACAGAGGAGTTTGCATAACAACACCGCAGCGCACCTGAAGATGAGCAAACTCAAACCAATCAGAGTCACAGAAGAGAATCTTCCATATGAATCGGTAATTATTCTGTAGGTGTGGCGTCGGTACGAGCGAAGAGAATACGAGATGATCCTTGGCTTGGATAGATTGGGAGCATCTGGAACCTGTTATTATCTTACTTCGACTTAAATACCGTTGCCGTGGCCCTACTCTAATACAGGACGAATGAAGTATAATATTCATTTGTATTTATTACATGTAAAATTAAATAATATATCGATTTTAAGAAAAGTATTAAATAATTAGTTAATAAGTTATTTATTTATTTTATTTTAAAAAATTATATGATATGTATAATATATTTTTGTTATCGACTAATAGTGTGGAAACTTATATAATTAGATGCGTATTTACAATTTAATAAATAGGGTATTTATGAATATTTTAATTTAAGAAATTCAGAAAATAAATAAATAAAATTATATTTTGTACATTAATATTAAAATATATTAAATTATATATTTTGAATGTGAATTTAAATTTTAATATAGTATTATAAATTAAAATTTTAGAATAATGATGCCCACAAACAAACACAATATTTAGTATGTGATAGCGTACCTGGATTAATATTATTATTATTATTTTAAAAAAATATTTCTAATTGAATACCAAGAGCTGTGAAGAAAAATTCACGCTTTATAAATTTGAAATGAACTCCATTGATATGAGGTATTTGAAGAATATTAAAAAATAAAACTATGCAAGCTCAACCCAAAGTATCATAGCCTAGATGGTAGTGGACATTGGTAAGTATCAGAGTCCGGATGGCAGTGGGGATTGTTAAATAATATGCTCAAAATATTAAATTATTATTAATATTCACCACAATAAAAAATATATATTCCAATAATTAGCTATTCTTACTGAAACTCTTATATATATATAAATTATATTTAAAATATCACAATTTATACAGTATATTTTATTTAAATGTTTATTATTGTTTAAATAATTTTAAAACACTAATTATTAAAAAAAAAAAACAGCAAACAAGTTCTGTATTGATAATTACAATTCAATTTTATTTTATGTTATTTATAAAAATACTTAGAAGAGTAATATATTAAATATTTATTTTTATTTAAAAGTGTATAAAATTTATTTTTTTTATTGGTGTGTCTCTTTATTTCTAATTCCAAATTTTTATTATTTAAATTCTACTTTTTAGAAAGAAAAAAAAAAAAAATTTAAACACACTCGTGTATCTATCTTATATAATAGTAATTTTTAAAAATAAATATATATATATTGGAATATTTTGAAAATATTTATAAACAACCCATTTTACAATTTTAATGAGTACTATACTTTTGCATGTAATGATTTATATAAACTAAAAATACAAATTGTGGAGGTGGAAAGCTGACACAAAGCATTAATGTGGACAAATATAATAATCATTTATCATCCTCCTTGCCAATCTGCAATTTCTGTTGTTTTGCTCTTGTTAGTTTACAATTCGAATTGATCCCAATTTTCTATTCACATTGTACATACATACATATATACATAATAACTATGTTGGTTGAATTCCGCCACTGTCACCACTAAACACAAATTATTGCTTGCTTTGGAATATCTTGATTTGACCACTCACCCTTTTATATATATATATATATATACATATATCTTGCGTCCAAAAAATAATAATAATAATAAAATAAGAATAGCATAATCTTAAAGAAAGTTAGATACGAAGTTGGGTGGAAAAAGAAAAAATATGCACTCATGTCGGTTGGTCTCAGGTCGGTTGGTCCGGTCGGAAGGTCCGCGGGTCGGAAGGTCCGGTCGGAAGGTCCGCGGGTCGGTTGGTCCTCGGTCGGTTGGTACGGTCGGTCGGTTTGCAGGTCGGAAGGTCCGCAGGTCGGAAGATCTACGAGTTGGACGGTACGCAGGTCGGAAGGTCCGCAGGTCGGATAGTCTGCGAGTCGGACAGTCTACAGGTCGGACGGTCCGCAGGTCGGAAGGTCCGTAGGTCGGATAGTCAGCGAGTCGGACGGTCTACAGGTCGGAAGGTCCGCAGGTCGGATAGTCAGCAGGTCGGATCAATAAGTCGGATGGTTTGCAGTCGGATGGTCTGTAGTCGGTTAGTCCGTGGTTGGACCAAGTAAAGTCGGCTGCTACAGAGGTCGGGCGAAGTAAGGTCTGGTAATTGATTGCCCACTTAAGTGAACAGTAGTTTGGACGCTTGGTGGGGGCGGCCAAGGAGTCTTTTGGTCTAGCGACCAGTTAGTCGCTGGATTAGTCGGTTGAGTTATGCAGTTGGCGAGACGGTTGCTATAACTGACCCGGCGACGTTTCAAAACGTTTCTTTTGGGCGGTTGACGGTGGTTGCTGTAACCAACCAGGCGACGGTTCCAAGTGTTTTCTTCAAGGAATATTTAAGAATTTGAATTTTCCTGGAGAAGGCATCTTCAATCAACTTCGACAAAAGCAAAGTCAGATTTGGGGATCACCACTTTAAATTCCCAGCATTTTAATTTCCAGTTATTTTCCTTATGTACTGTACAGTGTTTAAAGATTCCTAATCTTAGGCACTAATTAATCAAATTTGAGGATATTTCCATATCTTTGAATTTTACTTTTTGTTTGTTGAAAAAATACATCAACCAATTAGCGACCACAGTGGGAGAAAGACAAGATTGCTGATCCTACATCATCAGAAAATGTCATACAACTGAAGTCTGGCCGAATCATCATAAAGATCACTATGGCAGGCTCACAACCTCAATCATCATCAGTACCGGTGGGAGAAAATATTTCACCACCTGGCATGTCAAATCCAGGGGAGATTCCCCAACCACTTACCGATTGGTTGTCTTATGTTCAACAATTGCACAATCAACAAACTTTGGCTATGCAGAATATGTTGCGCGAGCAACAGAACATGTTGTGTGAACAACAAAATCTAATGCAGAACATGTTGGATCAGACGTTCTCCAGATTCACCCTGTATCCAAACATGCTTCCAGCTGTGTCGTCTTCTCGTTTTCAGGCAACTTTTCCATGATCAACGTTCGCAGGGCCAATGTACGTTGACAATACATTTCCAAGCGTCGCAACTTTCAACCGAACAGATATGGGGAAGACTCCTCTAAATTTCCCAGATAATGCTCATTTGGGACCAAGAGTTGATAATACTCAGCCGAATATCGTAAGGGAAGAAAGTTTGGGAGGACAGGCTCATAATCCCATCCCAGACGAGCCAACCGTCCCCAGAGAAGAAAGATTGGGAGATCAGATTCATAATCCTATCCCAGCCGAGCCAGCCTTCTCTAGGGAAGATTCTGTTCCACCCAGGATACATCCAGAGGATATCGCTCAAGTTTTGCGGGTGCATTTCGGAATAAACCCGCAAACGGTGAACCGACCAGTGTATCAAAGGCCATTTCCAGAAAGAATCATCAATGAGTATCCTCTCCCGAGGAATTATCTACCGCCAGACTTTCATGTTTTCTCAGGAGAAAACGGATCCTCCACCATAGAGCATGTTGATCGGTTCACAGCACAGTTATGAGAGATCGGTAACAACCCTTTTTATAAACTGCAACTATTTAGTTTGTCTCTTACCTTTTTCGTGGTTTGTCAATCTACTACCTGGACAAATACAAACCTGGGAAGGTTTGGAAGCGGCCTTTCATGTGAGGTTCTTTATTCCTCTTCCAACAGTCTCACTCACAGACCTTTTTGAGATCGAGCAGATGCCGGAGGAGACCGCTTCCCAATTTATAGAACGGATGCGATTAATGAAGGGACGTTGCCCGACAATCATTGCAGGTCGGATAGTCAGTGAGTCGGACGGTCTACAGGTCGGATGGTCCGCAGGTCGGAAGGTCCGCAGGTCGGATAGTCAGCAGGTCGGATCAATAAGTCGGATGGTTTGCAGTCGGATGGTCTGTAGTCGGTTGGTCCGTGGTCGGACCAAGTAAAGTCGGCTGCTACGGAGGTCGGACGAAGTAAGGTCTGGTAATTGATTGCCTACTTAAGTGAACAGTAGTTTGGTCGCTTGGTGGGGGCAAGGAGTCTTTTGGTCTAGCGACCAGTTAGTCAGCTGGATTAGTCGGTTGAGTTATGCAGTTGGCGAGACGGTTGCTGTAACTGACCAGGCGACGTTTCAAAACGTTTCTTTTGGACGGTTGACGGTGGTTGCTGTAACCAACCAGACGACGGTTCCAAGCGTTTTCTTCAAGGAATATTTAAGGATTTAGATTTTTCTGGAGAAGGCATCTTCAATCAACTTCGACAAAAGCAAAGTCAAATTCGAGGATCACCACTTTAAATTTCCAGCATTTTAATTTCCAGTTATTTTTTTTATGTATGTAAAGTGTTTAGAGATTCCTAATCTCAGGCACTAATTAATCAAATTTGAGGATATTTCCGTATCTTTAAATTTTACTTTTTTGTTTGTTGAAAAAATACATTAACAATATATATATTTATAAAATAAGAATTTTAGAGTGTGTTTTTCTGAAAAAATTTAGTTGAATTTGATATAAAAATAATATTTAATAAGATATTTTATAAAAAAAAATTCAAAAATATAAATATTCAAATAGTAAAATCCGGAAAAAAGAAACATACTTTTAGAAATTCTGAAATACTTACTCCATTTCCATAACAGAAATACTATTTTCTACTTTTTAATATACATTTCAAAAGAAAGTTGGTCAATTTTATGCGGCGAAGAAGTAGGGTTTGTTCCTTTTTTTGACATACTTGTTTTTTAAAAAAATTAATATATTACACGTATTATGAATATTTATTTTTTTATTTGAATAATGTGATAATTAAAATATATTTAATTATTTTTTATTTTGAAATAAAATATGTATGACAAATCAAAATATAAAATATTACGTGATATATGAAATTGAGAAAAATATGTAGCTAATGAATGATACTAATAATTTTCAAAATATGTGTTTAATTTTGATCTCAAAATTAAGAAAATTTTAATATATATATATATATATTCTTTAGGTAGATTCATTATATATATTTTTTTATTTCTCAATAAAAGACAATATATTGTGGAATATATTTGTAAATAAAGTGCTATAATATTAGATAATATAAATAAAAGAAATGTCTCAGAAAAATTTGCTATAAATAAAAATGTATTCCTCTGTTTCTATTAAAACATTATTATTATAATTTTCGTTTGTAAAGTAATTAAACATAATATACAAATATTAAAAATAGTAAATAATTGTTTAATGTTTTGATCTGAATTTTTTTAACATGAGGTATAAAAATTAGGTAATATTAAAAAACGTTGATTTTTGTTATTGAAATAAAAAAAAAAATTGAACAAATAATCCCTCATCTACTTTCAATAATCCATAATATATCAATATTTTTTAATTTATTATAAAAATTTAAAAATATATTGGAATGAGACATTAAAAGCATATTTTTTATGACAAAAACACATAAATTTGATGGAGGAAAATATATATATAAAAGAAAATATATATTTTATTGTTCTACTCAAGTGTATATTTTTTAAGTTTTAGTATTTTATTAATTAGTAAAAATGTATAAAATATTTTTTTAATAATTTTGTTCATTGAACTTATATAAAAAAAAAAATTGTTTATATAATAATAATATTTATAATTTAAAATACTATTTTATATAAGATTGAAAAAAAAAATTAAAATAGAAAAGAGTATTTTATTATAAAAATATAAAAATAAATAGGAAAGAGAAAAAACAATTATAGAGAATCCCATAATGGAAGTCATTTATTGAGTCACAGAGTCCACCAAAAGGGCAGAGTGAGCCATCTGCCTCACTTAAACCTCACACCCCTGTGGGGCGCCCCATAACTTTCCTTATTTCTATTTCGGCCCCGGTGATCGAATTCCCCATTTTGCCCTTCACCGTTGTATTTATTTGCTCCGCATGAACACAAAGCGAGTGTGACGACAAAGTCTCTCTCTCCCTTCTCGGTTCGTGATTTTGCAGAGAGATTCGCACCAGAAGGAATAATTGAATGGGGAAATTCACGAGGAAAGCTAAGGTGACGATGGATGTGGCTGTGATGGATGCTTCCCGCTCCGCCCTCGGCGTTCGCACGCGCGCGAAAGCGGCGCTGCAAGGCAGGCAGCAGCCTCCGCCGGACGGCGAAGTTTGTTACCTGGAGTTGAGGTCTCGCCGGCTTGAGAAGCGCATGCAGAGGAAGAATTCGAGGAATGTGCGGAGGGGATGTGGTTACGGAAGTAAGGTGGAGATTGGCGGCCAGGAAGTGTGTTTTATGTCGGCGGTTGGGGCGGCGGAGGGTTTCGGGGGAACAGTGAATGATTTGGATTCTGATGCGCGGGAAAGGTACGTGCATTCACAGTTTCCTTTATGGTTGTGACTGTTATATTATCAATTTTCCTTGTGAGAATTTCATCTTTCCAGCTCGCTCCGGGAATTGATTTTTCTCACGTCGTTGCTTGTCATAGTTTTGTTTTAAATAATTTTGCTATTTTCCCCCGTTTTCTGGTTCTACGTTTGCTGAAATCATTGGCAAGAAAGACGCCCTAAGTTTATCCTTTCTCCATTTTTGCCATTTCCAGATTTTGTAGTCTGGAGAGTAGATTTTCATGACCAAAAAGGAAGAACTCTTTTGACCTGATCTTCTCATTTCCATATTATTTTGCATATATTTAATTTCCGAAAGGAGCACGTCGTTTCTGGTTTTCATTTGGGGAAAAAGTTGGTCCAATTTCATATAAATCTTGCATTTATTATGGAAGAGAAAATGCAACCTCGAGCTTCAGGATGCTTTTGTATGAAACTGCTCTTTGGTGTGACTTTTGTTTCTCTTTTACGTAAGGAGAAAAGGCTGTGGATCTCTGTTTAATGTCATTACACTTTGTCACTGAAATAGATGTTGGGTTGCACGATATATTGTTTTCAGTCAGAAAAGAGCACTTCTGCATTTGTTGCTCGTGATGAAACAAACCATCTATGTTGTATCAGAAGCTGATTATTTATTACAATAGCCTTTTTCGTTCTTTTGGGTGTCTTTACTGCTGCATTAGTTTGTTATTGCCCAATGCCCACTGTATCAGTTTCCTCTGTCAGGTGTTAGAACTTGTGTAAAATTGCTTTCACAAAAGGCTAACAGTTGTTATGATCGAAGGTTCTGTTATATTTTCATTTGGCTTTGTATTTGGTGATAAAATAGACAATCTTTAACTTGTACACCACAGGTAGCCCCACTTGCCTTGCAGAGTTATATTGCACATGCTAGTTTCGGTGCTTTTACCCTTCTTTTCTCAAGCCATTTTGCTGCTAATGGCTTCTGTTATTTGCCTGTACCTTCATCAAATTTTGTCCTAGAACATACTTTTTCTAGTGCTAATACCTTTCAGAAGCTTTGATAGTTTTGCATATTCTGTTCCTTTGTCTGAAAGTGAATGAAAACAATAAATGTGGGTAATGACTTTTTGAGGATTTATCTATCATAGCAACTATGTCTCTCTCACTGGGCCATGCCATGCCATATTTGAAATAAGCATGTGGACTAAGCTGGTTTGGCTACATTTTTTAGCTTTCATGATTCTTGTATTATCAATATCATTTTCTTTGCATCATTTATCGACATGTGGACTTTCCCCATACATGTGCTGGTTCTGCATTTTCTGTAGGAACACCCGCGAAAGCACGCCGTGCAATCTAATCAAACCTGTCTCCCCCATCGCCCCACTTGGCTCCACCACACCTAATCAAAGGGTTGAAAATGTGCATCTTCCAAATGTACCTCCTGCCCTCGAGTTGGAGGAATTCTTCTCCCGGGAAGAACAATTGCTGCAACAACGTTTCAAAGACAAGTAAGTCACTTTTAACTATTCTTTCTCAAGAATTTATACTGTCCCTTTAATTTCGATTAGTTGATCCGTTATTGGTGATGCATATTCTCTGTGAAGGTACAATTTCGACATCATAAATGATTTACCTCTCCCTGGGCGGTATGAATGGGTAGCAGTAGAACCATCCATGATCAGTGAATGACTGTATAGTAAAACCAGGGTCAATAGGCTGATTTAGGTGACCTGTTAGGAAAGTAGTGCTTGTAGCTAGCAACTCACTAACCCTATAGAAAGTAGTGGAACTGTTAGAACAAGAATGTGTTGTTAGGCTTTAATAAGCTTCTATCTATCTCTGTAAATTCTGTTATTTACCTTTTAGTGAGATATTTTTGCTGTTTTGATAACAATTTTCTGCTTAGATTCACAGTTCTTGTATGTCTAAAATATACTTTATGTTGTTATATCTACATAATTTGCTTATGTATTTATTACTATGTTGACTAAAATAGTATCATTTACTCTAATATTTTAGGGATACATTCTGAATTTTGTCTGAGTCGTGAATTAAAAAGGTTTCCTAAAACTTCATTGAAATTAATGATTGGGCATTGTTACAACTTAAAAATAATAAATAATTTGTTACAAAGAATGGTGACAAAGCTCTGAATTATCCTTTCCTGCAACCATTTTTTATTTTCATTTTTAATCTCATGGTGGTAAACAGTAGCCAGCTGCAGAGGGGCCTTCAGATTCATGTGCTTTCTATGTTGTCAGATGTTGGTAAATTCAAACCATTTAATGTGCATTTTTGTACCTTTGTCTGAATCCTGCTCTGATAAAGCTGCACCTGGTAAGGAAGATGGAGTAAAAAGCTTAGATAATTGCGGTGGGTCATTTATTGGGGTTGGGGGGGTTGGCGTTGGGGGTGTAATTTGAATATGAATATACATCTCATTCACATGTGCAGATGATACATAGCTACCAGTCTAGGGCCTCTGCCAGTATTCCTTTGCCTATCTGCTGTCTCTGTGTCCAAATTTTGATGAAAGTTGGATGGATAAGAGGTTTCAGATTTGATGATGTCAGTGTTACTTTATAATTGTTTTTTCATTTCCTACCATCATCACCATCCTCCTATAAATCTATTTAATCTAATAAAACTTAGGAACAGTTAAACAAAAATTCAAGTAGATTAATGCCATGACTTGTAAATTTGATAGGCAAGAAGATAAGTTTTTGATAAGCTACGAAGGATATTTTTGAAGAGAAGAGCCATCTTATATGCAACAATTGGGGAAAATAAGGTAGAGTCCAATTCTTTACACATTACAGCCAAAATAAGGTTAAAACCATCAAAATACTTCTACCGCCCGGTAACCTTAACCTTCAGATAACAGTGTAATACCATCCCACTATATGTACAAGGGTTCGTTTAGTTCATTCATCATTCCAAAAATAATCATGTAGCTGCTTAAGTTAGCGCTGTCGAGCTGAGCTTCGGGTCATTCTCCTGGAAATATTAGAAGTTTGAGAAAAGCCCAACCCAGCATTGTTAGAATCAGGTTGTTCTCTCTGAGGCTTTTTCCTCTTTCTTGTGTTTGACCCAGAATTCTGAGACGGAGGGGGGGCATTCAAGACATTGTCCACTTCTTGTACAGGTTCTTCCTTAGCCGTATATCCACGCCATTGTGTGCCACAACCAGGGCACACTCTTTCTGCCTGTAGTTATATTGCACCAGAGATGTTAATAATAGAAGCAATCAGGTTGCAAATTAGAGAGAAAAGATAAAGTTGGCGTAGTTGTTACCTTGTGCCGAGAGAATTTCTTTTCCAGACAGTATAGATGGAGTCGAACACGGCAATCTTCACTCTGGCAAGGCTCAGCCTGCTCATGATATAAACAGACAAGGAACATGAGTTCCCAACCATCTCTAGTATACACTACACAGGCAGAAATTTTATGAGAACTGAATGTACTAATAGGTCTATTATGTTCCAGTTAAATCTGCTAAGCTGCTATATGTACAAATTTGCAAATTTTTAAGGCATTCTATATATTTTCTTCTCACATGGAATAAATACATCACCTCTCTCCTGAAAGAACACCACAACATTTAGAATCCAGGTAAAAATAGTTGCAGGAGAAAGAAATACATGGTAAGATCAGAATTTGGTACTAACCTTAACTGCAGCCTCATTACAGATTTCACAAGCAGGAACCTCATTAGTTCGAAACCAGCTTCGAAGGTCCAGAAAGGATCTTACTCCAATACCAATTTTCCCGTCTTCCAAGGAACAAAGCCACTGATCTTTTACCAATTGCTCTAGTGTTTTTTCCTTCTGCGACATGGAGAAGTTCCTAATCGCGGGAGGAACCTGGGCAGAATCTGCCTGTGATAGTGAACCGCCTTCCCCTGTAACCTGTAGTTCATACAAGAAGTTAACACAAGTACAAGAATAGCGGGAAAAAACAATGCAAAGTTTCAAAAGAAATATAAGAAACAAACTAATAGGCCATGGTCTCAAAGGTAGTCTAAAAGTTACATCCATTATCATCATAGGGGTATACATACAGGGAAGAGGCCCGGGACAAGTCAAAGTATACATGAATGCAAAATAGTAACACTTTTGATTATCATCACTACTTAAAACGATAAGTTAGTCACTTCTACATAAGCCATCCCTGTCTATTTTGCTATTATTGTGATATGTAAAATAATTTTTTTTTAAAAAAAAGAAAAAGTTTCATATATATATATATCTTAGGTGTAATCAGCCTAAAATTGTTTAACAGAAACTTGGGTTTAATCTTTTGGATTTTATTTGATTTCTCAAATTTCCACCATTCAACTGTCATGAGTCTTTATCAAAACATACTATTCCATCGAAAAAAACATCAAAATATAAACTACCACTATTCAAACCAAAATAAAAATCCAAAAAAAGATCACCAACCAAGCATATTCCAAAATAAAAGGGTAAGAGAACTTCAAGAAAACCTGTGCTTCCAACCGTATGTAAAGAGCATTGTTGTTGGAAATGCAACCCCTAGCTTCTTCATCTTGTATAATAGCTTCAATCTAACAACAAATCCCGAGTAATCAAGTATAATGAGAATTCCAGAATCCAGATTTATAGGAAAACACAAGCATGCTAATTTATATCAAAACTTCATCCAGGAGCAATTACATAAGCAATAGAATCAATGTTTATCCTATCACACAAATCAACCATGCCCCCATATACTGGTCAGTTTCTTCTATAGTACTCGGAATTATACTTAATTTTGAAGGATATGAAATTTTCAAAGGCTTGTCAAAGAATTTGACTCCACCTTCATATTAAAATCCTAGAAAAAAAAGGGAAAAAAAAAGAGGCCAATAAACTCACTATGCCTTTGTAGAAAGCAATCTGAGGAACAGTGTATTTTGTTCCAAGCTTGGATTGATCGTCCGAAACATTGTTAATTACGCCATAGTACACTTCACCATTGTATTGGTTTCGGCATGCTCGAAGCTCTAACTGAACGTAGGCTAATTCTGCGTTTATCTTGCGGAGATAGTCATTGAGTAACTGCTGTTGTGAACCTTAAGAAAAACAACAGTTCCGATTAATTCATTAGTACAGCCAAGTACCACGATTTATCTATATCTCGTAAGCTAAAATAGAATGATTCTTCAGAGATGCCTGAGGCATAAGATCCTGCTTCAAATCTTGCGAATAATATAGAAGGCAACATAACTAAGCCACCACATATACGAATTTGTTGCTATGCAGTACAGCACCAAAAATTGCATCTAACTTCACTGTAACTGCTATATTCTGCTGAGGAAAAACCACCACAATTTCTCGGAAAAGTATGAACAAAGTTTAGGAACCTGATTTTCCGGTGACTTGCAAGAAGATGGAGAGAAAATCCGCTTCCTTGAGTGGACCTCGCGACAGCAGCGCCTGAATTAGGGTGTGCTGGCGCCAACTCAGCGGCGGCATTTCTTCCACTCCTCGTCCGGCGGGAGAAGATAAGGCTTTCCCGACTCCGGTTGAAGACCGCGCCGATTGATCGGAGATGAGGGAGTTGGGGATCCAATTGGCGGGAAAATTTAGTTAGGGTTTGATAGCCTTAGGAATTGGGACGGATATAATATAATAATAATAATGATAATCTTTGTGGGCCAGAAATATTTTGGGCCCAGTACCATAACCGAAGCTCAATATCTTCGTCAGAAATAAAAGCCCAATTCTTATATGAAATAAAGGTATTTTTATGGTTTTCTTTTTTCTAGCACAACTATTTATAAATTTAATATTATTATTTCTTAATTTATATGTAAAAGGCAGAAAGAGAGTATTATAATACTACCTCACTTCCTGATTTTTTTGTTTTTGTTCCGGTGGTACAACTTTAATAAATCTTTTTTTACTATCTTGCTTTTATTTAATTTAATTTAATTTAATTTTTGTTTGTAATAATTTTATGAATAGTATTGATAATTATAAAAGAAAAAAAAAATGTAGACAGTTTGAGACATCTCAAAATAGCAAACAAGTTGAGATGGAAGGAATATTATACAGCTAAATATCTTCCCATAAAACTCTCAGGTAATTAATCAAATACAACTTGATAAAAAGCCATTTTTGTTAAACCTTCATATTTGCATTACAAGTTTACAACCACAAGTTAATTATTTGATGTAATATTAGTTAGAAATATATATATATATATATTTTTATATATAAGCTTACTTATGATGTATAGAGTCAGGAATTTCCAAAAACAACATTCCATTTACTGCAAAAACAACTATATATGTATTTATGCTTAGAGGGCATAAAATTAGAAGCATACAGAACATTTTTATTTATCAAATATAAACAAAGGTAATCAAAGACAGATGCACAAAGGCAGTAATCAAAGATATTTGCAGGAATTGAAAGTATCTTGCAAACTTTTAATTCCAAAAATGAGGGACAATAAAATTTATACACTACAGCTACAAAGAGGGCATCAAAGGGCACAATTGATCTATGAAAATGAACTAATCGATACAACAGTTAATTTTCCGGGTTAAAACATCTATTACTATTACTATTACAATTAATTGAAACACAAGAAAAAAGTCATTGCGAATCATCAAATGGGACAAAAATTGAATGAAACTCTTGTCCCCGAAAGAAAGAAAGAAAGAAATTACAATTTTGATGGCAAAGTAAGGGCACAGCAGCAGTATTTGGTGCAAAGTTAATACCATATACTCTTTCCAACCAGCTTTCAACAACATATACTCCAATCATTTTTCTGCATATTATTTATTGTATATGTAAAAACCAAAAGTCAAGCAAGAGCAAGCATGATATCACTTTGTAAAGCATGGGAGTTCGAGTTGTTACCTTGCGGCTACATTTAGAAATTACAGAATTCCCAGCTTTCTTTTGACAAGTCTAGAAACTCGGTGCTTCCATCTTCAAACATGATCTGTGGTTGAAATGTCGGAAAAGAGAAGAATTAGATGGACAACGGGATATTTTTCTTTGGATGAAAATAGAATTAGGGAGATGCTAACTAACCAAATGTTGTCTTCTGATGCTATCAAACCGTCGAATTATTCCAAAGGATCTGATAAAGTTTGCAGTAAATAATTCAGTAAGATAATGAAAGTTCAGAGCGTTGATCTATATTCTAGCTTGAACCTCATTTGCCTGATAATTTACGAGTGCTTATCAAGGAATTTATTTTGATTTCAGCCCTCCTAAAGTTTCACAGATGTTACTATCCTTCAAAGAGCTAATTCCTTTCACCACAAGGTCATACCTTTTCTCCGAAACATTATGAATTCTTATTACTGAACCAATGCAATTTTGACGCCTCTTCTTGAGCTGAAAAGAATCATGTCGTAAAGCTCCTGCACAGGATAAAAAATAACCTGAATTTTACAAGAATACTCAACAATAAACGAAACCCATATTTGCCATTACAAAACAAGGCTTATCCATTGAGATTGGTTGAAGAAATTCACCCAAATCAGAAACTCCATTTGCGTAAACCTGTGGGGAAAAAAAAAAAGTATTTAGCCTCATCTCTCATCTCTCAGTGCCTCTATTTATTTTTATTTTTTTCAAGAAATATATAAAGAAGAGAACATCTATCACATCATGATGACGCAAGTTAAACCATGACGTACAAAGCAACAGCCTCAAACACTTCACACTCTTGGCATGGAAAGAAAAAGTCAGCTCATTAGGTGTCCACACAGAAAAGATTTAATTCAAAACACTTTATCAGTATTGAATAGGAGTCAGTATTCTATCAATATAGTGGGATCACAGAATTATACATATATTCACATTCTGACTCGCTTAAGCAAATTTAGATCGTATTAAACATAAAAACTATTTTCAGTATATATATTACTCCAGACAGGACCCTATCCAAACATTTCTATAACCACCTCATCAACAATGCAACTATAATTTCGTGCCTCTACGGTTCTACCATTACATTAACGAAAATGCCCATCCTAACAAACACATCACGCAAAACTTCAAAGTCAAGATCATGATTTTTGATATGCAAAACATGTGAAAAAAAAACCAGCCGCATAAGATTTCTACCAGAAATGATATCTTTAAAGACTCAATCACATCAACTACTTGTGACTAGGTTCTGTTTTAAACAATACCAAAGTAATTATGAAAGTGGATGTGGTAGTTTCCATTTCATAAGATTCAGATGAATGTGCTGCTCATCAAAATGACCATGCCAGATATTTAGAATAAGAATATTTATAATGAATACAACAGTAGATAAACTTGTAATTGAATCGGCCAAATATACATCAAACAACAATTAAACAATTATGTGTTGTAAGGTTAAAGATGGCTTACCGGTCTATTTGATACAGTTGCTTTCACTTTTGGAGAGTATGCAGCAACCTGGCATGCTACTATTTTCAATGCTGCATCTGACGAAGGAAGTTTTGGTTTATTGGGCTTAACTCCCAGCTTTTTCCGGCAGCCTATAGAACCACAATGGCAATCTTGATCTGCACCAAATTGCACAAACCTGCTAGACATGTTAGACTGAAATAGGAGATGTGAATTCATGAGAATGACAACTTATTGATTCAAGTTTATGTAAGCAATTGATCAGAACAATCCCATACTGATAATCATATGTGAGATGCTCTCCCTTCTTAATATCATTGGTTGCAAATATGCCAATTCTTGTTTCACCATCAATCATCCTGGCACAGGAAGTCCGAAGGGACATAAAATCATAATTAACATAATCTGTTAACAAATTTATTAAGGAAAAATTGAAAATCTAACCATTTCTGCATTTCTGTATTGGGACAACAACTATGGTTAATGTATCTTGACTTGTTTCCTTTATAAGTGGCATCAATCACCATATCTCTATTGATCTCACATAGGTAGAAATTTGTTTCTCCACGGTGTTTCATTTTCCATAGTCTTTCTTCACAAGTTTTATCATCAATAACTGCATTGGAGAAAAGTATTTTCATTTCAAGGTTATATAAATTTTCACATTATAGAGCAAGATTCTTCAGTTAAAAAATTTCACCTTCTCCTACATATTCTATCACAAACTCTCCTTGACTGATGTCCTCTTCTGCCACAACTCCCATTCCACATTTTTCAGTCTGAAAGCAGTTTAACTTAATAATCTTGGATGAACAATAAAATGTTGACTAATGGATATAAATGGCAATGCCAGACAAAACCATAGAAGGATGTGCAGTTGAAATAAAATGAAGGCCATGAATTAACAAATTTTGAAAATTCCAAAATAATGTCAAAAAAACAAAAAAGGGAGAAAGAGAGAAAATGCACACCATAAAACTTAAATACTTGCACAGATACACTACAGAAGTTATCACAGCACCATATATATTAAATGGGGCTACACACCAAGTATGATGAACCTGATAAGTAATCTATCAGGTCTAAAAATGAAATGAAGAGCTTAAGATATACATCTCAATTCCCTAATCGGTCTCACAATAAGTTTATGGCCATGAATCTCTACCCCATCAGAGCTACCTGCATCTTCCCTCACATGCTGAAGTAGCATGTGGCACACTTATGCTCATTTTATTTCTACTTCTATCACCCCATGTCCCAATCCATGTTTCAACTCCACAACCACCGTTTCCACGATAAACTAAAGGTCCTCACTCACTTTAATGATAGCAAGGGACACCACCCATAGTATCATGTCCATTTGCCGCGAAGGAACAGATAGTTGATGATTGTAGTCTCGAGTTATCTATTGGCATAATGTGTCCTAAGATGCCTTCCCAAGACACAATCACACAGAAGAGCAGTATTTACAGAGAAGTACCAAGGAGAAATTAATGACAAAAGGAAAAGAATCTGAGCAGCAGGGAATATTGTATAGACATATTTGCAAAGACAGAAAAATTCAATAGGCGTTTTTCCTACATAAACGACAAGAGATTAAAATTTTGGGAATAGTCACGAAAGAGACCAATAACATTCTATTACTGGTATATATACACTGTACAATTCAGTAGAAAACATCTAATACGTGTCGCAAATGAATGACAGTTTTCCTCAGTGCAGTATATAGAATTGCTTACAAGACGTATTGAGAACAAAAAAAAAATGCAAATACTATTATAAGTGGGGGAAAAGTTCCATTTTGGTTGAAAAATAATTGTAGTGATAAAAACAGCAGCTAGTGAAAATTGGGTAGTAGGTCTAAACAGGAGCCTTACCAGCACGGCTTTCATCTTCTTCACAGGTCTTTGATGAAATGGCTTATTCAAACATGAGCTCCCGCATATACATCCAGCAGAACAACTAGACCTTAGCATACTTTAACAGGAAAGGAAGCTACCAATCAGCATATTATACTTACTGATTTACGTTACAAACTTGCAGACTTTTAACACATTTTAAATCCATTATTATCCCATGGCTACAAATCAAGATACACAGAAAGTGACAAGAATAAAAGTACCAAAATAGTCAAGGATGTTAGGGTGGGAGAGCATAACAAGAAAACTTATAATCATATCTTCTAAGAACACAACCACATCATTAAGGAGCAGGTGGCAAGGTTTTTAAATTTTAATTAAAATATAAAATATAAATAAAATAGACTCACTAAAGAAAATATTGGATTCATACTTCTTATGCAGTGACATTGCCAAACATTACAGAAACAACAATATAATTTCCTTTAAAAAATAGACCAATTGTTAATACCAGCAACAGCTGCAGCAAAATAGGAGGAGAAAAACCTAGCAAAAGGGAGATTTTATGATCACTTATAGGATCTGATATAAACAGATTATTAACAAAACAAAAAATAAAAAATAAGGGAAAATTTAAGATATTCTTCAAGCAAAAAGTCCAATTCCATGCTTACCCGCAAAGGCAATCTCTACCACAAACACCTGGAGATTCAGCTGATGAGCGGCATGCACAGAAGATGCCGTCATCCTCCAAACGCCTTTTTATTTTCTTTGTCAAATATACATCTTGAGATAGTCAAAGAACAAACAGAATACCATGGAGAACTTTAACAGAAATTAAAATACACCAAATGCTCAGAAAATGATATCTCCTGTGGCTGGAATTCCACTGATGCCAGATAAGGCATATAAACTACAAGATCAAAGGATTCACACACACAAAACGAACTAGAAAGGATACTGCGCCGGATATAGCTGTAGGAAGTGCTTTTCCAATTTGCTATCGATTCAGGGAGTTCAAAATCCACCGGATTTCCAATCTCCTTCACCAGTTTACTAAATACTTGCCCAATACTGATGCATTCAGCGCTCTGATACCATAAAATGTAAACAAATGATATCCCGATGTATAAAAAGGTGCAAGTAATTAAGAGATAGAGCAGCTAAAACCACAATTGCCTTCAACAAACCTACCTTCTTCATAGCAGGCATGGCCAAGGGCAGGTAACCTACTGCCTTCGATAAATACACAAAATATTTCTGCAAAAATAGATACAATCAGTCGATTCAGTCCAATGTGAAGTAGCAAGAAAACGCACAGTAAGTTCAAAAGAACCCGACGCCCTTATTCAAGCTTCTCAAACCAAATTCACAATTCACAACACCCGCAAAATTAGGGTTTACACGAAAAAAGAAAATGAAACCGCGAAGACCAAACACGAAAACGGAAACAATTGAAAGGATAAAGTTGAAAAAGGAAATTCCATACCTCAGACGTTCAGGAAGTAGAAAATCTGACGACGCCGGCTGCCTGCGCTGACCGTCGGCACCGCTACTGCGAGCGGCACAAGGAAAACGGAGAAGAAGGAGCAGAAGAGAGGAGAGGGATTGGGGAGTGAACGGTAAATTCGTTTTTTATGTTCTGCCAGAATAACTGAAGTGTATTAAATTCATTGCATCCGGACTTCGGGTCCTGTTATTTTAAAATAATAATTTTTAGTCTTAAAAAATAAAAATAAAAATAAAATAAAATGTTTTTTTTTTCCATAATAATCTACCTATTTTTTTTTATTTTAGTTGAAATACTTTTTTTTAGTAATTGTAAATATCACACCATAAAGTACAAAAAAGTTTAATCTTTTTATTTTTATTATATTTTAATATAATATTAATATTTTTAAAATTCTATAAAAATAAAAATAAAAATGAATAGATAGATATTGGACAAAATAAATATTTTTTGTCAGTTATATTAACATTTGTGATAGAATATTATATTTTATATTTTTAGTTAAAATATACGTTAAAAATTTATATTTAACATTTAAATGGGTGTGTTTGTTTGGGATTGGACACACTATTCATCCTATTTTTTATATTATATTATTTATCCTATTTTTTTTTTCAAAAATATCAAATCAAAGAACTATTTTTTATTTTTTATATTATACTAAAAATTAATTTTACATTCAAAATATCATATCAACATCTATTTATATCACATCATACAACTATTTAAATTCAAAATTTTTACTATTCAAATTCCAATTCAAAATCTAAATTCCCAAACAAACACACCCTTAAATAAATAAAATCAGATAATTTAATTTTAGTGTAATATAATAAATAATAAATAATAATTTGATTTAATATTTTTAAATTTTTTTTATCTGAAATAGTAAAATTAAAATTGAAATTTTACAATTTGTAAGAATGTGTTTGTTTAGAATTTGTGTTTCGAATACTATAATTCTAAATTTAAACAAAAATATTAAAAAATCTTGCATAATTTTACTAACAAATAAAAAATATATTTTCTTTAATTTACTATAAAATTTTAGAAAAAAACTCGTTTGAAGAAGAAAGTATTATTTAATACCATATCAATCAATTGTAAAAAGATTAAAATAGAAATGCAAAAACAAACCAAGCATGCCCAATATAAACAAAACCTTTATAATTTTGATGCAAAATTTATGTGTTAGTTGCAATTTTTTTTTTTTATTTTATTTTAATACGTTAAAACTCATTAATAAATTTTTATCTAAATTATTTATTATATACTTGTTCTATTTCACATTATTTTGTTCATTTTTTTTTTATTAGTTTCATATAATTTGTAATTTTTTAATTATATTTTAAATTTCATAATTTATAATTTTTTTTAATCATAGTCAAGCTATTTAGTTATTTTAATATTAATTTATAATTACTTTTTAATACATCATTTTTTTTATTAATATATTTTTTAATTACTAATTATATATGGATTACGGTTTTTACAGTAATACTTTCAAATTATACATGACGGATGGAGTAATTTCTATAATTAAACATAAATTTAATTAATTGAAAAACAATGTATTTAATTTTTACAAGGCAAGTGTTTTGGTAGTGGGGTTTTTGTCATGAGTTTAGATTTTGAATAATAAAAATTTAATTGAAATAATTATTTGATATTTTGAATGTAAAATTAATTTTATTTTAACATTATAAATAAAAAAATATTTAATTTTTAATATTTTTCAAAATAAAAAAAAATAATAATAAAATTTAAATCAAAATCTTATAAACAAACACACACCGTTTTAAGGTATTATTTTAAATAGAATGTATATTTAAAATAGTTAAATTACATGCAAATTTAAAATATGGAATGTTCGACGATAACTCTTAAAATTATAGTAAGTCCGCGCAGGTTGTAAAAATAACGACGAATTCAATTATTTTCTTCGTTGGAATAAATTATTATCGGTATAAACTTACCTGCTTTTTTATTTAATCGAAACAACCATAAAATTAAATATTTTTCCTTTTTGTACTCTCTTTATTAATAAAGCAAAATTGTAGTTTGAATACGTTGTTGAAATATTTATGATTAGAGTGTGCTCACCTAATGTTTTATTTTTAAACGATTTCCTACGAATATATAATATACAGATATATATAACAATAATAATTAACGGAAATAATAAAAGTATAATATGACTAAACTAAGACACTCATGTCATACAATACATTTCATTTTATTTATAAACTATTTTAAACAAATATTAATATATTTATTTTAATAGGTTATTTTATTACTTGTGTTTCCATTTTTAAATTATTTTATATATTGTTTGGTATTTTTATAATATACATATTGTATATAATATTATGAATGAATAATTGAAAAATAAAATAATATTAAGTATAAAATATTTTTTAAAATAATTGGCAACAATACACATATTTGTGAATTAATTCAGTAAATAAATATGTATTTCTAAATTTGTACTTACTATATGTATAATTTATTGATTAATTTAGTTATAATCATATATGGAAAAAAAAAATAACTATTCTAATAATTCTTATCATTTTTTTTTAAATATAAAATTTGTATATATATATATATATATACACACAAGAGGTCACCGGCCCCCAGATATACAAAATTAGCAGACTCGGAGCAAAATCCCAACTCCCAAGTCATGGCATCAGCTGCGGCGGAGCCTTCCGGCCGCCGGAATGTTGCCGCCTCCGCCGCAGCAGTAACCAACACCTCTCCTCTCTCGCCAGCGGCCAACGCCGGCTCAAATATCCGATTGTACAACTGCTATATGTGCCATTCCCCCTTTAGCCTAAATCCTTATTCCATGGCGGCCATCGACGCCGCCGGCGGCGCTTTTCCCTGCCCTTGGTGCGCCTATCGTAACCTCTTCCCCTCCCGCGGCGTTTCCCCTCCGCCAAATCCGCCTCCGCCTCCATCATCCCCTCCTCCGTCCTCTCCATGGCCGCCGAATTCTGGCGACACCACTGATTCCGACGTCACTTACGTGAGTTCAGAAGAGTCCGACTCTGACGACGATACCTTCGTCACTGACTCCGAGGACGAATCCGACTTAGTTTCCTTTTTTGCGTCGCTTCCGATTAAGATCTTCCCCCCAAATTCAGCTGCACCTCTTCCGTCGTGTCCAATTTGCATGGAAGAGTTCGATATCAATCCGGATTCTTCTCGACCAGTCAACGAAGTGCGGTGCGGGCATTACTTTCACAAGGATTGCATTGTTGAATGGCTTCAAAGGCGCAACACCTGCCCGTTGTGCCGATGCAAAGTGCTTCGCCGGCAAGTGGAAAACAGTGGTCAAGGCACAAATCAAGCTGAGCCTGAAAACAGCGCACATTCAACGGTGGATCCAAATCCTTTAAGAGACACAGCATCTAGTGGTGTCCGAGTAGGGCAGAATCCTGGTTCGAGTGCTACATCTCCTTGAAGCTCTTCTTATACAGATGGTGGTGGAATAAGTGAAGTAGATTTTGGGTCAATACCCGATGTAGATGTCGATGCCTTGACGGCTTAAGGGTAAATTGAGGCATCGCATATGTTTTCTGGTTGATTTTATTACATATAGTGCTAGTCATATGGAAGATTTGAAAATTCTGCCTGCTGGTTTGGCTGATTTCATTACTTTGTCATAAAAATAAAATAACAAAATCTGATGATCTAGATGGTTGATTTGGAAGATTAGTTTTGGAGTGTATTTGTTGAGTGTCGTATTCCTCTTAAGTGATGCTTGATGTGTTGACATTCTTCCGAGTTTTGCTATCAATGTATGTTAGATGCTTGTAGTACTAATGGCTAGCCCGGCTCAATGAAACCTCAATAGTTTTTCTTATGTAGATGATGAATTCATTCCCAGATAGGAACTGATTGAATTCTACACCATTTACTTGATATTTTGGTTTATGTAGCAGTTGTCTTGTTGTTGTGGGCTATTTTGTCCTGACATATTCCGCATTGTCGACATGTATAAGCATTGAGCAACCGTTGATGTCATCTGTGTCTTTGCTTGGTATAAACAAGAAAAACTTTAGATTGAAATCCATGCATGAGTATGACTACAATCTGCAGCATGTATCTTGGATTGAATGTCGCTGTGGTTCCAGTTGTTGTACATCTTATTTTTTAGTTTTTCCTAAAGTTTTGTGGTTTGTTTATTACAAAAGTCCTTCTATTGGCATGTCTCTCAGGGCACAGACAAAATTTTATGAAAATTCCTTAGGATGTCCCCTTATCAATCGTTTGTTTGCACAATAATTTTGTGATGGCATAAATTACACTACTTCCATATCTTGATTCCAGATTCAGTACATGCCAGCCAGATTAGGTTGGTCATACAATGAGGTGTTCTTTCCGATTGAATGCTGACCGTTTTTTTTCTTCTCTCTTCCAGTTACCTTAATGGAGTTGGGATTGGGGAAAAAGATCAACATTTCAAGTGTTCAGAAGTGTCTCCCGAAACTTGAGCAAGAAGATACAAAGCCCTTTTATTCCCCCTAAAATTTTTGATTGGGTTAGAGAACTCGCAAAATAAGGAAAATTGTTTATAGGATAGTCATCTTAGATTCAATGACTCAACTGGAGCTTTTGTTTTACATATATGTATTGTTTTTCTGTCCTGCTGCAGGCAAAAGCCTTTCTTTTGTTTTCAGAAGGTTTCTTCTTGTCAGTTGTCATTATGTAACATTTGTTATTCTTTTGTCTGCTGTTCAATTACAAGCTTGTTTGGGTGAAACACTTTGATTGACATTTATCTGCACTGTGGTATCTACATATTAGACTCTTATTTGTCCTCCATTGCTTCTGCATTGTCGCGTACCTATCACATGCAACTTTGCAGGAACTGGGAATGGTACAGGTGTATTTTTGGGTCGAGCTAAGGCGTCATCCGACTATCCTCTTCCTGGTTGACATGTGTTATTGGTAAATGGTAATGATTTATTCAATATTTTCATTGACCTGCTCTGAGTACATAATTGTAGATGGTGATCATGGATTCATGGAAGAGGAAACTTATCTTTGTTTGATGTCATCATGCATTTTTCTATTGTTGTTGCTCGTAATATGGGCTTCTGATTATCATCATAATAACTAGTTTACCTTTGTTTCCTCGCAGAATTGAATCAGGAATGGATGGAAAAGTGGTTAAAAGATAAGTTCTTTCCTAGAAAAAGAACATTAAAAATATGAGACAAGATAACATTAAATTGGGGATGTAGCTCAGATGGTAGAGCGCTCGCTTAGCATGCGAGAGGTACGGGGATCGATACCCCGCATCTCCAATCTTTTTTTTTTCAAAAGATTCCTCTGTGGTAGCAGTAATTGTACTCTGTCACTCCCCTCCTTTGTAATCACTGTGAATTCCACTGTTCTTCATTTAGGTTTCCAATGGAGGACGAATCTTTCCTCTTCATCCTTGTCTCCACCAACCAATGGAGGGAATGGGAGAATTCAGGTTATCAGGTACTGAAAAGTTGCACAGCCTTCTCTTTCAAATTAACAATTATATTCTGTCACTGAAAGGAATATGTGAGTGTTATGGTTTTAGATAAATCTTAAATATGAAATATTCCATGCCTACACCAATACAAGCATGCTTATATCACCTTTATTGATGAGCACTTTACAATAGAGGAGCACTTTTGCAATTAAGGACTATATTTATACCTTTATTGATACACATCCTTCTCTTTCAAATTAAGAATCATATTCTGTTACTGAAAGGAATACTGACTGTGGTAGGATTTGTTAGTGTTAGGAATTTAGATAGGTCTTTAATATGAACTATCCCATTTCTAGACCAATATTATAAACGCTATATATAACCTTTACTGATGGGGACTGTACAATATAGGAACACTCTTGTGATTAAGGACTATCATAGCCCACAGCTTTCAACAAACAGCCTGACCTTATTATTATCATCGAATGTAATCACACACACTGCTGTCTAGAGTAGTGTACATACACGCCGACTAGTTTACATAGCATAAGCCTGCTTATATTGGCACGTCGATCCAGTAAGTTCGATCTGAAGTATCACAAATCTTCACCATGCTGCAATTCAAGTGTTAAGAAGTGTATCCCGAAACTTGAGCAAGAAGATACAAAGTCCTTTTATTTCCCCTAAAGTTTATAATTGAGTGGGTTATAGAGAACTCACAAAATAAGAGAGATTGTTTATAGGGTAGTCAACTTAGATTCAATGACTCTACTGGAGCTTTTGTATTTACATATATGCATTGTTTTTCTGATCTCCTAAGGCACAAGCCTTTCTTTTGTCTTTAGATTGGGTTTCTTCTTGTCAGTTGTCATTATGTAACATTTGTTATTCTTTTGTCTGCTGTTCAATTACGAGCTTGTTTGGGTGAAACACTTTGATTGACATTTAGCTGCACTGTGGTATCTAAATTTAGACTCTTATTTGCCCTCCATTGCTTCTGCATCGTCGTGTACATATAACATACAACTTTGCAGGAACTGGGAATGGTACAGGTGCATTTTTGGATCGAAATAAGGCGTCATCCGATTATCCTCTTCCTAGTAGGCATGTGTTGTTGGTTATGATTTTTTCAATATTTACATGGACCTGCTCTACGTACATGAATGTGAATGGTGATCATGGAGGGGAAAATTATCTTTGTTTGATGTCAACATGCATTTTTCTACTACAATATTAGTTGTTGCTTGTAATCTGGGCTTCTTGATTATCATCATACTAACTACCTTACCTTTATAAGACATTACAAATATGAAATAATTTACTAGCAAATTGGGGATGTAGCTCAGATGGTAGAGCGCTCGCTTAGCATGCGAGAGGTACGGGGATCGATACCCCGCATCTCCACTTATCTTTTTTCCTGTTTGTATAAAGATCAATATATTTTTTTAATCCTTACCGTTATCAAATTGGGGATGTAGCTCAGATGGTAGAGCGCTCGCTTAGCATGCGAGAGGTACGGGGATCGATACCCCGCATCTCCAACTATCATTTTTGTACTAGTAGGATTTGTAAATGTTGGATTTTACTTTACAAGCATGCTATAACCTTTATTGATGGGTACTTTACATATAGCAACACTCTTCTGATTAAGGACTATGTCTATATACTGGCAAGAAATCACTGTGAATTTCTCTGTTCTTGATTTAGGTTTCCAATGGAGGTGGGGGACTAATCTTAGGATTCGTCCTCATCCCCATCCACCAATGGAGGGACTGAGAGAATTCAGGTATAGTAGTACCAACTCAAAATTTATAGAAAAGATACACAGCTTTCTTCTTTCAAATTAACAATTTATGTTCTGTTACTGAAAGAAATATGAGTGTAGTAGGATTTGTGAATGTTAGGATTTTACTTTACAAGCATGCTATAACCTTTATTGATGGGTACTTTACATATAGCAACACTATTGCGATTAAGGACTATATATATACTGGTAAGAAATCACAATTTACAGAAAAGATGCACAACCTTCTCTTTCAAATTAAGAATCATATTCTGGTACTGAAAGGAATATGAGTGTGGTAGGATATGTGAGTGTTAGAATTTTAGAAGTCTTTGAGATGAACTATCCCATGTCTAAGACCAATGTAGATCGGGAGTTTATTATATAGGATCAGTCTTGTGATTAAGGACTTTATATAGCCCACAGCTTTCAACAAACACCCTGACCTTATTATCATCAAGTGTAATCACACACACTGCGTCTAGAGTAGTGTACATACACGCCGACTAGTTTACATAGCATAAGCCTGCGGATATTGCACACACCGATTCATTAAATTCGATCTAAAAGTATCTCAATTATTCACCATGCTTCGATTCTTTCTTATCTGACCGCTTGATCGTGTCAACGGACTAATATTCCCCATCTTGATCATTGAGTTGACAAAATCATTGATGAAGTCTGTAGGCTTGTTGCTGTAGAGCTGCACTAGGAACTTCACAGTAGATGGTGTTGAGTAACCAGAGAAGAGCAATTGATCTGACTCCATAAGTCTCCTTCCATACACCAAACTGATGAAGTAATGGTTGTGGAATAAGTCCTTGGATCCACTGTCAAAGGGAGCTGCATTGCTTCCATCGCTGCTCGATGGGCAGGCAGCCTGAAGCTCTCACATGAAGCTGCTGCTCAGTCTCTTATCCGGCATGGCTGTGCTCTCGAAGTCGTCATGTAATCTGTGGCTGAAGAACAAGCACCTTGCTGATCCAATTGTGTGCCCACCTTCATATATTTGGTATATACTCCATTTAAGGTTGAATTCTTTGTTAGTGTTTTTAGTTTCTTTGATCGAAGATTCAGGATATATATATATATATATATAGCTGCCTTAAGTTCTTGTAGTACCTGATAAAGCTACCATATATGTTGGATTCAGTTCCACAGCAATGAACTTTGAAATGATATCTTCTTCAGGATCAAAAGGGGAAGGCAAGGACTCATCTCCTGATTGGTTCACCACGACCCCGTATCTTCTTCCGAGCAAAACCTTCCACAATGGTCCACCACTCTGTTCAATGGAAATGCCACACAGTAAGTTCAATTATGAACACTCTGCCGAACCTTTTCAATACTATAGTATCATGAAGTTCTTTTTATTCTAGTTCTCCATTTCTCAATTGAATTCTTAGCATTCGCAATATTTCAAGTGTTTCAGAAAGGAGTGCATGTTTGGTGTCCAAATAGGCCTCGGAAAACACTAACCAAGATCACAGAGTCTCGAGCAACCAGGCCAACAATATCAGCGTACAAAGTTAGGGTAGCAAACTTTTCGCTGTTTCTTCCATCCAATAGTATTGATTGATCACAAACATGTAAGAAAATCATTACCGTAAATGTTACATACAGTATACGAAAAAATGCTACAATGCTGTCGAAAAGTGTTTGCTAATTCACTCAACATTGACAAAGTAGTCATGGAAGTGAAGCCGAAGCAGAGAAGCAGCCATCCTCGTGTCAGTCTTGGCGAATAAAAATCCGGAATGTGCTGAGAAGTTGTGGCGCCGCATTGCGTTGCAGTGGCTACAAACAACGACCAAAAACTGTAAGACTTACACATATGGTTTGTCTTGGGATAAGAATAAAGAGTCATAGTAATGAGAACTCTTGAGGTGTTTGGAAGCTTAAGGGTAAAAGGTGTGTATTTATAGGCAGAGATTGATTGTGTTATTTGTATTGTTGCAGGGGTAGGGGTGAGGTGAGGGAGTGAGCATGGCATTGCAGATGCAGAATGAAGGTTTTATTTATTTATTTTTATGTTTGTGGTGTTGGGCTGAGGTTGATGCACTATTTGTTTGGGGGTTTGAATTTTGAGTTGGGATTTGAATAGTAAAAATTTTGAATTTGAATAGTTGTATGATGTGTTATAAATAGGCGATGATGTGATGTTTTGAATGTAAAAATGATTTTTAGTATAATATAAAAAATGAAAAATAGGTGTTTGATTTGATGTTTTTGGGGGGAAAATTTTGGATGAATAGTGGAATTTAATCCAAAATCCATCAAACGAACACACCCTTAAGTAGTTGGTGATCAATGTCAAGCCAGTTAATAAGAACGAACAAAGCTTTGTTAAAACCTGAAGCATTGTCGGTTGTGACTCGAGAATTGCTATCCTCTAATTATCCAAAGACACACACACTCTAAAGATACATATATTCTTATTTTTCTATCGTGTGAGTGTAATGCAGAGCGAGAAGGATGATAATTCTACGCAATGAATTAATTTATCTGATATTAGTTTAAATCAATTTCAATTTAATTATTATTAAAATTCATTACCTTTTACCTTTGTATAAAAATTGATTTAGTTGAATTAAACCACCAAAAGAACCGCTTAGCTTTATGACGAACCCAACCCACCTGACCCCACTATCACAAAATCAGATTATTTTCTCCCGCCACCGCCCCCGGACCCGAATTGAGTTAACCCTACCTTTTTTCTGCGCAAACCTCACTTTGCCCTTCCCGTTCTCTCCAGACCATCGCTGCTGCTGCCGCCGTCGATCACCGCTTCTGCCGCCGTCGCTCCCGCTCTCCAATTTCTACGGTAATTTTTTTTTTTAGTTTTTTTTTTTTTTTTTAATATTGAATTATTGTGTTTTGTAATATATTTAATTATTCCATTCTTATATTTGTTGTTCTATGATATTTTTGCTGAGTCTAGTGTTTTACAATACATATGTTTTTTTTAATCTTGTATATTGAATTTGGTTATTTCTTTTTAGTTGGTGAAAATGGGAATGGATGCTAATATTTTGTAGAATATTTAAAAGCAGAAAAAGAATATGTTATTTTTGTCACTTCATTTGTGTTGAATTTGGCTTTTATTTATCTGCTGCTTGTTGTTGTTGACTGCTAGTTCTTCATTTGCTCAATTTTATGGATCCGAAGCACACAGGAGATGTGCTCAAGTAAGTCTTCTTTCCCTGTCCATCCAATTGCATTCAAGCCTTCAGTATTCCCCATGCTCAGGCTATTACATATATAGTGGATTTGAGTTGCTTGACTTAATGGATTGTCAGGCATCTGGAGAAACAGCATGAACTTCTGATGGAAGCATATCGGTCGATGTCTCATGAGTTGCATACACTCCAGGTCCTCATTGTTAAAAATCTCAGGCGTTTTTAACTTATTTGTTTCGTTTTTGTTTTGCAACTTCTCCCCAATGTTGTTCTTACTAATTTTATATCATGATGAGGTTTGAATGGGTTTTAAAATTTTGCATTAACGAAACCTTAGCCCAAATTGGTGCAGGGTTCTTCAACTTTTTAGTAAACCCTCCATTTTTCTGCTGACTAGTATGATTTAGTAACTATGGAAAATTTTCAGGTGGAGGAAGAAATGCTGATGAAGAAGTATTACGAATATATGGTAGCTCAAGGTTTCGAGAAGGTATGCCACCCTCTTTATTTTCTTATGGGATTCACATTTTTTATGCTTGGAGTTTTTTATCTCTAAGAAACTGTCTTCTGCATTTGGCCAGTACTCATGCTTCGTTTCCTGCATAGTTTTTGTTGTTTCGAATATTTTGGTATTATGCAATTGTTGCTTCATTCATATTTCCTTTTGAATCTTGTATTGGTAGTTTCTAAAACTTTACATCACCCCTGCAAGATGAGAGTCTATCTCAACATATCTTTTTGTTTGATGTTGCTTACCCAACTTCATCCACACCAACACTCAACAGATTTCATCTATACATTTTTTATCTGCTGTTGTTTACCACATTCTCCTTCACAGAGCAAAACTTGCACAAATGCAACAAACCTTGATGGATCTGGTCAAGCTGGAGCAATAGTTCCTATCACCAAGGAAGAACAACCTCAAGGAGGCCAATGAAAAAAATTCCTGTCCAATATTGTTTATACGGGTTATGCATTTCAAGATTTTCTGTAGTATCATTTTGCTCAATTTCTCCATTCAATAGAGATGGATTTGGAAGAAAATTCAAATTTAAAAAATAATATATATTACATATACGGAAACCTTTTTTTTTTTCTCACAGTATACTTCCATTCATAATTGGATGGAAAGTTTTTGCTTCTTTTTTGTTTTGTTTTGTTAGAACTCCCAAGCTAGAGGCATAATTTTTTCTGGTTATTTAGTTTGTTTCATATGTTACAACCAAGTAAGCTTCACGGGTTTTAACAGCATTGAAACTGGAATTTAATTTCAAAAGTGATGTATGAGGTCTGAAAACCACTACTATTTGAGTATATTTTATTATTAACATAGCAAGCAAGTTCTTGCCTGGTGTTGATCTCCAACCATGGCCAACAGCAACAAGAAGGTCCCCAGCCAGAGACAGAAGACAAAGAGTAAGTTCACTTTGAACATTATCTTATACTTCTGTAGTTACAATAATGAACAAAAAATAGAAAGATTGTTTCTTTGACCACCAGACACTGAGGAATTATTCCATATCATGTTTTTCTAGTCGACAAAGCAGATAACTCAAGTATGACATGCAGTGAAAATCCAGTCGAACCTCATAGTGGAAGGACAAGCAGGCAGATCTAAGGACAGAATAGCTTAATATAAATTTGTCTGGTTCAGATTAGCATGGAATCCCAGTCTGCTAAAAAAGTCTCCATTAGAGACAGTTGGAAGCGGAAATCAAAATGTCCTTAATCTATAAGCAGAAAACGGAAGTCCACAAATCATAATTGCCACAATGATCCATCTCACTAGAAAAGAACAAATCTGCAATGATTATAATCTGCAACCACTGTAAATATTCAAGTCACTCATGAGTATATGTAATTATTCATGCTTAGCAGACTTATTATTGATTTCTTTGTATTATATGGTATGAGGATTTGCAGAAATGTTGAGGGGAAAAACAGAAGCAGGTGCTTACCGGGGTCTTGAGTTGATGAGCGTAGCAGCCCACCTAAAGCCACAAGAACCACCGTTCTTCTTAGTCTTCTGCCAGTATTAACTGTTGAAACCATAAGATGCATGTGCCACAAGAACCTCAGAGAATCATACCATAAAACTCCTGCACAAGTAAGTGGATGGTGATGCCTTGAAGGCTCCCCACTTTCATCGCATCACAGAAATCCTCCCATTGATTTCTCCATTTGAACTTTCCTCCAAGAAATCCTCTCTTCGTTGTTCTGTCCAAAAATGCTGGTGGAAAGAGCGCATTTTCTCCTCCTGTGCTGGGTAAGGTTTATTTTTAACAGGAAAGATTTATGTGGATTTTCTTCTCACTCAATCTTCCTGTTTTGTTCTCGTGAATGAATTGCAGTAGTTCATTTATTTATTTTTCTTCGATTGTTTTTATATGTGGTTATAATTTATTTTTCCTCGTACATCTTAATTTTTGGTTTCTTACTTTTTCAATCAAATTTGTGAACCATAGCTTATGCGGTGAGATTGGATTGAACTTAAATAGTTTGGTGTCTGAAACTATACCAGATCATCGAGATTCCCAGACTCTGTCGAAAAGAGAGAAGTTCCATAGAAAGGTATGCATTTTGCTATAGTTGTTCGCATGTAACCAAGAAGAGTTAGTTTTTTCAGCTGATTAAGTGAATGACTTACTGGATTTGGGTATTGCAGAGATTTCTTGCTTTGCTACTAATCCTGCCATGTACATGTGAGAATGAATGTTGATGAAACAGCAACAGCACAATTTGTTCAGGCTCCTAATTCGGAGAGCAGAATTCTATTTTATTAAGTATTGTTGGTTGTTAGAAAAATTTTCAATCCTATTATGTATATGTGAGTGATTGTTGGAAATTGATGATCTTGATAAGGTAACCAGGATGCCCTTTTAAAATGTGTTCGGAAATTGGTTATGATTATATGTTCAAGCTTCTCTTTATTTTTTTCTTTGATATAGACACTACCACCAGGTTTTTTTTTGACATTGGATTATTTAAATTAATTTGAAACTATTTGTTGAATTAATTAAAAGTGATAAAAAAAAAAAAAAAAAAAAAATCACAGATGATATACAATTAAGCATAATATACATAGCCTTAGTAATGCTGCGCGGAGGTAGAAGGCTCACGGATAGTGAACTTCTTTCGGTTCAAAACAGGAAACAATTCAATACAATTATGCATAATATGCATAGTTTTAACAATGCAATACAACTCAATTATTTATCATCTCTGTACATTTCTATAAAGTAATAGTTTGCTTTTTACCTAGACCTCCTTATTCACCACCTTACAAACTACCGATAGCGGTCTGGTGGTTTGGGATGGATCACTTAGTATAACTTGTTTTGTAAACTTAATTTATATGTTATTAGATTTAATCAAAAATTTATCTAAAATATACTCGTTGAATAGTAAAATTTACACCACAATGTCGAGCTCTGGTGAATCCAAATGCCGATCAAGGGACAAACACTCAACAAGTATTGACAAAGACATTGGAGTGGGACATTGAACCTACGCAACCGTATTTGATAAAATACTATCTATAATCTTAATTTTCAACTGTAGAACTAAAATCAAATTAAATTAAATTGTATTTACTAAATTGTTTATTGCTTTCATCAGACATTATTCATTCGTTTTCCTAAATTTAATATAATATTTTATTAAATATATTAAGCATTAACACATAGACCCTAATTAAAAGACTACAGTACAGCCGCCGCCGCCACAACTGCACCTTTCTTTCCTCCTACTCCGTCTTCTTGCCATCTGGTTTTTTTCGTCACCCGCTGTAGCCTACTGCCATTTCCTTCCTCTTTCTTCTTCTTCTTCTTCCCCATTCTTCTCCTTTCTCTCCGTTTCGATTTTTCCTTTAACTTCTTCCTTCAACATCTTGAACCCGCTCCTGCTTTGAGGGCGCCGACCTTCGTGTTCGGGGGCGACGAACCCTCCGGTTCTCTGTGTAGCTCCGCGGCGCGCTGATTGTGTATGTGTATCTTAGATTGATGAGTTGTTGTCCTTATCTGCGTTGAATTTTGAATTGTGCTGTTTTTTTGGGAAAATGGCCGTATTTGCCGACCAGTTTGTGGAATTGAATCAGTGGTATTGTTTTAATATGAACGTGTTCTGTGGTTGCTGCCTTTTTGTGAAATTAATACTTAGGGAACGTGATTTCATGTTTGGTTTTGCCATGAAATATTATTTGCTTTCACTTCAGTGTTTCAGTTTGAATTTTCAAGGAACTTGATGCGTTAACTGTTCTTCAAGCATTGGTTGCACATGGATGACCTTTCGCCAAAAGAATTTTCTAAAAACCATTGAATCTGCAATTGCCAATGTTCGAATTTACTGTGGAGTTTGATATCTAATGGTGCTTTCGACATATCTAGTTATTTGTCTTATGGTCTTCATTAATACAACTTCTTGATTTACTTGTATCTCTCAACCCAACCCTAAAATTATACTTATATCTTCAATGATGTGATCTGTGTATCAAAACTTGTCAATTTCACTTAAATTTGTTCTAATCCATTCTGATAGGAAACTGCCTGCTGGATATGATTTGCATTTGGAACCTATCTGTTGAGCTTGAACTTATATATCAGTGTGGTTACCCTTCCATTGATCTGTAAAATCGGGAATTCTATCCGGCTTGAACTCAGAAGATCTTTACTAGTTCCCAATGACTTTGCGCAAAGCCCCACATCCTCGACTTCTCCTCAACAACGTTTCCTGCATGAGAAATGGGCAGCAGATTCATCGCCACGTGAATGTCTCCCTCCACGACGGAGGAGCTCTGGTCCTATCCGGCCCCAATGGATCTGGAAAAACTACGCTTTTGCGCATGTTAGCTGGCTTCAACAAACCTTCTGCTGGCGAAGTTCTTTGGAACGGGCATGACATAACTAAATCTGGCATTTTTCATCAGTACAAGCTTCAGCTGAACTGGTTATCCCTCAGAGATGCCATCAAGGATAAGTTCACAGTTCTCGACAACGTCCTGTGGTATGAACTGATAGAAAGCAAGCAGGGGAAGTCGATGCCGGCGCTGGAGCTTATGGGGTTAGGAAGATTGGCGAAAGAGAAAGCGAGAAGGCTGTCCATGGGTCAGAGGAAAAGGCTGCAGCTTGCTCGGCTGTTGGCGATTGATAGGCCAATTTGGCTGCTCGATGAGCCTTCTGTAGCATTGGATGATGAAGGGGTGGAATTGCTGGAGTACATTATTAGGGAGCATAGGAAGAAGGGGGGAATTGCCATTGTTGCGACGCATCAGCCTGTTAAAATGGAAGATGCGATGATTCTGAAACTGCCTGCGAGGTTCCCCGGAAGGATGACTTTTGTGGATATGCTCGACCGTGATAAACTTGAGGTGGATTGATTAAAGCAGGTGTTTTGTGACTTGTTCTATGCTATATATCATCAGCAGCCATAAATTTTTGAAGGAATTGAATGGATGCTGTTTTGGGTCTGTTTCGATTAACTTGTGGTGCTTCATTGTATTGTGTGGTTGATTGATGATGCATCTTCTTAATATTGGCGTTTCTGTATGCAGCCATTGTATCATCCATTGGAAGGCAAGAGGACAAACTCCACAGGTAAATTCAATTTATTTATATTTATATTTTTATAGTTACTGGAATTTGCAAGAAATTTAGGTTTCAGTCTTGTACCTACTTTTGGTTATAAATTCAGTTTATTGTTGAGAGATGATTATTTGTTTTAGTTGATATTGGTTACAATCTGAATTGTGCTTATTCTTGAGAGTAGAGTAGATCATTGGTTAGTACACTTAGGTAGTGTTTGTCTGTGTTTTGATTTTTCACAGTTGAATTTATAATTATTAAAAATATATGTTATACTCCTGTCTCATGCAAATATATTTTTTTACTCTATCTGTCTGCCTGTCCATTCAAATGTACTTTTTTCTGTTACAGTAAAATAATTTTTATATTAATATTAAAATATATGAAATTTTTACATAATTTATGTATAAAAAAGATATTAAATGACTTCTAAATAAATTTTAATTTCTTTTTTTTATAAAATAATTTATATAAATCAATGATATAATATATATTATATACTTTTATTATTTATAAAGTGACTCCTACACTATATTGTAAGTTTATAACTCATATCTACAACAAAGCCGGAGTTGTTACCATAATTTAAGGATGTGTTTTGGATACCAATTTCAAATCAAATTTTCAATAAAAAATACACTATTTAATCTCATAAAGTATTAGTACATTATATAGACCAAAATTCAATTATAAAATATCAAATCAAAACCATATCAAATCAAGCATATGCTTTCAATTATGTTTTCATCAATATTTAAAAAATAATTAAAATAAATATTCTAATAATATTTTCAATGTTTCTAAACACGCATCTACAATTCAAAAAATTCATAATAGAAAAAAAATAAAGATATAAAAAATTAAATCATATGACAAATGTCTAAAGATACCTAAAAGTACTAAGTAGTTATTTCTACAACAAACAGTCAGAGACCAAAGCTGGGACTGACTCCCTTCTTATCAGCATTCAAAAATTGATACAAGAAATGTTAATTACAGGCACACATAGTTACGTTACATACAAATAGAAAAGCTCACACACTAGCATTAGGTTGGTTTCCAGCAAGGATGAGCGAGATTTCGAGGCCGCGACTAAATGCTTGGTTGAACATAAGCCGTGTCTGGAAAGTCGACACAAATGGAAACCACGAGAAAAGAGCAACGGGGACAAAGATGATCATACCCATTAAGGCATCGTATAGTCGGGCAATTGACCTCATAGACTTCCACAGCCCGATTTTCTTCACCAGCGGCTTCCATGCACAAGCGATCTGCCAAAAACATCAAGACTCACTTTCGAGCATAAACTCAATGGAAGTAATGGTCACAAAAGGCATGCATTATAATGATTCTAATCCAGTGGATCTCTTCTTATGCACTCTCATTACTGTAGCAATCGAACCTTTCACAAACACTCACTCTGCAATAACTATATAGTAAGTAATTCATATATAAAATTTAATACATCTATCAAGAACACATTGCATCCTGAAAATAACATCAAAATACTAGTATATGTAAGTGTCAACCTCAAGGACACTAGTCAACAATATGGAATATGGATTTCAAAAAATTATTTTTTAATATATAAACATGAAAAGAATGTTGCTTGTGATAAATCCTAAAATTATAAGGTTTGTACCTTTTGTACCTATTTTTAATTTGTTTATTATTCAACTCTCCTGGTTGATAATAAAAATATATCATACAATCTCACAAAACATCATATCATAATATTTATTAAATCAAAATTCAAATAAAAAACTCAAACCCAAACCCAAACACATCAACATAATAAATCTATCTTGTTATTAGCTTAGTTTTGACAATTTAAGGATCATTATGAAGATGGGAAAACTTACCGAAAGGATTGCCCAACCGGTGGGTAGAAAAGCAAGGAGACAAGCAAATATATCGCCAACAGAGAGGTTTGTAAACACAATGGCACAAATCAAACCAGCCAGTGCCATTAAAAATACTAAGCCTTGGACAAATCTTAGAAGCAACTGGAAATTGACCGACATTTTCTGACTAAAAGTGAACACCTGTGGAGTCAATATTAAACATTATTAACTGGGAATACTTGGTAAGCTAAGACATTGGTGAAATTAATTGCTGGAAAGATTCAATTTCTGCTTTTGGATGCATACCTTGAAAAGAATTATAAGCACTGCAAATGCTACCCAAGAAAACCCGTATACCTGTAGATGGAAACAGCTGACTAATTATATAGAAACAAATACTTAACGATGTGCAGCAAATAAATGAATCGAACTCTTATCCAGGCATGAACAATTGACAACAAATAAGTAAACTCTTTAAAGATACAGCAGAAAATAATTGAACTCTAATCTTAAAAACAATCAGCTAGCTGTTATCGAGAAAAAAAATGTCATCATTTGATATTCCACATAAGCCTTAATGCTAGAACATGTTGCCAACATTACTATCAAAAGCATGGTCTTCAAAATCAATGCATTAAAGGCAAATTTAAGGTAATTATCACTATAGGGAGAAGTATATACCGAAAGTGATTGACTGTCTCCCTTGACATCTAAATGGTAGACAATACCATACTGGAAGATGAAAAAACGTAGGCTCAGAATGGTTTCCATCACTCTGCCTCTGAAGTTACGAATATGTGACTGCACAAAGTGTTACATGTTAATACACTAATGTGGAAGCTTTACAAAGAGCTCCATAAACTTATCATATCTCAAAACTAAAGGGATAAGCTGCTTGAGCAAAACCAAGCTTAGTATCCATACCAGTTCTTCATCCCACCAAGCCTCCCAGCTTTCTTCTCCTTTAACTCCAATTCCACCTCTGTAAAAGAGCCAATTTGTCCAATCCCGAAAGTCTTCTACTGTTCTGATAATGACAAAAGATAACTACTCAGTCACTTTCTATTTTTTAGGTACACCAGAAATAAAATATATATATATATATACTTAGTCGGTCTTGCATCAAAGATTGCAGAATGGAGAGCTTACTTTTGCCACTCAAATCCAGATGGATTAAATAAATATGGAGCAAACAGCCAAGAAACAACTAGAATCCAACTGCTGATTGTGAGAAGAATATAGGATAGACCTTTGTTGTACCCAAATGCAAAGATAACAGCCAAAAGCAGCACAATTTCCATTCTGAGAACAAAAAATAAAAAAGAAGCTATTTGAATACATTCACAGAAACAAATAAATTCAGACAAATTCAGGCGCATGCAAGAGAGAGAGAGAGACCCCTTAACAAAATGACTTCGTGCATACAGCCTGTAGTTTTCAGTAAACTTGATGTGGCGAACCACAAATCCTCTACCAGTTGCTTGATACTGCAAAACAAGTTGTAGATCTTACAGAGAATCCAAAAGTGGCATCATTCATAGGAAAGAACTGTAGTGAACTGTACCCTGGCACCACCATGAAGAATAGTCCGACCAAAGTAATGTGTTTTGGTGCCCAATGAGAATGTGAAGAAGATGGTACAAAGCTGGAATTGCATTGTTACGAAACTAACCATAGCCTGTATTGCAAAGGTCAATGTAAATTGGTTATACAGGAAATAAAAAATAATAATAATAAATTATATAATTTAGATAGAAACATCTGTTAAAATCATTATTATTAATTTATTATATGTACAATAAAATCATGTTTATTTTAGATATGTTAATAATATAAGAGCTTATATTATCAAGTCCAGAAGGCTTATTAGCCCAAAAATCTTATTTTCCAAACATCCAAATAACTGTCATGGCTATTAATATACATTTGAAAAGCTCTATGGAGCAAGCTCTTGGTTCAAATTATCTTCTGTCCATCTATTCCGTTAATTGCCAACATACAACACTGCCTTCCAAGCCATTATCAAATGCATAAGCAATTGACAAGATGGACACGTGTGTGGTAACAAAGAATACACAAATGATAATATGGAGAAACTCCCAAAAGTTAAAAAAAGGAGCGGCCAAGTGTTAATGCAACATAGAGTGTTTCATCAAGGAAAACTGTCATGTGACTCTTGAGAACAATGGAAATGAATACGAGTATTAGATAAAGAAGTGAACAACAAAATTAGAATGTTGAAAGAACTTACCTAAAATTCATTCTCGCAAAACTCAAAAAAGACTGGCATACCTTCAGGAAACCCTGTTCCAAGATGAAGCCTAAAATCATAGGCACTGCTGTAAACACACCAATCTGGAAAAGAAACTGTGCGTTCAATGCTGCATCAAGAGAAGTATTCTGTAACACCTGGGCCACGTCATTCATGAACTCGCCAACACCAGACAATGCCTTGAAAAGAATAAGACATGATGTAAGCAAAAATTCAACAAGTTTACAAGGAAAAGGCGTTAAAAGAGGGGTGTTTGCACATCTGTTAATTCTTCAACAAGCTACCAAGATGTTCAATAGTTAGCCTTAAGAAAAGGTTGGACAGGAATTTCTGTTCCCTTGTTTACTTATGCGTAGGGCCTACCAAATGTTAAATGGCAGGTCTGCCTCGCTCACTTCCTCGATAGAAAAGGGAAGGGTTCAATTAATATTCCTTCTACTAAGAATTATTAATTGAACCCTTCCCTTTTCTATTGAGGCCAAAAAACAAAGTATAGCCTCCCGTATAGACCAAAACTTACCAAGTATAGCCTAAAACTATCAAGTATAGAAATGGGCACAGCAGCAGGAATGAAAATCTAATTATCAATGTCAAAACAAAGTATTAGGCCAAAAACTTACCAAGTATAGCCTCCCGTATAGAAATGCATACACTGTCAGCACCGTCAACTGCACACATTTTTCATAAAAATTAAGTTATGATGAAACTTCAATTAAAATACAGTAGCATGAATATGAACTCTACCCACTTCAGAAGTACACAGATGGCACACTTTTCCCATCAAATGGGCACAGCAGCAGGAATGATACAAGATAAACCAAAATGAAGGAATAACCAAAAAATAATAATATAACTAACCATGGTACAGAAATAGTATCCAACTGTCGTGAAGTAAAATGAGAGCATCCTGAAGAAATCAAACAGCTGCCCAAGCCTGTAAACATCCCTACTAAGCACTTGTTCGCCATTGCCGCCAGCAACCTTGCCCTCGAAAAGTGCAATTTGATTGAGCCCAACATCACGTCCCTTACCAACCTGTATAGCATTCAATAAGCCTAGTCCATACCTCAGAATGTCCTTAAAGGATGGCAGGCACAATACCTGAATATATTCATGGTGAGTCACATTTCCCTGGCGTAATGTTGTATTGAAACCTGCAATTTTCCAACACTAAATCAGAAAATAACATGGCAGTCATAGTTTAATCCTGCATCTTAGAAAATCAATAATAATAGAATACAGAGTTACACTATGCATCGCCTGGATACAGATGAAAATAAAAAGCAGTGTTTCATGCTAGTTTTATGCGTGCTACAGTAATAAATAAATAAATAAAATTCAACTCCTATAAAAATCACAACAAACACATAATTTCTATTCAAAGCTCATACCAAACACCTATTTTTCATTAAAAAATATTATGTCAAGACCTATTTTCAATTTAATATTTGTACTATTCCAAAAACACAGAAACAAAATCATACTGGACATCAAATTAAATTTGATAATGATTAGAGACTTACTACATAATGACTATTTTAGAGAGATTTTTTGTTCTAAACTGTGTTCTTTTATACTTCTTCTAATATAACAGCTAGGGTTGTCTTTCAACTTTTACCCTCCCTTTAGTAGCAATATTTAAAAAAACAGCATATATTGCCTCCAAAAATATAAAAAATATATCTATGTAATGACACAAAAGCAAACAACATTATCAATATAAAAAAGTACCTGCATATATATCTTCACTTATATTGATAACACGGGATGCTTTGCTGATCCCTCCCCTAGTTATATGGAAAATTCTATCAAAAACATCGGGATGCCCATAATGCATACGGCACCTAAAGAAGATCACAAGAGGCATCATCAAACACAAAAATATTAACTTGCACCCTGCTACCATTGGAAAGCAAGTATGACTCACTTCAAAGGATTTGCCAGAACACGCTGGCCGAGTGTGACAAAACTAGTTTCTTGATTAGACATGAAGGATGCCAGAGAAGAAACACTGCATCGTCAAGCCAAGAAGTTAAAAAGGGTGCAGGGCAGAGAAAGCACAGATGTATATTCATACGACTTCAAATCACCTTCCAGTAAATACATGCTCCCTAACACCTAGTATTGTAGGGGAACGTAATCCATGGTCGCACAAAAACTCTTCAAGAAGATTTCTCATCTTCAATGCTTCCTCAAAATAATTGTCCTGGTGTGGATGGAAAAACAATATAAAATAAAGTAAAAGATTCTGAAATATCTGAATGGATACAGGCCAAGATACTTACGAGAATATAAGTCATATAAGAAAGACAACCACCAAAAACTTATTTATCTCGTCCTAAACAACAGGAACTAGTAGTGGTGGATGACCACATCCAGCCAAATTTTTCATAGATATGAATGTCGAAAAACAAAACATAAAAAGAATTAGAGAGACAAATATCACTTAACTCCTAAAGAAAGAGTTTTTGATATTCCTAAAATTTATTCACTACTTTTCTAAAAAATAAATCCACCAACCATGTGATAGGGGGATATTATAAGATCATCTGAAAATAATAATAATAATAATATATATATATAACAAGTACAATACTAATATTAATCAACCTTCTAGGAATATAGCAGAACTTTTTTGGCTACAAATAAAGTGACAATCAACTACATCTTGTTACTATATTATCACCAACAACATGGCTTACGAGAGAGTAGGACGTATCAAATTAACAAAAATCCTAATGTGACAAGATGATACAGTACAATATGGGAACTTTTGTAACTGGGCGATAGAAAGCATACCTGGTTCATGTCAATTGTCTGCACAGCATTACCACGTGTGAAGACAACAGCATGATTTTGATTCTCAGGCTTCCCTTCACCCAATTTAGGATTTCCTGGTAGTTTTATGGAATAAATCTCCTGTATCATATTATCAATTTAAGTCATAAAAATGCAGTTTGAAGAAGGAAAAATAAAAAATAAAAAATCCAACAAAGATATATGGGTGAGCCAAAACTAAAGAATATTCACATACAGCAATATGAGTTATGAATGAGTGAATTGGTACACTGAAAAGATAGTTGGCAGGAAGCTTCCTTCTGATGTAAAATTATAACGATAACAAGTAATAAAATAAAATTTGGTAAACAACTTTCTAATGGAAGCTCGGGCACCGCACAAGAAACCAAGCACTTACTCTCTTTTCCAGAAACTAGTTTTTTGGTTATTCACACTCTACAAAAGCCTATTTATTACATTCAACCACAAATAATCAGAGGTGATAACTTGACAAAGAAGAGGGTAAGAGAATAGATTAGCTGCCTTATTGACTTTTAAAGCAACTGGAAGGAAAAACGCAAACCTTGTCTTTTCCGTTGATATCAGCCTTCACAAGTTTTGAGAAATATTCTGTGAACACTTTTCCATCTTTCAGAGTTTCAACCACATCGATGAAAGCAACTCTAAGGGCTTCATTTCTGTAATTAGTAACAAGTAAATGCAGTAGAATGACAAGGTGAAAATTTTCTCAGTAAAAATAAACAATATAAGCTAATGTCCATAATATGTTGTCATAGCTTCAGCAATATCAGGATTTGACTTCCATTCAGCATAACAAAAGATGATGATATTGAATTAGCATGGTATCATATAAAAGTAATGGTTTAGAAATGTAGGCACTAGGCCATAAAATTAGTCCAGTCCATGATACCGTTTATTCTTCCTACATTATTGCAATATGTGTACTTGAGGATGTTTCCTTAAAAAATACTAGTTTTATGACGAATTATTAAACTATTTCTAAGCTCACTTCTATTACTATTACCCAATGTAGTCAAAGAAAATTTGTTTGGATATATAATTGTGACTTAAGGATTATTGTGCTCACAAATTTATTTTTTAAACATGCAAATATTAAATGTACATCATTTAATATATAAATAACAATGCATCACATTCAAATTGAAGTGGACAACTTAATACAATACCAAACCTTTGCATCAACAAAGCAATATCCGCAGCCTCAGGTTTACGTTCTTCTTTCTGCTTTCCATATATCTGACAGGTAACAACATACGTAAATTTGAGATCTGCTTGAGCTCTTGCTTCTGGAGACAACTCAAAACCTTGAACATCAGCTGATTCTTTTCTATTGATTCCCACTTCCACATCTGAATTTTAATGACCCCTCAGATACAGGCACACAAACAACTTATGAACAGATGGAATTATTAAGTCATCATTAAAATGCAAACCTCCAACTAGCATTCGTTCAATATAAGCTTGAAGCATTAAGGCTTTCCTGTAGTACATCATTCCCCGAACTGTTCAAGTAAGGATATAAGTGAAAACAAAGTCATAAACATAAATACAGAAATAAAAGCAAAAAACCCATGGAGAAGCATAAACTCTAATTCCAGTAGGTAGGGTATATGAATGTTGAAAATCAACTTCTCACAACTCCAGGACTAGGAGCATTAAATGACTAGCCAGTATGTATCAAAAAATTATGCCATGCAGAAATAATCTTTTTGGCATGACAATTAGTATCCAAAGAGATGATCATAGGATAATGAAAATTATACAACTTAGTTGTTTCCTGCATACTTGATAGAAATGAGAGTCATAAATTATACTCCTTCGGTCCCGTGACCACATTGTCATTTTTGTATATCCCACATTTCATGTCACTTTCTTTTTTTTAAAAAAAAAAAAAAACATAAAGTTTAATCTCATTTTAAATTTTTTTAAAATTTTAATTAATTATAATTATAATAATTCTTCTACTAATACATTCTTAATTATTTAATAATTATATCCCTTCTAAATTGCAGTGTCTACAATATCATGGACATAAAAGCTGGGACGGAGGGAGTAGCAGTTAATGATCCATGATTAATACAGTTATAGTAGTCAATGGTTTTAACTTCAACAATAAGGAAATGCAAACAATCATTATCCTAAAGAAACTGTAGAAACAAAAGGACAAATAAGAAGAATGATTTCTAGTGTAGTGTGCACTAGAAATGAAGGACTACTATCTAGAATAATGGTATGAAGGCACTGAAGATGTACTTCAGAAGACAATCCCTCACTAAAGTCACATGATGTGCAGCCAAAACAGTGATAAACTCACTCTGATGCTAGATTAGTACCAGCACCATGGTGTGGCATTTGATTAATAAGCTGGCAACAAAAGCAGAGAAGTGTGGTTTTAAGCTGAAAACAACCAATTATAAAACTGAAGAACACCCACCAGTCCTTGCTAATGTTTGTCCTCGATAAGAAGCCCAAAACCGTAGCTCAAGAATATGCTCTGCATTATCAAAAAGATCTAATTCTGTTGTGTTCTCATCACGTCCAATCCGAGCAAGAAAATTTTTCCATTCATCTGCAACACAAAAGATAAGATATCATCAACAAAAGAAAATCAGTGCAATACTGTTCTGATGAAGTAGTGTAACCTTACAAAGCTCGTTTATAAATCAAAATATTACTAGAAACAAGAAATGATGATCTATATTATCAGATCCAGACGTATTCAGAAAATTCTAAATCGATAATCTATCTATATACTAAACCAAGATATTATTGCATGAATAGCAATTTCCCCCGAATGAGTATATCCTCACCAGATAAAAAAAGGTATACTGAAAATTCATAATTTCTCACATTCGTATAAAATAAATGTTAATAGTACATTTGATCTTTCGAACCTTGATATTACCATAATCAAGCACATCATATCTGTTTGGTTTGTGTTTGCATAGTGGTTTAATTTGATGAATTGTGAGATGGAATAATGCATTTTTTTGGGGAGCGTGAGGATTAAAAATGCATTATTCCATCTCACAATTCATCAAATTAAACCAAACAAAAAAAAAAATGTTAAAAGAACAGAGCCTATGTAACTTTATTTGTATGCTAGAATTATGACAAGTGTATAATTCTTAACCCTAATCTGATACCATGAATTCTGAGAAAGCTCATATCATGTATAGTAACATAAAATGCAGTACCTGGATAGATCTTTTGCAGGTAAAACAAAGTAGAAATGCCGTCCTCATTTTTCCTACGAAGTTCATCCATGCTGTAAAGCACAATCTCCGAGTAATATGGAGTGAAAACACTGTAAAAACATCAACTACTGTCACAAACATATCCGATACAATTAATGGCTAGAATCATGAAATAAAAAATGAAGCTTCTACCTAAAAGATAACATCTCTCGAACTGGCTTAGCAACTGGCATCTCCATAAAAAGAGAATTAGTGAAAAACTGAAGACGCCTTTGAGCCTCGAGATTTTTAGGAATATTTGCAGCAGAATCTTGGATGGTCAGGAGTGAATACAATCTATTGATTTGTGCTTTCTGTGCATATATAAGTACTTTAGCTCCCGCTCATTAGAGAATTTTCTGATAGATGAATTCAAAATGGGCATACAGATGCAATAAGCATACCAGCTCTTCATCTTTAGGCCACTTCAAGTTTTGAAAGAGACGGCCTTCAGTCCTTGCTTGTGTGAGGATATTCCATGTCTCCATATTATCTCTGCAAGTGAGTGGTAGGATTCAATGCAGAGTGCAGACATTAATTAAAAAAACAAAAAAAAAGAACAACCTAGCATCTACACAAACCTCATGTTGATATATAGGACATCAATTCTCATAATATCATACAGATCCAAAATAGCTTTAACAGCACTAGCTTCAACGTCACGGGTATGATCCGTTTTCTGCACAGAAAAAAAAAAAAAAAAAAAATTCAAAATATGGGCAACCCAACAAAATACCTGCAGCGAGGCATACACTGCAATCTAAAAATAAGAATGACTTCCACAATGACAAGTGACAAACTGAAGTAACATACTACCAAATGAACAAAATGATGTACCAACCAAACAGGCTACAGAAATAAACTGTTTACTTGTAAAAGCATTAGCAATCTCCCAATATCGCTCTAAAAACACTTCATCTGACAACTATTTCACCACACTAAAAAACAATAGCAAAAAAACCCAAACAGTAAAAAAGAAAAAGCAAACACTAATTGCTTTACCCACTATGGGCTATAAACATTTAATTTCAAACTCTCAAATCTTCTGTTCTTTTTTCCTTTATTTTTGGGAGGTACTTTTAATTTTTCTTTGTGTAAAGATGGATATACCCAAGCACATCAAACATTGACATATTTTACTTAACTAATGCAAAAAACAGCTGGGTTTCAAACCAAACGATACTGCTTTTGACACAGATAACAAAACTTAAAGCAACATAACCACGCAGAACAAGCTGCAACAATAAAATTACAAGGGAAAAAAAAAACCATTCCATCCAGCAGCACTGAATAAAGATCAAAGTGATGAAAGAACTGACAGGTTAGGTCTAATGTATACAAACCAGAATTCCAAGCAGTCCCTTAATTTTTGATATAACAGTTGGTAGTTTATCCAGCCGCAAGTCAGAGTGAATGGATCGGTTCACTATACTCCCATGAATGTCTTCATATATCCTTTCAACCCTAGTATGTTTCCAAGAAACATTATAATAACTAGATATGATATCTGAAAGCATCAAAATCTAAAACTTAATGACCTTACCATTTCTTTCCTTTGTCGTCCAAAATAGACATAAGGATAAATTTGATGCTATAAAAGCATTCCTCAACAGCATATTTCATGTAATCATCCTTCGAAATTCTTTCCCAAAGCTCATCTTGGGATTCTCTATTCTCTAAAGCAATATCCTTTGCAAGGAATATCTGCATGATTCGGTAGGGAAAACAAAAAAGGTATTCAGATTACTGATACAAAAATCATGTAATTCAAAGACACAGGCAGACCTTGCTAACTAGAAGGAAAAGTGGCCACTGGACAAGGGGCAGGCTTCCTGAATTCTTGGGCATTTGAAGCAACTCCACTTCCCTATATGTGAAAGAGTACAATGCAACAATTAGAACGGAATTCAAGCATCTAAAGTAAATGCTGCAACTTCAATATATATATGATAGGGAAAACTGTAAAACTCACGAATTGCTAATATAATCCTCCTCCCTTAAATTCTTTATGATTTCATTCCAAAATGGAGAAAATCGAGCAGCATCAATTTTGTTCTTTTTCACACCCTTCAGCGAGACAAAAACACATCAATGATATATTAACTGGTAAACAGCACCTTAATCAGACAATGAGGAAAATGAAACTACATTTTGCCATCAACCAACACTAAAATGGCATGATCATATCCATGCTCTGATAGCATGCATATCTAATTCAAGTAAGTCAAAGTTCATCAACCATCTTTTCGTACAAGTATATAATATTAGATGATATGTAAGAACAATATACTTAACGTTCTTTATAGTAATTAACTTGCCTGAAAGTGAGATGCAGAAAACAATCACTATGCTAGTTCGTTTTCCTGGCTTAAGAAATTATAGACTTTACAAGGTCCAAGGGTTTAGATGGGTTTGCAAGCCACAAACTAACCAACAGTTTTCCATGGAATAGGAATCTAAACAAACAGAAACTTATAAGCAAAGTTTCAAAGTCATTTTTATTTCTTCATAGAATAAAATGTAATAATTTAAGCCACTCATCAATACAGAAAAAACACAGCAAAGCAAAGATAATGGAAAAAGAAATTATGAAGTTCTTCATAGTTTCTTTCTAATTTATACAAAAATTGCATATCTTTCATTATGCCTAACATCAACTAAACTATGCAGAAAAATATGTAAGACAAGATGAGTAACTGGTTTTCAATGGACATGTTACTAACCTCACCAAATGATTCTGCGGGAGCCCTGTAAAAGAAAGTTATAATTTAATTACACTTATAAATATAAAGGGCAAAAGGTTCACAGATTATCAAGCTGAATAAAGAACCTGTTAGGCAGTGGTGCATGCAAAGTATTTATAAATGCAGCGGGAAACTTCTCAAAAAGTTGGTGAACAGCATCAAGAGACCTAATCTGAACATAATAAAATAGAGAACTTGTTTAAGGATTAAAAAAAGACTATCAATTAGAACCAATCCATTCTAATTGAAGAAAAAGACAAATCCATCCCAAATTCAATGTGTATCCACATGGATTAGAAAATGCCAGGATTTCTATAAAGAAACAAAACAATTCCATACACTACCTCTCCAAGGCGATCTCTAGCACCCAGCAGGAAGCCCCATACCGCAGATATAATAGTGTAGAATATATGGATATCCAAGAGATAAATCTGCATGCAAGTGTAATCTAGTTTAGGAATAAATGCAATTACCAATCATCAAACACCTTAATGCCATCTAGCATTGGAATTTAAAATTCCAAAAATGCAAAGACTCAAAAGCAGGGAGAATGGAACAAGGAAATGGATCTCCTGTGGAGGGATTGATCTCTCTCAAATATTCCCGTTCCACCATGTACCTTTGTACTATGCGATCATTGACCTTATACAATATTATCAAAAACTATTTTACTCTCCAAAAATAAATAATAAATAATTGCAGAAGTAAAAGGATAAGTACACATACGAGGAGTACAGGTGCCCATAAGCTCGCTACCGTCAGAGCATTATAGTTATCTAGCAGGGAGAAACAAATCGTAATAAGCAAGAAACATGTGAGAAAATGTTGAGGATCGTACCAAGAAAATTTATAATTATTGCATTATCCTATCAATAAGAAATTGAGATAAATAGTTCTTCTTAGGCCCACAAAAATCTCCCCAAGAAATCAGTATGACATACTAGGAGCCGTTTTTCTCCAAAACTTATGCAAGAGTAATGGAAAAGAAAGGACCAGGACAAAGTTTTTGAATATTATTCAACATAGGCACAAAGAGGATGTGACAAAGTTCAATTGTGGTCTACTGTGTCAATCGCATTCACACGAAGCTGAAAAATATGTTATAAATCACAAGTATTAAAGTTGTAACTTACGTTTTGACACAACATCATGCCATGAATATCTGACTACTGTCTGTCTTACTATTTCCTTTGTTGGTTTCACCAATGGCTGAATCTGAAATCATTAAAAACAAACTCCATTTCAATACCAAAATGTTTTAGATGCTGCAAATAGAAGGCAACTAGCCAAATCATGTGAAAGTAAGACTTAAGAGATACGAGTCAACACTTGCCAGTAGAAAATAAGCAAAAGAAAATTTGCCCCCAAGCACAACAAGCCAGAAGAACAAATATCTGCAGTGCATGAATGAGAACAAATTAGAATTTCCATCAAAGCACAAACATATACCACATTCTAATCAATAAATTAAGAGGGGGGAGAAAAAGAAAACAGTCAAAAACTTATCAAGTTGCAGTGAGATAATGTCAAAAATATTTCTCAATATCTTTCTTCATTTGAAACAGTTTTATCTCAGAATTTCATCAAATAACAAGAACAATAATCTGTAACAGAGATTAAGTTAGGGTAAATCAATATCAAGAACACAAAATAATAAATGAGAGTAGATTGGATATGAAATGCAGTTGAGAAATATATCAATTCTCAGTTCCAGAAAAAATACAAGACCACAAAATAATAAGGCTTATTTCACTTGGGAATTATTTCATTCTTTCCTTACTATTCAATCCTCACGATTCACTATAAAACTACAACATCGCAACCAAACCATTATTCAAACCAAAAACCAAATAAATAAATAGATAAAATTCACCAACTGAAGGATTTGCTGGTTTGAGATTCAAACAATCTTTTTTTACTATTCAGTCCACACGGTTTTCAATAAAAATACATTATTTCATCTTACAAAATCTCGCATCAAAATACTATTTAAACTAAAACTCAAATCCAAACACAAACCAAACAAACCCAAATTCTTGCCCTTCCTGCATCAACAAATTGCTAATTCAGTGTAACTCATGCTGTCATAAAAAACAAGGAAAGTAGTACAGCATGTAGACCTTGAAATGTTATCCAGCCAAATAAAATGGTAAAACTAACTTTTCTTTTTGTAAACCTTAAGTTTAGTTAGAGTGTGATTGTTTGGGGGATTTTTCCCAAAATGTACTATTCATCAAATTTTTTCACCCAAAAAACATCAAATCAAACACGTAATTATCATTTTTTATATTATATTAAAAATCAATTTTATATTCAAAACATCATATCAACACCTATTTATATCACATCATACAACTATTCTAATTCAAAATTTTTACTATTCAAATCTCAACTCAAAATCCAAACCCCCAAACAAACACACCCTTACTATAAACACAGGTGGACACATGTGTGCATGTGTGTATACACACATACATATATATGAAAATCCAGAAAGAATAGTAGAGAAGAGATCTAGTGATTACTTGAAGAAATCTGAAGCACTTTCATACATGCCCCGACCAACATAATAGTGTTCCTAAATTGAAAAAAGAAAGATAAATGTAAAGGCATTGTTCTTAAGCATAATTTACATCATTATGTTAACATGCAAACCTGGTGCATCCACTTCAAAAAGCGGATTAAAAGCCAATTGTCACATCGATTTGAAAGGCGGTGACATGCTGGAATACGCAACAAGAAACTCAAGAAGAACTTTGTGCCAGCATAAATTGATAGAACTATGATATAGATTTTGTATGTAGCAGAAGAGCAGCTGTTATCGGTGTCTGTTAAAGCTCTCCTGAAATTACCAAAAACTAAATAACTAAATAATCAAGAGGACCATTGGTAGCACAGAGGAGAACAGTACTAGAAGAAAAGAAAGAATCACACAGTTTCCATACACATAGAGAAAACAAATGAAAGCCGAAGCCAAGCCATAGCTAAGAAAACGGAGAAAAATTCTGGTGAGGGCTAGACGCCTTGAGGTAGAGTATGCCCCATACATCATCATGACATCCAACACGCCTAACAAAAAACCAAACAAAAGAAAATGCCTTGAGAATTTACATAAGTCAGAAGAAAGGGGTAGACCTTTAGTAAAATACTTTTCAAAACCAAAAACTGGAAAAAGAAGAAGCATATATTACTCTTCAAGAATTTCATCACAAAATAAGTTGGTCCGATGCTAAGAGCTAGTCGGATGGTCTTGCAATCAAAATTGCCTCCATGAAAAGCAATCACCACAAGTCCCTGAAAATAGAAAGGTAACAAGTTCAAAAAATAAAGCAACAAGGGGCTAACTTGTAGCATTCCGGTCCATGAATTCAGGGAAATATTCAGAAAGGATCATATGCACATGCACATAAAATCATCCACATTTTGTGTTTCAAAGATTAATTAATGTATAGGAATATGATTACATCTGGAACATATTTGCAGTTTGAAAAGGAAAAGAGAAAAACTGTTCTTCCACTAGGAGTACTGTTTTACCCTTCATTTCCAACAGAATAATATGCAACTTCACAGTTAATGTCAAACAATAAATATCCATAGTAAGCAAAATTTTGAAATTAGTACAAAATTATTATACTATTAGGAAAAGCTATTGAACTTGCTACAATATGATAAAAGAATAAGCTATCTCCTGAATAATGTTATAAGACCCAGATACCTCAAAGAAACGATTTTTTCTAATTAAATTTTCAGATTTTAAAAAGCTTCAAATTTCTTCCTTGTACTTTTGATTGTGACCCTCTGAAATGCACATGCACCACTTCCTAGGAACTTATATACTTCATCTAGGGTCTGTGCAGCGAATAACTATAACATGTAAGCTCAAAGCATCAGCATCTTCTTTAAAATCTCACTTCAAATTATTGCAGTCAAACCTGGAACATCATGAAGAGGAACAACCACAGACGATGAAAACTGTGATATAGATGTAGAAATGTCCTGTGTTCAACAAATGATGTTTTGCCACAACGATTGCTCTGACTAGTAGATTTCAGAATATTCTGCAAGCGAAAAAAATTAAACAGAAAATATTATAAGTGCATGAGATGCACCAAGCTTTCAGTGATGAGAGATGAGGAAAGGAACGACCTGTAATAGCCTCAAACTCTTTGCTATAAATATAAATTAACTATTAAACAAAAGTTCAGAGATCTACACGCTAATGCCAGGAAATTGTCCAGTAAAACAAGTATTTAAAGCAGCAAGTTGATTATTATTATTATTCAAACCAGACCTGCACTATTACATGAATTAACCTACCATTACAACAGAAAGGTCAAACAGGATTGTTACTACACAAGCTAACTAGCAACTTGAGGTTAAAAATAATAATAATTAATCATCAATTTTGTGGGTGTTTTCCTTTTCATATAAAAATTTAATAGATCAAAAATAGCAGACAAGAGCAAGAATGTAATTAATGTTTCTTGGAACTACAGCAGTTACAGTAAAAGTAATGAGTAACCTAAGGAAGGACTAAGGGGCATGCAGTCTATAAAAAACATTCATAAGTTTGACCGCTGCACTGAAATAAAAAGTGCGACTGGAAATCTTTTAACCATTCAAGCAATTTTTAAGATAATAAGTTAGTAAGGAAACATCTTATATTTAAAATGGCATGGATGAGTTCACAGTGAATAGCAAGGTGCTAAATTAAATAATCACCATTCATTCTAATTAAAAATATCCAAAGTTATTAATCATACTTCTTCAATCATAAGATGAAGCCCCAACATACTCTATACATTTAATAGATATGAGATTTTGAGAAGGGGGGGGGGGGGGGGGGGGGGAAGCATATTATGTCAGGATCTATCCAAGATTTTTCATGAAGCTACAATTCGTATAAAGCAATCAGTAGATACTGATATCAGATTCTTCCTATCCGGATGCCTACAATCTTATAAGCAGATATGAATCACATTTATTAATGATATGCATTCATGATTAAAATTGGGAACGAATAGCCAGTTGCACTCTTGACAGTTGAACTCCTAACCATGTTGCAAAATTTACAACTCATAGTGCAAGTCTGAAGCTATATAGAAGAAATTAATCTATATACAATATAATAGGAGATTTTATGACTGATAAACAACACATATTTTCATTACCTTAGACCTAGGGGTTGGCTTTATGAAAAATGGTGAACTCTTCCGCCATGGCCAACTCAATTCAAAGCAACTTAGTGACCTTAAGAAGGAAACAAGTTGAATGTCACCAGAAAAGAAAAAAGAAAGAAATATCAACCACTCCATTAGAAGGAAAGATAACATCCAAACTTTAAGGAACAATAAAATGCTGGAAATTTTTCCAGCATAACAACTTACCAAAAATATTCATTGAAATCATCATAATTTCTCCAAGCTGAATGAGGTGCTCGGCCGTTGTCATTATTTGAAGCTTCCTTTATATCAAAATTTTTATCCAGACAAAGATGTGATGTTAATTTCCAGAAAAACAAAAAATATTACCAACATGTAAACAGCATAAACTTTATTAAATAACCTATCACTAGATCATCACATTTTCCCACCAAAAGTATTTAATATTTGGACATACCGCACAAACTACATCATAAACCGGGCGTATAACTTGGTCAAGAAATGATACACTAGAATCATCAGAATCAGATACACAACTGTTGGCAGGCTTTGCATGCTGCCCTCGTATATTCTCTTCCAGCTCCCTTCCCATCTGTAAAATAACATCAATGGTCTAAGAGATGGAATTTGGATTGAAAGGTAATATAAAAACTATACCAGAATAGAGAATGAAGCATTTACTTCCACCCCACCCCAAACAAACCAAACATAGCATAACAGAAATAGGTCTTTATTATCAACACAAATATTGCCTGAAAATGAAAAGAACTTGAGCATTTCATATTCAAATTTTTTACAAACAAGCAAAGATTTAAAATGTGGCTAAATGAAATATATAAGTTTTATATCAAATTGTTCCCCAACATAAGAGTAGACAAGAAATTAGGTCAAGAAACACAGGTTCACTATAATTATAACTCAACGAAAAGTACCACTCCTAGCACAAATAGTTGACATTGACTTACATGATGAAATATGTAGCATAAGCATTCTGGAAGGAACCGCACATTCGCAGCTTCGCCCCATATTAAGAAGTACAATGAAATGAACAACAGCTTCTTCTCTTTGCTTACAGCATCCAAACTGCAGATTTACATTAAGTTATAACTTATTTGAGATTGATTATAGCAGGACAACTGTCCTCCCAAATCTACAGTTAAAGTGATGATTATAAAGGATTATTTGGGTGCTGTGAACATACCTGCCCAAGAAAGCTGGAATTCCCAAATAGTTACACCACTTAATGTAGTTGTCTAGAGACTTCAAAAACACTCTTTGCACAGCAGCCTCATCCAACATCTAGGGCAAAATAAAAAGGGAACAAGATAATATTGCAAAGTGATGTGTCTTAAATAAAATGGGCAATTAACATTCTTTATCATTTTACATGTCAAAGGAAAAGCTATAAGACAAGTCAATGCAACTAAGCAGAACCACGTTTATCAAGGCCAATTTCAGAGCCTAATCAGCATTGAATTTCAAAGAATATCCAAAAAGGGAATTCTAAAAACTGTATCTTAAAACATCTTTGCAGTACTAAGGACTCAATTAGCATTCCAATCATTTTCCACATTTAAGTGAAAGGAAAAAAGAAAAAGACAAGTAAATACAACTAGACCAAATCACCCAAGAAAATTAACGGCTGGTTGAGAGCATAATCGCAATTGCACTATAAACTTAAGCAATAAGAATTCCCTCTGCAAAATATAGCAGTATATATAGCATAATGAATAAATTTATTATGAACAAATGAAGCACGATGTCTCCTAGCCTAAACCCATTAATCCAAAGCATGATGTCCTCAAACAGTTCAACATTGTTAAACTGAGAACATAAAAGTAGCTTAATAAATGAATTTTGAAATCACATAACTATCATTACCCAACAAAAAAACAATATAAATACCACAATCATGGAAGAACACTTCCCAAATAGAGGAAAGTATCAAACATTAACAAAAGGCAAAGTCACCTATCCTGCAGCAATAAAATATCCAAGATTCACCTCCCTGCTTTCACAATTCAATCTCAGAGAGAAGCTAGGCATGCTAGATCTTGAATACATAGCAAACTAATCACATAAAAGAAATTCAACTTACTGGATCAGGTTCCTCAAGAACCCGAAGCCGGCTTTGCTCATTTGCAAGAAGATGAATAACATGCTCTCTCTGGTTTGAAATGTTATCTTTCTGCCAAAGAAACAAAAATTCAAGGAAGAGAACATAAACAAGAACCTCAAAATCTAAAGTTGAACATGTCAATAATTAAAATTAAACTAGCAAGTCCTTTGTGTACATAATTTTCCTCTGATGATTATGCTGATGTCTATATTGTACCCATATAAACAGGTACCAAACTTCAAGCATGAAAATTTTATCAGGGATTCAATAACATTAAGACCTCTGGCACATACATTACCTGGAAGAATGGCTGAGCCATACAATTCACTTATATATTTTTTTATTTTCACCCGTCCCAACTTATCTCAAATTTAATGCAGACTGACGTGATGGCATCCACATAGCTAGTTTTATATGACTAAATGGCTGCAATTAGGGTAATAAAACTCTTAGCTCTCTTCCCATGATTTGATTATATATATCATCTTAATATAAAATTTAACAAGAAGAAATTGATACATGACGATAGTAGATTCTAATAAGTACTAACACCCATGCCCTTTTACTCAAAAACACATTGACATTGATAAATAAAAATATTACACAGTGAAATTTATAAGTATAGACAAATGATGATTGCATATCCTTATATCAGCAAGCTTTAAAATATTTCTTAGCGGAGCAAAATCAAAACCATGCAGCACGTATACAGCTACTATGAATGGATCCATACATGCGAAAAGCATAAACCTCACCAAACCCAACACCCATTGCCAACTAACCTGAAAACCAAAAGTATACTGCAAAAAATCAAATATATCTAAACTCCTTGAAGACGGTGGGGAGAAACTTCCAGGTAATTTTGGAAGATCCCTATAATACTTTAAAGATGATATTGCTCCTCGCACCTGACATTCAGATTAACAGTCAATACCATATACATCCATGAATGGGAATATCATACATCAAAATATAGACCCATTGCACCTCCGGAAAAGACACAAGAGGATTCGTTACAGCAGGAGCATCAAGAGGAATAATATTATAGGGAATTAAATCTTCTGTCATTGCAGCATCCGACTCCATTACCCGCTTCATCTGGAGAGTGAAAAATGCCATTAGGGTAATCATCATAAATGCAAACCTGCCAACTCGAATGTATGGGAAGAATGTTGAGAGTAAAGAATATAAGACAAGAAAAGACCCAGCCAATGAAAGAAAGGAAGGCTATTCTCAACCACTGCAATTATACAAAAAAAAAAGTTGCAAAAAGAAGAGAGCTGGTTCTGCCAATGCAAGACATATTAAAGGAAATTTTCAAAATATTTCTCGAGGACACCACTCACAATAAACTAATCTATCATAATATATACATATATACTAGCATTTACAACATATTTAATAAAGGTATTGACAAAAACCCCTAGCAAACGGTCTTGCCTCACTGGTGGAGGCGATGAGCTATCTATCCAGTTATAATGTTATATCCTACATAACTCCCCTCTTCTGTATTTCTAGGTTCTGCACAGGGCTTAGAGGCTAGTCATTCCTACATTGTAATCTATGATTTCGCCGTGAAGTAATAAAAATAATTTAAATCCATCCATCACCTACATTCAAATTCATTGTATCATGTATCCATGTCTACACACATTTAAATACATCAACACTAATCACTAGCCCCCTCCATATCATTCGAGGAACAAATCATATAACATGGATTAGAAAACTAACCAAATTTATGCTATTCAATGCATTTTAACACCGAAGCACGAATTAATTTTATGTCTAGGATAAGAATATTCTTTGGAAAAACTAATCTAGATGCTACACAACTTTCCTTGAACAAAAATTGATGTTACTGAAACCAAATAAAAACAGTAAAATTTCAGCAACAGTGTAATAAAGGTGACAACCAAAATGATGTTACACAAGTTTACTGGACAGAATTACAATCAATATTATGCCTTTGTGTTAATTTCAGAAACAAACTAAAGAACAAATTTTACAGATTATGTAATAAAGGTGGCAACCAAACCCATAGAAAAGTTAAGACATACATATAGTAGCAATATTATGCCTTTGTGTTAATTTCAGAAACAAACTAAAGAACAAATTTTACAGATGATGTAATAAAGGTGACAACCAAACCCATAGAAAAGTTAAGACATACATATATTAGCAACCCACCTCCTCTGGGATTAATCTTTCAGCTTCCTCAGCAGAAACCTCCTTGGTCAGCTGCTCCAAGACATGACCAAGGACCTTGAGTGTAGCCAACACTCTTTTTCTTTTGACTCTTGTACTCTCCAATCTATAAAGATCCAAAGAGCACAGTAACAGAAAAGCAAATGAAAATAACAAGTGGTTTCTCATTTGAACAAAATATTGTTGAAAGTCCTACTAAAATGAACCTTGCATTGAGTACACTCTAAGAACTTACTCGCCAAAGTTACCACTAAAGACACCAGATTCCATCAATTTCATCTCATCTTCTCGCAGTTGGTCAACATTATGCTTTTGTCGGTACAACTTATAAAACTCTCGTAAACGGGTAATATCTTGGCTTCTATCTATTCTTCCCCCTCCTTCCCTCTTTGCTAGCTTTTGCTGAGTATTTTATTGGGAACCATGAAGAAGTGAGATTCTGCCCAATGCATATATACTAGAACAGAAAAAAGGCACGAGAAGTGCTTGGCTAAAATATATATATACTGGTTTGTTAACATAGAGATGTTACATACATAGCATGGTTCAAATGGTGATATATCATAGAGCAAATTAACTTAATTTTTTCCTTTGCGCCTAGGAAAGCAAATGAAGTACCTTAATAACAGACATCAAACCAGTCTTAAATTGCAAGACACCTCTTCCCTCACTATTAGGATCCAGGTTTTGAGCCAAAGAATATGCGTGCTCACACACTGCAACAAGGAATAACCAAAAGGCTACAGTGTCAGTATCATACACAAAGTGGGTGCATATATGTATAAGTGATACCATACCTCCAAGGGCTTCAGGTAAAAAACAAATATCTTGCTTATTGGTTTTTGTGTTATAATTTGATGTTACTCGTTTAGTACAATCTAATAGTCTTTGCAAAATTTGAACAGTAAGGCACTAGAGAACCTTCCAGGATTGACTCACTTACTTGTGCTTCTTTCTATAACTATTGCAAATATTTAGAAAATAACAACGAACAATTCCAACAACAAATTAAGTAGTAACTGTTTCCATTAAGTAAATTTTCTATTTATAACTTAATAGAAGAACCAAACATCCAGTAACAAGCTTCACATTAATGGTATCGAGCAAATCACAACCAAATCCAACACACTGCTCACTGGACGTCTACTCTATTTTCCTTTCCTTTTTAAAAAAGGAGCCTTCACATAGAGCGTAGAATTTTAGTTAAGCACCCAGAATTACCTTAATAATTGTATAACTGGTTTCTAGCATTGTACTTCTCATAAATAATCATACAAGCATATTTTGAGCTGATTCGCCAGCTGAGAATATTTATAGAACTTCAAAGAAATTTCAACAACACAATTTCTGAACAGAATAATGTTAGCAGAGATATATCTGATGCACACACAAGAGAATGCAAGAATCTGCATCAATGGCTCTAATCTCACATTAATTTAGCAAACTTGCTATCAATAGCAAAGCAGTTTGGCAGGTAATGTCAGAAAACCTGGCCTCAGTATCAGGAACTGATTTGTCAATAATGTCATACACAAAGAGTTGTTCTACTTGTAAACTGAAAAATGCACACAAAATTCCAATAGTAAGTGGAGTAATACTCTATTCAGCTTTGGTAGGTAGCAAAAGTGTCAATTCAGTAGTGGCATATACACCCGGGAGAAAAATATTAACATCTCTAATTCAACCCTAAAGATAAGAAAAGCACATGAACAACAACAGTTCACTTCCTGCCCAATTTAGAGATAATCAAATACTATTATATTGGGAAAGGCATAAACAAACAAACGAACATTAGAAACAAAAAATAAACAAATAAACCAGAAAGTAAGCCTACATATTCTGGAAACATTGGGATCATCTTCCTGAATCTCATCTGCCGCACGCAGAATATCATCTATGTCCCCATTCCCCAGTGAGGAAGGAACATTTGCAGCTAGGCCAGGCTCAGGCCTTCCATGCAAATCCCCACTAGCTCGTCGGCCTCGCAACGCTGCACGCACCAATCGCTCCCACAAATCCTCCACAGACATTTCCTATTAAACCAAAAACATAAGAGGAAAAACATGACAAGTTAATGCATTATCGCTGAAACTCAACCCTTCCTGTAATGCAGCTTGACTTCTTATTACATACTATAAGAATGAAAGGAAAAACAAATGTACATACATATGCATACCAAGTAACTGATGATCCACGAAAGAGGACATAAAATTCAGTGAAAATACTTCAAACAGAATGGGGAAAATTAAAGATCTAAATAATCAAACTAACATTCCAAAAAACTTCGAAATCAAATTCTTCCCCCCATCTAACGAAGGAAAAAGAGATATAGGTAAAGAAAACCCGTTTAAAAATTCCCCCAAGCTAACAAAAGAGTGGCAGAGACGTATGAAATCAGCTGTGGCACACCTGACCGAAGATCTCCCCGGAAAGTTAGCCGAACTCGCCCAGAAGACGACACTCCCCCTTCCCTTATACGGCAAAAACCCTAGAATCTGGGTTCAAGGTTCGACACAAACAGATCGTTTCTTCTTCTTCGCATTTTCAAGCAATCAGCAAGGAAGTAGAAATGGAGCCAGCAGCAGCGAGGGATCTTACAATTTGGGAACAGTGGAGAAATCTGACAAAAGATTCCCAACACGAGTTTCGCAGTGTAACGGACGCAGCAGAAAAGATGTCTATCATACGCAGGGATGGACTTTGTTTGGTGCGGTTACCTTGCGTGCAGTGCGATCGATTTCAACTAAAAACGTGTGTGCCTATCGGAAATTATATTAAACGCGGTGTCGTTGTTTAAAGCTTTAGCGACTTTCGTTCAGACCGCAACACATTTTACGCGGAAGGATAATTTGAAATATTCAAAGGGAAAACAAACAAACAATCAACACAGAATGTGGAATATATTTAGAATTGCTTAGCTGGGGAGGTTTTTGTCAATTTTGGGAATTTCGCTTTTCATCCCTATATACTTTTTTTATTACATATATAAATTTTCAGGTTAAATCTCTTTTTTTTAAAAAAAAAAAATATTTTAAAAGGCATATTTTTTTGTAGTTAAAAAAATAATAATAACTAAAATAAAATACATACCTCCTAATATATTTACTAGAATTTACTCAACTTAGTAAGTATATCTTAACAATAAATAACTATTCTTATTTTTAAAATTAATTTAAAATATAAAGTTACTAATTTAACATTATATATTAGTTATTTTGTTCTTATGTTTCTTTTTCTATTCCCATAATCACAAATATATATATAGATATTTTTTCTTTGCATTTTAATTATATATGAATTATTCTTTTTCATCACTCATATACATATTCATTTGATATTTTCATGTAATTTTTTTTTTGTGTGTGTAAATGATATTTATACCTAAAACATACTTAGATATACATTATATTAACAATTGATTTGTCTAACTGAACATATTAAGTATTTATACTAGAATATTTGATAAGACAATTATTTTGCATTACATAATTATAACTTAAATGACAATTAATAATTTTTTTTATTTTAACATATGAAAGTATTATTAAGATATTTATTTTCAATATTTTATAAAAATAGAAATATATTTTTATTAGAAATATGAGTGATGTTTCTATTGAAAATATATAAAATATAAAAAAAGTAAAAAATTTGTTTGTCCATCAAATTTTTTGTTTTGACGCCATTCTCAACATATATATCGTAGTATTAGTATTGTATTATCTTATAAAAAATTAATATTCAACACAAAATATTATTATTAATACTATCTACATAATTCTTCACGTCTCATATATTAAAATTATTTTGTATTTTGGTTTGAATTTTTTTTTAACGCGGGACATAGAGAATTGCATAAATAATATAAAAAAAATATATATATATGTTGATTTTTTTTTTTTTTTTAGAAAGAAACAAACACAGACTCAAATAAATTTGTATATGTGTTTTATACTTAACTTTCAATAAATTTATTCTATTTTATTAATTTTGTATATAAATTTTATATGATAAATATATTTATAAAGTAACACCGTAAGGATTTGATTTTTTGTTTTAATTTTGAATAGTACTCCCTCCGTCCACGGATAAAGTATACATTTACTTTTGGCGCGGAGTTTAAGAAATAACAGTATTTTAATTATACTGGGTGGTAGGTAAAAGTAGTGTAATGACATATAAAAGTAATGATGTGAAGTAAAGTAAAGGTATTTGTGAAAAAAAATGGGTTATTTAATGAAATGATTACTTTGTAATTGGACGTCCCAAAATATAGAAATATGTAGACCTTATAGCTGGACGGAGAGAGTAAAATTTTAGATTGAAATAATCATTTAATAAAATATAAATATATATTGACCATATTTCAAACATAGCAGTGCAAGAATGAAGAAAATGTATACCTAAATAACAAACAAAAACTGCCTCCACCGTCCCCGAATCCCGAGCTCCCGTGTCACAGCCGAGCGTATGGATTAGAGGCTCGATAATCAAACGTTGTCGAGCTACCAAGGAAGTAACAACTAGTAATGAAACTAGAGAAATCTAACCAAAGTGAAGTGAAAGAACATTCTTAATAATGCATTCGTCAAACGATTATAGCACAAAAACAAGTGTAGCCGCAACCTCAGGAAAATTAACAGCTGCAAGAGCCAAGCATCGTCATTTAAGCTCATTCAATTAGTAAAGAGTGCGCAGAAACTTGTCTGCCGTATAAAATGGAAGGACTTGTTTTTTCCTTTTCACGATGATGCATCATCAAAGACAATATGATTCCGCAAATATATGAACAACAAATTCAAATACTTATGCGATTTTGAGTGTAGAGTAGAGTGGAGTAGGGGCAAATCTATAAAAATTTCTCCATTGGGGCCATCTAAAAATTAGTGGGATGCATCTCTAATAATCTGCTCAAATTTATACGGATCGAGTAGTTGTGCAAATAGTGAATGACAATAGTAATTTTAGTTATCTTTATTGCCGATACCTTCATATTTTGAAGGACTTGTAACCATCATCAGGACATGTCATTCCTTCTTCCCAGTCTCCCATCCGGCGGCCTCCAAATACAACTTGTTGAATGCCCAAGTACCTATAACAGAAAAGGGTCGATGAATTTGAAGCTTATGCACATGGAATTAGGAGCGGAAAAGAATTTGAGTATGCCACATGATAATGCAGAAAAGCTCTACATACTCTGAGCTTAATACAGTCAAGCAGTTCAAAAGGACATCTATTGAAAAGAAATCGGCTGTACCAAGATCCACCCTGTTGCAACATCCATAAGGATTAGTTGTAAGGATCTCCGAGTTCTGTTTGTTATTATAGTATAGACTAATATAGATATTCGAACAGATATTTCATACCAAACCCTGCCCCAGTTGTCCTGGAATTCAACATCGCTTATATCGTGAAATGAGGAAGGCATAGCCTTAGAGCCCTTGTCGGCATCATAGAGAGGATCGTACTCCATTGATGAGTTAGCTAACTGCATTGATAAAGGGGTCGTAATTATGTCCAAATAATTAAACAAATAGGTCAGTCAGTTGCAGCTGCTCTGGTACGTTCTACCTATGTTCTCAACTCTCCAAGCAGCAAAATTAGTCACTTTGACAAAAATAGTCTTCAGGATACAAAGATGTTCAGCATGCTGCCACTAGCAAATGATTTCTTATACAAAAGTTGGGATATTAATCGATACACTGCCACAGTTCTTAGTGAACTCAGGAACCATCCTGGGCAGGATTGTTGTAGAGTTGGACAGAAACTAGAACTATTGGGAAGCCAAGTTCCATTTGGTTTTCGAAAAATTGGAACTGACACTGGTAGTTTAGTGTCATTTCAAAACTGTTTAATTTCTATATGCAGTAATATAAACAATAAAACATGTATATACTGACATTTCTATTATTTGACATTCTAGTTCCACCTTCCAAATCCCTCAATTAAAGCGGTCCTTACTTGAATTGATTTCATCGACTGTTTATAGTTTAGAAGCTATGATTCTAAAATTATATAACCGCTATCTTCACTGACAATGGAAGGATATATTTATGACTATAACAAATAAATCATGTGACTGGAAGAAAATGTACAATATACCACCTGAAATTAACCTTTTTATATTACATCATTCATGTTGCTATATTTGAGGCATCAACAAGACTGATAGACAAAAGCATGAAACATGAGTTCCAAGAAGGCTGAACCTGCAAATTGGCTGAATTGAATGCCCCTAAGCGACCCATCAGATACCACGATTGAATGACCTGTCACAGAAATAAAACCAGAGATACTATTCACTTTTAACAAAAATGAAGAAACAATGATATTGGACTTTCAGTTTCATTGAATTGTAAGACAGAAGGTAGTAAAATAGATCAAGACAAATATATACATACGCTGCCAAGAAGGTCAACATCTCGATCAGAAGGTGATCCATATAACTCAAACCATATGTAGGAATCGAGAGGGTTGAAACTGTAACCAACAAAAGCAATTATGTTTGTTGAGAGTAATCACATATGCAACAACACATTCAAGTTATGTAGTAAAAAATAATATGGTGTTAGTAAGATTACACATATCAAAATCGCAGAATATATAATTATAAGACTTAAATGGTTCTAGATATCTTCCCTAAATAATTCTAATCTTCGAGAATATAATAGCAACTAATTAGCATACACACTAAGATGAGGAGCATGGTAATGTACTAATGTTTGACTTGTGCATAGAAAACAAAACAGATATAACTAGTATGTTTTGATTGCCCCTAATCATCCCTCTTCATTTAAAAAATTTCATTAATATAGGAGACAGAGCAACAGCAGTCATCAAAGACAGAGCACTATAGTAGCACAAGGCTGTATCGTTCCATCTTCACGGCCATATTGGAAGAAGCATTCACCCAAATCATGTTAGAAGCATGTCTTTCCTCTTGGGGACACAAGTTTCCGCTCAAGTTTATCAAGTATAATATCACCACAGTTCTGATCTCTTAATGTGCAATCATAATAAGTTAACGATCACAACTACGATGCCGATATGATTTCAAGTACTGTTGCACTCTGTACCAGAACCACAACTATAGCATATTAAATTCAGTTATAAATTGATCCATCACACGGCAATCATAATAACATGCAGAATTTTCATTAGTTTCCTACAGCAATTAGACCAATACAAGATTTTATAAAATGAATCAATTCCACAAGAAGTATTGTCATTATTTCCAACAACACTTACTGAGAAAATCAACCAATACACCAATGATCATCGTATATATGAAGAAAAATCAAGTGGATTATTAATTTACTTGCAATCAACTGCGTATAATGGTACAGAAATATGTACAGATTTTTATTGCATTTTCCTATGCGAAATTAACAAATAAAAACATGTAGTTTATATAGTTTTTAAGTTCCATGATGCTAGTTACCGTTAAATTAGTAATAAAATTTAAGCAGAAAAGCATGAGCAGTATTAAGAACAGAGGTAGAAGATGAAATTAAAAATCAGAGAAATAGAGAATCCTAATACATATGTGTGAAAAGGTACATTACTCTCTAAAGCTGACTTTGAATGCAAGGACAGATCCAGATTTAGATTTCTGGAATTCTCTGCCCTTCTTTCGAACTCTATCTTCAACCTGTCAAGTGTAAGTTTTAAATTTGTAACAACAACCAATTTTGAACACATATTTTTGTTACAAGAGAAGATCTACATCCCACTACAATATAAGTGCCAAAGTGTCATTCATAATGTAAGGCGAAAGTCCTAGTTGCAAAATATAGATGGACTCGACACAAGGATATCATTTCAACATCATTTTGTTCTATTTTGTTTTGCTATTTATTCAACGATCAAACAAGCAATAAATAGGTCAGATATTTCTTGATCGTTAAGAAGTAATTCCACATCAAAATATATATGCTAGTAACATAAAGGATCATCACTTCTACATGATTCTTGGTGTCATGAAGCCATTTCCATATGTTACCTTGCATGCAGTTATGGAGTACTTGAAATATATAAACATTCCCATAAAATCACGACTTAAACCAATAATTAATTCCCAAGCATCAATGAAGTTTTTATTTCAATCATAGAGAACGACAATTTGAAGAAATGGAACCTGGTATGAAAAGACTTAAAAGACATTTTTATTTGACACAAGGGAAAGTTTGAATGGGAGCCATTTCTAGTCAACCAATGGAGAAGGTCACAAGATGCGCTTCTCTAAATCATTCAATAATAAGTCTTAACTAAAAATTTCACTTGCCCTTTTTCTCATGAGCTCGGGGTTACCAATGCTATCTCCCAGAACAGCTCTTAGCTCAGAATCATTTTTACAGGCATCCTCCAATACCCTGTATATAATTCAGCACAAATAAATGTTGTTCATTACTATCTCAACCGATGCGAAACCCACAAAAATAAATAAATAAAACTAAAATAAGAGAAGAATATGACAATGACGATGAATGAGATAAAGAATTGGAGCACGTAGGCATAGTTTACTTTGCCCAAGTAGGATAATTATGGAGCTGCTCGTAATCACGTTTTCTCTTTTCCTCCTGAACTTTCAACAAACGGCGTCCTCTTGCTGTAGTCCCAGACCCTTTAACAGCCTTTTCATTTGGAACATTGCTGCTGCCCGTTTCACTTGGAGTGATATCAATGATTTGATCGGCATTACCTCTGAAATTCTTCCGTGCGCATACCATCAAAGATTTGAGCTTATGCTCCCAGGACATTCTATTAGCATGATTAGTGCTGCTTGAAGGCACTGATGGAAATGTGCCAGCAGAGAGAGAACATGATGGGCAAGGAAATTTCAACGTAGTGAAATTCAAGCAATGTATGTATGCACAAGATATATCCATTTTTTATGTTTATTACCTGCACATAAGCATCACGTGTCTTATATAATTGCATAAATATCACCTGATTTGATAGTATGAAATGTGATTATCATTAAGCACGAATATTGCTATATAATCAATCTATCATCCAAGGAAGATTGTTTAAACAGATGAATCAATAACAGAAAGCATATAATCCTTAATTTGTGCCTAAATTTCCACTTCATTCATAAGCTAAACTGAAGTGATTAGCAAGCAATTTTGAGAAATTATATATATATATACATATCTATATATATACATAAGAACATATGTAAGGTATAGGTACTAGATATTTTGCACTAAGTGTCATTTTTCCCTTGACACGAAAGGTGATATTTATATAATATAAAATCAACAATAAACATACACAAAAAATTGTATCTGTATCACATCATCTGGAGTCAAATTCTGAACAAGAAAATAAATATACAATGTATATATATGAAAAGTTTTAAACTATTTTTCTAGTACACCCCCTAGAATTGAATGTGAGAGTAGACTGAATTCATTCAACTCAGTAAAGCAAATGGAAGAGCAGTGACCATACAACTTCCAAGTACGATGGAAAACACAGTAACTTTGTCATCACTTCTGCATACGGTATACACACACATAGAACAAGAGGCTGTCTTGCAGAGGTAAATCAATTTCCTCCAAAATACATCCAATGAACTGTAGTCACTCAACACTTGGGACAATGCAACTATGAAATGAAAGTGTGGGAGAGACCAAAACAGCTCCAGCATAAAAAGACTTGTCAGCACGCAACCGAATGAGATAAAGGATTCGCGGATATATACATACATACATACCAAGTAATTGCGAAGAGTGACAAAAATTCAAGCACAACAAATATAACTATAACGTTTGTATTCAACTTGAAGTATTAGATAAGGAAGTGGAATCAAACCCAGGGAGAGAAAGAGAGAGAGAGATAGCGCACCCAGTTTGCGGAAGGTGGGGAGAAGACGACGAGATATTCCCGCGCCGGAGAAGCTAATTGTCTGCTCCACTCAGCTGTAGGATAACTTCGCGATGCGTTTGTTTGCGCTTATTAATCTATTATTTGTTTATTTATTTATTTGTTTTTTTTTTATTTTTTATTTTTGTGCTTGTTAAACACTATTTTTTGTTTTAAACGAATTCGGTTCATGTCGCAAAAGGATGTTAATTTTATCATTTTAATTTATCTATCTTAGTATGTTGGTACAAATTTAATAAAAAGTAGTACGTATTATTATTATTTTTTAAAAAAAAATATATCTTTTTTTTTTTATTTATTTGCATAATCATCATTATGCGTCTATCTTTTTTTTTTTTTTTTTTTTTACTTCAATTCTAAAATTACGTTATTAATCCTATAAAATTTTAATTATATGATCTTAATATTTGTGCAAAATTTTTTTTAGTGAATTTTATAATAAAATAAATAAATTGGATATGTTGAATATAATTGTTCAGTCGCATATACTGAAAGGCTTAAAAATTAATTACTTTATTTTGTATAATTAAATTCTATTATTAATATAATTATAGTAATTAATTTTGTGAGATTTATTATTTAATACTTTCCCATTTCAATTTAATATACTTGTTCATTATTTTAGTTGGTTCACTCAGAATATTACTCCTATAATTTATGTATAAATATGAAAATAGGCAAAAATTTAAATGGATAAAGAGAGATATAAGGGAAGGGCAGACAGTCAATAATCCCTTTCCATCCATCCCAATTTATCTACCTATCTAATGTAAGTAAGTAAACAGACAAACAAACACAGGCAAAGAACATTTTGAACAATTCATTCACAGCTGAATAAAAACTTCCCAATTAATCTATCTATCTAATTGATGTAGTAAAAAAGTTAAACAACACGTCAAACAGCATACCACAGCATAGGATAGCACCTGCTCCTTGGTTCTTCTACTCTTTGCTCCTGGAGGATCTGTCCTTCCGGTGTCCCCCCAGGATCCTCGAAATCTGAAGGCCTCGACTGAACGCCTGGTTGAACAACATCCGCGTCTGGAATTCAGACACGAACGGGAACCATGCAAGAAACGCCACTGGCGTGAACAACAGCAACCCCATCACGATTTCATACCCGCGTGCCAGAGTCCTAACCGATCCCCAGAACCCGAATCTATCGACAACCGGCTTGCATGCTTGTGCAATCTGCATATAATAGGGATACATGTATGTATGTATCAGTCACATTGTAGTTAGGAATAGATGAGGCTAGCTGTCATTAATATATTAGGGATACTTTACCAGGAGTAGACCCCAGCCGGTGGGCATGAAGGCGAGGATGCACACCACAAGATCCCGCGCTGTCATGTGTGGGAGCGCGATCAGAATGACCAGTATGGCGACGAATGTAAGGAATATTAACCCCTTGATCAACCGGAAAACTAGCTGAAAATTCGCGCTGAATTTCCTCCGTCCAACAGATATTGTCTGCACAAAGAAGCCAATCAAGAAAAATCAAATTCAACAAGTTCCCAGAAAGACATTTCAGACGCGGCGAAATAAACAAGCCTTACCTTCATGACGAAGAGTATCAAAAAGATGACAAGCCAAGACACGCCGTAAACCTGTGGACAGACAAGTGCGGATGGATATCACATTCGTTTAATGAACTCAAGAGCTATGAGTGTCAGAGATTTTTCAGCCTGTACATACCAATACACTTTTCGTGTTCTTTGAGATGTTCAGGTGATAGACGAGACCGTACTGATAAATGAAAAAGCGTAATGATAGTATAATTTCAGCAACGATGCCACGTTTCCCTGAATGCCGGAGATGCTCTTGCTCCTCTTCCCACCATGATTCCCAGCTTTTTTCTGGGGGGACACCAATGCCTCCACGGTTACCAATCCACTTGTTCCAATCGTTCCAATCATCGACTATCTTTTGCCACTCAAAACCGGATGGATTGAAGAGGAATGGTGCAAAAAGCCACGTGCCCACCATAAACCACATAGACACAGTAATCAAGATGTATGGAACGGCACCCCTGTATGACTGACCGAAAATTTGATATACGAGTAGTAGTATCATCAGCTCAAGTCCCTTAACAAAGTGGCTACGAGAGTATAGCCGGTAGTTCTCTGCAAATTTGGCATGGAACACAACAAATCCTCGACCGGTGGGCCTGTATTTTGCTCCTCCGTGAAGCAATGTCCTTCCATAATAGTGTGTTTTCGTTCCAAGTGAAAATGTGAAGAACACTGGAGCTAACTGCAGCTGCATCAGGATAAATTCGCTTAAAGCCGTTCGAAAGCCTTTCTCCAGCCCAATTTCCATCACCATAGGGAGAGCCATCAGAAATCCAATTTGGACAAATGACTGAGATGCAAGAGCAACTTCAAGAGGTCGGTTTTCTCGAACTCCTGGAAGGGTACTTAATCCTTTTTCTAGGCCACTAAGAACGAGATAAAGGCGACCATAAAGGAATATGTACACGGTAAGCACAGTAAGCTGTCGGGAAGTAAACAAGGTGTCAGCTAATGGCAAGAGAAATCAAGATCAAATTGGTAGACTGAGCAGCATATACGTACCAATGTACTGAAATAGAAACCGATTGTGGTGAAATAGCACGATAACATTCGGAAGAAATCAAAGCGATGACCAAGCCTGTATAGATCACGGCTCAGTGTTTGTTCTCCATTTCCGTTAGCAATCTTAGCCTCGAATAGTGATATCTGGTTAAGACCCACATCTCTCCCTTTACCGACTTGTATATATTCATGATGAGTTACATTGCCTTCACGAAGTGTTGAATTAAAACCTGAAGGAATAGTTACATTAGAGATATATGCAATTGCAATTAACATACATGGAAATAAAGCCTTGAAAGAGTTTATAATTTATTGTAACATGCTTACCAGCAAAAATGTCTTCACTCAGGTTGATGATCTTGGATGCTTTGCTCACCCCACCTCTAGTGAGGTGAAATAGTCTGTCAAAAACATCTGGATGACCGTAGTGAAACCGAACCCTGCATAAATAAAGAGGAAGCAAAGCACAAGAGATATTATGTAGATGTAGTTGTATATTAACTCCAAATACCAGTGGCGAAAGGATGAATTTGGTGACAGTTTTTTTATGCAAATCTTGTGTGGAAGTGTTCCCAAAATGGACGGCAAATTTACCAATGTTATAAAACCATAGAAGTATGAACATCTAACAGCTTTGCACAGAATTAAGATTTTGGATGTTAACTCAACTAATAGCATGGAGGGAAATGGGAAGACATTGATATGAAGAAAGAACATTATTCACAAATTAGTCTAGCTTGAGTCAGTCAATCTGAAGCAATAACGCCCACGTTACCAAGAACCCACAAGATTTACCCACAGTATATTAACGAGCTTCTTAACATACATAGCCCCTGGGAGAAAAGAACCAAGATATCATTGCAAACACAGGCATATGTGTGAATAAGTTGTTCCTTACATGTTGTAAGGCATCATACAACCTAAAAGGTAAGTATTTAGATGATCATAGGAGGATGGTATGGATTGAAAAACTTACTTTAAAGGATTGCCTAACAATCTCTGGCCAATAGTAACAAAACTTGTTTCTTGATTTGACATAAACCAAGCAAGAGAAGAAACACTGCAAAACATGGCAAGGTTCGGTCACAAAATAATATTAGATTATTCATCTTCGCCTCTTCGGCCAGAAAAGGGTAATGTTTGTGGTTGAATGCCCACCTGCCCGTGAAGATATGCTCCCTCAAACCAAGAATTGAGGGATGCCTAACATCATGCCTTTTCAGAAATTCTTGAAGTAAGTTTCTCATTTTCAGTGCTTCTTCCATATAGTTATCCTGCAATTGGGTATTCATGTTAAGACAGAAACAGTTTGATTCAAAGATAAAATACAATTAAAAAAACTGTTAGTACCTGATTCATATCAATTGTTTGCAAGCCTTCCCCGCGCGTGAAAATGATGGCATGATTCTGATTTTCAGGTTTCCCTTCACCCAAGATAGCAGGCCCTGGAAGTTTTATACGATATACAACCTGCAATAAAAAATTTCACATATCAGACAATAGTAATTCATCCATTTACGACAGCTGCAACTTTAAAGTGTTAAATTGATTCTTTGATACTAGTGTAGAGGTGACAGTTGCAACTTTAAACTGTTAAACAGATTCTGCCTAACCACATTTTCTTTCAAACAAGCTAATTCTTGTTTAATTTCCATTATACCTGGTCCAGATTTTGCCCTGGCTCGGAAGAATTTTTCGGCAAAGCAGCCTTCACAAGAGTGGAATAATAGACCTTATCATTAACCCTCTTGGACTTGTCTTTACATGGTTCTTCAACCTCATCAATATAAGCCACTCGAAGCGATGGATACCTGCTTACAGAAATGCATCATGAGGTCATGGGAGTCACGGTTCACAAGTAAAAACAGCTAGTGCATATTTATGATCCATATAACCCTTACGTGGTCATGAGCCTCAATATATCTTGAGCACGTGGATCTCCAGATCGTTTATGAATACCATATGATTGACAAGATACGACATATGTGAATTTCATATCGGAAACTGCTTGACATTGTGCCCACAGAGACCGTTCTCCCTTCATCTGATCTTCATTCAACTCAATGGCCTTGTAGCCTTCCATTAGATCTGTTGAACATTTGCAACAGGTAAGTGCTTGAAGTACAACAGTTCTCATACAATTAAGAAATAGCAAGTGGTAATAGTGTCTGCATTGGGTGTTCAATCCAGAACAATACAGAACACAAAAGAATACCTTCATCCTTAGCCATATCAAGGAAGGCTTGAAGTTCTAATGCTTTTCGGTAATACATCATTCCTCTTACTGTCACAAATTAGATGATGCATTAGATCCAAATCATTCAGTTAGTAAAATTGCAAGTATCACCCTTCCAATGGCAGTAATGATCATCCAAAACATGAATAAGGACTTGACTGAACCAAAAGTTGACCCAATCAATAATTTATGATTTGCTAATAGCCCAGAAGATGCATATAATTAGAATTGGAAGCACCATACAGAAGCAGTTAATCAGAGATTATTCAGTTAGTTGAGGAGACACGATAAGTTGCCTCTAGCATGTCTTCATATCAAGAAAAGGCCATATAAGTATAGGCAATATTTGTATTGGACACCCTAATGAAGGAATGAGATTGGCTTATTATGTTCATGCTTTGAATTTCAGGAGCTACAAAAGCATCCAACTTACTCACTCCACAAACATAAAACGCAGTGGAAAGTCAACATTTCATAGTGAATGAGATGGAGACTACAAACAACTATTAATTCACTCATACCAGTTCTTGTTAAAGTCTGGCCCCTGTATGATGCCCAAAGGCGTAGTTGCTCTTCTAGCTCATCAGATTCTCTAAGTTCATCTTCATTTTGGCAGTTGACACGCTCCATAAAATTGTTCCACTCATCTGTATGATTCATTTATAATGTTGGCGGAGAAACAAGAATACAAATATAAATTTATGTCATTCTATATAACTTTACACACAAACCTGGGAATATCTTCTGCAAATAAAAGAGAATGGATACACCATCTTCATTTGGCACTTCCAGCTCAGGTAATGAGAACAGAACCTCTTCCGAGTAGTAAGGAGTCAAAACACTAATCATGAAAGTATCCAAGTTAAACAAAGATGACATAAAACTAAGTGTGAATAGCACCTAAGTTAAACTAAAATGATGTGCCAATGAATAATGCTTTCATAAATATTGAGCAATCACGCTTATGAAGAAAATATACACATTCTAATTAACTCATTTCCAATTTCAAATGCCAAATTGTAATGAGAATTGGAGAAAGACAAAGCAAAATGGTGTCGCAGGTTTATAGTATTTTTCAATATTTAGCAGTTTCTAAAACCTAGATTGATTTGAGATGGATAAAAATTAAGGATAAGACATATACACAAGGACTCACGAGAAAGATAACATATTTCGGACTTTAGGAGCTGAAGGCATGTCCATGAACAACGAGTTCGAGAAGAAGGAGATGCGCCTCCTAGCTTCTAAGTTCGATGGCACATCCATAGCAGACTCTTTTACCGTCAGCAATAAATACAACCTCTTGATCTGTGCAAAGGAAATAAGTAAAATATTAAAACAAGGGTACATGACTACATGTTCTATGCAAGTGTGTGTACACATGCGGTATATATAGGGCATTCAGATATTAACCTTCTCTTTCCAAGCATCTGATTCTGGGGTCGGAAATTTGATGGCTCCAGCTGAGGCAAACAACTGATACTGTGGATCAACAGAAACCATTCCTTCATATCCCACACCACCATGCATCGAATCCAATAAACTGTTTCCAGAAATTACACTAGAATAAGAACACTCCATCTAGTAATGATAATCTGTTGTTTGCAGACTGCAGTTAAATATATGTATATATATACTTGGATATGTGATCTTCCATCATTATATCTTGTGTCACAACTTCCAGCATATCCTGGAAAAGAATGACAACTTGGTCTCTGTCCTCTGGCTTATTGTCTAGCTGCAAAAGTGGACAATTCAATCCAGTTTAACATGAGCAGCCCGAAGAAAAAGGAACTTCAAGAACAAAGTGACAGTAGGAATACGAACCAAGTAGTTTACAAGTCGAACAAATAGATCATAGAGATTAGGAAGAGCACTAAGCTTGTATTCAGCTAAAAGATTATCCTCTACTATGTGCTTGTCAACTTCCGAAAAGATGTATTCAATAACCCTGTCAAACACATAAGACGACTTAAGAAAATAATGAAAATGTAAGTAGGTGTGAATTAGCAGCAAAAACAAATGCTTACTCTTTCTCTCGCCTGCCACGGACTAATAATTTAACAATGCTTCGGAAAGAAGCATAGCACTCACAGACAGCAGAATACATATAAGCATCAGACTGAATCCTCTTTTTCAGCTCTCTGTCCTTGCCATTACTGTCTTTAGCCATATCCACAGCTATTGGGATCTATTAGATGAAACAAAATACACCAAATGAGTATTAATCGAATATCCATAAACCATTCCTATCACTGTACAGGACCAACTAGAATCATCAACTACATACTTGCCTTTTAAATGGAATAACAAAAAAAGGAATCGAAGATAAGTATAAGAAAAATGATCTTCATCCAATAAGACACTGTGTTCATGTTCATGCACCTATACTAGCAGCCCCAAAGGATAATCCATCACTTCAATTATCTAGAGGAGCAAACAAGTGCCCAACTTAAATTATCTAGGGGAGCAACTATTCAGTGTTCATAAAAGGAATGGTGGACAAGAAAGAATAATCTGCCCGTTGCATAACAGGAGAAGGCTATAGTCCCCAGATCAGCGACAACAGACAGCAAAGATCAACTTTAAAAAGAAACAAAATGGTCAAAAATCCAACCTTGCTGGCAAGAAGAAATGGGGGCCATTGGATTAGCTCCAAATCACGGTCAGCAGAATATGGAACAAGCAGCAGATCCATTTCCCTAGAAAAGGAAAACACCCATCATATTATCCGTTTTTTGTTCATAGGAGCAAAGTTCAAGGACAGTAAGAAAGAATGAATAAAAAATAACCTGTTGCTTATTAGATCTTCCTCTCTGAAACTAGTTATTATTTTGTTCCACAATTGAGCAAACCTTGCGGCTTCTTTCTCTTTGCTTGATGGGATCTGATTGTATGATAGTCACACAAATAAATAACACCTTCACTCAGTTTACACAATTGTCTATGATCCATATAATGTCCAATGAAATCAGTAAGAAAGTGGGCTACCACTTCAAATTTGCGGGAGAATGTAGACATAAGTCCTTTCTTCTTCACTCCTTCATTTTTCTCCGCTGGAATTAGGCAAGCATTAAAAGCACCAGGCAATGATTGAAATCGAGATCTAAGCATTCCAAGTGTCCGAATCTGGCAAGAACACAAAACCAGGATATTAAGATATAAATAATGCAATAACTCTGCATAACATTCAGTGCAAAAAACTCGCTAGCAAGGTCTATAGTCACCTCACCATAAAACAGGGTTAATTTTAAAGAAATTAACAAGGCTATAAAGATGTGCTTTATAGTGGCCCAACGTTTAGAACATATAACACTAACTAGAGGGAAAGTCTTGGCATATATTAAACTGATTGAACATCATTCTCCACCTACAAATGTATATGTTTGCAACATTATAGATACTATGATGCTGTTTCAAAATAACAAACAAGAGACAAAAAACAAGCAAACAAAATGTAAGAGGATATTATCAGGCTTTATATCAGAAAGGAAGTTGTGTTGACCTCTCCAAGGCGACGGAAAGCACCATATATACCTCCAAACAGCGTAGAGAATATAGCATACCAGATCTGGGCATCCATAAAATAAACCTAAAAAGGAAGTTTTTAATAATTAATTATTGACGAGAAGAAATGTTAAGTGTTTCAACAGTGCAGCCGCTACCTCAAACCCCCTCCCCCTCCCTCCAAAAGAAAATGATAATTCATTAATAGAGAGCTCATATAATGTCAAAAGAATTTAACATCCTTACAAGAATAACTGGCGCCCAGACAGCAACTACAACACCAATGTTGTTTTTAGCTGCAAAAAATGGAAACTATATATCAAACCAAGTCATTAACATATCCATTAGTTTCTTTGTGTGAGGAAATGGTTTTCGATGACTATTTGTATGTGTTCATGAGAGAAGTATAACCTCAATTCCTCTTATGTCAACTAACCTTGGGGAAAAAATTCATGCCACTGGTAAGCTGTCACATGAGCACTCATGATAGTTTGAGTTGGAACCACCAAAGGCTTAATCTGAAATGGGAAGTTTAAGAACGTGAAATGACATTAAACATTGAGCAAATGCAGCACACGGTTGAACATGCAACTGATTGACACCAGGCAAAGGGGGTACACATGATAAATAAAGGGCAAAAGATCAAGAAAATGAATGTGTGACAGCACCTCTACGTAGAAACTGAAGGCCAACTTTGTTACAAGCAGAAGCACCCAGAACAATGTATACCTATGAGTCAAAAATGAAAGTATACATCAGATGGACAACTTTACAATATCAAATAGAGTTTTTCCTAGTCTTCTTACTTGAAGAGAGAAAATGTGCTTTCATGCATTCCCCTTCCAACATAAAGGCGAGGCTGCAAGAAATAAAAATAGAATTAAGATAAATATCCAAATTTCATATTAATCAAGAGATAATCAGAAAAATGTCCACCATACCTGTGACCACCACATCATTAGCATCACAATTTTGTAATTGGAGCTCTCAAGGAACCTCCGTATGAATGGGAAAAGAAACAGCAAGGCAGCAAGCATATTTGGGGACAAGTAGATAACAAGTGCCAGGATAAACAATGAGGGAAAACTCGAACTATTGCCAACCCAATGTTTTATAATTTGAGCAAATGCAGGAGGGTCATGCTTCCACGTATAGGCATACGTAACAGGGAGAACAATCACCCAAGCAGCAGAAGTCACAACTTTTAGAATGTATCTTAGCTTGACATGGAAGGACATACTTCGCCTAGCTTTCAAACTCAAAATCACATCAAGGATGGCTGAAAAAAAGATTCCATGGATAATGATATAAGATTCGCAAATGCATTTAACATCCGATGGCATGGTAAAGGCTGTATGATTGGTTAAAACAGTATACATTAATGATATAGAACGACAGTTCGCATATAAAAGGAAATGAGCAGCTTGAAAACTCTTAGAAGAAAATATTTGATTAGCAACCACGACAATTAATCTATGAGATTTCACTTCGATATTTCAAAACCTTTCCATTATTTAATAGGAAAAAGATATGGTAACATGCTTACAATCACTCAGCATGAGTATAAAGTGCTGGAAACAAATACCATGAAGAAGTCAATAGAAGTAGAAAGATTATGGTAGTATCACGCTAATTGAACAAAGAAATCTAAGATACCTTCTCCAAGCTTCAAAATTGCAGCAGTTATAAAGACGCTTAGTACTTTCTTGAAAACACCAGGATAAAAGATTGAGCTTGGCTGCCCATCGCCATTCCAAGCAACAATGATCATAGCCTAGGTAACAGCAATAATAAATATTAATGATAGAGACAATGAAAAAAATGATACCAAGAAACTCACGGAGAGCATAAAGAACAAACCTGTAAGCACAGAATGAAGAAAATCCACATTCTGCCAAAGCTTCTAAATATATGCCAAAAAGTTCGAATTTCCACAAAGTTAACCTTCCCCACCCAGCGATCTTTTGTAGCCTTTGTTTCCTACAGTATACAAATATATATAGTAATGCAGAATGGAACATGTGCTTCAAAATAAATGTGTGACTCAATTGGCCAAAAGGATATAAACTGGAAGTCTACAAATGGTTGTGGAATGCAATCGACACCCCCACATGCAAAAGATCAAATCCAAAAGCACATAGAGTGGAAACACAACACACATCTTGAACTCTCAGGTCCCGACGACCAAATGACCCTACTTTGAGAATGCAATACACATTCAATGGAAAATGAAAACATAATCACATGCTTACTTCATTCTTTTCAATTCGAAGTTGATCCACGGTCTTGCAGAAATAATCAGCATCAGCTCGCATGGGCCAACCCAAACGAAAACAATCAACAGACCTGTAATTTCAAATTAAAAAATGAAAGAAACACTATAAATAACAAGTCAATGGTTAACATAGTAATTGAAATAAGAATATCATAATACCAGAAGTACTCATTCAAATCATCATAATTTCTCCACTGTGAGTGTTTTGATTTTCCTGTTTTGCTCCTTGAAGCCTCCTGAATATCAAAAGATTAAATCATGGAGAAGAAAGGTGTAGGTAGAAATGGTAATTTAATAAGAGAATGTATATACAAACTTTACCCGAGCGATCACTTCATAGATTGGGGTAACAACTTTCTTCAGGAAAGCCTCTTCTTCTCCTCCATAAGCAGGCTTCACATTTTCCCCGGTCATGGGACTAACATTTCCAGCAAGTATACCATAAACTTCAAAAGCCATCTGATAATGAAAAGAACTCAAAATTAGTGTTAGAATCAAATTATCTATTTTTCTACTAGTTCAAAAACATGATGGAAAAACAATTCAAGTAAGGAAGAAGTCAAAGAATTAGAATGAAATGCTTTCAATGTGATCTTTCTTAGCAATCATATATTTGAAATAAGGAAACATACAATCTTGATTGTAGGAATCAAAACAGGACCATGAATAGCGACAATAACACCAAGAATTTATTTATGCACCACCAAAGAATAGTAGTAAGACACAGCACATGCGAGCATGTAACTAGACAACGAAATTAAACTCTTGCCTTTTGGAAATCCAATACTATAATTATATTCAAAAAATCTTACAGAACTGATTGGATGAGGATTGCAGAATTTCAAGTTTCGTTCTTCTACAACCAGTTTTTTATCCAATGTTTGCATGGAAATACAAAACTCGGTTTGACATTTAGAAAGATCAATCAATCATCTTGCTCATATGAGCTTGCCCTTATTCTCTTTAACCTAAGTACAGATGATTTTCTGATTCCCTAAATAAAAAATCAAAGATAAAACGGTTCATATTATAATCCCAATCTACCAGAAAATGAGCAACAAAGGCCTCTGTTTTGGAAAGTGTGGTACTAATCATCATTAATGTTATATTTCCAATAGAGTTTAAGCATTTGAAAAGCATACATGATGATAGATGTAGCACAGGCACTCAGGCATGAATCGTAAATTGGCAGCTTCTCCCCAAATAAGAAGATAGAGCCCCATATATAACAATTTGCGCTGTTGCACTTCTTGCTGTATGGTTGGTAGCCTGCATTTCAATTGAAAAAAAAAAAGTATTCAAGACCAAACGCCAAAATAATAATCTCATTCAATTACAAAAGATCTTCCAAGACCCCAGCACCATCCTTTCAATGTGGATCCAATGGCACTAAACATAAAATATAATTGAGCCACACGATTTAAATATAAAGCAGTAAAATGTTCTCCAAGTGGAAATTATAAAGAACTTACCATAAGCTACTTTTGCGGCCCAAATATTTGCACCATTTCTTGTAGTTCTTGAAAAGTTTCTTCATGACTTCATCAAGAGCACGCTCATCTAACTAAAAACCATGTAATCAAATAAGAAGTTATTTTTCTTCAAAAATGACAATGTGATCAAAGTAATAGCATGCTCTCATCTAACACAATCCCCTAATCAGAATGATACGAGGTTCTATTGTAGCTGTAGTTTAGCTGAGGTTTCAACTCTTATGTTGTAATCAAGGCTTAATTTTGTGCAAGCTGTGAAATGTATTTGTCAGCATTGTAGTAAGACTCATAATATTGAAATACTAGATTACGTGTAAAAATATTAACAAGACCAAAAATGAAGTGTATATATATCTATATAAGCAGTGGCGGTGATGTGATTAATAATTATATAAGCAGATAAAGTGGAAACACAAGTAAAATCCTAGCTACCCCCCAGAATAGATTTACATGAACTAGAGATGTTGTAGTAAATACTAAGGCAAGGGAGAGAGATTTATACACCAAACATGTAGAAGGATAACGTTGGTGATGCTATCAACCTTTGGAAATATAAGAAACGGAAAAAATTAAAGAGTTGAAGAATACAAACCTTGGGTTGATGATCAGGTTTTGGAAATTGTCTTATGTGTACATTTGCCAGAAGGAGAATCAAGTGCTCCCTCTGATTGGCCACATTATCTTTCTACAGATTATATCAAAAGTCAACAACAATTTATTTGATCAGACATCTACATTGCAAACTCCTAAAGTTATGAATCCATCATTTGAAATGGAAAATCCATTGGATAAATTCATATGTGGTCGAACCTGGAAACCAAACATTGATTGAAGCCAGTCAAGGATATCTTCATCATTTTTCTTCTTGTATTCCTTAGGCCAAAGAAGACCTCTGGTATTTCGGAGCGCATGTACAGCAGCTTGAATCTGAAAAGTAAGATTAAGTTAAAGAAACATAATATAGAAGTAAAAGCATCAAAGCAAAAACATATAAACCAAAACAGAATTCAATTGATGCAGCTAATATTAATGCTGACCTCTGGATATTTCATGATCGCTTGATTTGTGCTATCGGGATCAAGCGGTAGAATATTATAAGGGACATAGATTTCAGTCTTCTCTGCAACTTTATCATGAGTTTCCAAAACCTGTGCAATTGGACATTCAAGGAAAATGTGTGTTGTTATCAACAAATTAGACAGTTTTTGCTTATTAAGGCTCAAGAATTACAGGCTTGAAAGACACACGTGAACACGATTGGAAAAAAACGCATACCTCACGATCTACTTCCACAGATTGTGTCTGGTTAACGGCTTTCAAAACTTCGAAGAGAACGTTGGCTGTTTGGTATGCTTTTGTCAGCTGCGCACTGCACATTTAAATAAACAGCAGGACTGATTGTCATTAGAACTTTTAATACCATGCAGTATTTGAATTCACTGGTTCAAGAAGAGGAGAGGGAGAACCACACCGATCAGCTTTATCAGCCACATTTTGCAGTGCTTGGATATATTTTTTGTAGTAATGCTGATAAAAGCTCTGCATTTCACGTGCATCGCTTTTTTTTACTCTTCCCATCAAAGTAGGATCATTCTCCTGTAATCATCAGTCTCACATCAGTCAAACTGTTAAGGAAACACTCTATATGCAAGATCTTATTCTGCTAAAATGTAAAAAGAAAGCAATATATTTGTAATAATGTTGCTTTTAGTAAACTAGAGGAAAAGAAATTACAGGGAAGTGAATACAAGAAATTACTAAAGCGCCCCTCAATAACATACTTAGATGCAGAAGTGTTAAAACTCAATCATACAAGGTCATTCAACTTTAAATATCCATCACAATTCAGAGTTATTGAGCATTCATGCAAGATTTTATTCTCCTAAAATGTAAAAAGAAAGCAATATATCTTCAGTAAATGTTGCTTCTAGTAAACTAGAGAACAAGGAACTATGGGGAAGTGAATATAAGAAATTACTAAAGCGCCGCTTAATAAGTAGTTAGAAACATATATATTAAAACTCAATCATACAAGGTCATTCAACTTCAAATATAATTTCCTGAAGAAGACAATGCAAGCATTTTACAGTGGAGGAAAAGATGTGAGCTTATACTAATATGCTTTGCAAATGAGGCTGCCCGAATGAGAGTTGAACCTAAGAATTTTTTGATCTTACCCTTTCCAGACGTTGCAAAAGAGCTGTTTTAAATTGCCGTACACCGCGACCACTTGAAGTAGGATCCAGCCTATGAGCCTTTTCAAAAGCATAAAACCTACCTGTATAAAGTAAATGGAAATTAAACACATGAGAACATGATGTTTACAAGTAAAAGATTAGTTGACCAACAAAGTGTAAACCATGAAAAATGAGCAAACATAGGGAAGTATATCTTGCAATGGTTGGCGTTACATGCATAGAGAAAGTGGAGGGAAAGTAATGTATTATAGTTTATGAGATGCTGACAAGGGTCCAGATATCATGGAGCGGCAACTGGATACAATACATAAGTTATGATATTCGAATGGAAGCCGCAATTTAATCCTGGATTACGTGGATATATTAAAATTAGCTTCGGCATAATTCACTTACGTAATTAAACATGCATGGATGCCACGTTTTTATGATAACAGAAAGGAGAAAATCAGTTAAAAGCTTACAGAGATATGCAACACGTGGATTGCTAGCCTCGACTTCATTGGCGACTCGCAGAATGGGGGCAATTTCGACCAAAGATGATGGCACTACTTCACTGTCAAATACATACTCCCCAAGATTCCCTACTGTCTGCGTGCGAGTGATCCGACGCTGCAGCTGCGGCGTGGACTGCGCCGATCCTCCTCTCGAAGACATTCTGGGGTGTCCCTACTTTCCTCACCAATAAGAAGCTTCTAGAAAACGACAACACATATCACAGCATAATCAAACTTCATTATAACAGCACCAAACACATAACAAACTATTAAAATCCAACCCAGGTATCCCTATTTAACCACCCCAAACTAATATCGAAAACCAGAAGTTTATTGAGAAAAGCAACACTGTCTTGAAAAATCCAAAAACGTACAAAGGTTTCCAGAACCATCAGCTGAGCCAAAAACTCCAACGTGCAAAAGCAAGAAAACTGAAAGCAAGTGTCTAGCAGATAAAACTAATAGCATATTATCATTTCTTTAAACTTAATCTAGAAGACGTCACAATGCGGGGGATTATGTTAAACTGCGACAGCCAAAAATCCGAGAGAACCCACGTATCCACATTCCTCACCAAACAAGACTTACAGGGACAGAAACACTGCAGGTACAGAGAACTACCAGTGCATGAGAAGCAAATTAACTTAAACAGTCGAGTAGCCAACGCATCCACCTGCTCAGAAGATAAACAATTCATCAGAATCCACACTGGTTCAAGCTCCACAAATTTTCAAAGCGAAAAACAGTCGCACAAAACCAAGAGATCGAAATCTCACAACCAGAAATAAATTCCAAAGCAAATAAACCAAAATAAAAAAAGGCGTTCGCGCACCGATCAAAAAAAATCGCGAAATGGATAAAAAGGACAACCATGGAAAGTTTTTTCGTTTTGTTTCTTTTTCTGCACGTACCAAAAGTTTCAGAAAGCAGATGCAAAACCCTCACGCATACCATAACCACATAAAAGCTAAAAACCACACACACAGGAGCCGATAAGCCAAAAATGAAGGAGAAGCAATAGAAAGCTTGAAAATCCTTCAGTGGCTGGAATTGCTACTCACTCATGGACATACAGGCAGAATCATAAAGCCGAGATGATCCTCAGATATTCCAATGCAGCCTTACCACGAGCTTGAGCGAAAAGGGGGTGAAAATGGCGAGGAGAGGTGCTGTGCTGTGGTTTCAAGCAACTTAGCATGAAAAGTGAGAAAAGGGAAGAGAATATGGAGGAGAGAGAAAGAAGAGAGAGAGTGTGAGAGTAAGACTGAGAGTGAGAGAGAGACTGTATCGGGAAAGGAACGCAGAGACCGCTGCTGAGAAAAAGTTCAAAAATAAAAATGACTTTTTGGTGGTATTTATTCCTGGGTGTGTAGGACTCTTCGATGCACGTCGTTTTACTCTTTTGCCCTTCCTTCTTTGCAATATTACCGTTGGCCCTCCTGATTTTGCTTGTTTCTGGTTTTACAGAAGAAAATAAACGTTAGGAGTTTTTTTTTTTTTTTTTTTTTTTACAATGTAATATTTTGAATTGATAACTTTTATTTTAATATAGAATTTATATTGAGATAATGAATGGATAAATACATTGGTATATTGTCTGTATATATTATTTGAATTGGTTAATCATTTTTTCCATTTTAATTTATATTTGAATGATAAGATTACAATATTTAGAATATTTTATAACAATTTAAGTAAATGTAATATGATATAATATTATGCTACATTGTCGATGTAATGTTTTTTAATATTGAAAATTCATATATTTCAATTGCTATGATTGTAAAACATAAATAAAACTTATGTTGTACTTTAAAATTTATGAAAAGTGTGTTGTTTGTGGGTTTGGATTTTGAATTGGGATTTGAATAGTAAAAATTTTGAATTTAAATAGTTGTACGATGTGATATAAATAGGTGTTGATGTGATATTTTGAATGTAAAATTGATTTTTAGTATAATATAAAAAATAAAAAATAGGTGTTTAATTTGATATTTTTTTTGGGGAAAAATAGGATGAATAGTGGAAATTAAATCAAATCCCCAAACAAACACACTACAAAATGTATGATTAGCAGTGAGTTCATTTTAAGGTGTTTTTTACTTTATATTAGATGCATTTTATTTTATTTGTAAAAGCATACGTAAGTATTAATCAAATTATCATAATTTTGCCATTGTTAAATGGACTCCGATATTAAACTTTTCTCAAGTGTTTTAATTTGAGATAATTTTTATACAAAATATGTAATTAGAACGATAATATAAAAAATAAAAAAAAAAAAACTTTTGTACTTAAATATTCAATTTTTGTGAGACAAATAAAATAATACTCGTTTCGTTCGCCTCTAAAAGTTTCGTTTACTTTTTGTGTCATTGTATTTAACATTAAAAATATATGATATTTGTATAATTTGAATCTTTAAAAAAAAAATTGATTTGACAAACAATCCTTTAATAATAAAATAAAATAAAATAAGCATTTGAAATTAATTATATATGGTTGGTGCACTTATATTCAAATTAGTGTTAAATAATTAAAATCCAGCAATTAATTGCCAATTGAAATAATAATAGATATTTTATCGGTGTTAATTCAAAGTATTTTTTATTATATTTTCGTCATTCTCACTTAAAAGTTACTCATTTCATTTGTTAGTAAAATAATTGTACACTAATATCAAAATATTTAATCTTTTTTAAATTATAAATATATCATAAGACATATAATTATTTTATACAAATAACAAAAATATCAAAATCTTTTGCACACTTTCATTAGTCAATAAAATATTATTATTTTTTAATTTACTACCAACTTCCAATTTCGTTCATTTCAAAAGTCCAGTGGAAATATTATTAATAGTAACATAGGACAAAATAAATATGGGCTGTAAATATATTTATTATGTGAAAATTAGTGAGTTGTTTAGAGCCAACCACATAATTACTGCTATACAAATAAGGATAGGGATGCATTTAAATTTTGATAATTAATTTATTGCAAATGAATGAACTCGCTTTATTTGAAATTATTCCAAATATATCCATTAAATAAATCGTAACTATTTGATTTTTCATTACTATAATAATGCCGCATATAATAAAGATTTTTTCCAATTGATTACTAGTACTATTTTATTTTTTATTATAATTTGAAATGCAATATTTATTTATTTTTTATTTAAATTATATTAATATGATATTTTGTAAAAATAGTAGTATATATATTTTCGTTGGAAGATGAAAACTATGGAACAGTGGCATTATTGTGAAAATAATGAAGTGCAGGGGGTTTTGAAGAACAGCAAAAAGATGGACTCTCTTGGTTTTGTTGAGCTAGTAGCCGTTGTTGAGTTCTTAAATTATATTTATACCCTTGGCGCGATTGCCTAATATTCTTCTGATTTGCAGGTGATGAGCTGTCCACTTCAGGGGCAAATCTGGTAAACTAATATGAAAAATAATTAAGATATATACCCAAAATATAATGATAAGGACTTATTTATTTTCTAGCACATTTTTGGGTACTCATTTTTCTATTTTAAATATCATGTTTATGCTAGTTTTATATAAAACATTATACTTCCCTCTGTCCCCAATTTATCTATCCATTTTGTTTATGTACGGAATTTTAGGAATATTAGTATTATATTGGGATAAAGTATAAATAAAGGTAAAAAGACTAAATTAACCCTATTAGTATTGTATGATATAAAGGTAATGACATTTGTGTAATATATTGTAAATTAGAAGGGTATTTGTAACGTTAGGTATATAGTACAATTACTTTAAAAAAAGAAACATGATACTTTATTATGGGACGGACCAAATTGAAAAAATGGATAGATTGTTAAGAGACTGAGGAGTATTAAATAAAGTTCTCAATATATATATTTATCATCTCATCAAAGTTATTATTCAATATAAAATATTATTTTTTTATATTAAATTTTTTTATACTTTACATCAAAATAAAATTAAATTAAAACACTAAACAAACAAAGTGCATCATATTATTCAAATTAAAAATTAAATATAAACAAACAAAGTGCATCATATTATTCAAATTAAAAATTAAATATACACTAATGTCTTGTCACATTATCTAGTTTTTACTTTCTTTTTACTCATCTAAATTTTCGTACTATAATCAAAATATTGCACATTATATAAGACGGATGGAGTATTATCCAAATTAAAATTTATTGAAATAAAAGAAAACTTAAAGTAAGAACACAAACCAAACAGAAACTACTTTTTCATCGTTTTGAAAATATATACACCTATTTTTTTCACAAAATATTATATATATATATATATTCATTATGGAAATTCATATTTAAGAAAAAAAAAAACCCATGTAACACAAAACGAAACACATCCTATTTTAGAGCATTACACTTGGCTATATGATCTTTTGAAAGATGGCTTTTATTTTTTACTACATAATTATTGTAATTTTTATATTAATGTTACCGTTTTTAATCAAATATTAAATTTAAATTAGTATTCAAATAGAAAACAAAATAAAACCAAAATCAATAGAATACTTTGAATTATCATAACTCTTTATAATTCAATAAAAAAATATTATCTTTTTATAGTATCAACCAAATTTACTATTATCTCAATTCCATCAATCAAGACCGTGGCCTAAATTGTACTCCCTCTGTCCGCCTCTAAGGGTCACATTTACTTTTTACGTCATTGTACTTTAACATTAAAAATATCTTTATATTTGTATAAATTATTTTACAAATATCATTCTATACACCAATGTAAATATTTTTGCATTTTTTTTTATTTGTACTACGTTTTGATATAATAATTAATATTCAAATATCAATATGCAAAAATTAAATAAAACTCTTAGAACCGGACGGAGATAATATATAATATGTTGTGATATTTTAGAAAGTAGAGATAAGAGTGAGTAAATGGGTAATTAGATGAGATCTATATTGACTATAAATAAAATTTGACTATTTAGGCAAGACAATGTGAAATTATTTAAGTAGAGTAGATAGAATATAATTTTTAAAATTAACAAATAACAACTAATATAATTTTACATATTTATTCCACAATAATATTATATGTTATTATTTAAATGTTATACCAAAAAATTTAGATTTATTAATTTTATTTTTATTTTAAATTATACTTTAAATATTTTAACAAACTATTTCTACATCAATTTACAACAAATACTACAATTAATATAAATAAAGCAAATACATTAATAACAATATATATTAATATGAATTTTAATTAAAGAATAAATTCTATATAAGCATACAAAAACAAACTATTTTATAAATAATATATGATATAAAATAAAATAAAATAAAAATGCAAAAGAGTTTGAGAAACCATTTTGCAATTGGAAATAAATAAATAATTGTACTCTCCAAAAGAAAGAGGATTTCTATTTTTGTAAAGTGCATTGAAGAAGACCACTATTGCAAATATGGCAATTTACAATTGTAAAAATTATATTGAATGTGTTTGTATATGGGATTTGCATTATTTTATTTATTTATTTTTGTGATTTTCGTTTTAATTTTGAATTAAAATATCTCATTGATGTTTTTGAATATAAATTAAATTTTAATATAATTTAAAAATATACTCTCTCCGTCCCAGATACATGCCCACATTGCTCCGTCCCACATATCATGTCACTTTCCTTTTTGGAAAATTATTACACACTTTAATCTTATTTTAAATTTTTTAATTTTAATTAAACTAATTAGTTATCTTAATTTTAATTTATAATTATTTATATTATAGGATAATTATTTTCACTAATACATTCTTAATTATCTATTAATTACACCCCTTCTAAAATACCGTGTCTACAGTGTAGCTCTGGGACGGAGGGAGTATTAATAAAAGTTACTTTACGTAAATGACAAGAATAGTTTTAACTTTTTTAGTTTTAAAAATGGTTTAAACATATAGGCTTCATTCACCAAGTGCATGACGAAATAATTTTTGGTGTGTGGTATAAAAAATTATGTTGAAAATATAAAATATATTATTTTAAGTAGAATATTTAGATTTTTGGTAATAAGTTTTTAATTTTTTATAATGAGTATTTGAAACTTTCTTAACTTTTTTACTTTGTATGAATTATTTTATATTTTTATTTTTAAATAATCAAAATTAGGAAATGGTACTAGAACAACAAATTGATAATTTAAAACTATATATAATTTTGAATTTATTAAATTTAAATCTTGTCATGCAAATATAGTTATTTTAGAGTAATTATGTTAATGACTAACATTTGCATAATTGACTATTCATTCAAAGTTATCCATATCTCATGAGGTGTGTTCTTTTTGCAATTTTTTTTTTCTTCAATTTTAAAATTAAATAACTTTTTTGATGAAATATATATATTTTTAAAAATTATATGCATTTTTTTAACTTTGAAAATTGAATAGTAAAAAATTGTAAAAAGAATATATTCAAAAAAAAAAAAAATTGATACAAATTTCTACATTATAAAAAAATACATGCAAGTCTTCATCGTTATTTTATATATATATATATATATTTATATATTTCAAAAGAATTAATAATGCATGTTATATATTTATAGACTTTATATAATATTATTTGTGCATAGAGAGAATGCAGATATTTATTTGCAATTTTAAAGAACCTATTGGGATTTTCAAATAGTGTTTTTCACCACAACTGTATTACTATTTAATTTATTGATTTTTTAAAAATTAAAATCACATTAAATATTAAACATCAATTTTATTATAGTAATTTAAAATAAAATAAAATCAATTAAATATATATATTTTTACCAAATGTTACATAAAATATCAATTTTTTATATATTTTTTTAAATTCTCGAAAACGAAAAAACTTTTAAAATTTCTATACGAACAAATTAAACATTAATTTTCTATTCCAGACTCTTTGCACAAATAGTCTAATAAATTTTACACTAGCTCGTGTTATGTCTTATGCTATTAATTATATCATTTTGGATTCAATGCCGCAAGAGGATTTAATATCGATTAATTATTCACTTCAATATATTTTTTTACGATAATCTTAGAACAATCAAATCCTATAAATTTGTTTTTTTGATCACTACTATATCTAAAAGTTAATTAATATATCATCGCGCGCTAGATCAATCTTCTCATACTATATACATGACCGTTGTATTCAATTATACTAGCTCATTTGCGAAATATATTTCCCTCTCATTTTATTTAATTAATTTCCTTGTAAAAATTACTAAAAAATAAAAATAAATCATTTATTTTTTCTTGAAATAGTGATTCATACACAGAAATGGAAACACACCTAAATGTAAAATGCAATAACTTCTGAAATTATAAAACAAATATATATAATTTTGTTGTTTCCTATTTTCATATATTTATATATATATATGAAATGAAACCTACTAATTCAAACATGGATCAATATATAGAAATTAAATTTGCAATAAACCATGACTATGTAATAGAACTCCCCATTGTTTTCCTTTTATAAATTTGAATTTAAAGCAAATAAGATTAAGTGTTGTTACTAATTAAAATCAACAAATGTAGGATATAAATTTTAGGGGAAAAAATTTATTTAGTTTTGAAAATAACATCATGGAAAATATTTACAAGAGTAGCAATGATATTTACAATTCAGTTTTAAAGATTGATCTAACCCTAAAATTAGGGTTATCAGATTATCATCAACAGCTTCATCCTCAACCGAGACAAGAAATAATGAAGAATCCAAACAAAAAGTTTTCTTACATTCCATCCTATTCGAATCAGGTCTCACTACACACACACATTTATATATATATTACGGGGCGTTGTATATTTGATTTGTATTTGTATTTAAATGATAACTAGATGCAATATTTTGTAAAATTAAATAATTTTGCATGTTTATGTTTTTGCTTTTTTTTTTTTTTTTTTTTAAATTTAATCCATGTATGGCATTAATTTCCTTCAAGAATGCATGATATAATTAATAAAAATATTTGGGTTTATTTTATTGAATAAAATAAAAAGATATGTTTCGACATAATATTTTGAATAAAAAATAAAATTTTAATAAAAAAAGGATCCTCTTGACTTAACTTATTACGTTTTTTAGAGATTATTTTATTAGTACAAAAAAAAAGTTTGAAAGTATAAATAAATAGAAGGTTAAGGTCGTTTAAAGAAAATTATTAAATTTTCTATTAATATGTTGATGAAATTACATTTATGTTAAATCTTAAAAGGTTTAGATTTCTTTCTTTTACATTGTTTTATAAACATTTTATAGTAAATATATATATACACATATATATTCAAAATTTATAAATTACAGTATATAAATTTGATTATTCATGGAGGGTACAATGAGAATTAAGCGGATACTATTCATCGCAGTTGCAGTCGCTAATGTCATTTACAACATATGGAATTGGATCGACCGTGCCTATAAGTTACTTTGGACATACACTTTATAGTGCCCCGATCGCTAATAATTGTATAAACTACTATTACAAGCAGCGACGACCGCGAAAATATGGAAGAAATTGCAAGAGTTGTGGAATCGACAATACTCCTCTATGGAGGAAGGGTCCTGATGGCCCTCAAGTAAGATCATAATTATATATATGTATTTTTTTGATAAGTTTGGAAAAAAATTGGTTTGAGTTTGATATAAAAATAATATTTGATGGGATATTTTGTGAAAGAAAAAAATATATTTTTTTCGAAAAATGTAGAATTCAAATAGTAAAATTTGGGGAAACTCGGCCAAAGTACCATATTATTTATTAATTGTTATTTGGGGGTTTGATTGTGCAGACGTTATGCAACGCTTGCGGACTGAAGCATCTCAGGACCATAAAGATGCAAAATAATTGACATTACCTTAGCTTCCTTGTTTTGTTAATAATAATAATAATAATATATTTGGCGTGTAATGTGATGAGGAATGGGACTTGGGTTGGTCCTACTCCTCTCTCTCAATAATAATAATAATAATATGAGCTAAAGTTGACTTGTGGTTATGTTCTATTTGATTTGATTTGATTTTTTTCATTTTAATTTCCTTGCTATATATATATATACACACATAAATATTTATCTAATATTTTTAATTTTTTACAAATAATAAATTTGAATAAAAACCTATAAATAAAAGCTAATATTTTTTAATTAAAAACAAATATAATAATTGTAATGAAAAAAATAACATTAAATATCATTAGAGCAGTGTCTTTGTTGCATTATTTTATTTTTTTTTTATCTCTCTTTCACTTAATATCACGTCTAACATTCAAATTACTTCCTTTTAACACTCGTTATAGCATCATCACTTTTAGCTATTATCTTTATAATTTTATAAAATTCATCATAATTATCTATTTTTATATATTTGTATTATCTAATATTATATAATTAATATTTATTATGTCATAGTATATTTTATTTTAAAAATATTAATTTATAAAAATTATAATAATATTATATAAATTTTTATATTATGAAATATTAACAATGATTCGAATTTATAAAATTAGTGGCATTTAAAAATCTGAATGATTAAAATAAACCTAGATTAATATATTGCCAGAATAATTTTTAATTTTCAATAATTTTGTTAAAGAACTAGTTGGAAATAGATTGAATATAAAAATTTTAAATATTTACATAAAAAAATTTATTGAAAAAATATATAAGCGAGTTTTGATTTTTTGAAATAAATTTGAATTTGTATTTGTATAAATAAATTATTGATAAATTTTAAATTACTTAAACAATTATTTATTTATTATTTTTATAGAGGTAATGAGTTCTTGATATTAACTGTATTTCTTAATAGTTATAATAAAAACAAAAAAGGCAAGGAGAAAGATAATAAAGAAGTAACGGTGACGAGTGTTCTTATATTGTTAAATCTTTGTTACCTCACGAATTATTAATTTATTGCGACAATCGTAACAAAATTGTGTAGAAAATATCCTCCGTAGGCCCTTCAAATAAAACGCAAGCCCAAACTCAAAACTCAAAATCCAAACAAAAAAAGCTCACCTACCTTCCGGGGCTTCACCCGCCACGCGCCGCCCCTCCACGTTGGCATCAGCGCGGTCCACGTCAGCCGGCTGAAAGGTGATGCGATTATACCACCTGGCACACGCCACGTAGACCACAAAATCAACGGCGGTGAGAATAGCTATAAGAAAATAAAACCGATCCATATGTCCGGCGTTGAGATTCTCCGGTATCCACCCGGGATTGTCGTCCTTGGCCGTGATCTCCATGACCATGTGCACCAGCAAGCTGCTCACGAAGTTCCCCAGCGATATCGACGCCATGCACAGGGAGCTCCCGAAGCTCTTAATCCCGTCCGGCGCCTGCTCGTTGAAGAACTCCAATTGCCCCACGTACATAAACACCTCCGACGCCCCAACCAGCACGTACTGCGGTATCTGCCACAGCACGCTCATCCGGCTCGAGCTCTCGCCGGGAAACACCGCCTTCAGCCGCCAGATCTCCGTCAGCCCCGCCGCCACCATCGCCAGCATCCCCAGAATCAGCCCCACCCCCATCCTCTGCAGCTCCGACAGCCCCTTCGGGTTGCCGCTCAGCCGCCCCGCCACCGGGACCAGCACGTGACGGTACAGCCCCGTGCAGATCAACACGCTGCAGATGTCGAACACCGACATGCTCGCTGCCGGCAGGTGGAGCTTCCCGATTCGGGTGTCCATCACGTCGCCCTGTTCGACGAATAGCGACGCCATTTGTGTGAAGGTCACCGAGTATATAATCGTGCATAGCCATATAGGGATCATTCGGAGGATGCATTTGGCTTCCTCCACCTGCGTGACGGTGCAGAGCCGCCACGGGCTGGCGGCGTCGCAGTCGGGCTCTGTCGCCGTCACCGTCGCCGCCTTGTCGAGGCACCGGAAATCGTCGGTGTGTTTGATTTTCCGGATGCCTTTGAAGGCGGAGTTGGCGCCTTGGACTTCATAGAGCGCGCCGCCTTGCTCGGCTGGCACGCGCCATTTCCTCGCGGCGGCGACGAACACCTGCATGACACGTGGGATCGGGTTCCCACAGGCCCTTAAGTACCGGTAACTGGAGGATCCCAAGAGGAAGGTAGCCAAGGCGAGGACGGCGGAGGCGGCGGCGGCCCAGAATCCGAGAGTCCATTTTCCGGTGTCCTCGTAGAAAACCAAGACCGTGTTGGAGAACAAGGAGCCCGTGTTGAGTGCAAAGTAGAAATAGCAAAAGAATGCAGCTTTGGAGCTCCTCTGCTTTGGGTCGGTGTCGTCGAATTGATCGGCGCCGAATGTGGCCAGCGTCGGCTGGTGGCCGCCGTAGCCGAAGGCGACCAAGTAGATAGCGAAATAGAACAATATAGTCCCGTACGAGGGAGGGTTCTCACAGTCTTTTTTACCGTCGCCGCACCCCTTAGGCTTGAGCAGAACAAGCCATGATGTAAGGGATACAAGAACAAGACCCTGCGGTATATACATTGTTGTTAAATGACTTGTTTTTACCTAAACATCGACCTAAATACATCATTAATTACATATTATATATGAACCTATGGAATTAGGTACCAAGACGAAGATGACTTGAAAAATGCTGCAAGTGAGGTAACGGCCCCAATACGAGTCGCTGAGGAATGCTCCGACGAGCGAGAACAAGTAAACGGTTCCGGTCCATATACTGACATTGTTAGCTGCAATGGCATTGTTTTGTCCCATGACTCGTGTTAAGAACAACACCAAGTTCACCCCGACGCCGAAGAAAGCGAGGGTTGCAAGGGCCTGATTAGCTGCACCAAGAAAGAATTTGTATTGTATTTAAAGGGACATTGATTTATATTCCTCTGTAACTCAATCATGTTTGGTTTGAAGAAAAAGAAGAGATCAGATAGGGATAAGTACCTAGAAGAAGAAAAGCACAACCCCAACCCCCTAAGTCTTTACGTTTGCTGACGATCCTATCATCTGCACTTTCTTCGCGTGCTTCTTGGATATGCAGTGTTTCCATTCCCTGAAATTCAGATTTAAGTACTAGTGCTCAAAGGAAAATCTAATCTAATTACAAGGCAGCAACTGAGCATTTGGTTGTCGTATACAGCTATGAGATGAGATGATAATAGTTAAGTTTGTTGTTGAAGAAAGTTAAGAAGATGACTCTGAATATACATATCGATCACTTAGCAGATTAGATTGCTGAAACACAACACGCATAGATATCATGTTGTCAACACAAGGTAAGTAATACAAACCTTTGTTGCAGTGTTCTCCATGCTTGAGGTTTTGGAGTGACTTTAAGCGAATCAAACTCTGCTCTACATCATGTAAAAGGATACGGAGAAGATCACTCAAAGGCATTTATAATATATTGTGCTATAAAACAGAGTAGTTTTGGGGGAAAATATGGATCAGTAGTTTTATCGAACAATTCATAGACGTATGTTGCAGTTGAAATTACAACTCTTCCACCAGCAAATCACATCACAGTTTCACTAGTTTGTTTGAAAACTTTCAGAACTCTATAATTTACTCACTGTAAAATTTCACAGCAATAAATTAATCGCAGAATTAATTACCTTTTTTCTGAACTTGATCAGCGACAAAAGAAGGAGCTCAGGAACAGTGCCGACGCCGGTTTCCGGCGACCGCGAATTCGTGAAAACAATTCCAAAACTCGTCTCGGAAGTTACTCGGCTCGCCAGCGAAGAATTCAGACCAGTAAAACTTGTTGTCATTTATTATATAAAACCACCAAAATTATTTCAAAAAAACAGAAGACGAAGGTAATACTGCTTCGGATAATTCAATCAATGCTTCCTACAAGTAGCCGACGAAACGCAAAGGTTGAGAATTGAAACATACGAATAACGCGAAGAACACCAAACCCAACGAGAAATGTATTCGCGAATCGCGACGACGAATGGTGTGGCGAATCAGCATGGATTAAAATAGCTGGTTTGTAACAGATTCCTGAGAAACCTCCACGCGTTGCTCCAGTTTTCACCATGTCTTTCAGCTTGATCAGTTCAACAAGCTGATCCCTTGGATCTGTGTCCTAATTTTGGAAATCCTTGGTACACTCTTCCCTAATTTCCCGAACCCAATGCCATGTACGTATAAATATGCAATGTCAGATTTTTTTGATTCTTTTTGGATTTTTTAATTATATAATTTTTACTATTATTTTAGACATGGGTGAGGATATACAATTTACTCTGTTTATCTTAATATGAGTAAGTGGATATTTGAATTTTTTATTTAATTATATATAAATATATATATATGTTTGTTGGTTGTTGTTCGGAGAAAGACTACAATATGGATATTAAAAATTGTTCATGAAGCACTTAGTTTTGGAGTTAATTTCAATTATCAAATTCAGTGAATTCTTTTTATAAATTATTTGTACAAAAAATTTTATCTATGGAGAACTTTTAAATAGTTTTTAGATAATTTTAATATTTGTCAAGAAAATAATAATATATATAAATTAAAATACTTTGAATTATTTTATTTATATATATTTACATATTTATTTGAAATTTGTTTAAAAGTACAAATTTGATATTGTTAATGAAATATATAATTTTTATAAAGAAATATATTAATTTTTTATTTGTATTTATAATTTTATATAAAATTTTCTGATTATATATATATCATGTATATCATATTTAATTATATATTTGGATAATTTTAAATAATTTAGGTCAATTTTCAAATGGTTATTTTTAAATACTAATTTGGTAGGACAATTTTATTTTACATAATTTTTCTAAACAAAAATATTTTTACATATAATTTAAATATTTTCATTTATTTTAAATTTAAAAATAGCTAATTTTGACATTTTTAATTATAGATTTTCTGTAATTATAAATATTGATAGTTTGATATTATGATTTTATATATCTATTATATATTAGTTTATTACAATATTTAAAGTGATTTCATGCAAAACATTTATTTATTTATTAAAAACAATATTTGATAGGTTATGTAAATTGATAAAATAATCTAAATTTTGTATGAAATTGAACATAAATTGAAATTTTATATTTTTTTTATATATAAATTGTTTCTTCCATTAGCTAAAAATCGTAGTTGTTTACAATAAAATTTGAAAAATAAACATTTTAATTTCATTTTATAAAATAAATTTCAATTTTACTTTCTATTAAGTATAGGTAATTTAATATGTGTTTTAACACATTTTTTTAATTAATATAATCAATCATTATTTTTCTTTTTTTGCAAGTTTTTTTCACAGCTACTAATAATAAACTTATAATAAAAAAAATCATTTGTTTTTATTTTTAACATTTATAGTAATTAATTATTTGTATTTTGTTCTAATAAGTAAAGATATAAGTAGATACACATTAAAAAAAATCATAAAATAAATAGAACTACTAAAATAGTAAAATATAAATATGTAATTATTGTACATCTTTTTTTTTCAATTAAATAGATTTATATATAGATATTTTGATTTATTTTAAATAATTATAGAATCAAATAAATAATAGTATATAATAATTAAATTTAAATTTAATATTTAAACGCTAGTTTATATATCTAGGTATATAAGTCATGCATGCATGCATGCTGCACGTGCACGTGCACGTAAATTGAAGATGAATATATGTCGATTTTCATAACTTAATAACTGTTTATTCATATTACTACAATATATTCTTGTAGAACTACAATTATAAATCTTACCATATGATACTAATAAAATGGTTAGAGTACATTTTTTTGCTCTATTATTTCTCTCTTTTTTCAATTTTGATGTCGCTATTTCTAATTTAATATTTTGATCCTTATGTGTATATCTTGTTGGTTTATTTTCATTTGTTCAGTCATTTGGTCATTTTATTTGTTTGATATAGGCTTTATTTCTTGATTGTTATTTAAAATTTAATACATATTCAAATAATTATTCATTACAAAATGACGAATGAAATTGAAAACTATGATTAAAACCAGATGACTGTCAAACTAAAATTGAAAAGAATTAATTATTTGAAAAGCCTATGTAATGATTTGTCCTTCAACACACATGCTATAATTCTTGTGTTGGACATAATAGGTTCAAACCACCTACTCCTCAGGTCACCTGTCACATATGGTTCGTCTAGTGTGACTTGTTTTTAGGCAAAGTTTGCAGGATATTAAGTTCGATCGGAAATTTACCCAATGCGCACTTTCGAATAGCGGCTGCGGGTTCCTACGTCATCAAAAAAATAAAAAAATACACAATAATTGTGTTATATAAATGCATTTCTCATATACTAAAATCAACTATAATTTATATTGTCTATAATTATGACATGCCTCAGGTCACCTGCCACACATAATTCGCCTAGTGTGACTTGTTTGTCGGGCCTAGTTTGCAGAGTATTAAGTTCGATCGGAGATTTACCCAGTGCGCACTTTCGAGTAGCGACTACGGATTCCCACGTCATAAAAATAAAAAATAAAAAATAAGAAAACAAAAAAAACACAATAATTGTATTATATAAATACATTTATCATATACTAAAATCTAACTATAATTTATATTGTCTATAACTATGACATATGCTATCCGTTTTATATTAAAATAATACAAATCTTTAACATATGAACAGAAAACACATGCATATCATAGACAAATCATCACTTGCTCTATCCAAAACATGATTTCAATCAATTTACTCATAATTTACCGATATTCAAATTAATTTTAAAAGTGCCCCAAAAATATGTAATATTCAGGGCAGTCAAAAAACAAAACTTTACATGCCAAAATATCAACAAAAATATGGCAACGCCCAAAACCATCAGATATTACACAGCCGAACTATCAAGACATATTATACAAACCTAAAAAATTCTTACCCCAAGCCATGGCAATTGTTTACCTTAAGTTAGAACTTGGCCACGGTGACGCCGAAGTTTCCCCAGACATTCTTAACCGGACGCGCTGCATCGAAAAAGTTCGAACGGATGGGAATCCCTTCCGGGATTGCTTCCTCGTGGCTCCAATGTCTGTTGCTGGTTTCGGTTCTGGTGTCTGCATTCCTTACCGGCATCACTTCTTCACCGCCAGGTACAAGAGTCTTCATCAGCTGCAATGCAAAGGGCAGGATTAGTCGCAACCAAAAATAAAAAAATCGAAGAATGGATAAATAAATGGTTATTAGAAAATGCATGTCGAAAATGAATAGGTCGCATCATTTTTTGTTGGTAACTAATGTGTTGTTTTGACACTTTACCTTCCAATCATCGATGTCGAATCTGAACATAAAATGATGGCTTTTGGCGGCTCTGCTCTCGATTTCTTCTGCGCTGGGACCATTACAAGGGGCTGCAAATTAAGCAAGAACTTATGTGTTTCAGTATGTAATGAAAGGAGATTGAGAACAATGTTGAAAAGATAGGGGCAAGGGAGCATACTGATTACTTGAGAACCACTCGTATCGACATCGATGCAAACTCTTCCATCTTTCACCAAGAACGATAATGCAAATAGGTTTTCGATGGTCTGAGCAAAAGAGTTTCTATTGAGTATTAAATTCTCAACCTTGAGCTGTTTTTCTTTCTTTAATATCTCAAACATGATTCGGATGTTCTCGTCGGTGTTGCTCACTGCCTCGGCAACGGTTGTATGCTATATAAACATGTTGAAACAATAAAGATGGATAAATTGATGATCAATCCACGAAGAATGCTTAAATAGGTTTAAAGATTGACAAGCATACCAAGCAAAAAATGAGTAGAATATTAAGTAAACATCGACAATATAGCGAAGGAATTGATAAAATATCGAATTTGAATCAACAACCAAGAATTGAAACTAGCTTAAGTTTTCAAAATCGAAATGATCATTTAACAGTGTATAATAGAGACAATATAATCTGTAATTAGTGATGCACTTCTTAGCTAGTTTAAATTTTTTAGTGAGACGATTATTTAACAGAAACAATACAAAAGAATGGATATAAAAATTTCAAGAATACCTCTTGTGGATGATCTCTGGTCTGTGCTGATCTTTTTCTTGTTTTCAATCGGGTGGGAACGACAGGCTGCTTCCATTGCTTGAAGGAATTGATAAAATGAAAACACAACCAGTTAGCATCAAGAGCAACCAAACATTCCACACACACAAAAACACAAGTATGGATAAAGAAAATTTGGGAATACCTGAGATGAATAATGTGACATCCCAAATGAACGAGAACTTGGACCAGGATAGACTCGATTCAATGGCTTAATCTTATGTCTCATAGGTCCAATCCTTCATGAATGGCAAACCAAAAAGAATAAGATAGTGAAATGCTTATGCTCTCACAATTCAGATGCAGATAGTAAACATGAAGCAGCACTCACATGGTTGCGCAGCCTGGTACATTCATGAAAATCAATGTAGATAAACTGCCGATATCTTTCCATGCAATAACAACAGGTGAATTCTTTCGAAATTCCTTGTGCTTCCCGAATTCTCCAACTAAATGCGAAACAAATTGATAGGGAGATATCCCTCCTCTCATATGTGTTTTAACAGAGGCGACCAACGTGCTCACTAGCCCTAGGAATGCCTCCGCATCTGCTACTTGCTCCCTTGGATTTTTCACTATAATTTTACATTTACTAAGACATTGAAATTTGAAGCAAACCAATTCGTAATGTGCCAATGAAAATATGTCAATAGCTTATGGATAAACACATGCTTGCTTGTAAACACAGAGAAACTCCAATTTTCATAGATAAATTGCAGCTCAAGTACAGTTCATTTTTGGGGAGAATTTAGACGAACGCAGTTCAAAATTAACCAGAAAGGAAACGAAACTAAGGATTCTATGAAAGTTTGGTCGTTAGGTCATCCGAAAATGTGAAATAGGCGTACCGTTTTGGTGGATCTTCTCCACCTCATTCATAATGGACATGAACATTTGCGAATCTCCGGCGACAATTTCATCTTTTCCTTCTGCAACAAAAATTGTTTTCACGAGACAAGGAGCTCGTCAGTTTAGAAAGAGGTAGACGCACAGAAAACCACATTTCTGTTTCCGTTTCCTGGCAAAGGAAAGCGTTGGTATGAGCAGAAATAAAAGATTCGGGTACCGTTGATCCTTGCTTCAAGCTCGCGATAGAGCGTGCGAATGTTACTCCGCATATGATCCTCCTCTCCCTTCATGGGAGTATGCTTTGATTCTGTTTTGACCTTGGGAATAGAGGCCTCGGCGTCGTCTTCCGCTACTGGAATCTTTATCCTTTGACAGTCCGTCTCCTCCTGGTCGCTGTTGATCGCCATTGGAAGGGTAGTGAGAGGAATCGTGGCAGGGAGTATGGAAATCGAGGAGGAAGAGGTGAAGATTGCGCGGGAAGCCAATTTCATTCCTGAGAGTCTCTTCTGCACATCTCATGATAGTGTTCTGTTCTTTTCTCTCTGTGACGTTCTATTCTAGCGGGCTATATTTATTTTTTATTTTTATTTTATTTTGTATATGTAATGATACTCTCTTAATTTTATTTAATTTGTTTATTTTTTTATTTTTTAAATATAATTATAAATTTTACTTATATTTTAAAATTAATAATTTATAATTAATTACTCCATCCATCCATGGATAAAATATACATTTATTTTTGGCGCAAAATTTAAGAAATAATAGTATTTTAATTATAGTAGGCAGGTAAAAGTAGTGTAACGATATTTTTGTCTTACTTTTTGGTATAAAAGTATTGATGTGATGTAAAGTAAATGTATTTGTGGAAAAAAATAAGGTATTTAATTAAATGATTACTTTGTAATTGGACGTCCAAAATATAAATATGTATACTTTGTAGCTGGAGGGAGGAAGTACATACTACAAATTAGCTGAGACGGATGGAGTATAATTTAATGATGTATTTGATTGGAGGTTTTAATAGTAAGAAAATTAAATTGAAATCGATGTATGATTAATGTGATATAAATAGATATTGACCGGATATTTTAAATATAAAATTAATTTTTAATATAATTTAAAAAATAAAAAAATAAATATTTAATTTATGTTTTAAGAAAAAAAATTGATGAATAACAATAATTCTCTAAACAAACACACCTTAATAAAAAATGAAAAATATTTTTGTATTAGTGAAAATTTGTTTTTACTAAAATAACAAATAAATAATATTTAATTCTAATAAATGATTTGGATTACTTTACCATAAAAAATTGATATAATTTCTATTAATAACAAAGTAAAAATATTATTTTATTATCTTTTACATGAATAATATTATAAGTATTTTTAATATTTTGAGTATTATATTTTAATAAAATATATACAATATGAATATTATTTTGTAAATAAATTTTTTTATATAATATAAATAAATAAATTTTAATGGATTCTAAACATAAGAGGTTATAAATTTAATTAAAATTATTTATATTTGTTAAATATATTTAAAATAAATAAATTTATTAAAAAAAATTATCTTTGATGACATAGACAAAAAGAAAAAAATGATCATATGTGACGAGACAGATGAAAAGTATAATAGAAAATTAGTAGTTGTTATTATCGAATAATTATTTATTTAATTAATTAATAAAATATAATTTATTTGTAATTACATTTCATTGATTAATTGAATTAATTTTGATTATATATAAAAGTGGCTCGGCCGGCTTGTGAGAATTAATATTTAAAATATAATATTTTTATATATAAAATAACTAAAGAAATCATGTTAAAAAATAAGCTATAATTTTATGATAACCGTATTTGGATTATATATATTTAATTGTTAATTCAATTTTCATCTTCATCATTTAAGTACAATTTTTATTAATATAAAAGGAAAATAATAATTTATTTTTTTTAAAAAAAAGTCTGACCGCCTAACACAACTCAATTTCAAATCGGATCGTGCTCGGACCTAGCTCTATAGGTTCGATTTAAAATCAGGTCGTGCCGACCCAACACATTTCAGGATTGAATCAAAGTGCCCGAATTGTCATCTCTAACCAAATTTAAGAAGTGGATTTATGAAGGAAATGTGGTCGGTCTATTAAAAGCCACTAGGGATAACTAGTTAATATGATAACTAAGGTTTTTTTTTTTTTTTTTTACACAAAATCTAAATTTCTACTATTTTAATTTTGTATTTTTCTGAAAAAAATATATTTATTTATCTTACAAATATTCCCTCATACATTATCTCACTACTATCAAAAGAAACATAACTATTATTTCTTATTATTATTTTAGTTTATGTTTTTTTAATATTTAAATCTAAAATTTCTATTATTTAGATTTTATTTTCTCAGAAAAAAATAAACTAATTTTTTTTTTCTAAATATATATTTTATTATAAATTATTGTAATAACAAATTCCAATCAAGATTTTCTAAAACCTATAAAAAATAAACACTCATATGTGTTTTATAAAGATAGATTGTACCTATTATAGAAATAAAAAGTAAAAAAAAAATACAAAATTGTATTTATTGTTTGTAAAAGCTTAAATAGCAACATGTATTAATGGACCAAAAAAACTATTATATTCTTTCCATCCATTAAAAAAATATACATTTTATTATTTGAATTAATTAAAACAAAAAAAATTATATATTTAATAAATTTAACAACATTACATACTATATAGTATATGAGTTTAAACCCAGACACCTCAGGTCCACCTATTACACATGGTTCGCCTAGTGTGATTTTTCCATTGGGGTTGGTTTGCAGGATATTAAATTTGGCCGGGAGTTTATCCAATGCGCACTTTTGGGTAGCGACTGCGAGTTCCCACGTTATCAAAAAGAAAAAAAAAAAAACTTCGAATTTATATTTATTTACATATAATAAAATTCCAAAACAAAAAAAAAAAATAAAAGTATCACCAACAATTATTTAAATAATATGGTAAACTGTTTTTTTAGTCCAATAACTGGACACCCTTATCATTTTAGTCTCGTAAGTGGAGCAATGTCACAAACTAGTCTCATAAGTAAAAAAATTTCGTTGTTTTAGTCCTCCGGCGTCGGAGACGCTTGCGTGGCTCGCCGGAAGCCACGTGTCCGTCAGGTGTCCCGCCTGATTGGATTTATTTTTTTTATTTTTTTTTAATTGGACCAAATAAAAAATTAAATAAGACAAATAAAATTTAAAATAAATTAAAAATAATTTTTTTAAAAAAATTAAAAAATGAAAAAATAAAATAAAATCTACGTGTCCACCAGGTGTAGCTAACCCGGCGGACGTGGCATCCGGCAAGCCACGCGGGCGTTTCCGACGCCGGAAGACTAAAACAATAAAAAATTTTCATTTATAAAACTAGTTTGTTATAAAAAAAATAATTTACCCTAAATAATATTATCTTTTAATACTCATAAATATATATATATATATATTAAGTGAATGGAGACTAAATACTTGTAATTAACACAAATAGTATTATCGAGCATAAGACGAATCTCACATGTTAGAAACATCATACATATATATTCATATGTATATACCTTAGTCACATGTCTTAACGTGACCTCTAACCACTCATCTAATAAATCATTACTCTCTAAATCTATTCTCAATTGTCTGCATACCTTTACAGATCGGATCTTTTTAATTAGTACAAATTAATTAGGGACAAGTGTAATTAATTTTGTATAAGCAACAATTATATATCATTTTTTAATTTTAAACATTTACATATATGTATCTATAAAATATTTTTATATTTCACTTGTTATATATTAATACAAAAACTGAAAATTAAAATTAAAGTAAAATACACATTAATTGACCAAAAATGGTCACCAAATAAATGTTCGTATAATTGATTAGTCAAAATGTTTGACTTAAAATACCAACACTTTGCCGTTCACACCACACTACACATGTCCTGTCAGAGCCCATGTAATAACACAACCAGGCATCATCAATGACCATCCACTGTGGAAGTCCGGGATTTGGGATCCAGGACCAGTCACTTCCTTCCGCAGGCGCTGAAGTCCCCGGACCTTCCAAGAATCTCACTCCTGGGCACTATAACTAGCATTTTCAGGCACTGATTTTTTTCCTCAACCACGTTTCCGCCAGTTTTCTTTCCAAAATTCTGAAAGAAAATTAAACATCAGCATGAATAGAAATCACAGCCACAGATCTTCTTCTACACTTGTCATAATGATTCTCCTGTTTGTGATGCAGCAGTATTCGAGTTATGGAATCTTGACAGGGAAGCCTCAAGCTCAAGCTCAAGCTCATCCCCATGGCAGAAAGGTGAAGAATTCATTTCAGTTTCAGGTCAGGAAAGTGAAGCAGAATGGAGCTAAAATGGTGATGGTGGAACCCCAAAAAGCAGTGGCAAATGGGCTCAGAAAAAGGCCCCCAAGCTCTTCTAATCCCATTCAAAACTAATAATATATCAAAACCCTAATCGATTCTTTCTTCCCTAGCCACTAGGTTTTCTTTATCCTGATTAATTGATAGGACATTTTAGAGAGAGAGAGAGAGATCCCATTCCATTCCATCAATTTTTTTTATTTAATGTTAGTATTTTTGGTACTCTAATATAGTAATTATGTTTCTCACAATTTAATTAAATTCATTTTATAGTGTTGTCAAGAATCAAGATCCCATTTTTATTTGCCCTACCTACAAGAATGCATTATATCAATCAATTATTATTGGAGGCATAATTGTGGTTTATTTAATTCCAGGATTCTCTGTAGTGAGGTGTTTTTGTAGGTAAAAGGAGAGGGCATCAGATTCCAGGCTGTTATAATTGAGAATATATCAGGACATGGTTCTAATTCACATTCTTTTGATGTGTCCATTCTTGTCCTATTATAATATTCTTCCAATATACATGAATTAATTAATTTCATCGTTTTCCTCTCCCTTCAATTTCTTCTATTTAATCCCCTGCCAGCCAACAAAGAGATCCCAATCAACCTTAGCTTCGAGCAACTTAGTTGTCCGTGGTGCAACGAGGTGACGCCGAGTTGAAATGGGCTTTCATTTTTTAGTTAAGACAAGAGTCTTTCTACCCGGCGTCATCGTTGCACCACCGATAGCCATGAGTTGCATTGCATATATATATATATATGCATCCATATTGTCTTCTTCCACATTCACTACAAAGGTAAATCATTGTCATTACTATCATTATTCTTAAATAATCATCGTACCAAAAAATTTTAAATCATTATATTACATATTACAGTGGTCGGGTTCATTAATTACAGGCGAAAACTTGGACTGAGTTTACACTTTGAATTTTAGCTCTACTTATTAATTGTTCGTTCTTGTCCCAAGTCCCTGTCGGGAATGGATTGATCAATCAAGACAACATACTTAAATTTCATTTTTGATTAAATAAAACAATAATTAACAGTTACGAGTTGTATATGCAAATCATTGGAGTCCCTTCAGCTCCCCTGTTTCAGACCACCGCCGGAATGGCTTCGCTGGCCATTTTTCCGGCCATTGTTGTATTCTTCCACATCTTGATCACCATTGCTCAATCCTACACCAACATCTCTCTAGGATCGTCGATTTCCACGAACGGCCCAGATTCGCCCTGGAAGTCTCCCTCCGGCGAATTCGCTTTCGGCTTTCTCGCCGTCCCCGGCGCCGGCGGCTACCTTCTGTCCATCTGGTTCGACAAATTACCTGACAAGACCGTCGTCTGGTCCGCCAATCGCGACAGTCCAGCCCCGCCGGGATCGAAAATTCAGCTGTTCGACGACGGGAGGTTTGAGCTCAGCGATAAAAGGGGCCGCCGGATTTGGGCCGCCGGTGGCATCCCCTCCGGCGCCGGCGTGGCATACGCTGCCATGCTCGACACCGGGAACTTTGTCCTGGCGAGGAACGACTCGACGGCGGCGTGGCAGACCTTCGACTCGCCGACGGACACGCTGCTGCCGGCGCAGGCGCTGAATCGTGGTGACAGTTTGATTTCGAGGTTTTCCGGCGAGAATTATTCCCGGGGAAGGTTCACGTTCATTATGCAGGACGACGGGAATCTGGTGCTGTACACCAGGAACTTTCCGCTATACGACGTCGTCTCGGCGTATTGGTCCACGCAGACCGTCGGCACTGGATCCCGGCTCGTCTTCAACGAGTCGGGGTATATATACCTGACCGGTAGGGACGGAGCGGTTATTTTCTTCCTGGCGTCGAACCCGGTTCCGGCGGACCGGTTCTACCAGCGGCTGACGCTCCAATACGACGGCGTTTTGCGGCACTACTTCCGCCCTAAATCCGGCGGATCGGGGTGGTCGGTGAACGTCTATTTCCCGTCCAACATATGCCTCCGAATTCTGCAGAGCACCGGCGGCGGCGCGTGCGGATTCAACAGTCTCTGCTCGATCGGCGGCGACCGGAACCCTAATTGCGCCTGCCCGGAGGGGTACTCGTTAGTGAACCCTAGCGACAAATTGGGGGATTGCAAACCTGATTTCGCCCCGCAGAGCTGCAATAATTCGAAGGAGAGCGAGCTTTATGGATTTGTGGAGATGGTGGATACCGATTGGCCTCTTTCCGACTACGCTCATTTCGATCCGGTGAGTGAGGAGTGGTGCCGGCAGGAGTGTCTCGTCGATTGCTTCTGCGCCGTCGCGATTTACAGGGAGAGCAATTGCTGGAAGAAGAAGTTTCCGTTGTCGAACGGGAGGATCGACGCCACCGTCGGTGGGAAGGCGCTGATCAAGATCAGGAAGATCAACGGTACGCGTGAGACGATGAATCCACACCGTTAGATGATATGTAGGGTCCACAGAATTAACGCGGTGGATTAATTTCCTAATTGGGCTTAAAAATATGTTTGTATATCAGCCTTTCGCAGGCCCATTATAAAAATGACGACAGTTTCTGACCGTTGGATCTGATTTAAATCAGCGGTGCAGATCTACCCAGATTAAACGCTCAATTCGCCTTCACTTCCATTCCATCTCCTGCTTATCGATCATTCCTTTCCTGCTTTAGCATGGATTCATGTCTTTGCAATCCTCCTTCTGTGTTTCTACTTGATCGTCTCCGATTTGGTGTTCAAGGGGAGGTTTGCGTTGAGTTGTTGGATGGAGGTTTCTGTTTTGATTGGGAAATCGTTGGAAACCCTAATTTTAATTTCAGTAACTGTTTTAGCTGGTCAAAGTCACTGCGGTGGCCAATAAAGAGGGGAAGGTCAAATATTGGGAATTTTTATGGCACAGTAGTTGGGTTTATGCAGCTCCCACTCGGGTTTATTTTGGCAGTGTTCACACACACACACACACGCATAGAGGCTAACATAAGAATATGCAAACCCAATCAACAAATATCTCCCCACGTTTCTCTGCTGGCAAGGCCTTTCATTATCCATCCTTTCTCTTCTCCGCGTTTACCCTTTTCTGTGTGGTGTAATATTTCTGCCTCAGCCAATCTTTGATCTTGTTGAAGAAATCCAATCCTGTGGTTCAAGATCACATTTATCATTCCCGAACTATTTGTGATTGCCACTGTTTGAAATATTGTGATTGAAGATTCATTCTTTCTTTACCTTTTTGGCGATTTTTGAGACACCGGTTGATGGTTTAGCGGATTCGCTGTGATGGCTTGTTTGGTGAGTTTTATTCTTATGTTGGTGTTATTGAAAGCGATGATGAACACTTTGAAATCTTATGGGTAATTTGGAGTTTCGCTCATGTATGGATCTGTATATAAATGGTTTGTTTGCTTCAACCCGTTCTATAGCATGTGGAGATGTTGTCGCTGCATTTTTTGCCCGTCTTAGTTTGTTTTCCAATTATTGCATGAAGTTCTTAGCTTGATTTGAATTCAAACTTTATTTTTTCTTGCTCATTGAAAATCATTAGAGGGCTTCATTTCTTTATTGGTTCTCTCTTTGTCTTCTGCAATGTCTATCATGTTTTACTTTTTCTTATAGTTGAATCAAGTACTTTAAGAATATATATATATATATATATAGGTTTAATGTAATTATTGTACACACACATATTAGGGTAGGGAACAAACGAAATCGGTTGTTTAATGGTTGCCAGATTTGATAGAAAATTGCTGAGGCTGTTGGGGATTTAATTTGTTGCTATTTTCATAAGAGAATGAAATTCAAGACAATCCTCTGTTCACAATATGTAACTTTTGCTTTTGATGTTGTTGAATGATCAAGTAACCTAGAAGTTTAAGAGATGGAGAGATTCCCTTGTTTTTCTATTTTTGTATTTTCGATTACTTAATGCTTGTGGCTGCATGCAGTCCTTGTTCTTATACAAAGCCTAGATGTGAAACACATTGTTAGAATTAGAAGTTGGGTTATCTACTTTGATATGAATCAGAATGTTGTGTTTGATCGTCCATGTTAACTGTTGGTAGTATTTATCGATATGTAGATTTGATCTTGTTTGCTTTCTTCGGTCTTAATGAAGTTTGCATACAAAAGGATGCATACTAGAGTGAAATATTTATCTTTGGTTCTTGTTATAAATTAAAAGATCTGTTTTAGAAACGTCTAGGTATTGTTCTCTATTAGGACATCGCCACATTTGTGAAGAGTTCATATAAATGGAAACAATACATTTCTTAAGTTGTAAAGGTTTGAATATATTTATATTCTGTGTCTAATCAAACAATGTTTGACATGCTGTGCTTTAATGGCAGAAATATTAGGACTTGCGTGATATCTCTAGGTTCGCGATCATGGGCAGGGGCAGAGCAAAGGGAAAGAAGCTATCCTCAACCAGCCAAGACGATCCTGGGAGTGGTGAGGAAGAAAAAATCCCGCAACAGAAAAGAAGAGGAAGGCCACAGAAGCTCCTTAAAGAGGAGATGGACGAGGAAGAAGCCCAAAAGAATGAAGATGACGACAGCGAGAACACACTGGATGGTGACGTGAAAAGCAAGTCCCCACTGGTTGGGAAGAAGCGAGCAAGGACTGCCCAGACAAAAGACAAAGCAGCCGACTCAGTGAAGGAGGAAAATGGGAATGGAACGAGCACTGAGGACAAGGAGTCGAACAAACCGAATGGCTTCCGGACAAATGGGAACCGGCGAAAGAACAAGCCTCACCGCGCTGCCGAGGCTGTTGTTGAGTGCAACTGAGCAGAGCTTTTTTCTGAAGAAAGAAGGGATTCTCACTCAATACAGTGATACGCCATTGTCTAATTTCTCTACTTTGTGCTGTTCTTCTGTTGCCTATCATTTTTGGGACATCTCTTGTGTTTAGGATTCAATTTGTTACTTTTGGGACATCTTTGTTGACTCTTGTGGTGATATATTTCATGATAAGATTTACATGTTTGGTTATTGTTTGTGTGTTTCTTACTTTGCTAAATTTCAGATAATAAAGATCTTCCGAACAATACAAAAGATATGCTTTTTGTTCATATGTTGTACTTCTATATGTTTCCTACACTTTACATGGAAACTAATTGACAAACTCTTCTTTCATTGCCAGGGACAGTGCAGTCAGGCTGCCTTCGGAAGCTACGGTCACTCGAGGCATGGCAACAGCCCGGCTTCCTACGAATCCAGATTTCCCGACAGTAATCTTTCCATACTTAACTTTACCGTCTTCACCCTCATATATGTGTCCGAAGAGCAGAGCTTCTCTCTCGACTGATGCATACTCTTGTATCTCTATCAGGTCAGGGTTTAGCACAGCTCCCATGGTGTCGACATACACCCCTCTGTCCCAGGAAACTTTTGATCCCATTAGCTTCATCCATATGTAGAAGAGAAATGATCCGCCCATCATTTCGACAAAGTAATCCTCGACCAGTGTACGTATCGCCTGCCACATTGTGTCCATGAATATTCCTACACTCCAAATTGGCTCAGTTGTTCCATCTATCTTCTTCCCCACCAGAATCCACTTACTCGAAGCGCAGAGGAGGGATGCGAGGATGCCGGAGCAAAGCCAGAAGACGGGCAGCAGGTAATATAACTGTGTTTTGTTGCTGCTGTTGTTATTCAGGTAAATGATGAAGTTCATCGGCGCGAAGATCGCCAGTCCCATCAGGAAGTAAGGCATGAAGATCTGTAGAAACGGTTGAGCAGTCGTCAACCAGATTGTTACATTCCATGGCCTTGCCAGAGTCACCTCTTTGGCTGCATTATTCGTCTCCAGTTTAGCTGCCATCGGACAACCTGAGAGGTCAACTTTGACATCCGATTGGTCCAAGAATGTCCTCCAGGCCTCTGGAAGTGGCTTTCTGTTTCGCATATGCTGGCATATTTCATATACCACCGATCTGCCATGATCCAAGGATGCACTCTGGTTGCAGGAAGAAGCCCGGATGACATCAACTTCTGGGCATCGAAGAAACGGATTAAACTCCAAACCTTCTGATTCCTCCTCGGTAAGCAGCTGATCGATTGTTATCTCGCCTATATCAAAATGTGGAAACTCTGCTTCATCCCATGGTTTGGTACAGTCGAGCACAATCTCACGCGTTGTTTCATCTTCTGGGACAGGTTGTGTTTGCAGCTGAAGGACATAGCGAACTCTGTCTGGAGAATACACCCGCCGCTGAAAATCATCAGCCAGGAAACGCAGAGGACGTGTGTCGCTCTCATCTCTTGGGATTGCGCCAGTTTCCGGTGGAAGTATACCCCTCGGCTCTACCTTCCCGGTATCCTCATTGAACTTCTTATCAAATGGTCTCAACTTGAATTTGACATACATTTCCTGGCCATCGGAGAATCTGAACAGCCTGCAAATATTTGAGTAGTAATGAAGCTCGGCGTAAGAGTCTGCTCGCCGTAAAGAGCTCCACATTGCATCCCGAATGTGTGGGGCGTGCTTCACTTGCTCTTCTCGCGCTGCGTCGCCACACGCAAGCCAGGCAGTGAAGTCACCTATGGAACGCGCGTGAAATGCATTGCCCGTTTTCAATGTCAAATCAAGCAGAGGCGATTTCTCATCACTGTTGCCTGAAATGATTCTTATTGCCGCACCACGTGGATCAAGGCGAGCGTCGTCATCCGAGCTCAAGCAGTTGCTGTGTCGGATCATGACAGAATAACTCTTCCCGGGGGAAAAGATCTTATGATCCGGGAAACCTGGTATGTGATCGTAAAGCTTCAGGCATCCCTTACCAGCTGCGCCGATTCGGTGGAAGTATCTTGCCCGAAGCTTGAGGGTCGAGCCGGCCAGACTTGCTGCTAGATTCCCGAGTACCTTCCTGTATTTCATGTCCATTTCTTCGATTCTGTCATTGAATAAATGTTGAGTGTTCTTCACCATGACAGAAGATGGGGCGCCAACGTATACACCGCCTCCCTGAAGGACCGTGTCAGTGGGAGCGACTGAAAGTGCTCCAAGAATGACGTCTTCTTCAAGGACAGATCCGGGGAGGACGAGACCTTGACTTCCTACTACAGAATTGTCTTGTATCTTGATCCCTCCCGATTTGTAGCCACCAGAGGTGTGATAACCAGGAACGATGCGGCTGAAATCCCCTAAATGAACACCATTGCCGATGGAAAGGAGTTCTGGATCAGTCACGGGATTTATGGCTCTAACGGAACAATGCTTTCCAACTTTGGCTCCCATAAAACGTAAGTACGTGCAGAAGGCTTCTGTCCCTGAAAGGAACTTGGCGAATCGGATATGGCAAGCAGTCACAATTCGGCGAACAAGCCAGTCTCTCAACGGTGTTCGTGATTCGCCTTCATTACTTGCTAAGGATGATTTGAGCAAGCAAGTGAGACAGCTGAGCATGACGCCGTAACTGGTGTAAGCTGTGGCTATGGAGATGGCAAAAATGATGGGGTTTACAGTGATAGCGTTGAACATCACAAAGTATGCAACGATGGTGTGAGGAAGCCAATGGAATGCTCCGGCAACACAAATGAAGGCAAAGTGTTCGATGTTTAGAGGTTTCTGCAGTATCCAGAGGTAGACGAAATAAGAAATGGCAGCGGATAAGGATCCAAGAAAACCGACTGCATAGATGCCGAAGAACTGAACTATGGGCGCATAATTTGCGTGATTCTTCTCCCTCTCTAGCTGTTCCATCTTACCCTGTTGTCATGAGATTGAAGAAAATGAAGAAAAGGTCAGTCTTACTCTATATGTTCGACAAGTTTTTTCTTCGAAAAGATCGATTCTGTTTGCTGACCTTTCGGAAGTTATGTACTGATGTTTCGATCTTCCTTTCAGCGCCGGAAGTCAGTGCAGCTACTTCATCTCCGTCGTCCACTGTCATGCCTCTCTGAAGCACAGCGTACGGTCCTATGGAAGCTCCTGCGCCAATTTTGATCGGACAGAAGCTCAAGATTCCATTTTTCACATCGTGGCTTTGAAGCAGTGCTCCTTCTGCAATAACTGTGTCTTCCCCAATCGAAACTAGATATGGATCGGTGATGTCAACAGTGTCGAGCAATGCAGAGGGTGCGATCTTAGCGCCGAGCATTCTGAACCAGTAGTTGATGAACACGGTACCTCGTAAGTGAACTGCTAGAACTTTTGACGATACCTCCTGAGCCTTGTACAGCGCCCACCACTTGACGAATTCGACAGACCATATTGTGAGATTGGGATCCAAGGCGTAGTTCGGCTGCAGAAATGGAGCGCCGAAGAGCGCTATGCAAATGCACGTGGACAAAATGCATAGCATCCAAGAAAGAGGAGCGCAGGCCACAGCGATCGAGTATCCCATCCAGTTATCTTCGTGGTAAGCTGGCATCGAATATGTAAAGGCGTAGACAGAAATATATGCAGGAAACATCAACAAAAAGCTGATGTAAGCGAGTGCCCCAAGCTGCATCAACCATATCTGCAGCTTATGTGTTGAAGAAGGCTCAAGAACTGCTGCCGGTGCTGGTGCTGCTTCGATTTTCCACTTTGGCGCACTGGTGGCTGATTGTGGACGCGATTTCTTTAGCAGAGAATCTGCAAAGTCTGCTAAGTCATCAATGCAGGTTGCTGTAAAGATATCAATCGCGCTGACGGGGACCCCAAGGAAATCCGAAAGCTTTTGAGCTGCGCGAACGACACCGATGGAGTCAACCCCGTAAGAGACGAGGCTTTCTGCAGTGGAGATGTTAGCAATCGAAACTCCGGTCATCTGGGCGAGAAGATCCATCAAAAACTTGATGATCTCTCCCCTGGACTGTGGCTGCAGGTAAGTTCTTGGAGCTTGAGGTTCTGATGCATTTTCGGTTGATTTGATCTGCAACTTTTCTCCAGCGACTAACTGCTCAACGATATCCAATGTTCCATTGGCGTATCTTTTAAGACATTCGAACCTCTTGATTTTGCCTGACGTTGTTTTACTTATGGTCTTCGGTTTTATCAGGGCGACGGAAGTGAGCATAACCCCATGCTCTTCTGCGACAGAGGTCTGAATTTGTCGAATCGCTTCCTTCAGGTCGTACTTAACTTCTCGAACCTCAGCAATCACCACCAAGCCGACCTGGTCAGAAATGTCGGAAACTTGGACACCTTTTGACGAGAGTATCTCCTTGGGGACACCGATTGCAGCACAACATCCGGGGCGGACTAGCTGGCATGAGTCCTCGACAGTTTTCTCGACATCAGAGGAGTATATGTTCCTTCCGGCGACAATGATGAGATCTTTTATCCTGCCTGTGACGAATAGCTTCCCGTCGATGATGCGGCCCAAGTCTCCAGTTCGCGTGTAGTTCTTCCCGGGATCGTTGATCAGCTCATTTCTGAATGTCTTCTGGCTCAGGTCTTCCCTCCCCCAATATCCGACTCCGGCACTACCGCTACTGATCCATATCTCCCCTTCTTTTTCAGGATTGTCGTGCTCCTTGCCAGTTCCTGGATCGACAATCTTGATATGGACATCGGCATCGGCGTCCGCATCAATGTAACCGCAACACACTCTGTCTTGCCAGTCGACGAGTATCTCCTTCCCTTCTCCATATGCGCTGCAGACGTAAACACAGTTCTCCGCTAATCCGTATCCGGGAGCCATCACTTCTTGAGAGAGCCCGAAACCTTCGGTCAGCTTAAGAAACTTCCTCATGGTGGAAGCCCGGACGGGTTCAGCTGCAACCATGAGGAAAACCATGGAAGACAGATCGAAATTCGGTGCTTTGTTCGTCTGCAAGCGACGAACAAGGAGCTCGAAGGCGAAATTGGGGCCGGCGCTGTGCGTCGCACGGTGTGTGCTTATTGTTTGTAGCCACAAGAGCGGGTTTCTGATGAATGTCGTCGGCGAAAACAGGACTGCAGATCCCCCACTAACCATGCTTGTAAAAAGTCCCCCGATGAGCCCCATGTCATGATATTGAGGAAGCCAACTTACGAGGACCGTGTTCGATGTGCTCTTGTATCGTCTCCTCATCATCTTCACATTGTGAATAAGTCTGGCGTGGGTTATCATGACTCCTTTCGGCTCGCCGGTCGAACCTGAAGTGAATTGGAGGAAGCACAAGTCATGAACTGATGAAGCGCCGTGTTCGTTAGTTTCAACAGGTGCGAAGCTTCCGGCGAAGGAGATTTTGAACTTTTTGATCCAAGAGTCGGTGTGCAGCCACGGAAGATCTGGCCAGCGCGCTGCCGACGATTTTCTTGTTCCGTTGAGCGACAGCATGTTTCGGGCGGAGGCTGCTTTTACCATTATGTCGTAGCTAACCGTCGATAGAATCGCGACTGCGCCGCTTGCTCTTGCGATGTTGGAAAGATGAAGAAGCGACTGCCCGCCGTTCTGAGATGGATCGGGAGGAATTACAGGTACCGGAACAATGCCAGCCCTTATGCACCCGAAAAAGGCATCGATGAAATCGAGTCCCGGTGGATAGACTAGAAGAACCCTGTCCCTGGTTTTGATGATCGGATTACGGCTCGTCATGAGCTTCTCGGCAATTTTCGAAGCGTTGGAGTGGAGTTCTTGATATGTTCTCCGCCCTACGACGCTCCCCTTCTCGTTGATCCATTTGTACAGCGTTTTCTCTCGGGTGATGCCGTGAGTTCCCCAATGCCTTAAATATGCATCGAGGGAGGTAAGATCAGGGAACTCAACTCCAGACGATTCATCCAACTTCTTGGGAGATACGAAGATGCCGCGAGATGGAACCACCGTCAGCAATCTCTGCAGACATATCATGTAACACCATCAGCTTCGATGCAAAAGGTATCGTCTGCCTTCTCCTAATATACGTCGAGTATGAGTTTAACGGGTACATATTCAGCAAAATTTGGATTAATCGTGTTATACCTTTCGACATTCGAATTGCTAGAATAGTTCTGTGTAAATGAGTTTCATTTACCTTGACGTACGGATGGTTTGGCTCAGGATTATCGTTCGAGAAATGCTTCCGGACAAGCTCGAAGGCGTAGTTAGAATTCCTCTCCGTCAGTTCGAATGCCATCAGCCCGCCGACATAGTAAGTGTTTTGCTGACCTTGTAGCAGAAACTCGAGCTTGTCGTAAAACCCTTCCTTCATGTCTGTTTTTCGTAGCACCAAATTGAACAGATCAACATTCGAGTTAATGTGTCTATCGAACTTCTTTATTTTGTGCGATTTATCGTACCTTCGCTTTTTACATGAGGAAAGTACTTGAATTTTCTCTGTAAAACCACGCTCTCGACATTGCCTCCCATTCTTTTTGCAGCAGCTACGGCAAGTTCGGCGACTTCGGATCCCTGGATGTTAGCAGAGTTCCCATACGACCAGAAGAGGAAGATGTTCTGGTCGCTGTAAAACCTCTGCATCGCCACTGGATTTCCGATTGCCGAAGGATCATCTATGAACTCGTCGAAGTAGTAAAATCCCTTCGGTACGTGCTCGAGTCCCTTCACTTTCAATACTGTCGTGTAGTAGTCGATCGTTTGCACTTTACTGAACAGCTCCTTTTCGAGTTCACTCGTGTCAATACGATCGTTCGCACTATCTACGCAGAGAAATAGCGGGGAATTAGTCGATATAGGCATTTTGTGCGATCTCTTTGCGTCATTAGCGTAAATGAAATTACCTGCTGTGCTTATCAGAGCGGGTGATCGGTATGTCTTGCCGCTGTTGATAGGAAAAGAACCGGACACGATAATCTTGTCGAAATTACTAACTTGTGTTGCCTCACCGTTTTCTGTTCTGTATTCGACTCTAACGCCTGCAGGATCTCGCTTGACCGATACAACTTCGGTTTTGCAGCAGAGGTTTATCGGAAGACGTTCGCCGAGCTTCTTCCAGAGACTCATGTATCCTCCTTTGAAGCGACGTATCTTTCCAGCCATGGATGTCCTCGTGAACTCATGAACGTAAGCATACGGCATGTCCTCGACATATCCGTATCCCGACGCGGTGTATCCGTATATCACCGATTTTGGAACTGAAGGAAACCCCTCGCTCTTGAGATACTCGGGGGCCAACAACGGCGCAATATCGCTCACTGCGTGAACTCCAATCCGACCCGACGCCTTCACCTTGTCCTTTCGAAATCGAGAACGTCGAATCGATCAGAATTGGGTCGAGAGAAGTACAAAGGTACGTATGTGTTTAAACTAACCTGGATTTTGAGTGTGAGTGTGATCATAGACACATAATCCTCAACTAAATTCATCGACTTTAGAGCTCCGGTAGAAGAATCGATGAGCGCGAATTTGTGATCGTCCATATCCTCCGTCTCCGCGCCGAGCTCGTCTGCCAAGTGAAATATCGACGGAGCGCTGTTTGCGGCGAGAACTTGACCTCCCAAATCGTACACGTTTCCTGTGAGCAAGCAACACATTGTAGGTATTTTCGGTTACGATTGTCTCTTTTCTTCGATACTTCGTTTCGTTTTCGTGTAGTGTTTATACCTTGTATCTCAACTGACTCGCACATGCCGCCAGGCGACGGGTGCTTCTCGAACACGGTTATGTCCGAGTAGCCGAGCTTCGACAGCGCGTAGGCTGCGGAGAGGCCGCTGGGGCCGGCTCCGACTACGGCGATTCGCGTCGATGGAGGGAAACAGGGATGGAGCTTTGAGAATTGCTCTTCAATGGAGGTACCCTCCATGTTCTTTCTTTATAGAACTGGCTGATGATTCGATTCAATTTCGATTCGATTAATGACCAGTATATACACTCGTGTGTATATATATATATATATAGAGAGAGAGAGAGAGAGAGAGAGAGAGAGAGCGAGATGTGTGTATTGTGCATGCAAAGCTTGATAGAATTAAGAAAAAATGATGTTAAGTAGATGCATCTATGGATTTAATCTGCTTACATTTATCCCTTTTGAGGAAAGGAAAGATCAAATAGTGATATATATATATAGAGAGAGAGAAGAGAGAGAGAGAGAGCGTAGGATGGGATGAGAAAGAAAGTCGAGGGGAAGATGGAGAATATATAGCCAGCATTTTTCATTTTTTTTCTTATTATTTTATTTGAATTGATTTTAGATTTTCTTTATGAAATTCTTTTTTTGCTGTTTTGGTTCTGTTGACAAATTCCAAGTACAAATGATGTAGTAGATACATGTATTTTCAATTTTTGTGAAATTAATGTTCTCTCTCTGTATATCTATATTTTTATATGTATTTTCTTCTTACTCTTCTTCCTCAGTTCGTTTTCTTGACAGTGTCTTCCTACAACGTGTCTCTCTCTCTCTCTCTCTCTATATCTATATATCTATATATATATGTATATATTTCTGGAGAAATCTGCTGTTAGATTTGGAAATAATCTATAAAAATCAATATGAGTTGCAGAATGACTTGACTTGATTTAATTATCTTTTAAGACTCCACCTCCTTTTCATAAATAAGACTGATGTTAATTATGTATTTTGTTATTTTTTATCATTTAATATAAAATATTTATTGAGAATTGTCTCATTGAAAAATAGTGAATGAACGGACTAATCTATTTCATATTTTATATATATATATACAACAGGGAAGTATAATCACTGATGGATTATAAATAATTTTGCTTATTTTATATTTTTGTTAGTTATTATTATTATTATTTGGCAAAATTGTTTATAATAGTTTGAAAAAAAAAAAAAAAAAGTCTCATATTTTCTTATATTTTAAATTTATATTTTAAAAAATATTACACAAAATTTTTTAAAAATTAATTCCTCGTATTTTCAAAATATAAAAGTGTCATATACAATTTTTAAATTATCATAGAAAATATAGCATATATTTTTCTTTATATTTTTCAAACAACAAGATGAATTATAAATATTTTTGGACGTCACTTTGATTATAATTAGACCAATATTTTGAAAGGCATAAATATTAAAATTAAAAAAAAATATTTTATTTAATATTTTGAATAAATAATAATTAAGTATAATGTTTTTGAAATATAAATTTTGAAAATATTATTTTCTTAAAATAACATAAGCATCAATAATTGCTAATTTGTTACTAATATGTATCCATAGACTTTCAAATTTTGACTTGGTAATAGTTTTGAAAATAATTGAGCTTTTTTCTTTAATTTAATTTTTGTTTGAATATTAATTTAAATGTAATATTTATTAGATAAAATACAATTTTTATAAGCAATCATTTTTAGACTGTAAAGAACTCATATATATATATATATATATATGCATATATTGGTTTTCTTTCTTTTTCTTTTTAACTATGCAATATCACAGTATTTCTTAGAAATATACATTTATTTTTCATGTAAATTATTATATTGAATAATATTTAATCTAAAAATTAAAATGGAAATATAAAAAAACATACACAAAAATAATATATTTAATATTTATGTGTATAATATAAAATGCTAATTTAAAATATATACTCTTCTGTCATCTAAATTTGTTCCTACTTTGTAAAATACAAAAAAAAATAAAAAATGAAAACATATTTTAATGAAGGAGGTAGTACTATATTTACTATATCCTGCAATTAATGTATTCATGATTTTTCAATCACAAGTCTATTTTCATACCATTAGGCCATCACTTTGGATGTATTTATTTTTTTATTTAATGGATATAATTCTCACATATAAATAAAATAATACTTTACATTTACATATTTTCATGTCCAATTCTCTTTTATTATAATTTTCCTTTTTATTTATTTACTATGAAATTTCAATAATTTTATATAAAATATACTTTATTTATATTTAAAATATCAAATTTAATTACTATATAAACAAAAAATAAAAAAAAATCCTTAAATTTTGTTTGAAAAATAATTTTTTGTGTGACAAGTAAATAAATTTTCGGCCAGAAATTGTTTGTTTAGTGTTTTAATATATATATTTTTATATTAAATATAAAGAACGTGTTATTAATATAAAAAGTAATATTTTTTATTAATTTTTTTTACTTTGTAAATATATATATATATTGAAAATCAGATAAAAAAAAAATTATAGGCAAACAAACTTTTAAATTAAAGATATTTTAAATAATTTGCAAATTTATTAATGTCATTTGATAGAATGAATTTCAAATTTCCAAAATCAAATACCAACTGTAAAGGCATTATTTTCAATATTTCAAATGTTTTATATATTGTATTTTTTAAAATATTTTTTGCCGTCAAGTAATAAGTTTTAGTTACAAAGGTTGTGTTCTTTTACCAAAAAAATAACATACATAACTTTTCCAAAAAATTAATATATCATACACCTTCATTATTACGTAAAAATATTTCTTCAATCATACACCTTCATTATTACGTAAAAATATTTCTTCAAATTATTTTTACAAAACAAACACAGACAAATTTATCTTTTTCAAATTTGAGGTAATTTAAATGTATTTATTTAAAATTAACTTTTAAATTTATATTTAATGGTGCGTTTGGCAATTAGTTGATAGCTTTTAGCTGTTAACTGATTCAATTAGCTGTTAGTTATTAGCTAATTCAATTAGCTGGTTTGACTAGCTGATTCAACTAACGGTTTGTATTAAAGTGTTTAGTAAAATAATCGTTTACATTAGTTGTTTATACATAAAATGACTATTAAGAACATTGATATGTTATTTTTAATATTTAATTTTGTTCATTTTGGTTTGAAATATATGAGAATTTTTTTATTAATTATTGAAAATTATAAAATATTTATTTTTATTTTTATTATTTAGATTTGAAAAAATTACTTTTACTAAAAAATAATAATTTTTTATTGAAATTATGTAAAATATAAAATAATAAATTTTTCGTATATATATTTTTGTTATGTTAATTATTGTTTTAATATATATAAATAAATTAATAACATTTGTTTTTTCTATTTGATTTAGGTTTAAAAATTTATATATTTTACAAATAAAATAATTTATATGTAATAATTAATAATAGTAATTATTTTAAATTAAAAAATAAAAATATAATTCAATAAATTAAATATATTAAAAATAATTAATAAATACTGTTATAAAAATATATTTATATGTATAAAATAAATAATTAAGTTTTAAGGGTAAATAAGGAAGAACCAAAATTAAAATGTAAAAGCTGTTTCAAAATTCTGGGTAGATAAGTTTTTTAAAAATTATCTTTTTGAGTCCAAAAAACTTTTTCAAAAAACTAATTTACCAAACATCTAAATTAACTTTTTGACTGGTCAAACAATTTAAAATTGTTCAATAAGTTAGAAAGCTCTTTAAAAAGTTGTTTTCCAAACACTTTTTAAATCTATAAAGTTAGATGTGTCTCAAAGTACATTTATCATTTTGTAAAGAATAACATAGTGGTGTAATGAAAGACTATCATAGGTTCAAACTCCGATACCTTTGTATC